GATCCTTTTGCCACGATAGTGACCAGAAATTATCAGGTCCGATCGTTCGCATTGGACCAGACGAGATCCATGTGAATGACCCAAAGTTGATTCCCGAGATTTATGCTGGGCCAGGAAGTGTTAGAGACAAATATCAGCTGTACATCAACCAGTTCGGGTGAGCTCCAAAAGGTTTATTGAACATGATAAATGCTGACTTGCGTAAGAATTCCGAATGTTAGTCAACCTCCTATGAGACTCTTCAAAGGTGAGGCTGACCAATATATGACAGTCCTCCCTGGCCACACTCTCTCACGACTTGCATCGCAGTAGACGAGCAGCGATCTCGCCGTTCTTTTCCAAACGTTCCGTTGCCAGAGTTGAGTCGGTCATCATCAGGTTTTCCGAATCGCTTTATCGACACATCAAGACCTACTTAGATACGAACCAGCCAGTGGTGTTGAATGATGCTTTTAGTTGTTTCGCAACCGATGTCATCACGGAATATGCGTTCTCCCGTACTTATGGCTTCCTTGACCATGTGGACTTCGTGCCAAATCTGCGTATACCTCTTCAAGGCTTGATGGTTTCCGTACACTACCTAAAACACTTTCCTTGGGTGTTCAGCATCATGGAGATGCTTCCGGAGTACTGCAATGCACATGAATGTTGTGGGAAGACATGCTAATTTGACCAGTGCCTTTGCTGAATGGTTGGACCCTCGGATTTGCCAGCTGCTTCGAATGCGAAAGGTATATTACCACATTTAACAAGAACTTTAGTCCGTTCCAACTATGAATGACACACTTCCTATAGGACATCAAGTCACAAGTGAGAGCCCTTTCATCTGCCGAAAGCCAGACTTTCAACACAAAATCCCATCCGACCATTTTTCACGAGCTTCTCAACGCAGAGGTTCCAGCCAGTGAAAAACACCCAGACAGGCTGTGGCAAGAAGGCTTTCTGGTCATTGGAGCCGGCACTGAGACCACTGCTGCAGGTAGGCGAAAGAAACAACAAAATCACATCATGCTCTCACCTGACGCTATTGCGTAGTTCTCTCGGCGACAATGTTCTATCTGATAGACAATCAAGAAGCTTACAGAAAACTTAAGGAGGAACTCGCGGCAGCCTTTCCAGATCATTCGTCAGCAATGACGATTGCAAAGCTAGAGCGGCTGCCCTACTTGATGAGTACAAGATTCCCAGATGCCCGAGCTATGAATGCTGAGACTGTCATACCATGCGGTAATACAGGAAGGTCTGCGCCTCGGCCTCGGAGTCAGCTCGCGACTCCAGCGGGTGTCACCGTACAAGGCCATCCGGCTCGGAGATTGGATCGTTCCTCAAGGAACACCCGTGGGAATGACAAGTGCACTCATCCACTTGAATCCAGATGTTTTTCCCAACCCGCACCAGTTCATTCCTGAGCGGTGGATCGAAAACCCACGCCTTGACGATTATCTTCTGAGCTTTTCCAAAGGAACGAGACAGTGTGCGGGTATAACGTGAGTGCTCACGATTGGAACGATCAGCTATATGAGCGGATAACTGTGGTTGATGCCGATTCTGACCTGGTCTTTCTTCAGTCTTGCCTATACAGAACTCCGGATTGTCTTGGCCATGTTGAATCGGCGCTTAGACTTTGAACTATTCTCAACAACCAAGAAGGATGTCGTACTGGATCATGACCTCGTCACTGCAAACCCCGCTTTTGAATCCCAGGGGGTCAGAGTCCTAGTCAAGCAGACCGAATATTGATCCGCAAATGAGTTGGGCTTCCAAAGGTCATATGATGTTACTCCAGGTGATACGGCCAGACATCACAAGATGAGCAAAGGTGTGCACAGGCCCTCCAGGACTGGCCTACATGTCCAACTGAACCAGGAAATGTGTTGGCTCCCTGCCCTTGATAAAGTGATGGAGTTTTCTCGTCAGAGGGGTTTGAGTTCTTTTGAAATCCTACGTGCTTCCACATCTGTCCTTCCCGGTGTCCATGATATTCTACTCTGCTGGAACTTTGAACGAGGGAGTCTATCGGACTGGAAATAGAAGACTCAGCTGTTGCGAACTGAAGCAGTACTCCCGTCCACAGTTTCAGGACATTTCTAGACTAGACTAGACGCCCAACGAGTGACTGCATAGCAGCTGATACAATCAGCCTCATTCGGCGTTGCTCAGGTTGCCTTTTTCGTATCACCAACGGTTCTCAGCCCTCTGGACTGTAGCATATTTGTATTCTGGCGTTGCAACTTGTTTCTCACTTGTCAATCCATACTTCAGGGTATCTTTTGGCAGAACGCCGGAACAAAGTAATTATTGCATTCAGGAGGATGTCATCATCTCTCAGGATGAGTTCACGCTGTCCATCGATTGAGGACTACCAGGTGGCGTGGATTACCGCCCTACCTGAAGAGCTTGGTGCCGCCACTGCGCTTTTAGACGAAACGCATCATCCACCAAGGAACTTACCGGTGGAAGATGAGAACGGCTACACATATGGCTGCATGTTTTCATATGATGTAGTCATTGCTTCCCTGCCCTCAGGGGTGATTGGCACGAACTCGGTTGCTGGAGTGGCCAATGGTATACTGCGCACGTTTCCAAATGTGAAGGTGGGCTTGATGGTTGGAGTAGCTGGGGGAGCCCCAAGCTTGAGAAATGACATCAGGCTAGGTGACGTTGTGGTTCGTAAAATCCTTTTCAAGGTCTCAGTCCTATACCTACTCACTCTCGACTAGGTCAGCTGTCCCTCTGATGGTACTGGGGGTGTATTACAGTATGATCTTGGCAGGAGTGTACAGGATGAGGACTTTAAGGTCACAGGATATCTTGCTCCTCCTCCAAGATCACTTTTGAACGCATTAGCCAGCATCAGGGGGCGGAATTTGATTACAGGAGATATGTTGAGAGCCCTTATTCATGCGACAGATCACAAGAGGCATCGTCGGCGGATCTTTGAGACGCCCGACCCAGAATCTGATCTCTTGTTTCGGTCTAGTTTTACACACCGAGCAGAACACAGGTCATGCATGCAAGTGTGCAGACAATACACTGACATGTTGGCCGAACGAGCGGAAAACCTCGACCGAGTCGACAATGAACCGTATATTCACTATGGCACCATTGCCTCTGGAAACCAACTGGTCAGGGATGCAAAGATGAGAAATAAGATCGCCAGAGAGAGGAACATCCTCTGCTTTGAGATGGAAGCCTCCGGTTTGATGACAAGCTATCCCTGCCTTGTCATTCGAGGCATCAGCGATTATGCCGACACACACAAGAATGACGCGTGGAAATACTATGCCGCAGCAAATGCAGCCGCGTACGCTAAGCTTCTCCTTCAGCATGTGAGAGGCCTCCAAGAAGAACCTCGAAACCCAATTGCACGAGGTGATGTCGAGGTTGACAGGCGCTTCCTCCAGGGATCAAGAAGTCGTTCGGATACAGATAGGCTCCCATTAGCTCCTGAAGCAGCGACACTTGATGAGTCTCGACCTTTGAGGCCCAGCTCATCGACGTCTTCGAGGACCCTCTGGGAATGTGACAACGATGATGTCTATGTCAGCTCGTCCCGGCAAGCCCGAAGGCAAGATCGGGACATGAATCTTCCTTTCAGGAAGAATGGGAGAGGTTCGGACGATGGTCCTAGAGAGCACAACAGCTCGACAGAAGGCGCAATGGTACGATATGAAAATGATCTGTGCGAGCGGTTAGCCAGGACTGATCAACTGGTCAGATGTCAAGCCTACTACCTGATCTTGAATAACGCGGGCAGCCTCCGTCAGTGGCTAGTTTCCAACGGTGTTATGCAAAGCTTTGGTGGAAACGGATGCAGGAGGTCGGCCAAGGTCATGGACTTGATTTGGCTGCTAGCCTTGCGATACTTCCAAAGCTCTTGGAAAATGCGTCATTGCGTGGTGCGGCTGGACGTTGGTATGTTGGAGCCATGTCGAAATGACGAAGAGGCAGAGAGGGCTGCGTGGCTTTCACTGACCAAACAGCTTGAGAGGAATCTGGCCCAGCATCATCCACAAAGCAGATTATTGGGAGGTTCGACAATACGTGATGATCTTGGGAAGCTGGCCGTCATAGAGAGGTTTGCGCAGTTGATTGATGACGAGGCCTGGGGTGCCACGAGGCTGGTTTTCATCATCAACCTTCATCAAAGAGATATGTATTCTCGCCCCAACTTGTGGCAGGACCTAGTGACAAGGATGCTTTGGTTTGCCCATGTCGAATATGTCCCGAAGGACAAAGGGTGCATCCAACCTCTGAGTCGTTACAAGATGTTCGTTACATCTCATGCACCAGGTTCTTGGAACCCCTTCGAGCCAGACAATCACATCTACTATCACGAGGCGACCTTTGGTCCAACCTGGGACTTTAGTATCGAAGCACTTGACAAAAAATTCCGAGAAGTCTTGGGCAACTAGCAAGAGTCCCCTTTTACTATGCAGTGGTTAATTCTGGCATAAACAGACAGTTTCTCTGATCTTCGCGAGGAGTTTGGGTGTTTTCTATTGAGACTATTTGTATTCATGTTAAATGAAATCTCGTGTCATGATTCATTTGATGATTTCGAATTGCAGTTGGGATATACTCATTGGATCACAATCGAAAGACGGAACTCATCGAACGGTTAGACTTTTGGCATTTGAATAGAGGTGGTTCTTCACAAGCACGGTCTTCCACTAGATTTCAGCACTCTTCCTCCTTGCAACCTTGGGCGGTGAGGAGGTGGCCCCTCGGCCCCTCGGCCTGGCGGAATAAGTCCGCGTCTTGGCAAGGCTGGGATCCCCTAAGTCAGGTGGTGGTGCTCTTGGGCTGTCGAGTGACTTTGGTGGCGGAAGAATGTCTCTGTATGGAGTACGAACATGCGAGTAGGACCCGGCCCGTACCGGTTGCTTAAAGAGACCCAGACACCCCATGACACTTGCCGATGGTTGGAGTCTCTATCTGCAGTCTAAGGTGCTAGTGGTTCCTGTGAACATCAAGCTCGAGGAGAGACCGCAGTGTAATCACTCGACGCACTTTTCGAACTGGTCCCAATCTTTTTCCTGAAGTTTTCCGGCAAGCCACTTTTCCGCCCAAGCGTCGATCTTATCCAGTGTATGACCCAGGGGGTCCTTCTCAACAATGGCGGCCAAGTCCTGTGACTTCGTAGCCTCACATTGCTTCTTATCTGTCATTCTTGTTACCAACTCCAGGTCCGGAGACTCCGCAGGCCCAGTCTGCTTCTTGTCCCTTGTTTTTGCCACCATCTGCTCCCCATCCTTTTGGGCTGCATCACTTGATATGACCCTCTCTTCAAGCGTAGGTCGCCATCGCTTGACCTGCGGCTCCATCAAATCTAGAGTAGGAGACAAGAATCTTTTTGGCTTCGGCCGGCCCTTGGGGGTCATCGAGGCATAACCTCTAGTTCCTGCTTTTGTCTTGATGAGATTATCGATGTATGAACCAGCTGTCTTGAGAATAAGACAATCAGACGCAAAAGAACCGTCAGCCCATGCTTGATCTTGCTTTCCCTCTTGGATTTCCCCTGGTTCTAGTCCTTCCTGTTCTTCCGAGGGAGGCTCAAGATCGATCAACTCACCAAGTCGATGCATGAGCTCCGCGTACGAAACCTTACCCCGGTCGATTCGAATCAAATCATGTTGTTTGAGGGAGGTGATGTAGGTGACGGCGTCGATGAGGACATTTTTGGATGGAGGATTGTGGGGTGTGATGCGCCAGATTCGTCGATAGTCGATCTTGAGATGCAGATTGTGTAAGAGCCTATTCAACTGCGCTCGCTGCGCTGACGCCGGAGGCATCTTCGATGGCATAGTGGTCAGATGTTGCAACAGAGACTACATGAAGAACGCTAACGAAACACGAGGCCGTTGTGACGGGTTCAAATAATGAAGCAACGTTTGAGGTGGGTGGGAACGACAATAGAGCAAAATCCTGCGATGCATGTTGAACAAGGCCACAAATAAGGCCACAAAGAAGGTCGGCGTAGGAGAGACGCGGTCTGGGTGAAAAGTGATCAAACACATAGTCACTTGATTCTGGCATGAGTGAAGCACTTTTCCGTCCTCTGCTCTTGCCACATGATTCAACCAAAGTGCCTCACTCCTGCCAGACCCAAGCACCTACGGGGAATTGGCAGGTGCGGTCCAAAAAGTGCGCTATCTTCCAGCAGCCTCATTCCCCCAAGTTCCGCAAACAAATTTCGTGAGTGCGCCCGTTACGATTCACGATTGCGCTGGACAGTCAGTGCTAGATCTTAAACAATCGACGCACTGGCTGCATCGACTTTGAACAGGTTGATTCTAATACTGCACGATGCTTCAACTGCGGTTGAACCCATTATCAAGTCCTATCACAAGCTGGCTTTTCTCATTGACCAAGTGTACACTTCCTAGTATCTGTCGTCCATCCCATCAATCGATTGGCAATGTCACAGACGTAACATTCTGTTGCGCCATCCTGACCCAAGTCTGCACCCAGAGAGAACGAATTGGGACCCGAGTTATACATTCTTGCCGAACGATAGTAGGCCTGCGCTAGCTCTGCCTTACCAAGATTTGCAATCGAGTTGGCTCGGTTCAAGCCAGCGACGAGATTGACCTCACCACCACTGACACCCTCCTGGATCATCAGTTGAATCTGAGACTCGGGGCAGGGTGACTGGACGGTTCCTCCACTGTTGCACGTTCCTTTGCCCATGTAACTTTGCATAATGCCGGGGTTGGAGACGGCATTGGCAGTAGACTGCACCCTGACACACCCGGTAGATTCCTGCATTGCCACCGCCAGAACGAAACGAGGATCGATCTGCGCTTGAGCTGATACTGTCAGTATCGCCTCCCGAACTTGTTGATTTTCTTCATCGGTGTTGGGGGACGCCCCACTGCCGACACACTCTTTGCCGATGTATGGGAGAACACTGTCCCACAAGGCATTGAAGGATATCCATTGATCATGTGCTGGCCAGCCGCCAGCTTGCGAGCCGTCGCCTTGGTAGAAGCTGTACTGATTGTGTGCCTTTGCCGAGCCATCGTCTACATTAAAGTTTTTGATGGCGAATTGTTCAATCACTTGCGAGGGCCTGCTAGGTGGCGGTGGGGGCCCCGGTGGTTCAGGTGGTCTGGGTGGTGTTGACGGGGAACTGAACGGGCATGATGTGCTTGAGGGACCACTTGGTGGGCCTGGTGGACCAGGCGGAATACCAGGTGGTGGAGAAGGGTGGTCTCCCGGTGGCGGTGATGAGGGTTTGCTACTTCCGTCAGGGATGATCAACTGGAGGCCGGGATGGATGAGCTCCCAGTCGCAAACTTGGCAATTCGCCGCTTTGAGCTGGTCGAGGGTAATTCCATATCGTTGAGCAACGTCATAAGCGGTGTCCCCGGAGACAACAGTGTACGTTTTACCAGGCACGCAGAGAGAGGTGGATGGATCTGTTGAGGGTTGGTTTGGAGGAGCAGCACTAGGCGAACTTTGTATGGACGCTGGCTCACTGGGGATATTTAGTACCATTCCTGGGTAGATCAACTCCCAATTGGAGACTTGTGGGTTCGCTGCTTTGAGGGAATCGAGAGAGACATGATTGGCCTCGGAAATCTTCCACGCAGTGTCTCCTGAAACCACAGTATAAGTCTCGGAAGACTGTCTCTTCTTCAGATCGGTTTCCATAACGGAGGACAGAGTTGTCGTAGAAGTTGGCGGATTCGAGGCAGGGCGGCAGTGAGCTGTTGATGGTAGACGTAGACTTGTTCCGGATTGTAGTGAACGCCATGATGTTATGTCGGGATTGTAGAGGACAAGATGGCTGATATCGATATCGCAGTTTGAGGCGATATAGCAGGCTGGGTGTCCAGAAACAATGTCTGCATCTCGGACCACATAGGTGACCTCTGGGAGGGTGGGAACGTAGGCGAGAGCGTGGGAGATGCCAGTAATGGCTAGAATCGTGAGTTTCTGTATCGGCATCAGTAATGACTCAAACACGAGACCTGGAACAGAAGAGGGGCGCACCAAAGAAGAAACCATGTGAAATACGGCGGCGGTGATTCTTGTCAAAGGTATGAGGTGGAGGATTGGTTTCGGGATTTGGTCTGTTTGGGGAGGAGAGAATTAGAGAGAGAGAGAGAGAAGAAACAAATTATTCGTGTGCGTCAAGGTGAAAACCACAAACCACAAAGCACGTGGCTCGATCAAGCGTGGCACAAGTGGAGGGATTGATGGTGATGGTGATGGTGATGGTGTCCACGGGTGTCAATCTGTGACGAGGGTGTTTGCAGGTGCTTTCAGACGAGATGTGGCAGAGTTTTTGGACCAGCTGCTGTTATGACAGATAGCCACCCGAACATGAACCTGTTGTGGTCTTGCCTGAATCATGAAAATCTTGCATCCCAGTCTCTTGGTCTATGACTCTTGCTCTGGTGTCTACAACGCAAGAGATGAGATATGGAAGAAGCCGTGGACCGGGTATCTGCCTTGCAAGACACGGCTTAAGATTGGGCGTGGATTTGGTACAACCACATAAAAGAGAACTGCGGTGCCATGTTAGACACCTCATCCAACGGCATCAGTCGACACCTGAAATATCGGCGAAGCGGTGAGGTCGCATGGAGAGAAACAATGAGAGACGTTGAAATCAAGGAATTGGTTCACTTGGGCTTTGTTTCATGCGCCGGAAAAGGTGACACTGCCTGGGGCGAGCACGAGTCAGCTGATGAGGCCAAGACAAACAAAGAAACAACGAATCTGGAGAGGAACTGGGTGGTGAATAGTTGACATGATCTCGCTTCTAAGGCGGGTCTCGCGGAGCCGCTTCCCTCAAGCCAAGATCTGTGTGGTATTGTATACATGTGAAGGTTGTTACATCTATTCCTGAGCTCATTTTCTCTACTCAAATTCTTGGTCCACCTCTTGAAAATGATCAAAGAAACCTTTGTACAATTGCACACCCAGGCCAGGGTCAAGGGAGCCTGTGGTGGCGCGAATAGAATGCATGCTGAGTTGAGGAATGCCGCAATCAATAGCCCGGACTCCCAGCTTGGAAGAAGTCATGGGTCCAATGGTTCCACCGCTGCGGCTATCGTTTCGAATTTGGAAGACTTGGAGAGTACTACCACTTTTCTCGGCGATGCGCGACAGGAGAGCGGTCGAGACACTGTCGGTGGTCATGTGTCCATTGGGATCGGCGGACACGGCCACGCCAATGTTGAGCCGAGGGGCGTGATTCTCGAGATAGGCGCCGAGGAAGTTGGGATTGACTGCGTGAATGACATCGGACGAGACGAGGAAGGAGTTGGCCAGGGTTTGGCTGAGGAGATTGGGGCCATAATTGTCAGAGCTAGATTCGACAATCCTTTCAATCACACTCGACATGAAGTTGCTCCTGGCACCTTGACGGAGATAGCTACCAATTTCTTCGTCATCGAAGCAGCCAACCATCTTGACGATACCCGGTGAATCATCGTCTGATGAAGCGAGCAAACCCTGGATGGCGGCAAAACAACATAATTTGTCGTCAATGCGACCTGCAAAGATGAACTCCTTGTCCAATCCACCTAGCTGAGCGGGCTGAATATCAAAAAGCTCGAGCTCCCAATTGACGATGTCGGTGTATTCCTGGATGCCGAGTTCGCCAGCGATGGCCCGAACCAGTCTCTCGGGCTGTTTGGCGACAAATGTGCCAGCAGGCAGGTTGAGTGGAGCATGGGCTTTTCCTGTGATGTCAGAATTGTCAAGGCCAATGATGGGAACCATGTTTGTTTCTGGATTGAAGGGACCTTGGGCAGCGGCGCCAAAGTGAGGTGCCAGGGTGGGTACTCGCGCGATGGGCCAATTCAACTTGACCAGCTGCTCGGTGATCTTGCCATCCTTGCCCTTGACTAGAACTCGGCCACCGATACCGAGATCTCGATCCCACCAAGTGAAGTTCAGTCCTCCAGCATAAGGGGCAACACCGAGTTGAACAAAGCCAGCTTTGGTAGCCAACTTGGGGACTGGCTTGAGCTTTGCAGTCAAAGCATCAATATGACCAGCCACGATGCCAACTCCGTTTCCGGGTTTGTAGTCCTTGCCCACTGCAAAGGCAATAAATGCGCTGCCATTTCGCTTGATATAGTATTTACCACCCGGCTTTATCTTCCACAGATTCCTTTCCGAGAGGCATTCGTAACCAGCCTTGGCGAGGTCAGATGTAAATGCATCGACGGCATGATAGATGGTGGGATTGTTGGTCATGAAATCGAGGTAGGGTTGGGTGTACTTTTCTGCCGAGAAGGGTGCAACAGGGGGATGCTCATCTCGAGTGCGCGAGACCTGTTGGGGGTAGGCCGAATGCTGGTGATAGACACGATCATAGCCTCTAGCGACATGCAAAGGTAGATCTTCGTGGATGGAGGTAAAGAACCCCGAGGAGGTTTTGCGGACCATGGTGATGTGAGGGGAGCGAGAAGGGGAAGAGGAAAGAGATGAGGGTTAAAAGGAAGAAGTGTTAGTATGGAGGAGGAGGAGGACGAGTGAGGTTTGAGAAACTGAACTGATATGCAGGTACACAAAGAGCAAAAGGGAAAGAGAGGAAGCGAGTGGATGATGACAACGATGACATGTTGCAATTGGGGTGCAGCTACAGCTGATATGCAGTTGATACTACTCCGTAGGTAGCTTGTCGATGAACTGTGGGACTAGGACCTGCCACTCTGTCAGGCTGCATCCCCTCAAGCCACTTTGTTGCTTCCTTGGTTCCTTGGGATCTGCCCGGCAACAGCCACATTATTCCACAAGTCTAAGTTAGGCACATCGGGGTGGTCAAAGCCTAGAAGTGAAGCCTGGGTATTCCCCGGGAGTGCCTGGAGAGGGCTAAAAAGGCACTGTGACCCCTCAACCAGATCTCCCTCCCCCTCACTTCTTCCTTTATCGCCGGTCAAACTTCCATGACATTCCGTCTGCCTCTCGCCCTCGTGACTTGTGAGTTGGAAATCAGACCAAAGTGAACACCACCACCACTACCTTCCTCCTGTCTATTCTTCCCCAAGTCACACAACTCCTCTTTCGATCCCCCACCCGACATCATGACTTCGAGCGTCGCCTCTAAACGCCTGTTCCAGGAATACAAATCCCTCCTCACAAATCCCCCCGATGGCATCACCGCAGGTCCTGTCACCGAAGAAGATCTGTTTATTTGGGAAGCCTTGATCCAAGGTCCTGAAGGCACTCCTTTTGAAGGTGGCATCTTTCCCGCAGAACTCAAGTTCCCCAAAGACTACCCTCTGAACCCCCCCAAAATGAAGTTTCTAGGCGAGATTTGGCATCCCAACGGTATGTTGACCCTCGCTCCGCCTGCGCCTGCGACTTTGATCTAAACTGACAGTGATAGTCTATGCCAATGGAGAAGTGTGTATCTCCATCCTCCACCCGCCCGGCGATGACCCCAACCATTATGAGAGCGCATCTGAGCGGTGGTCCCCAATCCAAAGTGTGGAAAAGATCTTGATCTCCGTCATGTCCATGTTGGCCGAACCCAACGATGAGAGTCCTGCGAATGTTGAGGCTGCAAAGATGTGGAGAGATCGACGAGCCGACTTTGAAAAGAAAGTAAGACAAGGCGTCCGACGTTCACTGGGCCTATGATAATTCCAACATCATCAATTTCTCAACATTTCGGTCAAATAGGCCATCATCCCTCCTTCCACGTCATCCAGAGCCTGTATCTCGGCTTTTCGGTTCAACAACAACATACGCTGCAACTCGACATGGCAACCCACAAGGCACGGCAGGATATTACCGGATTCATCCCGCCACTCATGACTGTTGAGGATGGATGCTGCCACAGCTCGGTCACGTGGTGTCAGAGGGAGGGATAGACTGAAGTCATGGCATGTCTGCAAGAGATGGCGGTAGCGAAGGCCAATCCATTTCATCTCGGGAAGATTGCATTCTTGCTCATGGGCTAAGGTCTTTGACCCATACACGTAACATTTCAGTATGCGCATACCATCTGGATCGAGATCAAACAAGCCCCAGAGTGGAACTGGTGGTGAGAGCTCATCACAGAGCGTGCGGAGGAACTTGCGAGTCGCAAGATCGGGATATCCTTTGGCCTGTGACGAATCAGCACGAGGATGGAATACCCCATGTGAGGTCCGCATACTGTCACAATGATACCAGACCCGAGCGTTGGATGGAGGTGCAAGCTTTGCTCGACTAAAGCTTTCAAGGTTGCCTGAATTTGTCAGTTCAGGTCAGGTTTGCAATGAGCATATCAATCGTCCACCTCTTTCTCAACAACGAGTATCCATCTGACGTGACCTAATGCATCCAAGTGGGCGTGTGGAAACATGTCTGGTATCGTGATGACTTCGTTCTTGAATCCCGCCACCAATCCTTTGGGGCTTGCCACCTGTCGGTGTCAGCAATCAGCGAGTGGGTGACAATCCAGACGATCAAAACCTACCACGTGAAGGTCCAATCTTCTGACACCACAAGTATGAGCTATGTCATCAACCAGACGATCGACCAGCCCTTGGTGTTTGAAGAGTGAAGGGTCATGGTAATAGATGTCCCTGTGCGAGTTCAATCCAAATTGCGGTACAACTTCGATCGTCCAGGGAGCTGCCTCTCCTACCTTTTGGTGACCAGAATGCCACTTTGAACGGCAGCATAGATCTCTCCGAGCACGCGGCCGAGACAAGCTGAAGTCGGGAGATACATGGGTAAGAACGCGCGGCCGTGTCATGTCATAGGTGTTAGGTACCTACCAAATCTCCACGCCTCATCTTTGTTCTTGCCAGGAAACGAGTAAGAAATTGGACGATCCTCAATATGCCATTTTAGTCTCATATAGTCGGAGTGGTCATAGTATGGCTTGATGGCAGTGATGCGTCTTAGAGTGATGACTGGCTTGCCATATGGCCGGACTCGGATCTCTTGGATGATGTTGTCAAACGTGCTTTCAATGTAGTTTATGACTTTCTGGTGGGCTAATGAGACATGGACCGGTGCCTGACGGGTCGATGGCTCCAAGTCGACGTTAAAAGTCATGTGGGAGTCTGTCCTGGTTGACTCCATCATATTTTTCGTCCACATGCCTAGACATATGTGTCGTCGTAGTAGTGTTCTTAGAGACTCCAAAGGGATTGACAAGAAGCCAAATATCCAAAGTACCTACAGGCTACAGTGCCTGCCTAGGGACGTAGGTACCGTGGTACCTAACATGTCACTGTACCTACCTAAGGTTGGTGACATGGTGAGTACTTGCCTTCCTTCATCAGTGGTCTTAAAGCAGTTAGCAGACCAAGAAAGTAGGTACTTACCTAAGGTACCTCAGGTCGGCATTGCTGCACGTGTTATGGGCCGAGGCGGCCTCTTTAGCCCCAGACTTCAGCTAAGCCGCCCACCCAATCAATCACTCCGGGCCTCGGGCACCCCTGAGCACCCCTGACATCCCTGGCACCCCTGGAGATCTCTATTCCAAGCCCGAGGGGCCCCTCGACCCCCCTCCCTCGGACTCGGGCGCCGGGTGCTGCATCTAGTTTGACTTTACTGGCATTTCAGTGGATCGATTGAATGTTTTGTGCATATTGCGCATCTCATGTCAGGGCGTGAACGGGGCAGGTACCAATGGGATCGCTCCTTTCCCCACTTCACCTACACCCGCATAAAATGAATCCGAGTGGTCTCATTCATTTTTTGGGATTTGGCTGCCCACCACTACCAACACCATCACCAACGCCGTCAACATGTCCCAGCCGATGATTGACCGCTGATTCCTACATCTCTCCACTTGACACTGCCCATCCATCCATCCAACTAAACAACATTCACTTCAACCTACTCTCCAATGCGCCATGTCGTGATCCTTTATTCCTTTTCTGTCGTTTAGCAATGGCACACCAGAGGAAATCACAACGGCCAGATGGCGTCACCAACGGCCACGCCTATGCCGGTGAACACTCCATTGACCTCTCTTCAGAAAAGGTAGACCGCTCACGCTGGCGGCTCGAAGTTGGCGAAGACAGCCGCCACGTCTGGCATTATCTCAAGACCGACCAACAGGTCAAGGACTGGCCACAATCCACCTCAGACAAGTATTATTTAGGACTTCCTATTGTAAGTACATGGCCACAAATGACACTTGCGGTCCATTCAACTACTGCGACCCTCAGTCCTGACATGCGATCTGCCTTGCTAGAACCTCCCCAATCTCCCTCTTGCCACCACTCCCTCTCAATCCATCGACAACTGCCTCAGCTTCTACTCCAAACTTCAACTCCCTACGGGGAACTGGGCCTGCGAATATGGCGGCCCCCTCTTCCTTCTCCCAGGCCTTGTTATCTGCTGGTATGTCACCGGTACTCCGATTCCCGTCGAGCGGCAAATCGAGATGAGAAATTATCTCTACTCTGTCCAGAACAAAGATGGTGGATGGGGCCTGCACACCGAAGGCCATTCCTCCGTCTTTGGCACCACCATGAACTACACAATTTTACGTATCCTGGGAGCCAGTGAAGAGCACCCTCGCCTCATCAAGGCAAGAGCAAAGCTGCATCAACTGGGAGGTGCCGTCAACGGTCCACACTGGGCCAAGTTTTGGTTGTCACTTCTTGGTGTCGCCCAATGGGACTTGGTCAACCCGGTTCCGCCTGAATTGTGGCTTCTCCCAGATTGGGTCCCTTTCGCACCCTGGCGATGGTGGATACATATGCGCCAGGTCTTCCTCCCCATGTCTTATATCTGGTCAAAGCGGTGGACTATGCCAGAAACCCCACTTGTCCGCCAGCTTCGCGACGAGCTGTTCACCCAGCCCTATGACACCATTGACTTTGGCAGCCACCGCAACTCAATCGCCCCCGAGGACAACTACCATCCCAAATCTTGGCTGCTCAATCTCATCAATTGGATCCTCGTCTGGATCTGGATCCCTTTCCTCCGCACCGACTTTATCGCTCGAAAAGCCGAAGCCTGGACATGGCGATTGATCCAGTACGAAGACGCCAACACTGACTACGCCGACCTAGCTCCCGTCAACGCGCCTATGAACACAATTGCATGCTTTATCCACGATGGTCCAGATTCCTACTCGTTTAACCGACATCTCTACCGGCTTCAAGAATACCTTTGGGTCAATGCTGACGGAATGCTTGTCAATGGAACCAACGGCGTTCAGGTGTGGGATACCTCCTTTACCATTCAAGCCTGTGTTGAGGCGGGACTGGCCTCGAGTTCCAAATGGAAACCCATGCTCACTCAGGCCCTCGCCTATCTCGAAGGCGAACAGATCCGAGAAGACGTCCCGGACCAGGACATCTGCTACCGCCAATCCCGCAAAGGAGCATGGCCCTTTTCCACCAAACTCCAAGGCTACACCGTCTCCGACTGCACCGCTGAAGCTCTACGGGTGGTCCTTCTTCTCCAGGAGGAGCACGGATATGCGGTCCAAGTGTCGGAACAACGGATCAAGGACGCCGTTGATGTGCTTCTCACCATGCAGAACAAACACACGGGTGGCTTTGCGTCATACGAACGCCAACGTGGCAGTGAATGGATGGAATTGCTCAACGCGGCCGAGGTCTTTGGGAGAATCATGGTGGAATATGATTATCCCGAGTGCACGACAGCAGTGGTGACGGTGTTGTCGCTCTTCCAAAAACACTACCCGGAGTACCGGGCGCAAGAGATCAAGGACATCAAGCAGACGGCGTGCGAATATATTCGACGCGCGCAACGACCAGACGGATCATGGTACGGGTCATGGGGCGTGTGCTTCACGTATGCGGCCATGTTTGCGTTGGAGTCGCTGTCAACCGTCGGCGAGACTTACGAGACCTCGGCGCGTGTGCGCAAGGCATGTGACTTCCTCTTGTCGCACACGATGCCGGACGGCGGTTGGGGTGAGAGCTACCGGGCTTCGGAACTCAAGGTCTGGGTGGACCATGAGCGGAGCCAGGTGGTGGCCACGAGCTGGGCGTGCATCGCCCTCATGTATGCGGGATATCCGGGCAAGGAACCCATACGACGGGCACTCAACAACGTCCTCCTGGCACGCCAGCAGAGTGACGGACAGTGGTTGCAAGAGGCCATCGAGGGCGTCTTCAACTGTTCTTGCATGATTACATATCCCAACTACAAATTCATCTTTCCGATCAAGGCCCTCGGCATGTACAAGGCGCGATGGGGAGATGAGTTATAACGACGCCGACGATGATCATGTCGGTCCAGAGACGGAGCTTAGGGTGCTAGGATGCCAGAGTCTATATTCGCATTAATTATATCCTAGACATTTCAGAGCTGGGCTAATCAAAACGCCTCGTGTCCTCCACAGATCTAACGAATTTTGATCGCAAGATTCCTGACCGCACTTCCTCTTCCCTGAGTTTTCTTTTTGGCCCTGTCTGTTATTGGACCTCATGTGTTGTCACTCCCCACGACTTGATAGTATATGGACGGGTCTTCGCGAACGAAGATCCCCGTGGACAACCCTGTCAGTGGAGAATGGGCTGTGTCGGTCAAATTGAGCCTTGGGGCAGCTTTTAATTCGTCCCGGGGAAAGATATCGGACTTTTCTCCAACCGGGTTCTCGCAATTCCCTGCCTGGGAATTGGTCGAGGTCGGAGACGACTTGGACATGCTCTCATGCGCGTACAAGACTCGAGCCCTGACATCGGCAAGCGTGGAATCCAGCCATTGCGTGGCCTCTGTACGTTTGATTCGTTGATAGTATTGGCGGGCCACGGTTGTCGGAAATTCGACCAGGATTGGCCCAAGAGCGCCCATATCGCGTTGAGTGCAGTACGACACGATGCGACAGATATCACGCGCATGAGGTTCTGGATCGAAGAGGGTGGACAGAGATTTATTCGCCGTCTTGTCAACGACAAGCGATTCCTGTGCGGTGGTGAGGAGACGAATGATTTCGAGAGCAGCCTCGGCAAGAGTGAGCGAGCAGGTGCAGTAGAACAGGCGAGCATGGGCGAAAAGGTGATTGGCGAACCAAAGATCGGTATCAAAAGGGTAAAGGTGAGGGTCGAAGGCGCCATGTTTGACGGCGACTGGAACTGCGGATGGTTTGGTGCCATCTCGCCATTTGTTCAACTGGGTTTGCAGGGCTGCACACTCCTTCAGCAGGTGCAACAACCTGGAAGTGTTTGTGGTTGGAGAGTCCTGAAGGAGATCGAGAGTTTCGAGATGACCTGGGATGTGAACGGCGGCATCAACCAATCTGTCAAAGTAGGTCCTGAGTTGCTTTTCCCATGGGACCGTCAACCAGGATTGTTGAGCGAGATAAGTGGCCTGCCTCGACAGGATGGCGGCATACAGAGTGGGGACTCTGGATGCGAGAAAAGAATGATGTGCGTCCCATTCGCGATGAAGAGCAGGACCGCGAAGCTGGATGAGCCTTGCGGCTCCCTGGGCATGGGCCAACCATCTTGGGGAAGTGGGCGATGGCTCTTGCAGCATTTCATAGAGACCGAGAAGCATGCAGGCCATCAGAGTTTGATCAGAGCGCATCTTGGCCGGGTCGTAGAGGGCGAGCTGCAGCTCCTTAAGGGCTTTGCCATAGAGACGAGTACTCTCATTGATGAGACGGGTATCGTTATTGCCTCTAGCGGCGCCCGAGATAGACAGGGCTGAAAAGGCGTCGGAGAGGGAGGTGTCCTCGTGTGGGAGGGAGCGGACCAGTTCAGCCCAATTCATGGGGTGTCCATACTGCAGAATAAATTGGTCGCGACACATACAGTCGCCGCGAGGCATGTAATATTGCCAGAAAAGCCCACGACATTGAGAATCGAGGGCGTTGCGGTTCAATGACTGTAGGAGGGATAGGGGATTTGGAGCAACATAGGGCAAGAAGACGGCACGGCGGACGGCATTTGTGGCGGGATGGATGACAAAGGAGCGATCACGATTATAGCCTCCACAGTGATACCCGCTGAATTCGCACTGGCCGCAGATGGGACGTCTCTGGTCGCACTGGATGCGGGTCAGAGGAAAAATGCAGAAAAGGAGAGGAGGAGGAGGAGGAGAAGGAGGAGGAGAAGAAGAAGAAGACGACTACTTACACCCTTTTTACGGCGACGACAAGTATTGCAGCCCTTGCTCTTTCCAGGGACGCCTACCATGGCAGATCATGTTCACACAAGGAATGGCTGTATGCCAGGGATGAAGGCGAGACGACGAGGGGGAGAATGGAAAGAAAAGGAAGAGATGGTGACTTCTGCTTGAACTACTTAGTAATTAGTTTGGTGAGGTCTCGTCTCGACGTTGATCGTCTGGGGTGACTTTAATAAAAGGGAAAAGTGATCCATCCATGTTCCAGGCCCTGATGGTCGCAGGATGCTCTGGGCGGCACAGGCCGAGCAGCCAAGGCATGTTCCGACGGGGGGCTTCGAGGGTGCCGTAGTGCGGCTGGCAGCCGTATTCCACAACTGTAATCTTGGTCAAGGTTCAACTTGGTTCACCAGAACATAGAAGAAGGGCCGAGGGGGCCCAGAGAAGGTCTGCAGTGGGAATGAACAGTGGAGAATCGATCTGCAGCGATCTGAAGAAAAAAGGATGTGCGAAGAATTGATGAATGATAATGTGGTTCACGTGATTATAGTACGTAGGGTGTCCTGTGAGGAAGCCACGACCGTAGTCCACTCAGTACGCATTTACAATGCCCCTGCCACATGCCCCCGAAGAAATATCACCCACTCAGCGACGAGATGGAGGAGATTATGGAACTCGTAGATGGGTGAATGAGGGCTTCAGGTCTGTGAGAACAAGAGCCGATAGCCGCCATTGTTCAAGCCTTGCCTCCAACAAGTAGCCCGAGGGGTCTCAAGTATACGTAAAGGCCGTTGGACCTTGGTTCCAGCCTTGATTAAGTAGTGCGACCACTTAGCGAGGGAAGACTTCTTCTATGCATTCGAAGTTTCTAGGCCCGGCAATACCGACAGGGATGCTGTAATGACAAGTAGTGATAGCATCCAATGCGAAGACCTGCTACTAGAAATATAATGGCCGGATGGGTGTCGACTGACAGGAGGTGGACACGTGGGGTGTGATGAGGGAGACTAATAACCTTGAGATACCTTAAGTTAGGTAGCTAGGTACGGAGTACTGCTTCTGACGTGCAGCCTGTGACTGTCTAACCAGGCGGGGGGCGCCGTCACCAACGCCCGAGGGCCTAACAATCATTCCAAACTTGTAATTATAGCTGGAGCAGTGGCAGACCGCGGAGTAAGTAAGTACTTGGCAGTAAAAGTATCCGTGATCGAAATAATGATGGGCAGTAGCGCTCAGCCAGACGGTAAGATAGTCCCTCCTACCTGTCAACTCCACCGCCCAGCCAGGCCCCAGTAGCCCCAGTAGCCCCAGTAGCCCCTCAGCCACCGCACCTTCTCTCCGGATTCTGGACTCTTGTCGACCACCATGGTACAATAATGAGCCAAGTACGCTTACAATCACATGGTATGGTGTAGTAGACATGACCAAGTAGTATGTTCTCATTTACTGCTTACTGTAATTTTCACATCTCATGATAGTCATAGAGTCGGTGAGCTGTTCCTGCAGAATAGGATCAAGATGCAAACGAAGAAGTGGTCATGGCCCGTGTCAAGTGCACCTTCCCGCTCTGTGAATGGTGGGGATTCAGTGATGCAAGGCAAGCACGACCCCCGCCAATTTCGTCAATGCACCACCTGCATGTAAACAAATCAATCTTTCCTCACCGTCGACTCGACATCTTTTTCAAGACAACAACCTCGTCTTTCTTCTCAACTTCTTCCTTTTCTTCTTCATCCTTTACCCGTACATAGGTACCCTTTCTTTCTTTCCTTTCTTCTTCGTCGTATTCCTGTAATCAATTCAGAGTCAACACACCCATGTCACATGTGATGTTCTGACGAATAATGTTAATGCCCACGCCACATCCACACTATCATCCCCCTCCATCCTCTACCTCCTAGACGCGCAGATTTGCCTCCGCCCGCCTTTGACATGGATCGTCAGGATCTCGCACGCCTGCTCTTTCCACCAAATCCCAGCTTGTCCGCCATATCCTCATCCTCAGCGAGACCCCGGCAGTCCTCAGGCAGTTCCCATGGCTCCCGCTCACGCGCTCCATCCACCTCCCAACCGCCCTCACCACTCTCCTCTAGGCAAAAGTTCCAGTCCCATGTCAGAAATCTGAGTGATGACAGCCAAACTTCAATGTTGCCCCCTCCTCCATCACTCTCCTCTGCTACAGATCGTCACTCTCAATCCTCTTCCCCTTCCTACACTTCACGCCCACTCCCGATTCCTAAGAGGAACGATATCACCGTACCCACATTCATCACCGAGGAGCGCGAAGCATGGAGTCGGGCATCCCCCTTTGCTAGGCGCACGAGGTCACTACGCGCTTCCGATGACGTCTTCCTCCTTGAACCTCCCTCTCAAGAGTCGCCGAGTATTCAACCCAGTAAACATCTGAGAGAATTGAGGCAATTTATCCCGCTTTCCAATTCTCCCGACTTCAATGATAGACCGAGGACCAGCCGCGGAGACGACCCAGGGTTCGGCTCTTTTGCGTCTCACAATGATCCATCCTTGCTACTTGATCTCAAGTCTCAGACTTCGAGGTTCGCTGAGGGAAGTATGAATAATCGCTCTGCCGGTGTTGCCTCGACCTGGCTTCAGAATAGCACCGCCTTTACCTCCTCGGAAGAAGACACCGACCACGAATTCACCCCAAAACAGTCTCCCCAGCGCTCCTCCCTCGATATCAACGAGTTCAAACCCGACCCGGTCACCCCAGCCACCTTGAAACAGAGGCTCGCCAGATTTGGCTCTGCTTTCAAGCCTCACCACAACCAATCATTTACGAGTGCCGCCTCTGGGCCCGCACCAGAAGAGCACAAGAAGAGAAGAGGCCTCCGCAAGAGTCTCTCCATGTGGAGTCTTTCCACCAAAGGGGGCAAGGTCAAGTCTGTACATGATTCAGCTACCAAGAAGGATTCATCTGCCATTCTAGATCTACATGTCCTCGATGAGCGCAAGAGAAGGGCTGAAGAGGCCTACGCCCAACAATTCTCCTCCAAGAGGAGAAAGTCTCCATCTGGGCTCCCCGAAGCCGTCTCTGATCAAGAGTATCTTGACATTCCTAATATCCCAGCGTCCACCAGACACCGATCCTCTTCGTCGAGACGGGCAAGACGTGTCAGCGTATCTTCGTCCTCCATAGCGTCTGCCGACCATGATCAGTCGGAATCTCAGAGTGATCTTGATCTTCGAAAACGTCCATCAAGACGAGAGCTGGAAAAGGAAAACCAGCAACTCCGCGCTCTGCTCAGAGAACAAGCGTCAAAGCCTCGGGAGCTTCCAAAGCCGCCCGTTTCCCAGCCCCAGCCCCAGCCCGTTGACAGCACCCCGCTTGAAACATGTTCAGGCTCGGTCTGTAACACGGCGCGTGATATTACCAACTCGAAAAAGACTCCCAAGAAGAAGACTTCCCACGTCAGCAGCAAAGATCCCCCGCCGGTTCCCCCAGTGCCCGAAAGAGTGGCCTTGAAGCCATTGACCAATGCGAGAAACCAGACTCGCCAGCTCAGCACCAGCACTTCTACCAGTAACCTTAATGCCAACGCCAGCTCCACCACCGCGAATGATCCCAGCGTTAATATCGTCAAGAGATATGCTCCCAGCGTGGGTCAGTCCCGACCGGTCTCTACCATCTTGGAGGAAGATGAGAGCAACTCGGAAAACAGAACTCCTCTCAAATTAATGACTAGTGATGACTTTTCAAAGATGAAGCAATTGACCCCTACTCCAATCCGGCTGTCTGGTGTGCGAAGAGAGTCTTGGGAGTGGCCAGACGACGTCTTCTAGGCTGATCCAGTACATTGGAAGTATGCGCACCAGAGCGGCCAACCTGACCAGCTTGTGCATTGACAGATTCCTCCTTTGTGAGCGAGTCGTGTCGGAATAAGAGATTGGAGCCTCAGGAATGTCATGAAGAATGATCAGCCTGAATTGTTGCTTGCTGTGTTTGTTCTTTGGTGCTTGGAAATCATTGATGTGGTCTCAGTCGGCTCCGCCACTCGGACTTCTCTTTTCACCGTCTCAAGAAGACGGCCCTGTTTGGGCTTCTTGTTTTGGCTTTTAATGGCACGAGTCTTCTGGTGTTTGATTCAAGATTTGGACATGGGGACTCTTCCGACTTGCCACGGGCCTTAGACACATCATACCATGTTACACCATGCATGCCCTTGCACAGCGTAAAAACCTGCTGCCCGTATACAGAGCGAAATGATTGCCGAGAGAAGTCCAGCGTACATTGCTAGCAATGATAAGAAAGATTACTGAAAGTTTGTCCATGTTTTGTATCCTTTATCCCGTAGTCGTCATCTTGATGCAAAGGCAGTACAGGACCTTCATGTCACGCGTCCGGGTCAGTGTCGTCCTCGTCCTCGTCCTCGTCTGATATCTGGGTTAATCTAGACCACAGAGCCTGGCCAGCCTGATCACAGACAGGACTCCACCAAAGAAAGCCTCGGAGACCCTCCTTCACCCTCTTGAATCTGACATTTTCCGCCTTCTCTATTGCCATACCATAGTGCATGTTCACAAACCACCGAAGCTTGTCCTCGAACCATCCCTGATGCTCTGTACGGAATGCCGCGAAACATCCAAACCATAATATCCACACGTGTACCTTGGGATAGTTTGGTATAGAGTGCTTGATGTTGTCATACATCCCGCTCTTCTCTGCCACCATGCGTAGCCTCTGCGCTAGCTGTAATTTAATCCCTGTGATCCAAGGCTGAGGGAACAAAACCAAATCGCTATAAATAGACGCGGCCAGGCGGATCATTTCGGTTAGGGCCATCACGGCAGGCGGCATGTCCAGTGAATCCTCGTCCAACATGAACATATACTCACTATACTGTGCTGTCGGATATCCGAGGAGACCATGCTGTATTTCGTTGCGACGCATTATCAAGACTCCGCTCAACTCCGTTCGACTCGAGTCCTCATGAAATCGGTCAAGAATCCCTGTCACTTGCGACATTTGCACCAGTAAGCGATATATCGTGAGATTGATTTTCTTAATCGATAAGAGCTCATGCCCACCAATGCGTCGAGTGCCGGTATAGCTGTCCAATACTGACTCTTCTCTTTTTTCTGCCAGCTTCGATTTCGTTCGGATCAACGGGAAACGACAAGGATTCTGAGTGCGAGTCGAGATGACAATATCAACTCTAGATAGACGGCGGTTAGATAGTTCTTCAACGATGGGTTTCTGCTCTGAACCTACACTTCAAGTACATCTGCCAAGGCGTGCAGCTGAATCTTGTCAATTCCTCCTCGAGCCCTGACAAAATTGTACAGCGCGGTTACATGTGGCAGGGTTGCTTCGAATCTTGAAAAGGCGTACACGTGTTGCAACAACCCCATTGGTGAAGATGGATATGGTTCATCGCATGGCATAGGACCTCCACTCTGGAATGCAAGAAATGCGATTGCGTGAACGTGAGCATCAGTTGGTTCGAACTTTGGATTTTCGAGCTCTTTTCGCAGCGTCTCCAGTGCCAGTTGTCGCTGCTCCATTTGTAACCGATACAACAAGGGCTCAACTGGCAGGCTTTGGCCACCAATCATCAGTAAGACCCAACCGACACTCGCCACGACTTCGGCGTGGAATAGAATGGGGACTTGAACCGCAGATCCTTTCCACGAGGTTATTAATGAGCTGGCCTTCGTGGGTCGGAGTGGTGCAAATAGAGAGGCGAAGCCCGTCTCAATAGCTTGTTAAGTCAGCTTGTATCATCCCCATTCCCGCTGCTAGGAATCTGGGGCGTTGTTTTGACTGACCATATTCTAGTGCTGAGTGACACATGGGAGATGCATCGTGGCCAACGGAGCTGTTGAATGGGTCTCGTCGCCCGTAGAATGCCATCATCTTATTTTGATAATGTGCCAGCTTCGCTCTGCAGTAGTTGCAGCTTTGTCTGCCATTGCATTGGCATTGATGCTGCCCTCGAGCATGCGGCCCCCCAGATTCGGTTGATTTCAACGCGCTTCGGCGCTGAAACCCAACTCTGGCGGCATGAGATTTGGCTTTTAGCGAATCAAATTTCTCATTACTCGCAGGCCCGTCGGTCTTGAAATTCACTATTACAATTGGTGGCGGTGGTGGGTTGACCATAGTTCATGTTCGCATACCTCAGAAATAGTTGAATGGCCTTGAATTGAGTGGTGTAACGTCGCTTATATAATACCAGGATCGTGTATAGGTAAGGTAGATCTGGTGTAGCAAAATGCCCAATGTACTTCTGATGTATATACTGGGTCCAAAGACACGCTCTCTCTACACTCTTTATAGAAGATGAATATGTCAACCATTGCATACTTGGCGTGGACCTCTCCGACACCAACAAGAGGTCGTTATCTCAACAGCCTGTTTTAGCTCCTATCGCTCACCAAGATACGGTACATCAGGCCCGCAGCGGGAAAGCTGATGAGAATCAGAGGATCGACGATGTTTCGGTATAGTATCGAAAATGACAGAACAAGTGCAACATGGTCGTGGATATGACTCCACCGCTACTCGTCTCTAACCTATGGCCGAATTGGTAGGCTTACTAGGTAGCTTTATGAACTTTGTTTCGAAGCCCAAGGAGACACTAGTACGAGTTTGGAACCTACTTTCCCATGGTTTGATTGGGATTGCAACTCAACTGCTCCGTACGCTTGTAGGAAACCAGGTCGCGTCTATGTAAGGTGGACACCCCATTTTTACGAGCATTGTGCAGTTTCGCATGCATTGTGGAACTTCCGTGCATTTTCCTTTTCCGATCTCAAGGGCACGACTTTTCCATGATAGCTTAACTGTATTGCAAGACAGACTCCTCTCATTGGCCTGGCTATAATATGATTGTGGATTCTCCAAAGTTGTTTGTAAGTCCATCCACGTAGAGAAGTCCCCCCCATATTCCTAGATAGTCTACTAAGAAGGAAATACTAAAGAATAAGCCTTTGCCACGAAGCCTTGCTACGTGATCATTTGAGCGGTAATGTACACACCGTGTGCTGACACGATGGACATGCATACAATATGCGCTCAGTGGAGCTATCAACCTTACATAAAAACTTACCTAAGAAATGCTGACACATCAGAGCGCATATCCCTACGGAGTAAGTACCTTCCCGCGACTGCGATAGGCAGATGCACAAAAATCCCAGGAACTAGTGAAAGGAAGGTACGAATACGATACGCACCTCGGTAGAAAGGTAAGTCGCCACTTCCCGAAAAACATATTTAGTAAAGCAGCTCCTCGTCACGTGTGACAACATCCAGATTTGGATCAGGGGAACAAGCATGTATGTTGGCGTGACCCCAGATAAACAACGCTGCGACGTGATTCCGGCATTGAGGGGATGGTGCTTACATCTCGACCGAAAGTAATCTTTTTGAAAGCAGCATGCGCAGATATAAAAATGTCCGGGCCAAGTCAGATCGACACTCGGTGCGGGGAGATGACCGACGCCAACCTCAATATCAATTTACATCTATCATCTATTGTTCCAAATCGAAATCATCACCCATCTACGTATTATTATTATAGACAAAAGGACTATAATCTCCCCACCAAGGTAGAGCAAATTGTCAAGAAAAGCTAGTTAATGGCACCTGCATTCAAGGTTGCTGCGTGCCATGTGGCGCCAGTCTATCTCAACGCAGCTGAGACTACCAAGAGATGCATCTCCTTGATCAATGAAGCTGCCGACAATGGCGCCCATTTGGTAGTCTTTCCTGAAACGTACATTCCCGCCTTTCCGTTTTGGAGCTCTGTTCTCAGCCCTGCTGACAGTCATGGGTTCTTCATTAAGATGGCCAAGGAATCTGTCTATGCCGATGGTGACGAGCTCACCGCCGTCTCGACTGTCGCGAAGGAAAGGAATGTCTATGTTAGCCTCGGCGTCTCAGAGAAAGTGAGGTACAGCAGCGCCACCTTGTTCAATTCAAACTTCATCTTCGGTCCGGCAGGCGATGTGCTGGTGCACCATCGAAAACTCCAGGCCACTTTCTTCGAGCGACTGACCTGGTCCATGGGTGATGGCAACGGGCTAAAAGTTATCGAGTGTGCTCCTTCTGGGGCAGAAGGGCCACGAGCCAAAATCGGTGCCCTGGTCTGTGGCGAAAACACGAACCCTCTTGCCCGCTATACCTTGATCGCACAAGGCGAACAATTCCATATCTCGACCTGGCCAGCCAAGTGGCCTACAAAACCCATCACCAGCCCTGACTCGGCCGAGTCAACAAACGGCACGTACAAAGACCCGACCCAAGGCGAGTTCGACAACGTTGTCCTCAATCGCACACGGTGTGCTTCCCAATGTGTCGAGGGCAAGTGTTTCGGCGTACTCTGCGCCGGCTTCATGTCCACAGAGATGATCGATACATTACTCTCGATGACTCCGGCCTCGGGGAAAGAGGTCATGAAGTTGACGATGGAGAACAGTGCGCAGGCTGAGACTCTATTCCTCGGACCATCAGGTGCTCCTATCCCAGCGTACACAATCGACAGTAAGACTGGTGAGAGGGATGAAGTTGGGGTATTGCGACACCAACAAGGCATTTTGTACGCTGACATGGACATGGATGCCACAATAGAAGGAAAACAGTTCCATGACGTGGTGGGAGGGTATCAACGCTTTGATGTTTTCGACCTCAAAGTCAATACTGCAAGAAGGCAGCCTGTCAACTTTGTCAGCGCCGACGGTGGGTAGATGCTCAGATACTCAAAGTGCTCGTCTCATCTGCAAGACCATCCGTCAGATGTCGACTGTGGCTGTCACAATCACAATCACAATCACAATCACGAGTACACTACAGTATGGATTGGACTTTCTTGGATCATGGCCACGATCTTGTAAAATCTTTGGAAAGAATATCTCATTCATGAGACTGGCCGGGCCACCTAAGATACATATATGCGCAATGCAAGTGCCAAGTAAGAGGGAGACGCGTGTATGTTTATTTACACACAGCCGTTCGACCGACCAATGCATCGCATGGTTCGTCTGGCACATCTGACCCAATTGCTGCTGCCGTTCCCCAAACGCCCTGCTGAATGTTCATGACTCCAAAAGATGCACGGCGCTGTCCCGCCTTGTCCCAACCTGTCGCTAAATGCACTCCTGGCTGCTGTCATCATGGTGACATGTTTGGTTCTGATCATTAGCTCATTTTCGTGATTCTATCCAGCCACGTCTTTTGTCGCTGCATCGCATCGCCACCCCCCGGTACGCTTGGATTCGTGCTGATCTGATGTCAAGATCAGTGCTCCAATGCATCGAGGCGTTAGACATGCCTCGTCCTTATGCCATGTAGACATATGACGGCTTGGCCAAGTCTGCGCCCCGTTCCAAGTACTCCCGGTCGATCAGAGACTCGATCCTCTTCTTGATCATATTGACGTCCGGTTGAAACCGTCCCGACACTTGCTCGAGGGTCTGGTTCATAAGTTCTCCGTGCGTCAGGTTTTTGCGAGACTTCATGATCCGTACGATGGCCGCTTCTATAACGAGTGCTCGGCCATTGTCGATGCGCTCCTGCGTCGCCCGTCGCTCTTCAGAGTTCTCCACCCGGCTTCCTCCGGCCACCACGCTGACTTTGATCTTGAGGAACTGACTGGAAAAGGCCTCGTTGAAAAAGAAACAATCTGTCGGCTTGATGTCCTTGCTCATTGGCTCCTTTTTCAACACCCGCCATTTGGCCACTAGCGACAATGACTGGAGGTTGCGGATCAGGTCCGGGGTCTCAATGTTGGTCTCAGCCTGAATCTGCTCAAACGACAAGCTTGCTTTGGGTGCAAGGTCATTGAACAGCATCAGCACCATCATGCCGTACGTTGACACATTGATCTCGTATCGTCGAGTTTTGCCGCCAGTCGTGAAGACGGCTCGCATATCAGCGTCCCCCAGGCTTGGCATCCATGTGAGCTTCCGCCCGTTGTGCCTACTAAGGTAGAATTGTTGGAAACTCTTTCTGACTGATTCGATTTCTGCTGGATAGATGTATGACCGATTCGTGCCTTCATCGTTGTCTTTCTTGAACAATGTCTCAAACGGCCATACCGTCGTAGTCAACACACGACAGTCTAAGTCGATGCGCTTGGGGTCGACCTCGCCTTGTCGAGTCACTTGTTCTTTGTAGAGAGCATTCAGGTTGTCCGAGAGTTCCGTGTCTCGAATGAGCCCCTCCAATTTCTGCGTGAATTGATTTCCGATCTTGACCTTCATTTTGGAGAGCACCTGCCTTTCCATGTCTCGGCTAACGGACTTCTTCATCAAGAGACGCTTGGCCATATGCTTCTTGTAGTACGTTTCGAATTTGTCCTTGTTCGCGAGATACTGGAGCAACAGAATGCCGTCGTCAAGAAGAGCGTCAATCTCGGCCTCGGTCTTATCCTTGCCTCCTCGTTTGAGGTACTCGTCGAGAAAAAGAGAAAGGTGCTCCGGACTCTGCTCGTTGTCATTGATAAAGTCCTGAAAAGAGACTTCTAGAGCCTGGCTGAGAGTGGCATCCTTTTTGAACGCCTCTATCAGGAGTCTGTCGTACTTCTTTTTCAGATCCAAGATCTGCTCGACCCATGTAATGGCAGCCTGTGTCTGTTGATTCAGGCTCTTTTCGCCGGGCGCCTTGCTGTCGCCAGCCGTCTTGGCTGAAGTTTTGGTCGGTGCCGAGGGCTGGACGGGAACGCTGGCAGCCTTGTTAATCTCTTCGCCCAATTCGACGACACGTTTCTGTACAGCCGTTTTCAAGGCAAGTTTCTGAGGGTCAACGCGGGCAATTAGGTCATAGACGTTGGCGAGGTCTTTAACTTTGTCATTGTCCAGCATGTTCTTGACTCCCGTGCCCTCCATGTTGATGACGTCGGCAATGTGTGCAAGGATAAGGTGTTCGTCCACCACTCGTTTGATCCGCGGTTCTGTGATGGGAGATATGGTCTGCTGGCATCTTTCCTCCTCTTCCTTCAGTCTTTGTTGAGCATGAGAACAGAAAGAGCTGGCATCTGCCTCAGCAACTAGAGACTGGCCTTCTAGGCGATAAAATTCAATGCTTGCTTTGAGGAATTTTGGCTCGAATGATCGAAGATAGAGTTTGCTTGATTCTTCTTCCGTGAAAGTCGAGTATAGTCCCTCCAACATGAAACAGCATGAACGAACAAGGGTGCGGTCAATGACTTCGCCTTTCCGTTCCATCTCAATCATGTCGAGCAGGACCGTCTCCAACAAGGACAGAACATCATGGTCATTTGACAAGGGATGCTTGAGAACTTGTGTGAGGAATAGAGTCATAGCCATTGCGTAGATGGAGGGTCTGCGTTGATCTTGACTATAGACGCGATCCTTGGCCTGTGAGCATGGCATCACGTCGGATAGGAACAGGGAAGAAAACATACCATGTACATGAGGACGTCTGTGATCATGCCCATGCAGAGCTGATGATCAGCAAAGGCATCTTTTAGCGTCCTGATAAAACGCTCTCCCGCAATCCTTCGTTCATTTGACTGGACTCCGCTGGCCTGTTCGGAGGAATCGTATGACAAGGCTGGGGTGACGAATGTAGAGATGCGCGAGGAGACGGTATCCTTCAGCCATGTCTTTTCCAAGTCAACTACGCGGTCATAGAGGACATCTTGTTTTTTCTTAAGGACCAACTTGTAGGCATTTCGGAAGAGCTCCTCGAAAGATAATCTTGAACTGTTTTTGCTGTGGATTTCGGTGAAGGCCGTGGAAAGGGTGCCCCATGTCTGGTCGAAGTCGACCTCTTCTTTTGTGAGCCCCTAGGTGAGAACGTGTTAGTCTTTGAATTTTCAAACGGATCATCAATCATATTCATGTTTTCGTCCAGTCAAGATGGCAATAACCTTCCCGGGGCTTCAAAGGCATATCGGCTGCATTGCGCCATGGTGGGGAAGAGGGGTGTTGACGGCTCAACTTACTCGTCTTGGGGCTCTGATCTTCGCTCCTCTCCCCTTCGCCAACATGGTGGCTGCGGAATATTGCTGTCACCAGCTACTCCAGTTGAGAATTTATATGTCTAAAAGGTCGGTAGTGGAAGAGTCGGTCGAAAGAAAGAGAGGACAAGAAGTTCGAGCGGGGAGATCCAATGGGCTTGATTTTCTCCGCTGGTGGATGTCAAAAAGAATATGTTTGTGATGCACGGTAGATTAGCGTAGGACATCACCAGAAGGAACTGTGAGTCAGTGGCATTCTGTCTCGGCTAGATTGAGCCAGGCGTAACTGATGTTGAATGTCTCGCTGGCCGTCGTGAAGTGCTGTGCTGCCTTTGACCATGTCGGCGCCTGTGATTTGATGATCGGCAAACTTGCCTCCAGATATTCGCTGCCAAGACCTGCGTCATTGTATCGCCGACTCCGAACGAAACCGAGGATTAGCCGGTGGAATTTCTCGAGGAAGGAACCAATGCCATTGGCATCGATGGCAACACTTCGATTTGTACAATTCTTCACACATCACAATCTCACCATCGTTGATACCTTACTTGCTGTGATTTCAATTCCAGGTTCGAGATACGACCATAAGGATTATCACCTTCTCCAGAAGGATGCATCATCTATCACTTCTGCCGCGAAGGCTAACCACCTTGACTGCAACCCAATCTGCCTTCCGCTCACAGTCTCGTCTGAATTCTCAACTAGCCAGACCGCCATTTTTCTCAAGAACCGTTCCATCCGCAAGAAGACCCTTTCTGCATCAGCGGAGATATGAGTCCGCACTTACGAAGCAGGGCGAAGAACCCCGGCGACCCAGTGGACGAGATGAGCCTTCCTATGACCTAACATTCACATGCAAGCCATGTTTATATCGATCAACCCACCGAATCACCAAACAAGGCTACCATCATGGAACAGTCCTGATTACATGCCCTTCGTGCAGCAATCGTCATGTCATTTCGGATCATTTGCGCATCTTTCTCGACTCACAGTCGAGTCTGGAAGATATTCTGAAGCGGAAGCTGGCTGAGGGTGAAGATTTGACCAAGCTGTTGAAGAAGGGAAAACTAGGAATGCGTCAGAACTCGATGATTGGCAATGAAGGGGAGGAAGACATTGAGTTCTGGGAAGATGGGACAGAGACATATCGGCGGACGTCGCCAACAGATCCCAAGTCGCCAGGGGAGCAAAGTTGAAATATGGATGACAGGCTATGCTCTGCCTCATGGCGTTATCCTACACACTGAAAACGCGACTGGAGAAAGAACATACTAATTCTGGCATTTTGAAGACTTGGGAACAGCTCATCTGGGTGAAAGCATTCGTCTGTTGAAGAACGAATTGCGGCCCACGCACTCGCTGCCACCTCATTGGACCCGAGCTGGGCACCACCATCCCTAGCCATGTATGATATATGTATTATATTTGGAGATGACTAAAATCTCCCAGAAGCGACGCTTGATGCATATTGAATCTTCTGTACTCTCTGATTTTATGTCGATAATGACAAGGACCCTACTTTGAATATTCTGTATCCTTTTCGAAGCGTACAAAGTCCTAGTCCATGGTGTATCTAAACTTGGTGTATCAACCGCCAATGAGAACACCATTGCCATGCAGTATGTAATTGCACCCCAAACACCAGAAATTTTAGACTGTCCTCAGGCACCATTAACCGCCGGTGGCTCGGCAATCAGATAGGCTCTGGCCTCCCACGGAGTTAGGTATTTCTGCGGATGATCGACGGTGCTAATCAATAGCTGTGATGTCGTGGTTTTTAGTTTGGTAGGCCAGTGCAAAGGCTGAGTGTCGTCCGAGAAGCTGCAAAACACCAGCAAAGTCTGACCAGATGAAGGGTGTTTCTTGGTAAATGTGAAGACATCCTGATCGTGATAATCCCATACCTCAAAATCATGGCCGAAGACCAACAAGTCTTCATGATCTTTACGGAGCTGGATCATCTTCTTCCAAAAGTTGAGCACCGACGAGGGATTCTTCAACTGGTCTGCAACATTGGTCTTTGCATAGTCGTCATGGACTCGGATCCAAGGCTCGCCGCCGGTGAAGCCGGCGTGCTTGGTCGAGTCCCATTGGACAGGCAGACGAGCATTGTCACGACCGACGGCTTGAAGGCCCTTCATAGCCTTTTTAAGCCATAGCTCATCGCCTTCGTGCCGGTCCTTGACATCATGGTATGCATTGAGGGAGTCGATGTCACGGAGGTCTTCGATGCCCCAGTGTTCAGGATGGTTGAACATGCCAATTTCCTGTCCCTGGTAGATGAAGAGTGTGCCAGTCAGGGAGCAAAGCAGAACCGCCAACATCTTGGCCGCTTGTTCACGGAACTCGTCCTTGTCGGTAGCAAAGCGCGACAAGCTGCGGCCCTGGTCGTGATTCTCGAGGAAGACGGTGATCCAGGCGTCTGTTCCTCGCAGGAGATCTTGACATTTGCGGATCGCTTCCTTAAATTCGGGCAAGGCATGACGATAGACGTGGTGTTTCTTTGATCCTGTCCCCAGCATGACCACGTCAAAATCAAAAACACAGCTATACTCGCGAGCTTCGGCCGAGACATATTTCAAGACTTCTGCAGCGTCCGTGCCGGGAAGCTCGCCGACCATGAAGACGTCGCCATACTTGTCGAGGACCGCTTCGCGCTGCTCTTGCAACCACTCATGCATCCGTGGGCCATTAACGTAGTATTCCGTGGCCGGCTGATAAGCCTCGCCGTGGAGGGTTTCAGGAGCGTCTGGAAAGGATGTGACTTTTGAATAAAGGTTTGCCGTGTCGACGCGGAAGCCGTCGATACCCTTTTCGAGCCAAAATTCAATTGCAGATTTGTAGATGGCCCGGCGAGTCTCAGCGTTCTCCCAGTTCAGATCGGGCTGCTCGGGTACGAAAAGATGTAAATAGTATTGGTCGCGTTCAGGGGCATACTCCCAGGCTGACCCACCAAAGATCGAACGCCAGTTGTTTGGAGGCTGTCGCTGTCCGTCGACGATCTTGGGATCTTTCCACATGTACCAATCAGCATACTTGTTGGTCTTGTCCTTGCGTGACTGAAGGAACCAGTCATGCTGGTCTGAAGTGTGGTTAATGACGAGGTCTAAGATCAATTTCATTCCCAGGTCGTGGGTTTTCTTGATCAATTCGTCCATGTCGTCCATGGTGCCATAAGGGGGATAGATGGCTTCGTAGTTGGAGATGTCGTAACCCATATCTTTCTGCGGCGAGTCGTACATGGGTGAAAGCCATATTGTGCCAATACCCAAGTCCTTGAGATACGGCAATGTGCTGATAATTCCCGGAATGTCACCAATTCCATCATTGTTGCTGTCCTTGTAAGATGCGGGCCAGATCTGGTAGCATGTGCTAGCCTTCCACCAATTGGGCTTTGATCCCGTCATGGCGCAGAGAATCTATAAGTGAGCAAATGTGGCAGGCCAGATATCTTGATGCGAGAACTATCACAGCAATACGTCGCCAGAGGAACTTCTTTTCAAGTAAATTGGTTAACTCTCGATATGAAATAATCAAATTCGTTACGGTCTTTGGATGAAATATTCGGAGAGCCGCAACAATCGAGGGGTTGGAAAGGAGCGGACCGCATTCCCAGAAAGGTACCAAAACCACCTTGATTCCCCGTGCGAGATGTGTTTGCTTAACGATCAATTTGGTTTCGATGTTTTGTTCGGAGAAATTCAAGCGATCAGCCAGTTAGAAGCATCTGAAGATCCAGCGCTGAAACGTACAAAGGGCCACGCCTGCGGCAACACTTTCACGACTGTTCCTCGGGTTGGCACCAAAGAAATCTTGGTATTTCTCGACAGATGCCATGACTTGACTCTGGCATTTACCTACCCAGACAGGAACACGATCACCCCCCAAGCATTCATGAACCATGCCTCAAGGAGATAGATCGTGGGGTTTCTACGCCCGCTCAGCATCCATGACGTATGGCGGCTCTCATAGAGTTCGACACAAGCACGGCACTGCCTGGGCGAATTAGAGCGAACATTTCTCCGTGCAGCTGGTTGGCGCAGTCCCATGAAGATAGCTGGAGTTGCAGGCGCCAACCAGATACAATTTTCTTGTACAGCGAGCTTTGACAACCAGTGTAATTATTTGTTGATGAACATCTTAGATGTTGGGCATTTGGTCTAACGTTAAGCGAGTGTGGTCAAATTGATGACCTGCCTGTTGATACATGCACCATTTGGAGGTTCTTTCGTATCCAAGCAGCCTATGTATAAACCGGGTGTTGGATGTGCCGTGAATTCTCGGCATCGGCGTCCCACGGGTCTTTTCCGCTGTAGTTCAGACTTGTTAGCCCTCTTCCAATTTGATGCCAGAGGTGGGTATCATCTGTACGCTTCAGGAAAACAGGCTTCGACTTGTTCATGTATAAAGACAGATTTTTTCCTCGTGCGACCTTCAGTAGTATTCAAGCCTCGTTTTACTTGAGTAGTCTTGTAGTCTTGAATACGACGCATCTGTTTATCAACTGCTTGTTCTGGATACTAGTTTGACACATTCTCTCGAAGTAACTTCTCCAGATACTCCTGTCTAACTACTGCGCCGAATCTGTTTCATTCAAATAAAAGAAAAAAGTACGTCAGCTTGAAAAGTCCCCATAAGGATGTGAAATTCGTTTAAAATCAAGAAAAAGACAGAGGGGGAAAAGAGGGCGGGAGGGGATTTATAACCAACCCATAGCATTTGACATGGCTCAGTAATTTGTCGGACAACTCGTTCAGCCAGTTTAGATGCAGATGCACCAGACCGTCGAAACTGAAATGCTGACTCAACTGATCCCACACTTGCACTGGCGTCAATTCTCCAGATTGGACTGGAAGTTGTGTTGAGATGTCAAGGAGAGATTGCAAGGTCGATTTGGGTGCGGTCCATGATGATGTATGAGAGTCGCCTATGCTACTGCTGATGGTGGGTTCAGACGGGGCGCAGCATAGCAGTGCCGCTGTCGCGGTGTGGATGTGGCCGTGGGGTGAGTGATCGTCCTTTGGTGGGTTTTGGATGTGAGGGAGGCAGGGGCTTTCGAGTCTGGAAGTACCCTTAGTTTCCTTGTCCGTTGAAGGAATGGTGGATTTGGCTTTCAATTGAGGTTGAGGATGAGGGGGGGGGAGCGTACTTGAGGACAAATTCCATGGCAATGATTACCAGGTCATGGTTTGACGACTGGAGTTGATTGTTTCTCGTGGAAGATGAAATCACTGAGGTGAAATCAAAGCACGCAGACAGCTGTGATCGTTCTCCATCTGGGTGAGCTAGACTACGGTTGAATTGGGAGCCTGAGGTCGCAGACTTTACTACAGGTCTTCCCGGTCCTGCGATGGGATCATACTGCAATTGTGAATTTGCATTGTGGTGATGGTGCTGCTGCTGCTGCTTGACATGCAGTCCGTGAGGCTGGCCGTTGCGGTGTTCAATCCAGATGGTCATGTTGCAAAAGGACTCATTGGAAACATTGCCGTCGTCCTGAAATTGGTCGGACACTCGCCAGTCTTCCTCGGCGCTCGACATGGTATTACCTTGGCCAATTCCATTATATTGGATGACAGGCTGGCTAGCAGTACGCGTCGTCGCTTCTTTCGAAGCAAGTTTCCGTTTTACAACGGCCAACTCATATTGCAACTGATCGATATCATTCTGCATTCTTGCCTCATTGATCCGGAAGCGCTTGACTTGTCCCTCTAGCAATTTGAGATATTGGTCGCGTCTTTCGCGGAAGGTTCTTCAAATCGTTCAGCTTGAACAGTAGCAACTGATTCGATCACGTTTTAACTGACCGCTGGGCTTTCCGCAGCTGTTCGCGGCGGTTTGCAGCACGGTCTGGCCTCACTGTCAATAACCACCTAGCACCTTGTCTTGGAAAGAATGCCTACCTTCTGCCGTGCGAAAGAACGGTCGAAAGATGTCTGCCATCTTCGGCCTCTACCATTTGATGGACGAGACTTCTTTCGTGGAGTATTGGTGCGCACTCGGGGTCGAAGGCTCTTTTCCAGCCATTGGAATGGAATCCTGGGGTCAGAACTTACTACCACATATGAGAGAGAAAGGAACATTCAGCATTGCGTTACTTGATCGCGACAGGGGTATCCAAGGAACTGGTGCTTTCTCAGACCTATTTACAGAATAGGGGGATCCGTAGTAATCAGATGTTAGAAACACAAGGAAGTGAGGAAAACCCTTCTCTGACTAACAACTGTTCTCTCTCAAGGGGTCACGGCGGTTTCGCGCGTGTCTCAGACCCCCGTTTCATCTCCACATTTTCAGATCATTGATGGATAATCAATTCTATCCTGATCCAGCTTAGCTTCGAGGACGAAAATGGAAATTTTGCATTGTGTAATCCTGCGCAAAACGCAAGAAAGGTTGCACAACGACATTGCAATATCTCATAGTTTGCGCCGGCGATTGCTGGCGGTCTGAATGCTCCAATAGATAGACAATGGCCGTGAGGATGTCTTTAGACATCGAAGTCTATATAAACGGCCCTTACTTCGCTGCCACGGCTTACTGGGCGCTCTCGTTCAGGAACAAGAAAAGATACCGGCGATCTCGTATTCCATAGAGCAGGTCTCATACAGTGTTGCGATACATTCCTTAAAAACATCAATTGAGTCTCACCTGTCTGAAAAAATGTTGAGCATTTCCCTGAAGACTCTTTTTCTGGCGACGTCGTTAAGCGTCACGGTTGTGGCTGCTCCCTCGTTCCACCGGACGAAGTCAACTGTCAATGCAATTTATTTCCTCACAAATGATCAGAGTAATGCCGTTGTGGCTTTGCCTGTCGGAGCAGATGGACGACTATCTCAAGGCTCGGTTACGCCCACTGGAGGCGAAGGGGGGAACAGCATCAATGGCGCCACAAACGAACCAGAAGCGCCTGATGCTCTGATTGGACAATCGGCATTGGCTGTTGCTGGCAATGTACGTTGAGCACTCATTCGTTGAAAGCATGGTGTCCTAACTTTGGCCTAGAACCTGTTCGCTGTTAACCCTGGCAGTAATTCCCTGTCAATGTTCGCTATAGATCACCGAGATCCAACTCGCCTCACGGCCGTTGGAACGGCAATTCCTCTTCCGGGAGAATTCCCAAACTCTGTCACCGCATCTGAAAAGAATCAACTGGTCTGTGTGGGAACAACTGGGGCCAAAAACGGGGTATCATGTTCATCGTTTTCGAGAAAGGGCTTGAGTGCGATGGATGGTCTACGCTCGTTTGACCTCAATCAAACCACGCCGCCAGTGGGACCGACAAACAGTCTTTCGCAAGTCTTCTTCTCCCAGGACGAGTCGCGCTTGTTCGCCACAGTGAAAGGAGACCCGACGGTCAACAACCCTGGGTTTTTCTCGGTATTTCGGGTGGAGGACCGTCCTCGTCGATGTGCGTCAACGCTGTCCAACCAAGACACAAGAAGCTCGCCGGCCGGAACGGCAGTGCTTTTCGGTTCCGCCAATATCCCAAGAACGTCGTCGGTGTTTGTGACAGACGCCTCGTTTGGTGGCGCCGTCATCTCTGTCGACCCAGCCAGCAATACAGCTTCGCTCGTCGCGAAGCAGGTGATTGAGGACCAGAAAGCGACTTGCTGGGCGACAGTGTCTGCTGCAACAGGCAGCGCTTTTGTGACCGACGTTGCGGTGAATCGTGTGATTGAAATGAGCCTCACTGACGCGAGCATACTCTCCATCACCGACCTTTCTGGCAATGGAGACCCTGGACTCATTGACCTCAAAGCCGGGGGCAGCTTCATTTACGCCCTGTCCCCTGGAAATGGCACGACGCCGGCTGCGGTGACTGTCTTGGACGTTTCCGGCGGCCAAGGGACTGCGAAGATGATCCAGCACTTTACCCTTGATGGGATGGGAGTTGGGAAGAATGCCCAGGGAATGGCCGTCTTTTGAGGCCTGAGCAGAAGACTCTTCGCTTATTGTGTGATTTTAGTAAAACATTCGCGCCAGTATCACTATGGTTGGCCGAGATTCTAGCTTTCCAGAGATATACAACCAAATTTCGCTGAGGCGTTGGGAAGACACAGAGAAGGGGCCATGAAATATTGAGTCAAATTTTCCTGTACATCAAAGTTCTCCTTGTAGCGAACAGCGAGCCCTAAAAGAGGGCCCATTCTCATCATATGTGGTTCTGGCTTACCTTGTCGGATAAGTATGTTTCTCGCGGGCACCTTTTCATGCTCTAACATTCCATTCACTTCGAATTAATGAGTGGTTGAATCTGCATAGTCGCCCGAGGAGCGGTGGCCTGACGGAGGAACTGACCAGGGGAGCTTTGGCATCGAGGGAAGAACCCTTCCAAAAGCGGCGGCGCTGACCGCTATATTCGGCAAGAAATTGCCCTGCAACCTGCCTTGAATTGTAAATGCGGGGGTAAAATGCCTTGGCATAGAATTGCTGGTTGGCAAGAACCGGGGACAACGGATATGGGATACCTACAGTAATAGTGTAGAGGCGTCAGGAGAGGGACCAAGGAGAACTTAGGTAACTACGGGGTACCTGGGGCGCCCCTTGGCCCTTACAGACCTGAGGTATATAGGCTGGCTTGGCGTCACGTGGATGGTCACATGAAATCACGTGAATGGGTGACTACTACAATAGAAGTGGGAAGGCATCGATCAAATACACGTAGTTTGAGGAGTACCTAGCTACCCTCCATAAGGTACAAGTCATACTCGTGTATTCTTATCCTTAATACAGACACATCCGGAGATAGATCATGTCCACACAAGGAAGACACTTCCTTGCAATACGCGTTGGTGAAATCGATACTTGATTCTCACGTGTTTTCATCGTAGTATATTTCTTTTGTATTGATCACTGGGGAAGTTTATAAATGGGGCCTCCCATGCATTTTCAACATTCAACTAACTGACAGGGATTTAGCATTACTGACACGTTTCTTCTGGCATCTAAGATGCGTCTGGCATAGTGACATCTAAGCAACCGTTCTTCCCCTTTTTCCAAGTGCTTATTAATAGTCATGCTTGAAGCACGAGGCAACGGGCCGGACGTGATGAGTGCGGAGCTTGGCCATCGAAATCGAACCGACGGCGCTCGCTCTCTGCCCCATCTGTAGTAGTCACCACGGCCCCGCACTTTTCCACTGCCAAAAGGAATGCCTTCGACCTAAGCGCTGGTTTGGTTCAAGGGAACCATTTTTAACGAGGCTGGTGGGTATACCCTGGTCGGGAGGACCAGAGCCTCAGGCATCAACAAGGTCAACGGACCCATAGTTACTACTGACGTGTTGACCCTTAGGCGGACGCAGCACAATTTTACCTCGTCGTGTACTAATGTATGTATGTTGGTTGTCTAGACTCAATGTGCTTGAGCAACAGCCTCGGCTCCCACGTGCTCTGTTCACCTCTGCTGCTATGGATCCTCCACTCCATATCGAAGGATCTGATTCTCAAATGTTCATTGCGTTGATCGTGCTGCCATAGTCAATCTACCATAGTCAATCTACCATAGTCAATCTACGTAAACCACAAGAGTGCAGCCGAGGCCTCTTCAGCATCCATATCCCAAATCTAGTCATGCTAGGGATCGATCATGTTGAGATATGGGCGGGGCGGGGTCTCGTGTCGGCTTATAGTTTATGTAAGGCGTCTCAGCTGGCAAGCCTCGCACAGTGCCATTATTGAATCATGGAACCCAAATTTTCCCTCAGGAAACCGAAACTATGGAAGGGCTTCACACCCAGCTCCGAAACCACCCCATGAATTCCCGGCAGACTGTTTTGGCCAAGCTGGGTGGAACAAACTGGTGCCTCCTTCTCGCACCCGAGATCCCCTAAGTCGCCCTGGCTTCCTTGGAGACTCCTGCTCCTGCAGCTAAATCGTCAAGGATTTCGTCAGGGCGCGAGGTACATGCATTAGCAGCCAACTACTGTCAGCATCCTGGCCTGCTGCCTTTTTGCTGCAAGACACTTCCGCAGCCAATCTACCATGAACTGGCATTTCTACCTCTTTTGTCCACTCCCCCGAAGACGGCCATCAACGTGGCCAACTCCGATGCTACCCATCCACCAACATTCTATAGTGGGTTGAGTCTCGACCACGTCACTTTCCAAACTCACACGCTCCAGTAGTGATCTGGCCACGGTTCTTCTACACACAAACTGGAGGAGATGCAACAAGGGCATGCACGAATTGTAATTCCGCGTGGCATGCGAGTGAGATAGCCCCGAAACATCTCCACGCGACAGTCTTTGCGCCTCTCATTTAGCATCTTCCGAGGCTTGATTTCTGCACCATCTATTGATAGTTTGTCCACGCGTCCGTTGTGACTCAGAGTTTCCAATCAAGTCAAGGTCAGAATTCTTTGCCAACAATGCATAGGAACGATTACCATTCTCCTTGCGTGGATACACCTCCTCTAGATGACGCATAGGGCAAAGTCATGCCCGGTGACCTGTTATTACGCTTGGCAATGGAGTACAACAGAGCCCTGGATGCTGCAAAGTCAAGCGGTACGGGCAGTTGGACCCGTGCTGAGGTGGCCAATATACATAGATTCTCCAGGGGTGGTTCATGGAGTCAGATGGTTAAACCAGGGTTAATTAAAACTTTACTATGACCCTTTGCTCCGATCCCGCCCTCGATCGCCCTCTTTCCTAGCCCTGGTCCCTACCAGGAGGGAGCTTCCCAGATCGACGGGCCTGATTTTGATCGATGTGGTGCGTATCTACACAATTCCATGTCGATCGGAATCCAGGGAATTGGCAGCCAGGATGCATCATCCAATTGCCATCCGAAGTTGATGACGATGACTGAGCCAAACATCCTGCACGATTCTGATGTGCTGTACTTGCGTTATTAGTCCACTGTCCAGCCAAGTCTGCCCAGGATGACCCGTTGGCACCGTGCCATGTTGGCCAACAACAATGCTGGTATTTGGCTCTCTTGTGGACCATTCTACCCACTCGTACTGCAATGGGCAACTCATGTACGCTGGCGAACTCGCCCTGAACTCGCCCTGTCCCACAATCCCACCGAGAGTTATCACAGCCTCGTCGAAACTCACTCGGTGCTACAATGCCCGATACTACGTGTGAATTATTTGACAAACAAGCCCTCCATCTCGACAACGCTACCATGATGGTGTGTAGCCACGGGAAGGGGCCGTTGGTCCCCGTCAAGGTGTAAATTGCCTAGCACAATCGCCGCAAGGAATCTCCTCCTCATTACTGGTTCAGAGCTCGACAAGAGATCTCACATCTGGGGCGCCCGAAATTCTGTTATGCATTAGCCCATTGCGCGATCCAGGGACTTCGCCCCCGAGGGATCCGGCCGTGAAGTCTTTTGCGCCTTGCATAAACAATGCACCACTGAGAGGCCATTGCCAGGCCTCCAGCTCTTGGGGCTGGAGAAGCTACTCCAAATCAAAGACGCGCTACACCGAATGTGGAAGAGCTGGCGACCCAATTGGGAGTGGCGCCGGTAGCCACCCGAACTTAAATGCTCCAAGCGCAAACTCTAATTTAGCGACCAGACGAAAACTCTGACCTTTCTCGTCAGACAAGAACCTCAAGTCCCTTCACCGCGATAACATCAGTAATGCATGATAAGATGAGGGCGACCATCAACTACTATAATGGTCGTTCGGCGGGCTTCACCATGTACCAGAGATATAGCTCCTGGTTCTGGACTAGATCACGGAAGACAGATACCCAGCTATAGAATCAATAGTCCAAGTGTCCGCATATCTAGCCAACGGTGAATAATGCATTGCTCCGTGGAGCTCGAGGACAACCCAGTGTGAAGACACTAAGCTTCCTCAATGTTGGTCAACGACATTGAGCCTCCAGTGGGGTCAACAATCTGGAAAGACTTATCCGCAGCAAACGCTTGGGGTTATGTTTTGAGCCGCCTCTGTCCAAATCTGTTCACGCCACAGCCCCAGATATGCACGCGACATCAGTAAACCATTATGCATGGTGACCAGCATTACTTGAAGAAATCATCTGCATTTCTTCATCGAGCCGACCTTTGGCATATTCATGTGCCCAATTGGACAACACGAGCTAAAAATCTGTCTGACAGCGGCACGACAGCGAGACCAGGGACCCAGTTTGAGGATGGTGTGGTCAAAAAGTCGGATCGCATCCGACTTTTTTGGATTTCTACCAACCCCTCTCGCTCCACCACCGTCCATGCGCTGAGAACTTGTTCTTGAGTACAGACGCGAATATGCCATATCGTCGCACACCAACATGCAACAATGTCCGTCCTTCCTCGGGTCGTAACCAATGGAAGGGCGCAATACTCGACCGACTGGTAGACACGGCAACATATGACCTATGTGCTTGGAACTTGACCTGCGCGGAACTGGGCAAACCGCCGCCAGGACAGATTGTCGCTTCAATCTGATTTCACAGCTCCACACGGCGACCAAGTTGCTGTTGTTTATTCGCCAGGTGTGCATACTGTTTCGCCACGCAAGTAGATTGCTGAAGTCTTGACGAGATGATCGTGGTCGCTTTGAGTGAGGTCGTCTTCACCTTCCTTGGTTCCATTATCATTCCCTGCAGAGGGCATGACGCCACGACTTCACCTCAATTACTATGGTTCATGCTGTATCGCCAAACCTGGTCGATGCAAGCACTAGATCGGGTCGTTTGCAACATCGGTGGGCATCGCCTAGTACTACCTGTCACTGCGAACCAATGCACCCGGTGCAAAGCGTGCATTAATATCCAGTTCAACACGTGATGCTCGCAGTCGTCTACGAGTAGCTTCGGTAAGCACGATGTCAGCCCGGCGAGATGCATCTATGCAGCATTTTACGTTGTGTCGCGTAGAAAGAGGCCTAAATGCTCCAGATCTCGAGCGACGGCCTACGGAGTAAATGAATGACTAAAATGGAGCCTAAGGATATTCTGCCCGCGACTCGAGCAGAGGCCAAGACGGTCCAGGTGGCGCACCTAATCGTTACGGGCCAGGCCTGGTAGCCGTATGACGCCACTCGGGGTGGGCTGGGGCCAGCTATCTCTACTTGTACGCATCTTCGAAGGGTCCCTTTTGGCCCATTCCCGCCCCATAGTCGTCCAGTTCCGTTGAATCGCAGCGTGTACTCGATATAGCCTTTGGTCTTTCTCCAGTCACGGGCATCGAGCTAATCCTGACTAGGTTTGTGGCCATGTCTCTTTTGGTTGCAACGCGTGCAAGGCCTACCAGCTCGAGCATTCCCAGCCGTGTGTTTCCCAAGCGTCGGATGGAGCAGGTGCAGTTGTTTGCAGAGTGCGAGAGTTTCTCGTCCATTTCGGCTTAAGCGACCCATACAATGAAGAACTCAAGACAGTGACCAGTGTGGAGGATCTCATTCGAACGGTACGGGCATAACCTTTTTCGTCAAAAGTAATTACGGCACTCCACCAAATCCCTTCCGAAGACATCGTAACTTGGCAGGATCAGCCAACAGCTTTCCCAAAGAGGCCGCCAAACGTTGTTCACAACTGCACTACCACGGTAGAGGTGTGCCGAGTGGGAGGGTCAGCTACTTGCTACTTGCTTTGCTCTATATTCCAGCAACTGCGCGATTACGTCTCGAATATCAACGCGCCCCTTTACCCTCCTCTGGCGCGTGGTTGTTTGACGCGCTAAGCTGTCACTGAGCAATGACCACACGGTGCTCCTTGAAACTGGCAGGTGCTGTCGTCCCTTCAGTGTCCCGGAACAGATGGCAGGGACTTCAAGACGGGACAGTGGCCTCAGAAGCAGGAACAAACATTTGACAGCCCCACCCTGGTGTTGAAGGGCTCAACATGTAGGCCCTGCGGACCCACCGTCGACCAAAGAGGGACGAGCTCGAGATGCTCTGGCCATGAAAGGTTAAGTGTAGCGGCCCTGCAAGTCGTGCATGGCTGGTGGGCATTACCTCAGATGATGGTGGGCTGGACGCCACCCTGATTGCATGCGACCGATTCGAATTCGCTCTGGAGGTGTATCGTCCACTGGGCACGTAGAGCATTTCCCGTCGCCAACGCATCCGCCAGCGATGCTGCAAAGCATGTTCCACCCCGCCTCACAGAACACTGCCTCTTCGGTTCCTTGACGGGGCTGGAGAAATCTGCTTTTGGTATAGTTGCGGAAGGTCTGCTTGTCATACACCCATCTCGGCCATCGTGCCATGTCTCGACCTTCAACTGACATCTTTTGGCAGACCCTAAAGGCGCTTGGACTGTCGCTTTCATCAGTTTCTTCCTCATCCAAAGGCACCCACACTGTCAAAGTACTGTCATCTCTGGCAACACTCCTGGTGCCTGCATTTCTCCTGCAGCTGGACAGTGCTCGCATCCACATATCTCCATCGCATTGATTGGCAGGTGTAGGCCCGCTCGAGGCATGAGCGAAAAGGTCGAAGCGTGACCACCGTGACTTGATATCAATATCAATCCCAGTCTCTGCCCTTTGGATAGATCATCCTTTGCTCACGTCTTCATCACTTGCATCATTCCAACTCAGTCACTCATACATCCTTGCGATATGGACCACTACACTCAAGCTGCTCCAAGGCCATATACTTCACAGACAACACCAGTGCCTTCCCAGACAAGGCTAGATACTGTTCAACCAGAGCAACAGCTGCCTTCCATCAGAGAGGTATGTTCTATCAAGTGCCATCAATCGAAACTTGTTCATGCTAATACTTTACAGGTGATCCCACCACCACGTTCACACATGGCTCAATCAACTGCCAATGAGGTGCCTCCGACTTCGAGGCCCATGATGGTTCCCTACCTCAGCTCGCAACATCACTCGAGCATGAACGTGGCCTCTGCACCTGCTCCAACGCAGCAGCATAGCAGTCCGATAGCCTATGCTGCTGACGGCTCCAACCAGATGCACATGAGCAATCTCGCAACTGGACACCTTCACACACCAGCTAGAGCACCTGCAGAGTATAGTTCGCCATGGTCGACTTCGTCTTCATTCACCGACGCCGCCATTCCTATGAGCACACAACCTACTCTCCCAACACAGCCTCAGCAATACGGACTTGGTCAACCCATCGTTCCGTCAGATGCCCAGGAGAACGTCTTCTCTTCATCATACTCGATGAACAGACAACCTGAAAGTCCCGTCAGTGACAGCTATCCTCGATGGCGTGCACCTCAGGTCGCCTCCACGCCAAGATACAATAACCCGTATCTTGTTTCGGAGAGACCATACAACCAGCCAATGGACTTTGGCAGGTATGGACAATCGTATGACCAATACCGTAGTCCTGTTGCCTATGATGGTGGCTATCGATCTATGGAAACCTCCCCGTACCCAATGAAGTACAGTCAGCTCTTGTCATACCCAATGATGGGATACCCATCACACCCCAGCAACAGACGGAGAAGGGGCAACCTCCCCAAGCAGATCACTGATGTTCTTCGGCTTTGGCTGCAGGACCATTTGGACCACCCTTATCCTAGTGACGAGCAGAAGCAATTGTTTATTCAACGTACCGGATTGAGCATTAGTCAGGTATGATGACTCTCACGCGATTTGCCTTTCCTATCAAACTAACATGGAGAACAGATCAGTAACTGGTTCATCAACGCCCGTCGCCGGCAGCTTCCTGCTTTGAAACTCAAAAGAGCAAAAGCCATCGCCAGTCGGGCTTAGATACCACGCGTTTACGCTTTTTTAAAGAAAGTATTGAAGTTATACGAGGGACGATTTGAAACCAGGGACTTTTTACGACGGAATGGAATTATGGAATTTCTTAACGAAGGATACTCTTTTTCACCTCAAGGATACCATGGGCGAAGTGGAAGTGACACTCAGTGCGGTATTGGCAATAGTACTCATGGAGAAGATCACATGTTTTGATATTGGGCCGCTAAAGTACGATAACTTGCTACTTTTGTTTGGATTTGGGAACACAGACAACACCAACAGCACAGCATCGGGAAAGAAAGACATCAGGCAGAAGAAAACAGAAAGACGAGCATCGTCTCGCACATGTACAAATATCATCACTTTGATTTAGACCAGCTTTCACACAGACTTGAATAGCAAAAGAAAGTGGCAAAGTTCAGATGTGTGATCCCTCTTCCTCCCGCCGGTACTTAGTTGAACTCGGACATGTGATGTTGAATTACCGCTTGGTCTATGATCAGAGTATGCAGACAGAGCAGGGAATACCCAAGTATCCCATTCCTACCAGAAATCACCCCAGACAGACATGGGAGTGCAGCTCGCTTATCGTACACCAAGGCAAAAGACTGGGCATTTGCAGGAGGGGGGAGGGTGTGTTCTGGGCGACCAGGTCCACTGGAGGTGCTCCTCAGTGCTCCTCATTTGGGTCCCTCGGCCTTGGGTCTGCAGGTTGGAGCACCCAAAACGCATATCATTTCTGTCTTGATCGGATTTGATGGGTGGCGTCAACCTTTCCCAGTCGAGGACCGTGACGAGGGGGGCGGCGACTGGCTCCTCCCGAACTTGCCTAGCCTAAGAAATGGCTCCTCCGAGGGGCCGAGGGGCTTCATGGGGCTGGCAAAATAGCACAGTCCTCCGTAGTTCAGCATGACCAACCAGTGTCCCCCTGCAACTCCTCAGCTGCTTCTCGCCTAAAAATACGAACTGAGGGGGATGCTGAGTGGGCTATCGAAATCTTCCCCATTGTAAAGAAGGCTGATCAACGCCTCAACGGTCAGCCAAAGATAATCAAGGCATGGATTTGCAAGTTTGAGTCAAACGGTGGCTCTTTGATACCCCAAGTCCGACAAATCGTGTCCTTTTGGCCCTATCGGATCACCGAGGTCGATGCTGTTGGCAGCGGCTGATTTTGATAGTAAGCTGCAAGATGGCGGGGTAATTCTAACAGTCCTAATGCTGCGCACTGCTTGTAGCCTGACTACTATTTTACCTAGTACTTACGACGCGTTTTTCACATTATTGCGCACTGCGCCTATCCTGGTGGAAATTCAACTGAAATGGGGTTGCCACCTGCGATGCTGCAATCTGAGTTTGGTGGGAGTTGGATTCGGGCGGCGGGGACCAGGCAAAGGTGATTCCTGTGCGATGACGAGCATCTGATGCGACAGCGCCCTGGGGATTTCTTCAACCCCCTGGTCGTAATTGATCTCAAGAGGCAAGTTTCGGCTGGTCACGGTGTTTGCCATTTCTTGACCTCGCCCCCCTCCAGCGACCACCAAGCAAGAACGTCAACATCCTGTCAATCCGTCACCTCAAACTCTTTTCACTGGGACGCCTTGGTGGATAGTCACGTCTTCTTCACGGTCCCTCTCGACTTTCTACCCCTGTCTGGATGTCCCTATCTGGTTCTTGACACCCTACTTTATTGTGGGGGGCATGCAGGCACTCTGGTCAACGCTCTTGTTTCTATATCGGTGGAGGTCTGCTGTACTGTTCCCACTTAGAGGCCGAGTCCACAAACGTCGGCATTGTTTCAGCTCTCGTCTACTCCAGGCTCACCTTGCCCTTCCTCGCATGACGAAAGAACTCGATAAGGGCTTTTCAGGGTCCAGCGCACCGTGATCCAACGGCGGCGATTTGCGGCACGACTTTAGAGACGTCTCACCGAGAATCCACGATTGACTTCAAGTTTGACGGGTCTGATGTGACTTGACTCTTGACGCGAGACTTGTCGTGGCTCCCTAGTTGGACCGCGCGGGAAGTCTGCCACTGAGCTTTGGGCTCGAGTCAGGTACCGAACCAAGCTCTACGAGGAAGCCTTGCTGATTTTCCATCTTACTGTCGCGTCAATGTCATGGTTTGCCTTCACCCTGAATCTCAGATCAGACCATTTCGGTCCAAGGCACGTCACCCATCAGTCCAACTCTAACACCACGCGAGTCTGTGCTCAATGACGGCCGCAAGCTTGGTTTCCGTACAAGATTGCGAGGAAAGGGGCACTGATCATCAGATGCTCAGAACCTCAGGGGAGGATCGGAACTCGCCACTATGTCTTGGGATATCGGGGCATTGTACCGTGTGGCAAACCTGACCAGCGTTTCCAATCATCACACAAGACGCGACCGCCGCGAGGCGACGAGCCGCAGCAGAGTTCTTTTGGTATGATTCTCGGACTTTCGCCTCGTAGCTTCAGGATCGTACCACCCGTTTCGAGTGTGCCGATCCTCGACCCGATGCTGTTCGCCACCCACTTCGATCGTCAGGTCTGCGATTATGACGGATGAACCGTGCTGCCGAGCGGGTCGACAGCGAGATTACACCAGACGCTGCGGGCAGCATGTTGTCGCTTGTGTGGATGAAGCACAGGTCAAAAGCACAGACAACGACGCGACAGCCGTTTTGGACCAACCTCCACGCGATGATCAAAACACAGACTCTGGCAACAGTGGATTGGATTCACCGTTACCCAAGATGTCAAGGTCAGATCAATGTCCCGGCCCTTCAACACCTCTCAATCTTTTCTCCTACCCGCTGACAGTGTTACCCATCTTTTCCCCAACTGTGCGTACGTCTCTAAGCCGCCATTCTCCCTTTCACTTTTGAATTGAAGTTGAAGGACAGCAAATTGAGTCAATAGTGACTTGATTGTCGGTTTACTAAGGCGTTGGATTGACGTACTTATCCAGTCACGATAAGAACGGCTTTCAAGAGTGTCACTTAAAGATTGAGTGAATGCACGGAGGTCCCTCATCATTGACATCAAAACCTCCGATGTGATATGAGCTTGTGTGAACGTCCACAAGGTCCTGTTCTAGCTTCGTAAGGTGTTGTGAGCACCATTGCTCAGCATGCAAATCTTGTCGAATCAAACAACCGTCCTCGGCAGCCCTGCTAGTAGAATGATTTTGTCTCCTGATGAAATGTCAATCTTGCAAGCATTTCAATTTTTCACAGACGTAGCTTTAGGAGTGAGGCAAGTTTACTGGAATACTTCGCCCGTCCCTGTGATGTTCGCCGCTTATTGTGAGGAACATTGTCATACTCTCCCCGCTCGTTTAGCAGTCCTAGACCCTAAAGGTTTCGCCATAGTTAGTCCATGGAAGTCAGACTGGATACCTAAGGGCCTTGCTCAACGGGCTGACAGAAGACACTGTCATTGTGCTCGAAGCTTTGACACAGATTTATTCTGGGCACAACGTGATTTTGACACAGCACCCTGTTTCTAGAGCCTTTGGATTTTTCGCCATGTCTGCTTTGCCTGAAATGCTCCTCTTGCGTAGTGTCAATAAGCATAGATCGAAGATAAGAGTTTATTGACTTTGACAAGTTAAGACAGGAACTATGGTGTTCAGCATGCAACTTCATAACACAGAATCATCGTAGGCGGACTTGACATGGCCGCTGGATATCTTTACGAGGACCCAGTTGCATATTCCAAAACATGAAAGCAAAACAACAGGATCGAAAAGAGATGTCCTGTCCTGTTTCTAAAGCATTCAAAACATCATCATAGGCCTCTGAGTCAACAAGCTTTTGCAGCATACAGGTATCTAAATTGATTCAGTGGGAGCGATGCTACTCCCGGAAAGCATGCTAGGAAGGGGATGCAGATGGGCTTGACAATGGACTCGTATGAAAATACGACACGTAGAGCTGGAGATTTCAAAGCGTAGTCATATCATGGAATCCACAGAAGGCGCCGCAGCCGGCACTATCGACTCAAGAGTCACCGTCCCCAGTATTTACGCAAAACCGTCCTGAAGTTGAGGCCGAGGAGCCTCATGCTTACCCAAAACGAAGCTAATAAACGCCGATCCTCAGAATAGTGCCTGCCACGCAGCTCTTCAAGTCTGACATATCTTCAGGTCTCTACAACCCCTCTGTCTGCTGACTCGAATTTAGTGGCCCGTTTCCAGGTCTAATTGACAACATCGTCGTTACTGAAGTCTCGCAATATCAGTGGGCCGAGAGGCCCCTCGGGCTAGCGACTATCGTCCCTAAGTAGTTCAGTGTGCTATACGAAGTTAATTCGTATACCTAAGCGACTCGGCCCGGCCAGCTGAATTGGTGGCTGAGGGGCTTTTCATAATCACGTGACCATCATTTCACGCTTTCATCATGTATATTCCTCAATGTTTAGCATGGAGTCCTGTTCTATTAACTGAGTGTAGCTATCAAAGATCTTTGATAAGATAAAGCGGCTGGCGCTCCGAATTTCCTTTTGCCGTCATAATTACACGACGAACTTTTAGATCTCGTTCCAGTGACAAAACTCGCCCATAGGGTCGTTGACCTATTCATCTGTATTCCTGCAAGACCAATTGTCAGCAGGCGGCTTGATGATGATTTAGAGCGTGCCATCCAGATCGAGAAAGTTGTACGCCCAAAGACGTTGCATTCCGAATGCTCATATCCTGCAACAATAGCCCCCTCAATCGAGGCTCTTGACGCCACCTTCGTACATAGCCACATCATACTCTTTCGGGTACTTTTCAATCATGCGCTTCAAGTCCTTCATCTGTTGCATTGCCTCGGGGGTCATCTTCTCATAGACATCCTCAAACATTTCGCGAATTGCGGGCTTTTTGAGCTTCTCGGCGGCGGAAAATTCTTGCAGGACCTGTTTACGGATCGCTGCTCGGGCTTCCGTCTCCTTTTCTTCATTCCAGATGCCCTTGTTCTCCATCCATTTCCGTAATCGAGTGATGGGGTTGTCGCGCCGCTTCCATTCTTCCACCTCTCTTTTGGCCCGATAAGCAAAGCTGTCGTCACTGGTGCTGTGATGGCTAACTCGGTAGCTCATGGCTTCGACCAGAACGGGTTTGCAGTCACCCTCGAGCGCTCGTTTTCGAGCTTCACGCATGACCTCTCGAACGGCAAAAATATCATTCCCATCAACTCTAATGGTGTCGATGCCATAACCCAAGCCACGGCTGGCAATGCCATCTCCTTTGTACTGTTCGATGCTTGCAGTGGAAATTGCAAACCCGTTGTTCCGGCACACAAACACGATAGGACAGGCTTTTGTGGCTGCTATGTTCAAGGCTGCGTGAAAGTCGCCTTCGCTTGCGGCCCCTTCTCCGAAATAACAGGCGACTACTCTCTCTGGAGTATTGGGATTGATCAGTCGTTGCATCTTCAAGGCATACGCTGCTCCTGAAGCTTGAGGAATTTGGGTGGCTAGGGGGCTGGAGATGGTATGAACGTTGAGTTTTCCACTTCCATAGTGAACAGGCATGTTTCGACCCTTGCCATAGTCGTCTTTGTTTGCAAAGAGTTGGTTCATCATTTCTTTCAGGGTGAAACCCCGCTGGACCATAACGCCTTGCTCGCGATATTGCAAGTAACAAACATCGTCTGGAGTCAATGCCGATGCTGAGCCTACGGCAATGCCCTCCTCACCAGCGGAGACCATGTAAAAGCTGACCCGACCTTGGCGTTGGGCGTCAAACATGATCAAATCGAAAATACTGACGGTCAACATATTGTGGTACCAGCCAAGAATTTCTTCATCCGATGCGGATTGGGGGTCTCGACTGTTGTCTACAATATTGCCGTCTGCATCCATGATTCGATATGTCGGCATGGCTGTCTCCTCGGTGGGGTTCCGGAATTTCATGGTAGATGTAAATTGGCTCTTCAACGCCCCGGGGAAGTGAACGCTATAGACATAAAGAGTCAGCACGAGATCAAATGGCCCACTTGACACGCGCGAAAGAAACATACAAGTCGGAAGCAGGCTTTTGTGCCGGGCCTGATGCCCAGTTATCACTTGCCCTTCTTATACCAGCACGAGTGATCAGGGCCCCCGGTTTCCGACGACATGTCGCCAGAAGAGGCCGCATCATAGCCCTGCATTCCATCTTGGAGACTCAAAAGGAGAGGGAAAATAGAGTAACAAAATTGATTGAGAAGAGTAAACCCAGGTGGAAATGAGCGAGACTGATGATGGCTCTGACTTATGACGGCGATGCTCGGTTACCGTCGGACAGTGACGCGACTCCACAAAACTTTGGAGGGCAAGGAGTGGTGTCGCGTCACGTGCAAACATGGTCCGCTTCCGGCTTGCCGCTTGCCGTGCCTGCATCTTGCCAACACGCTAGTCCATTTTAAGACCTTGACCAGAAAAAAGTGTCATTTGATATACGAGGATGGACTTCATTTCTAGTGAATGAACAACGTCCACATTTGGTGTAGGAGCATCCTTGAAGCCAGGTCTCCCGCATTGTTTATTGCGACAGTTTACAAGCGTCATGTCTCGCTTGATGTCTAGACATGTCCCACGACTACTGCGAAGTGGTCGTCCCAGCCACGGCTTCAGCCCAAGCTCCAGATTCATCAGCTCGAGTCTATCACGAGCCCAACAATTGCCCGGCGAAGATGCTCGAACCACTCATTTTGGCTTCGAAACTGTGGCTGAAGCCCAGAAGGAAGCACGAGGTATGGTCACCGAAGGCAAAATAATTGTAGTGAGGCTGACTTGAATCTCTAGTCGGTGCCGTCTTCTCCTCTGTTGCATCTTCCTACGATACGATGAACGATCTCATGTCGCTCGGCATTCACCGTCTCTGGAAGGATTACTTTGTTCGAAGCCTTAATCCTGGAAGTCGGGACTCCGAGGCTGGATGGAACATACTAGATGTTGCCGGCGGGACCGGGGACATTGCATTCCGCATGCTCGATCATGCCACCAACATCAATGGAGATGTCAAGACCAAAGTGACAGTGTCGGACATCAACCCAGAGATGCTGGCAGAAGGAAAGAAAAGATCCTTGGCCACACCGTACGGAAACTTGGACCGACTGAAGTTCATGGAGGGCAATGCAGAATCGATGCCATCACTTCCTTCAAACTCGTTCGATCTCTACACCGTTTCCTTTGGCATCAGAAATTTCACAAATAAAGATGCGGCAATCAGGGAAGCATATCGGATTCTCAAGCCCGGTGGAGTGTTTGCTGTGCTGGAATTCAGCCATGTTGACAATGCATTGTTCAATGCATTCTACAAGAGGTGGAGCTTTAGTGCAATCCCGTTGATAGGTCAACTGGTGGCCGGGGATAGAGATAGTTACCAATACCTGGTTGAGAGCATCGAACGACATCCCCCTCAGGAAGAATTCAAAGCCATGATTCAGGAAGCAGGGTTCATCACACCCGGCAAGGGGTTTGAAAACCTATCGGGGGGCATAGCCACTATTCATCGTGGAGTCAAACCGGTGTGAAGCAACAAAAAGGCCTGTACTAGTGTTATGACGCCTCACCGAAATGGTTCTTCATAAAGACCGGTGGCCATGCTAGGCCTCAATGCGACCAGCGTGAAGGCCGCCATCTACCAAAATATCGGTACCAGTGGTATAGGAAGCGGCATCGCTTAACAGGTACACCGCGGCGCCCATCAAGTCGTTGCGATTGCCTATACGCTTCAGGGGCGGGGCCGTGTGCATCAGCTCGACTAGGTGTGGATGGTCCTTGCGCAGATTCTTGGTCATGTCGGATTCTGTGTAGCCTGGCGAAATGGAGTTGACCGTGATACCTTGGGGTGCCAACTCGACGCTCAGGGCGGTCGTCAACATCTTGACGGCGCCTTTAGAGGTGTGGTAGGCGGCTAGATGATGGCCGGGGATCGCACAATGTGCACAAACGGAGGCAATGAGGACCAGACGACCGCCGGTGCCTTGCTTTTCCATTTGCTTAGTGGCAAGCTGAGCTGCGAAAAATGTGCCATTGACCTATCTATGGTGAGGATGGCGGGTGGCGGGGACAGGTACGGCGGCTTACATTGATCTCCTGGATTCTGGAGACCTCTTTCCAAGTATGTTGGACAAACGGTTTGTCAAGGACGATGCCAGCGGCAGTGACACTGTCCATTAGTGGAGTATCCAAAACGGAAGAACGGAACGCTGTACCTACCATCCATCCAAGGATCCGAGTTCGGATATGGACTGTTCAAAGGCATGGGTGAGGCTTTCCTCACTCGTGACGTCCGTTTTGATGTAACGAGTCTTGACGCCAAATTCCGCTTCGAGACTGGAAAAGTCCTTGACGGGTGAGTTTGAGATATCCAAGACAGCTACATTGCCACCCATCTCGGCGATGGCCCTGGTGATAGAATAGCCAATACCTCTTGCCCCGCCAGTCACGATGTAATTACGGTTTTTTAGATCGAACATGGCTCTGACGCTGCGAAGGTCGCCATCATGCAAGGTCTCTGCGGTTGTGTGGCTGGTATAGCGGAACCCTGTACGCTGTCCCGATGCTCTGGGAAGAGGCCGCAGCAGACGAAATGCAAGCTTGGCCCACATGATGTTTGTACAGTGGCTCAGGGGCGAGAATAAGAATGAAGTGGTGAAGCTGTGAAAGCAAGTATGGAATCGGTCAGGAGACCTCGCCTCACAGAAAAGCGGTCTTTTGCGGTTTCGAGATAGCCGGGGCAATTGTCCATGTAGTCAAGAATACCCCGCATTCATACTGCTACCTGCCATTTAGAGACGAGTCAGCGTGGTCTATCTTTGCAGTTCATATGTAGGGACTTGACTGCCATATGTGTACTTTGTTGAAAAGAATCTTCAATCCAAGCTAGCATCCGGCTGGCTGGAGGTGGACTAGGGGAGCAGGGCAGAAATAGCTGGCGCAATTGGCCTACATCAGACAACCTCTCGTCATAAACGACGATGATAGGTACGCTGTACACAAGGCGAGTTGTGATCTCGTCGTCTGCCGTCTCACTTGATCATTTTCAAGGTTGTTCTTCAATCATCTCGACTTCCCATTTTTAGCATTGTGCGCATTATCACGGATGCTCCTTCCTTGTAAACCCAGCCATGTCACGTGCACCAACCTGAAGCAGTCACGTTGTTCGCCTGCGCCTGCGCCTGCGCCTGCGCCTGTGATGGCTCGTGGTTCTTCTCTCAGTCATTTCTACAGAACAAGACCCATATTCCCTTGGATTTATATCATTGTATTGCCCTCAACCTTTCGAGCAAGTCTTCGAGCACCAAATCAAGCTTTGGAACAGTGTACACCATGTTCTCCACGACTGATCCCTTGGCACACGCCATACAAACAAGAGTAATCAATTCGGTCTCCAACCGGCGATCGGTAGTTCCCATGCGTCCTTTACGTACTGCTTACTTCTCCTACGCTACACATTCCATTTTCCATTGGGGCTGTGCCCCCAACCCTGGCATGGGGTGACATCTGACGCGCAAGACCTCCACGACCTAGACACCACGCTTATTGCTCTCCGTCTATTCTTGGGTCTGGGGAGCCGATGATGGCCGACCATACCAAAACTCTTGTCTAGCGCAACCCCAGACTTTGCCCCTCTCATCTCATTTCTTGTACTGACGCATTGCAACAACCCGTGACCATAACCCAAGCTGTTTGATCTGGTACTTCCATCAAAGAAATACGGACAGCATCGTGTCGCCTGGTCACTCCCGCTCGCGCTTGCGCTCACGCTCACGTCCTTGATTCCACAGTTGATAACCGTACGCATTTCAGGATTGAACATATCGCGCAGGGTTTACGTGCCATCGTTCTTGACTTTACTCCCTTCAGCAAGGGTTCCAACTTCTTCCTGCCTTGTCGGAGCTGCAATTCTCGCCAAGTCTATCCTTTCTACGTATATGGGCTGTAGCGCTCGAGAGCGCTCGTTGATGCAAACCTCTTGTACCGAAACAATTTATTCGAAATAAACGACTGATCGCCACGATAAATCTTGTCACTAGGAGCATGGGTTGCGGATCCTCCAGCCTGAAAGGCGAGGATGTAAACATCAATGGACCACAGCCGTCATCGTCAGACCCATTAGCTCCCAGACGGGTCCGGACCGACTTTGCGAGCGTCGACTACGAGCAAGATGGCAACAATGAACGACGAATGACAGAATATGCGCCTCATGAGACGGTGAGATCTCAGTCAGGCGCAGGACACGACAGGAACCTGTCACCAGCAGGGCTTCCAAGCGAACCGAAGAAAGCATCCAAGTCGGCAGCGACAGGGCTCCACGACAGCTTTCACGCAGATAGTGCTGCGAACCCCAAAGTTGGGGCCGAAACCGACGTCTTCCCACATGAAGGAATCGGTGTAGGTGAATCCAAGCTGAAAGACGGCGACGAACCTGATCTCAAGCCATATCAAACGATCGACAACGACGGCTGGGACCAAGACGAATTCCAAACCCAGACCCAGTCGCCGTCATCACGCGCCGTCAACGGGGCGCACGATGACTCGGGTTTCGACCCTCTGAGCACCAAAGCAAAGGAAGACTTCGCCCACGACAACGATCCCGCCAGCATCGACAATCAGGCGAATGGCGACAAGTCTGGGCCCGTATCCGACTCAGCACCCAGCCCCCGAGGTTCCAAAGACGGCAAGAAGTCATGGTTGGGTGACAAGTATTCGCAGTATCAGGCGATGAAAAGCGGACGCAACCAGCAAATATCAGACGAAGAGTTGAAGAAGTATACGGGCATGGATCGTAAGCAGTTGAAGGACTGGGGAGATGCTCGAGACGGCGTCGCCGGAAATCAGCGCGCGGGTACCGTCAGCTCGAGTAATGCCAAAGCCGCAGGCGCTGGCTGGGATGCTAGTATGTAATTCGTCGTGCTCAGGCCTCACTTATTCATACTATGGATGATTATTTTACATTGCATCTACAGTCTCTGGTAGAGGATTGACGCACGGGGCAGAATGGCAAGGCATGCCATCTCAGTCGAATCTTACAATCGATTCTTACAAGCTAGTGAATTGTTTGTGCATGGTGTGGGACCAGACTTGGACTTTGTAATCATATGTGCAATCTACGAACCCAACCTATGTTTTGCAGATATCCAAACCGAATATGTACTTTTATGAAGGGGTTCTAGTTCCCCTTAATTGCCACCTTGGCCAGGACAGACGGCCTGTAATATATGGTGCCGCCCATCGGCGTGTCATATGGTCTTGGACACGACCAAACGAAAAGTCCATCATCCTTGGCTTGGGAGAAGATCTAGGTTTCTCCCCGGGCTTCACCCCTTGGTGTGGGTAATCTTCGATATGTGCACAATCGCCACGCAAAGCAACGCATTCAATGGCTTGGCTAGCAATTAAAGAGGACCAGTACTCCGACCGTGTCCTAGCCCCGTGTCCATCCCATCAGTCTCTGGCCTTGTGACTTGGGTCATGAATCATTCAAGTCTCTCGTATATCATCCGTCCTGAAGCCGACGTGATCGGGGTATCATGATTGTGGTGCCGGCCGCTTCTTGGTGGGCATCCCACCCCTTCTTCAGATTTTATCGTCGTTGTTCGGTAAGTGATCAGCCGACTCAATATGTCTGACCTTAGTAGGCCATCCGACGTCAATATTTGGGGGTTTTTAACAAATGCAGCCAGATTACGATCAACTGGCTGAGGAGGATTCTTTGGCCTTGCCTTTGTCTGTCTCTTGAGCGATTGATGTTGTGCTAGAGGCTCGTCCTTCGTCGCCATAGAGATGGTTCTGCTCAATGTACTCCACCACGGGTGCTGGGATCAAGTACTGGACGCTCATGCCACGTCTCAGAAACAGGCGAATCTTGGTGCTGCTGACATCATTCTGGATGAGCTGTTGGATGACATGGATATTGTCACGATAATTCTGAAGACTGGCTAAGGCCTCGTCAATGTCGGTTCCGGATCTCTCAATGATAAAGGTGCCGTAGCGGCCCAAGATGTGGTCGAGATCTTTGTCACTCCACACATTGGGGGTGGACATGGTTTGAATCAAATCTGCGCCGGCAAGAAGAGCAATGCTCACCCGTTTCCGGGACCCATCACCTGTGTCGATCCCCTTTCGCAATGTGTTAATTTCATGGTCAAAATGGTCCAAGACTTTAGCCGTTGGTTGGTATTCTTTCTTTTCGGCCTCCCAGGTGTCGACCATGAGCCAGTTGGAGGCTTTATCGATGGCCAATTGGCACATGGCAACACTACAGATTGTGATTAATACAAGTTCTATATGTTCTATACGGAGGAGAAGCTGTAGACTTACCGGTGCTCGGCAGGTGCCAGGCCTTGTTTCTTGTAAGCATCTGACACAGGGGACAGATATCCACCGATCATCTCATATTCCGTGTTGTGCTTGACATAATCTGCGGCCATGACAAACATGCGAAGATGGAGAAAGGTTATGGGCGAAAAGGAACCGCAGGCAACAAGAAGCAGGGGTGTTTTGGATGGGTCATCCATCTTCTTCTTGAGACGGTTGTCGGGGAACCGGTATTCGTCCATGGTGTCCGCGTCGCCTGTAATTGCCTGAAGACGAGTGGTGCGTTGCGGACAATATCCGATGGAGGTCTTCAGGGCCGAATTTCTGGCGCGGAGGACTGGTAGGTGTGTAATGGTAGAATATTGGGATGTCGGTAAGGTGAAGCAGTGGGGAGTCGTGCGGAAGACTGAGGCTGTGGAAGAGGGTGAGGCCGGCAATGCTGGGCGAGGGAAATGTAGAGTCGATGGATTGATGCGACCGGATAGGGTCCGTCTTGAGCGGAGGGCGGTCGTGGGGGAGAGATAGGGTGAAAAGCGTCGTGAAGAAGAGCAGGTCAGCATTCCAGGGCAAACATGGCCCGGGTTGAAGAGGGATGAAAATGGAGAGGGGTGTGGTTTGGATGTTGTAGGTGCTAGGGAAGTTGGTGGTGGCGGGTCCTGGTTCGGAGAGGTGGAGAAAAGAGAGAGCGGCAGAGGCAGTGCGGGCTCGGAGGAGTGGCAGCAGAAAGAGACTTTCAAAACTCCTAACTAGTGGGTTAAGTTGGCATGAATCGACGCCCGCAAAGAATCAAGTCCAGTCTCTCAGGCTGATCAACACGGCCGTGCTGGGCGATCAAACTCGTCCTGTAGAATGTATGGCCAAGTGTGGGAATGCGGGTGAAGAAGCAACCAAGGCAGATCAATTTTTATCTCCGAGTCCCGAGGGCCAGACAACCAGAGTCCTGGATCTTTTGCTGGGTAATACTGCGATTAGTCGGAACTTAGCCGGAGCCGACGGCCAAGGACTCGAGTTGCTTAGAGTACCTACGGAGTAGGTAGGTATGATAGTACACAAGCAGCAGGTAGTTGAAGGAGATTTCTTGGAGTTGTTTGTGTAGTTGAAGATGGCTGCTCGCATCAATGAAAAGTCTGAAGTCTGGGGTGTTCGGGTTAAAGGGAAGGCGCAAGAAATAAGAAACAAGTAAGGCTCATCTCCAATTGTAGGCAAGAGCGATGGCTGAAAATGATGACTGATTACTGATAATTGAGCAATTATGCCATCGATCAACCATCAGGGCGATCAGGGCGATCAGGGCAAATCAGAACACCACATAAGAAGCATGGTGACGATTCATTATATGAAACTGTGACATCTCAGCAATCGAGTCAACGTCGTCCTCACACCTTCTGAGGCCGTTGTGGGAGGAAATGTGGGTAACGAGAAAGAGAAAGGAACCACGTGCTTCTTTTGCCTATTATTCTGCCCTGGTCAATATAAGAGAGTTGGTCTCTAATATCACCATCACCATCACCATTGTATACTTCATTCAGGGTGATCGAGTGTCTCACCTAAAGAACATGCCTGCCCAGTTGCGCAATATGTTGTCTGTCGTAGCCTCATGCTGGTAGCTACTAACTTAAGCAGGGTAGAAATTATTGCGCAATGGACAAGGTCTAGTTCGCTAGCTAGTACTTGTAGACGATAGGAATCGTTCCCTGCCTACCTTGATCATCTGATGAAATAAGTGTAGACCAGAGACAAATGTGTCACCACAATCTTTTGAGTCTGTACACCGACAATCTCTATTCATGGTAAAATGTGTCTACGTGTCTACAGTGAAGCATTTCTCAACGTTCTCTCTACTTCACCGCACCCAATGCAAGATGGTCATTAGGCAATCAACGGGCAAAGAGCGGGTGACACCACAAGCAGAGCAGAATAGGCTTGACTGCGGCTCTTATGACTGCCTAAGTTTAGTGAGCATTGGACCCATAGGTCGGAACTGGTGGACGTCCAGGCTGTCAGCCTTGACTCGGTTGACAACCTGCACAATTGCAACACCACCTAAACCTAACAGGTGCATATTACATACTAACTCTCAGTCATTCACTGGATTTCATATTCTTTCATCATACTCACCTTCACCACCTGTTACTTTATCCCGCCTGTCCCATCACACAACATCTCATCCTATGCGGCTTTGCTCTTGCTATTAACGTACTGCATCCTGTCTTTAATCCGCTTCAGTCACTCCCTTGCGGCCGGTCCTTCGATGGCGGGTTAAAGCATGGCACATCTGCCCCCTCCATCATCCAGTTCGACGACGAAGCATCCGCACTCTCAACCTCACCCTCATCCGCAATTACAACCACAACCACACTCGCACCTTCACCTGCCACCCTCCGCCCGCCAACATCGTCCAGCATCAGGCGCTCCTGCCAACTTGACTGAACCTGATTTCCACAATCTTCTGCCTGTCTCAAATCCATCTTCTTCACCTCCGCCTTCTCACAACCCAAGGTATATTAAATACCCTCTTCACTTGATCTTGCTTTGTCTTCAACCTTGCCTGCCACTTATCCCTTTCACTGCAACACCCTCCTCCCTCTGCAGTTTCCATCTCCTCACACCTGCAACCATAGCCTCTGCTTTGCATCCCTTCCATTCTTGTCCTCTTTCATAATCTAGATACGCTCATCTCCTGTCGATCCTCGCTCGCTTTTTCTATTCCTCTTGCCTTGCCATTTGATCGATCTCTCGCTCATGTCCCGCAGAGTCACTCGCTCTTCTGCGAGGCTCGCAGCAGAGTCTGCCGCTTCCACCACGCCTCCTGATCCGGCCCCTCTCCTACATTCTGCTCCACAGCCCTCGAGAAAGCGGAAGGCCCCCGGCCGGCAGTCCTCCAGCCCCAACCTACGCACCGACGACCAGTCCCCTCCCTCGTCTGGTCCGCCTGGAAAGAAGCAAAAGACTTCGGAAGTCATTCCTCCACAATCAACATCTTCTCTTCCTTCAACCCGTTCCACTCGAAGAAAGCCTGCCAACGACCAAGCGGTCATGTCTAACAATGGGTGGGTGGAAGCTTCCGGTCGTCACACCTGCAATCACATCCCTGATCCTCTCTCTAGGTCCTCTTCGAAATATACAGATGAATCTTCAAAGCAGGCACAGTCCAAATCAACATCGAGGCGTCCTTCCGGTGGCAATGGCAAGAAGACACAGCCAGGTAACTCATTCACCCCAGCCTGTCAAACATATTTACTAAATACCCTTCTAGAATATTCGCCTCCGTCACAGCCTGCCTCTAACCGTCGAGCGAAGAAGCGTCCCTCGAGGAGAGAACAAGATCCCACCATAAAGGAAGACGATGATGCAGGCGAAAAGGCATCGAATCGAGAGAAGGAAGCCAGTCCTTCTCCCGCTCAGTCACAAAGCGACAGCAACGATGGAGATGACCACAGCGCTATGGACGAAGACGATGTTCCAGACCCCTTTGCTGCCGCCCTTTTTGGCTCAGGCCGTGGTGGCCATTCCTCAGGTCTTTCCAGCACCCTTCGAGCCCTGAGTGGGATGATGAGTGGCATGTCCTCCAGACTGAGGGATATCTTGACAAATTTACGTCAAGTCGATAATCCCACCATGCAAATGCTCGCTCTTGAAGAGCTCTCTAACCTACTCCTCGTTTCCAACGAAGATAATCTCTCGGGTCAATTCTCTCCGGATCCATATGTCAAGGAGTTGGTCGCTCTTATGCAGCCAAATCCCATTACCGGCGAAGAGAATCCCGAAATGATGCTGCTCGCCTGTCGATGCATTGCCAATCTCATGGAGGCTCTCAGAGGTTCTGTTGCAAACGTTGTCTATGGTGGTGCAGTCCCCGTCCTCTGCCAAAAGCTCCTTGATATCCAGTACATCGACGTTGCCGAGCAGGCCTTGAGCACGTTGTCAAAAGTCTCGATCGACTTTCCTGCTTCCATCGTCCGCGAGGGCGGCCTGACCGCTTGCCTGCAGTTTCTTGACTTTTTCGCCACTGGGACACAGCGTACCGCAGTCACGACCGCTGCAAATTGTTGCCGCAATATCCCCCACGATTCCTTCCCCGTCATTCGAGACGTCATGCCTATTCTGCTCAACGTGCTCTCCAGCCACGACCAAAAGGTTGTCGAGCAGGGTTGTTTGTGCGTCACACGAGTCATTGATAGCTTCAAACGCAGTCCTGAGAAGCTCGAGCAGCTGGTGGACCCCCCACTCCTCAGAGCCGTCTTGGGCCTCCTCCTGCCTGGCACTACCAATCTAATCGGAGCAAACATTCACACCGAATTCCTTAGAGTTCTCGGCATTGTCGCTAGTGCCAGCCCCCGCCTGGCCGCCGAGTTGCTCAAGATGAACGTCGTAGATACCTTGTACCAAATCCTCACTGGCGTGTCTCCGCCTTCTGACACATCTGATGCCGCGTCCAAGATTGACAGCGTCGTTATTATGCAAGCGCTTATCCATCGGCCACGGGAACAAATTTACGAGACCTTGAATGTCATCTGCCAACTATTGCCGCCACCTCAGATCAATCGAGATCTTGACCACGAGCTCTACGAAGACCTCGACGATGGCGTGTCCGATGAGGTCGATGAGTCGAGTGGTGAACCCGTCTCACGAGCCACCAAGAGAATGGAGTTACTCCAAGGCTGCAAAGCTGAAACTCGTCGATTTGCCATGATTCTGATGCCAACTTTGACTGATGCATATTCCAGCACTGTCAACCTCAATGTCAGAAAAAAGGTCCTAATCGCACATCTCAAGATCCTCTCCAACCTTGAGATCTCCGTCATCGAAGAAGCACTTCGACCTGTTCCGTATGCTTCATTCCTCGCATCAATTCTGTCCCAAGAGGATCACCCGAGCCTGGTGGTATTCGCCTTGGAAGCCTCGGAACTGTTGTTCGAAAGACTCGAGGATATTTATCAATACCAGTTCCATCGCGAGGGTGTCATTGGCGAGATTAAGAAGCTCGCCAATCGACCCTTGGGACGCTTTCGGAGCACGTCTCCGGCCACCGAGCTTGTTCGCAGCGAAACAAATCGTTCAGGGCAAGAGAGAGAGGAGCTTGCAATCAGCCAGTCAAAACCATCTGGTAGTAGCCGACACCGAAATACTGAACGCGGAGGCGAAGAAGACGAAGAGGAAGAAGAAGACGAAGAAGAAGAAGAGGAGGAAGTCATTGATGATGACATTGAAGTCGATGAGGATGATGACCATGACAACGAAGACCTCCATGATGACGAGGATGAGATCGAAGATGATATTGACGATCGACACGTTCACGACCTCGATGACTCTCAAAGCTCGGATTCTTCTGAAGATGAGGCGCCTCCTTCTCCATTAGCGATTGCTGGCATCGCTGATCTCGTGGTGCTACGGGCAAAGAAGTTTTTGGAGAAGCATGACACAAAGAAGGGCCGAGAGTTCAAAGAGAAGGCCAGACTTATTCGCGAGGATCTTCTCCAGCTTGCCCAAGACATTGAGACATTCTACCATAGCTCAGCTGATGTCGAAGCTGGCGGGCCCTTGTTCGCGCGTCTTGCAGGTTATTTCGACGGCGATGCATTGGAGAGTATCACAAGTTCAGAGCTCCTCGACTCCGGAATCATTCGCACTCTGCTCCAAGTTCTACCTGATGGCGCCGAAAAGGTATGCACTGCCGCCCGAGCCGACTTTGTGACTGCTTTCCTGGAATCAACCAATCAGAGCAACATCAAAACCACATCATCCACTCCAACTCATTTTAGTGTCCTCATTCAGAAACTTCAGGATTTGTTGAGCCGAGCTGAACATTTCGAAGTTCTGACCGTGAACAATAATGCTTCTGAGAATAGCCGAAGCAGTTCCACGTCAATGCTTTCGCGGCAAATTCGACTGAGACTCTCCGCAGACGGAGACAGTGACATTCCTGCTACCTACCGCGAGATGATCGTTTCGATTCATGCGATTGCAACCTTCAAGGCCCTCGATGACTACCTGCGCCCACACTTCATTCCTTCAGACCGTCCAGCCTCTGCCCAGCGCCGTCGCGACATGTTGCAGCAGATTGCCAATGCTCGACTGGCCCATTTGGCGGGGGCCGCTGAGTCAGGATTGCTTTCGCCTTTTGGGCAAGATCTAGGTGCGCCCGCAACGCCGCCTGCTGGTTCACGGTCCGCATCTCGACTGTCGTCTCGGAACAAGCAACGTTCCCAAGAAACACCACCTTCGGAGAAGAAGGCGGACGAGACACCCGAGAGGAAACGTTCTTCTCGACGTACGCAAGCGTCTTCCACAAGTCTTCCACCAGCTGCCGCTCCAGAACCAAGTACAGAAGCTTCCGGCGAGAAACTGGAGTGTGCCGATGAAAAGCCTCTGGAAGATGAAAACATGCCAGAAGGAGAAAACGATGGTGCCCTCGAAGCTTTTGTTGACGGTCTCGAAGAAGACGTTTCTGACGATGACTCTCCTGAGCCAGGTGCCGTCAACATGGAAATTGGGACGAGCGGAAAGGTGACAGCTCGCAAAGAAGATGGCACTCGGGTTTTCACGCCTCAACCCGGGACGCCAGTAGCTGCAGGCACTCGACCACCCTCCTCTGGCCAGTCCCCAGGAGTGTCTCCAGCCCCGTTGGCAAGCACGTCCAGTGGTGGCAGGCAGTCATACGCTAGTGCATTGTCCTCAGTGCCGCAGGATTGGCATGTTGAATTCAGTATTGATGGAAAGATCATCCCGAACAATACCACCATATATCGCGCTGTTCATCACAATCGAGATCAGCCTCAGGATCCAATGGCCAGGAGCGTTTGGTCCGGCGTTCATACTATCAAGTTCAAGAAAGTCCGAGGACCTCCTCCTAAAACATCAAACTTTCCTACTGGGAATGAGACGGTGAAGCCCGAGTCTCGTGACGGACTACCAGCGTCCCTCGATGGTCACCCTGTGACATCGTCGATTCTCTCTCTACTGCGCATTCTCCACGAATTGAACGCCAACCTTGATGAAGTTAGGGAAAACATTGGGCGGTCCGATCTCAAGCTTTATCAGGAGCCTCTAGCCTCTTTCATCAACACTAAACTGACGGCGAAGATGAATCGCCAGCTTGAAGAACCCTTAATCGTCGCGAGCAACTGCTTACCTGACTGGAGCGAGGACCTTGCTCGGTCCTTTCCCTTCCTATTTCCCTTCGAGACCCGCCATCTGTTTTTGCAGTGCACATCTTTTGGCTACTCCCGTTCGATGATTCGCTGGCAGAATACACAGTCGGAAAGCGATGATCGACGAGACCGTCGTCGAGATGAGCGCCCCATGCTTGGCCGTCCACAGCGCCAAAAGGTTCGAATCTCTCGTACCCGTATACTGGAGTCTGCTATGAAAGTAATGGACATGTACGGAGCATCCCCAAGTGTCCTCGAGGTTGAATATTTCGAAGAAGTTGGCACTGGCTTGGGTCCGACTCTTGAATTCTATTCGAGTGTTTCTAAGGAATTCTCCAAGAAGAAGCTCAAGATGTGGCGCGAAAACGATTCTGCGGATAAGGACCAGTTTGCCTTTGGCAAGAACGGCTTGTTTCCCGCTCCAATGAGTGAAGCTGAGGCACACAGTGAAGCTGGCAAGAAGCTTTTGCTCCTTTTCAAAGGCCTGGGCAAGTTTGTCGCTCGATCAATGCTGGATTCAAGGATCATTGACGTCTCGTTCAATGCGACGTTCTTCAAGGTTGGCAGCTTTTCCATCAAGCCTACAATCGGCCTGCTCCGCTCGGTTGACCAGGATCTTGCAAACTCCCTATCTCAACTTCAGCAATATATCAAAGCCAAAGCTAAGATCCAGTCGGATGCATCTCTGACCAAAGCTGAAAAGATTGAAGGTATTGCAAACCTCACCATTCAAGGAGCTCGTGTTGAGGACCTCATGCTCGACTTCACTCTGCCTGGCTATCCGCATATTGAGCTGTTGGAGGATGGCGCCGAAACCGTTGTCACGGGGGATAATGTTCAGGATTACGTTGACAAGGTACTCGACCTCAGTCTGAATACTGGAGTTCGTCGACAAATCGAGGCATTCCAAAGTGGATTCTCACAAGTTTTTGCCTTTTCGACATTGACAGCATTCACGCCCAACGAATTAGTGATGCTGTTTGGAAGGAATGACGAAGATTGGTCCATCGAGACCCTGACAGATTCGGTAAAGGCTGATCATGGCTACAACATGGACAGCAAGAGCGTCAAAAACCTCCTCACTTGCATGTCAGAGCTCACGCAAGCACAGCGCCGAGACTTCTTACAGTTTGTGACAGGGAGCCCGAAACTTCCCATTGGAGGTTTCAAGAGCCTGACGCCCATGTTCACGGTTGTCTGCAAACCTAGTGAACCACCATACTCGTCAGACGATTATTTGCCCAGCGTTATGACGTGTGTCAACTACCTAAAACTGCCCGATTATACCTCAGAGGAGGTTTTGAAGGAGAGACTTTTCGTTGCTATTCGCGAAGGACAAGGCTCTTTCCACCTATCTTGAAACCTTGAAAACGATCAGCCGGCAGTAAAGTAGCAGAACAGCTAGAGGGATGCTCTTAATTGTCCAGATATATGGACATGACACAATCTTCTGGGGCAAAGGAAGTCGTGAAGTGAGGGGCAACAGTCCAATTTCGGAGTTTGAAGATGGATTGCGCTGCATGGCTTGGGAAGTCGAGTCATTGGGCATTGTCTGCGGGGGAGTTGGGTCTGGCGGAGAAAATGGTACTGATACAAGGATCAGCAGAAGCCTGTGACTATGTATCTGGTGGTGATGGGCCGATGTGAGTTTGTTTGGTACCTACTGACGACGGGCATTATGAAGGCCGAAACGACCGACCCATGAAGTCGAGGAATCGAAACGGCGGACGGTCCTGGCAGGCTTTCACTTACCACCCAACGTATGAATAATGGCACAAATTGACGTCATTGATTTCGAGCTACCAAGTAGACACGAAGAAACTACAGTATGTAGTCCATAATAACGATTCGACCATAGAAGTATTTAATCAGGTATTACTTCGTCTTTCTGCTGGCTACATTAAATTCGTATCAGAGATAAGAGATGATGGCTTGCAGAGTAGAAATGTTGGCTCCACGAAAGCCAAGTAATTGAAGGGGGTGTTCTAAAATGTGATTGTCGATGGTCTCGAAGGAACACAGGGAAGATTAATACAGGTGTGGGAGAGGCACGGCGGCCGAGGGGCTAGATTAGCTAGCTGTAGCTTGTCTGTCCTGAATTCCTACACATACCATGGCTACTGTAGATCACTACCAAGATTCTGGGTCAGTGCAATCAACTTTCAAGCAAGACGAGCCGGATCAAGACAACCGATGTTGTGTGATATCGGCTCTTGAGACGGAGTGGCAAATGAGACAAAAAACGACACGACACGAGAGTGAGGTCGGCACTGTGGCACTGTATTCGTAGAGAACGAAGGAGGTATGATGGAGACGTAGGCGGAGACGAACCCATACGAGTAGATCCATCCAAACGTGAACCGAAAGTTGATCTGAAGGCTGGACGGGGAAAGGCTGGAACTGGCTCGGTCATATCTTGTGGTAGCGGGTGCCTCGTCTGCTGTTGTTGTTCGTGGTGCGCTGTTCGTCGTTCTTCTTGGAATGTCCCTGTTGGCCAGACGTCGACTGATCCAGAATTTGCAAATCCCAGAGTCCTGAATCAAGTCCCACCACCATTCCATTATCATGGGACATGTCCTGTTGTTGCTTCGCCTACGTACATTACTCGTAAGTCGCATGCACCCTCGTCTGGGTGAACCCATCAGAGAATCCATCAGAATGAGCTGTCCAACTTCCATTCTCGGAAGACGATGCATCATCTTCTCGAGGAACGGTCAATTTGACCCCTGTATCAACCACTAAATTCGAGTCCCTTATTGTCAATCATGAGACTTGATCGCTCGCTTGGAAACCGCCGGAGCCCAAGTGTGCAACTCCCAGTCTCGCCCAGCGGCCAGAACAGTCTCATCTCGTTACAGATCATCAACAACGATGAACGAGTGCTACTGTAAAAGGAAGGATGGTGGTCATTGGTGTTGATGGTGGGTGGGCAAGGTGGGCTCTGGGATTTGACTGTCGATCATGTCCCAGAGCCATGATCTAGATGATCACTTTTGTCAAATAGGCACAGTCGTTTTATGTGATAGTCAGCGCTTTTACATTTCGCTTCACCTGGGACCCCCTGTTTCATTGCCCGTCAGTCCTGTTTGGTAAATCTGCGTACTTAGATCCCCGTTTTCGGCGTGATTTTAGGGTTTTGCGAGTCATGATTCGACGAGTCAGGCGGTCAGGCTCGATAGGCAAAAATTGACAATAATGTGACTTTCGCAAGCCTGGGTGGGACCATTGTCGCAAGCGTGAGTACTGGAGGTACAATACGAGTCCTCGTAGGAGCTGAGAGGCGAATCCGGAGAGAAGGCGAAATGAGGCGAAACGAGACGAGGCCCGGCTGTTCTAAGTTCTACCCCTCTAAAAACACTCGTCGTCGGAACAGTCATCAGGTCCAATAAATGGTACGTGTGTACGTGTACACAAAAGTCGGCTTTCAAGCCCTCAGCATGTCGTGGCATACTCCGTATGCATTGTCGAACTGTGAACGCTATCACGAAGATTAACCCTCGGAGAATCGTCGATCAATAATAGTCATTCCCTTAACCCTACTGTTTCCAAGATACAACATCACGAACTGTTACCAGAATCTGATGGGAAAGTGGGGCTGAGGGGCTCTGGTAGGCGAGAGTCTTCCGGGAGGAGTCCGAGACCAGGCTAAAGGTTCGCTTACCCGTCAGGTGTGCCAATGACTTATGGCGCAGTCTGCAGTCTCTAAAAAGAAAAGTACTGGGGGTACATGCTTGGTGTTTGGGTGATATGTTGACTGTGGAGGCTGGCAAAGAAGCATCTGGTCGTATTCGATATACATACTCGGACTCGCGAGAGTTTACTCCAGAATTTGAATGCGACCAATTGTTGCGGTGTTGAAAGTTGTCTCGGTCGTGGCAGCCGAGTCGTCCCGTCCCGTCTCAAGATTTGTACTTTCCGCGCTGGGGTTCCCTGGTGACTCTGCGGGGGGAGTTTGGGTGGACGATCAAAATCTGGCGTCTGGTGTCGAAATGCATATGTACACAGACTCGAGATCGGCCGGGAAAGGTAGTTCCGAGTGGCACATTCGATTGGATTTGCTTTGCATGTTCTAGACCTATCATCATTCATCGTTGCAGGGTTGACACTCGTGCCCTTCTGTCGAGACTGTGTCGCGTCACCCACAGCAGCCACGGCCCACAAGGATCCTCAATCCTTGTCGCTCACAAAGGCCCACAGACGAGGCTTGATCGATTCATACTTGGGTACTTTCATCTCGCTTCGCGGTCGCCTAATTGATGCAAGTTGCGCATGCGTACAAGTATGCGTATGCGGATCTCAGTAGCGATATAGGCTAGGGTTTTTGGGCAGCTCAAAGGATGTATCAACGCATTACGAGGATGTTTCACATCGCATTCGAATTTTCATCAATCTCTTCCGTCACCCTTGTCTCGGCTGCCGTCCAAAAATCCATTTTAGGCCATTGCACCGACAGGACGGGAATCTATCGACGTTGAGTGTTAGGTGAAACTCCGTTCTCGTCAGAGGGAGGGGGCGAGTTGGGTCGCGAATTTGTCTTCAACCTAGCCTGCGGTGGCATGTTAAGGTGCTGACGAGGAGTTTGGTGCGAAACTTGTGGGCTGCCTGAAGAAGACCTCGTTGTCAAATTTTGACGGTCAGAAGCTCTCCTCCATCCCGCATTCTCATAATGTGCTAGCTTTTCCCTCTGTAGCTGCTTGACCAGCTTGTGGCGCCTGAGGTCTCGGAGGGACAACAACACTAGTGTGAGGTGTAGAACCCACAACAGGGCGCCGAAAACAATCCCTGCAATCTGCAAACTGCCCACAATGTACAGAACCGGTTCACATTCACGGGCGAACACGTTCAAGAGGTTGCAAACCACAACCCCCGACTGGGTTCTCATGGCTGGCTGCCAGAAACGGAACAGAGAACCGTAGCCTGCGATAAAGAGGCACGGCGCTAGGCTAGTCATGACTAGAACAGACGTGGCTGTATGAATCGTGAGGGATCGGCGTGAGGGAGAAAAAGAAGACCCAGTTGCTTGCCGTTGCATGCGAATTAACCCGTAGATGAGGACAATGGTGTGATATGCAAAGGCAAAGCACAGCGGGCCCAAAGAGATGCCATCAGTCCAGTCTCCTCGATTAGGTCCGGAATTGTGGAAGAAATTAGCATTCCAACGTGGAATTGCGGCGGAGAACAGAGAGATTGATGTCAGACTGGTGATTAGGCTCACGATGTGTAGAGTAATATTGGCCCGGGCCCTAAGGCGATGGTGAGAAGCAAGGTTCGATGGCGAGAGATGGGACGGGTAAGTTGAGGGTAGAATAAGAGTTTTGGTGGACATGTTGGGCATTTTTTTGACCGTCTTGGAATCGTGTTCGTAGATAGCAGTTCGTGTCAATCCAGATGTCGGGCCAGCCCGATGACGTGGTTGTGGGAGTTCGTCAGTCGTCAGTCGTAGCGTCGTGGTCGTAGGGCGAGTCTTGCCAGCAAGATCCGAACCATAGGCGTTGTCAGATGTCGAGGAACTGTGCAATGGGCACTTGCACTGTAAGATGCGTGGGAGACAGGATTCAAAGGAAAGGCAAAGGAGGAAGAGTAGTCCTGACAGGGAGAAATGAGTATTCTACGGTACCGAGGAGCAGGCATGACGGATGGGATGGTCCGGGGGCCATTCTGCAACACTCGCAATATTGGTCGAATGATCCAGGTAGGTTCGACAGAGGCGGTGGTGAGGTTGAAACAGGAGGTGTTTGAAGTCACAAGTGTTTGGTGTCAGCCCAAGGGATAAGCGTCTGAGAAGAACGCACGGCGGCAATTGGATGTGGTGAGTTCCCACGATGCCCTAGGCCCCATTGATGGCCCAGTGACAGTTGCGATTGGGGCCGTAATTTAGCACTTCGGGGCGTCGCAGACAGAAACCCAAATGAGGGAAAATGCCCCACCTATAGGCGAGTCCAGAAGCCGGTGAGAATGAGCGTCCTTGGAGGGGTCTTTTTTAACATAGTGATCCCTGCCATTTGGACGGCATGCCGGGGCTCCCTGGCCCCAGAGCGGCAGCTAACAGCCGTTATACGTCCGGCTTGTGGAGGACTCGGAAGGACAGCCCTGTGACTTGGCGGGCAAATGTGGTGTGAAATCAGTACCAATTGGAAATAAGAGTTTGCAAGGTGCTCATAGTGCGTAGGAAGCGCAGGGAGCGAGAACACCAGGGACCTGGTCACAGGTGTCCGATGTCTTTGATGACCTTGCTGGAGTTGGTATGTGGTTCAACCAAGCCTGAAAAGTGCATGCTCATTCTTAGACATGTCATGTTGATGTATGCTCGAGCATCAGCTCATCGTCCATCACACAGCCATTCTTTCCATTGTTGCCTGCCGAACCCCTCCATTGCCACCGGTCCGATATGAGTGTCAACACATCACCCATTAGGCTGCGTGATACGCCAGCTGAGTTGCAGGCCAAACTCAACCTGACAGGACCCAGATTTGACAACTTCAAGAACTTTGCTCGACGGGCGCACAACGAATATATCCAGACACACCCAACATCAAGGTGGGCCAACGTGAATGTGGTCTGGACGGCACTGCCAGAGCAGGAGAGGTTGGAAACTAGTCGAATCATGTACGACCTGTGTAAGGCAGCATCCCTGTTTCCGGCCGGTTACCCCCAAAGTCGAATCAAAGAAGGAATCGAAGCGAGGCTCCATCAAGTCAGGAGGACCTGGCAACAAGGAAAACGAGAGAACCAGAGACAACACGCAGATGACGACTGATAGAGTCAGCCAGGGTCGCGAAAAGAGGGGTGGCAGTGTGGCATTAGGGCTGTGGATGTGTCATCAGCATAAGAGAAGAGATGACGGACCAGCCAGGCCGAGTAAGCATCATCCTTGAAGGGTGAGATGGAGCAAGTCGTGGTGCAGACAGACAGACGCAGGCGTGTGAGGAAGAAGATTGGAAGAAGACGCGACGCGACACGACAAGACCCAAGACACGAATGAACGAATGACGTTGCTGGCTTGTGATGTTGTCGCCCTGGAGGGGAAGCCACGACTTGAGTTGTGGGCTGCGAGGTGTGGGATGCGGTTGCCCGACTCGCCAATGGGTCGAAAGAAGGAAGGAACATATGAAGATGGGGTTAGAGAGAGGAGGGAAGGTGCCTTGGTGGGGGCAGCGTGGAAAGTGGAAATCAATCGTCTTTTCATCAATCAGCCCTGGCTGGCCCGGCGAACTAGCGTTCATTGCGGGCACGGGTTGGTGCAAGGTCAGGGACGAGGGGACACGTCTCCAGTTCCTGCTCTTGCGATTGACGTGCATATGCATACAGAGAACATTGCATGTCACCTGTTGGTATCTGGTGGCTGCATGTGGAATGGGATAGGCAGAGAAAGTGTGCGATTTGGATCACTGACGAAGAGAATTTGATAGCATGGTCAGGATGGTTGGTTTGGCTCGGTTTTGAGGCCCGGCGACAAGTCTAATAATAACCCACAATCAACGAAGGGGGTTCACTGATGGTGTTTTAGGTGTGCCCCAGGGTCCTCGGGTCGTCCTCAGGCCCCTGGAGCCACAAATAGACCCCAATCTTCGGGGGGTTGAGGGATGAAGCACGAGGCGCGAGACGGGAGGGCCCGCCATTCATAGAGATTCTGATTCTGGGGCCTGTCTATCGTTGTAGATTATTCTAGGGCATGCATTTGTTTCTCATTTATGAATATCAACCGAGTTTGGTGATGAAGCTGGCTCGTGACCTTGGGTTTCAACAGACGACGCAGTCCGAGTACCTACACCCACATAATATTCCTGTATATCGGCCCAATGTACCTATTCAGGATCACGCAGCGGCATAATAATACAACTGTCCCTCCTTCTCAGAGTGGCTGTCATAGCCGTGTGTTTGTATATACAATATGTATATCTAGGCATGATGTCGTCGCTACAAATAAGATCATTCGCACGTAACGACATCACCCAGCGTCGAAAGGGAATAGCCATGAAAATATTCATCTTCCAGAATCTGATATACTTACGAGCTACCATACGTACGTGACCTGGTACCACTGGTAAAGCTCAACCAACCATCAATCAGCACACTTTCCCTTCCTTGATTCTGTTTGATGGGCGTCCACCTTAAGCACCTAAAGAAGAGACGACACTTGGCTGTAGGACTCCATAGACATCCGTCCTAGAGGTCTGCCGGGCCACCTAGCCCGAGATTCTTGACCCCCAACACCCATGAGATACTCGAATTGCTATTGGACACATTGATGATTAAGTCAAGGTACAGACCGGAAGAGCGGGAGCCCCGGAGAGTGACAATCTCAAGAATGGCAATGACGCACACCTTCCCTTTATTTTCCAGGTACGCAGACACCGCAGGCACCCAGGATCTTGCGAGGGATTTCATCATTCGTCCAGGTCACACCCAACAAACATACACTTTTCACACCGTATCCAGATCACCTACCTACATAACGATGACTAGATGGCCTTCTCCAATTTTGATTCTCTCACACGCCCAAAACAATCTTACCCTTATTATACCCCAAAACTAATTTGATTTAGCAGAGAAACGGCAAGGCGCTCCTTCACATGTCACGTATTCGAACCTCCGTCATGCGGTAAAGGAAGCCTGCTGTTATCTATCCCTCCACAACCCCTTCAAGGGTTCTTCAAGGGTTCCCTCTTTCCTCCATCACAGCATCAATGGCACCATCCCTCACTCCAACCGCTTCAGCCGCTATAAAATATGAGGAAAGCCCCGTCTCTGAGCCTCCAGCCACAAGTTTCCCGTATCCCACCTCCGACTCATTCCGTGATAGTAAGAAGTCTCGTGGATCAAATATCACCCTACACAATGGTGACAACAAACGAGATCAAGAGGAGGGAAAGGTGCAAGGCGCCAACAGACCGTCCTTGCCTCCCAAGTTTGAGACAGAAATCCCACAGCCTGTTGCGCCAACAACAGTGGACTCTTTAAAACTCCACCGTTCCATGACGAACAACCCTTCTGGCAATGCCAGAGATTATTTCAGGTTCAGAATGTCCTCTGACTCCTCTGAACAGGAAGAATCGCTCGAGTTACCCAACTTCTCAACCCTGCAGAAGTCGTCTACCGTGCCAGACAGAACACCCTTATCCAAGTCAGAGCTCAACCGTGTTCAGCGCCATCCTAGACATCGGGGCTTCACGCTCGGCAATGAACATTTCCAGTCGTCAGGCCGCGTTGCAAAGGATGGAAGACTCAATATTTCAGTCAAAGAGACCGCAAATACTGGTTATCTAGCTAAAGCTTTAGGCACCACTCTCGAAAACCACCTCAGACCACACTTTAAACAAGCGCAACAGGCCGCTCAACAGGCCAAGATTGACTTTGATCAGACAAAATCAAAGATTCAAATTCCCCGTCTCAACATTGTCATCATGGTCATCGGGAGTCGCGGTGATATCCAACCTTTCCTCAAGATTGGTCGTATTCTGAGAGACAAATACCACCACCGTGTCAGGATTGCCACTCATCCCACTTTCAAGAAATTCGTTCAAGAAGAAATTGGCCTCGAGTTCTTTTCCATTGGTGGTGACCCTTCGGAGTTGATGGCTTTCATGGTCAAGAATCCAGGCTTGATCCCTTCTCTCGAGACCGTCAAGGCGGGAGAGGTCGGCAAGCGTCGCGAATCCATGTATCGCATGTTCCAAGGCTTCTGGAGAGCCTGTATCAATGCAACCGATGATGAAACTGATGCCGCCAATCTCGAGATGATGGGTAACAAGTCTCCATTTGTGGCCGACGCAATCATTGCCAATCCGCCTTCCTTTGCACACTATCATTGTGCCGAACGACTCTCCATTCCTCTCCACCTAGTATTCACCTTTCCTTACTCTCCCACACAGGCATTCCCCCACCCTCTTGCCAACATCAAGGCCTCCAATGTCGATCAAAGTTACACCAACTTCATGAGCTACCCGTTGGTCGATCTGATGACCTGGCAGGGACTGGGAGACCTCGTTAACAAGTTTCGCACTCAAACCCTCGGTTTGGACCCTGTCTCGACGCTGTGGGCTCCCGGCCAGCTCTCACGTCTCAAAGTCCCCACCACCTATCTGTGGTCTCCAGGCCTAGTCCCCAAGCCTAGCGACTGGGTTCCCGAGATCGACATTGCCGGATACGTCTTTCTCGATCTGGCTTCTTCTTACGAACCTCAGGAAGACCTATCCAGGTTCTTGGAGAGGTCAGATGATCGTCCCATCGTCTACATAGGGTTTGGATCCATTGCTGGGATTGATGATCCAGTGGCATTCACCAAGATCATTTTCGAGGGCGTGGCAAAGGCCAATGTCCGCGCCGTCATCAGTCGAGGTTGGGGAGGCATGGGCGATGGACTCGACAAACCAGATGGCGTCTTCATGGTCGACAATATCCCCCACGACTGGCTTTTCCCCAAGGTTGACGCCGTTGTTCATCACGGTGGAGCTGGCACGACAGCTGCTGGACTCCGTTACGGCAAGCCCACGCTGATTGTGCCTTTTTTCGGCGACCAGCCTTTCTGGGGTGCCATGGTGGTCAAAGCTGGTGCCGGGGCGAGAGAATCTCTTCCACTCAAGAAGCTAGACAGTGACAAGTTTGCCCGAGGTATCCTTGAGTGTCTGGAGCCCTCAGCAAAAGCCAATGCTGAAGCCATCGCCAAAGATATCGAGGAGGAAGGTGACGGAGCCGAAAACGCCGTAGATTCATTCCACAGGGCGCTTGACCTGGATGCATTGCGCTGTAGCGTTTTCCCCGACAGGGTTGCAGTCTGGAATGTTCGACACACCAACACCAAGTTGTCGGCGCTGGCGGCAGATATCCTTGTCTCAAACAGACATCTTCGTTGGTCGGATCTGCGGTTGAGGAAATTTCGGCACTGGACAGACTTTCAGGGTCCTGGCGAACCAATCACCGGCGCCGGAGGTGTCATCGTAAACAGCTTTGTGGAAGCATTTCATGAATTGTGCGATATGCATGAGCATACTAAGGAAGACATCGCGAAATACGAACGACGACGGCATAAGCACAAACGAAAGTCAATCGCTGACGCCGTCGTGATACCAGGCCGCATAGCTTATGCCACGCGCGGCACGAGCATTGAAGAGCAACACAAAGAACAAGCGAGATTGAGGAGAAGTCTGAACCTCGAGGGCGAAGCTGAACCGCCAAAGCTCCCATTCACCCATTCGCCGAGAGAGGATGTGCCTCTAGGCGTTGTCTCGGGGTTGTCAAGAACGGAGACCAGTTCTTCGAACGATCGTCCTGTCTTTATAGCCGTCCTCCGGGACGTTGGCCAAGGGATGGGCCGTTCAGGAAAAGCCATTGCACAGATGCCGTTTCGGATGTGGACAGCAGCCGCCCTTGGATTTCACAATGCGCCAAAATTATACGGGGACAAAACCGTGCGACCGACACCGCAGAGAATCACAGGATTTCGAAGCGGAGTCCAAGCAGCCGGAACTGAATTCTACTTTGGATTATACGACGGCTTGACTGGCATCGTTCGATTGCCGTATCTCGAGGTGCAGGAGGAAGGGGTGTCAGGACTTCCCAAAGGCATCGCTCGAGGCTTCGGTGGATTGGTGCTGAAACCCATCTCTGGAATTCTCGGTCTGGGTGCTTACACGATCAAGGGTACATACAATAGCTTGCGTCGGCGGCTGCGAGACACGGAGAAAACGGACCGGTGGGTTCGAAGGGCGAGAATCGCCCAAGGCCAACGAGACATTCAAGACTTGAAAGACGAGGAGAAGGCGCGGTCAGCTATGGACAATCCTGTGCATACACAAGATGTTGATTCTGTTCGCGAAGATGCTCTGCGGAAATGGACCACCTATGAAAAGGACCTTGTCAGCGAAGGTCGAGAAAAGGAAGAGCGTAAAAGACTATGGAACAAGGAGGCACGTCAACACACGACAACGACCAAGCCGGGGCGTGCGCGCACACGATGAGATTCTGTACACACGCGAGAAGCAATCTCAAGGTGTGAAGCAGCAGACCGCAGCTTGCGAGGTGATCAGAAGTGATTTCACGAGACGGTGGCATGATTTGAAGATGCGGTTTGACATTCTCAAAAACAAAACCCATCACTAAGGTTGCGACCCTGAAGGATGGCGGCATCTCCACATTCGGGGCCAGCAACTCCGTATGTCATTCGCATTAGTCGAAGGTGAAAGAGGCCAATGGGAAGTGTGCGATAAGATGGTGGCCAGGGTGCATAACCAAAGCGCCAAGTGGAGATTTTCGAGCCCTACCCACAACGCCGACACGGGAATAACAACTAAGTGACGCCACCAAGGATGTGCACCTACCAGAGCAAGGGGATTTCAACGAGAAATTTCTGCGCCACCCGTCGTTTCTTCGTAGTGAGGGAAGCCGATATGCGAGACGTTTTATTGGTGTTGAGAATAAGGAACTGGTCTTTTTTGTTAGATACCCCATTGTACGAACTATGTAACCAAATATTTTGTAATGAGATGTTGGATGTAATCAAATGTAGAAGTGGTAAGAGCGAGACGAACAGAAGAAGGAACAATTGTGTGACACGAATAAGAAAAAGTCTGAGGAAAAAGAGCTGTGTCGCAGTTACTGGTTGCACATAGCAGTAGTAAGTGGCGGAAGGAGTAAAGAAACAAAGTCAGATTCATTTTGATCCTCCCGCTCCGTAAACTGAATTAGCTAGACTAGGAATTAATCGTCCTAGTAGTAGCGACGAAGATGATGATGGGTATGACCACCCATATCTGCCGCCATAACAATATGCATCAATACCATGATGCGTACCTAGGTACCAGCGAGATGTCTGGGCTGCAACCAAAAGCTGGGCCGACGCGAGTGTTGATATTCGATGAGCAATTGCGATCGAGTCATGTTCAAGTAATTCCTTATCTTCAGGAACCGACTGGTGGGCGGGTAATGATTATTGGTGGGGAGGAAGGCCTTCCAAGGGCACCGAGACACATCTGGCGAGCTCCAAGGGTGGGACGGGGGTGTGGCCAATCCAGCAAAGCCCAGCCTATGGGTAAGCTACGATCACTGCTCGGGTGTTCACCCCGCGTGGCCATTGACCCTCGACCTTCAGGCAGTACCTAGTACTTCCATATCCAGCTGCTCCCAGCTCACACCGCCGCCTGAGTGACAAAGCTCCTGACTCTGTCGTTCGAAGTGCACAACCAGTCAGTGTCGTCTAGAGTGGATATTTCTCGTGAGAATGACACGAGTCTGACTACCAAATCCTGTCCGAGTACAAACAGAAAAACAATGGTGTTGCATCATACGTCAACCAAGCCAATGCCGAGCTAGGTGACTCGAGAAGCAAAATGTTGAATCCTCCTCTACCCTAGCACGATCGAAGGGCCGGTCAACCGATTGACCATCGGGTGAGCGAAACGGCAGACTCGCGGCCTCCGGTAGGCTACAGCTGCCAGCCTGGAGGGGTGCGACCGGGGGTAGGTGCATCAAAGTTGGGGTGAAGACCCCCAAGATTGGCGGCGAATCGTCACCCAAGAAGTGACCTATGCTCGAGAGAGGCCCGGGGAACTCATGGCAACCATCAGGGTCTCTGCTTATGCGTACGTGTAGGCATGTTCATAGTGACAAGGTACTAGGGACCTAACCTTACTCAAGGCCCCCTCGGCCACCTCTGTCAAGCTGGAAACTGGTGGGGAAACCTTTAGTTTGCTGTGATCCCAAAGCTCCGTGGCTGCCCTCCCACCTCCATACAGGGGCGTGAGGGCCTGTCGCCCGAATGGCCGAGGGGGGGGGGCACAAGTGATCCACAATCGGGGCTTCTAGGCCGAGTTTCTCTGCTTGACTAGTGATGCCAGGATAGGCACTGCTTCCAAGGCACATCGGCAGTATATTATTGCTTCTGGTCTTCTCCAGAACCCACTTCCTTGCCCGTTATCAACCGCTCTCAATTCCATATCTTGGACTCTTTTATCTCTCGCAGATTCCACTCAAAAACAGCTCTTCTCTTTTCACTCTCATTTCACTATACTGCATTTGCAGCCTCCCTCAATTCCATCCATCTCAATTATTTCCCTCGTCGACCCTCATCACCTCCATCATCATGGTATGTCTCTTACCCCGCGGCTACCACCGCTTCAAGCTCAATCAGCGCCCACTAACTCCTTATCGCAGCCTGGGGACGGAGAATCCACCATCATTTCCAATGCCGCCAACGTAAGCCCTCTCTCCTGTCAGAGCTGTGCTATCCGCCTCCTTCCTCTTGCATACCACTTTCCCGCTAACTCGATATTTTTTAGTTGGAAAAATACATGAAATTGGACCAAAAGGGCAAGGTCCTCGCTGAATATATCTGGATTGATGGATCCAATGGCCTGAGAAATAAGACAAAGGTATGCAACCTCCAATCTCCAAATCTCCTTTCTTCCTCTGGTTGCCTGGAGTGTCGATTGCGTCTACTGCCCCATCAACATTATCAACACTCCCAACGATTTGGCCCTGAAACACGAGTGACAGCGATTTATTTGTCGCTGCGCTCATGCATTGAGGGCCGGGATTCCCCACGCCTTCCTGGTTGCGGCGGTGCACTAGGGCGTGTCATGGGGCGACGGTGGCTCATTCGGCCAGAAACCGAAAATGCTCCGCCGGAATCTGTTTTCGTGCCCACCCACCAAACCCTTTTGCGGCTTTGGCCGATCTCTCGGCACGACGTCAATAGGCGAAGGCTATTTTGGAAACATTCGCCTCTCAAGCGCGGGCCACCGGCAAATTGACACACTCAAATTGATATTACTTGCAGAACGTGTTCCCGCTGACTTGGCACCTTCTAGACCCTGAACAAGGCTCCCAAATCCGTCGACGACCTCCCCGAATGGAACTTTGACGGTTCTTCCACCGCCCAAGCTCCGGGCGACAACTCCGATGTCTACATCCGGCCTGTGGCCATGTACCCCGACCCAATCCGTCTAGGTGACAACGTCCTCGTCATGTGCGAGACTTGGGATCCTGATGGAACACCAAACAAGTTCAACTACCGTCATGAGGCCGCCCGATTGATGGACGCATATGCCGAGCACGAAGTTTGGTTTGGTTTGGAGCAAGAGTACACTCTTCTTGGCGCCGATGGGTGGCCGTATGGCTGGCCCAAGGGTGGTTTCCCCGGACCTCAAGGCCCATACTACTGTGGTGTTGGCACTGGCCGGGTCTACTGCCGTGATATTGTCGAGGCTCACCACAAGGCCTGCATGTACGCCGGCATTGAGATCTCCGGAACCAACGCAGAAGTCATGCCCGCCCAGTGGGAGTACCAAGTTGGCCCCTGCGAGGGTATTAACCGTAAGTTTCCGAGGCTGCAGCATTCACACGTGACCTCTGACTGACCTGTTTATTAGTGGGTGATCAACTCTGGGTTTCCCGATGGCTCCTTCACCGTATCGCCGAAGAATTCGGTGCCAAGGTTACATTCAAGCCCAAGCCTATCCCTGGTGACTGGAACGGTGCTGGCCTCCACTCCAACGTGTCATCCAAGGAGATGCGTGAGGAGGGTGGCATGAAGTACATTGAGGAGGCGATGAAGAAGCTCGAGAAGCGTCACGTTGAGCACATCAAGGTGTACGGAGAAGGCAATGACGAGCGTATGACTGGTGCCCACGAGACCTCGAGCATCGACAAATTCACCTGGGGCGTTGCCAACCGAGGTTCCTCAGTCCGAATTCCCCGTGCCTGCGCTCGGGAAGGCAAGGGATACTTCGAGGATCGACGACCCGCCTCAAACGCGGACCCCTACCGTAAGTTTTGCACTGCCAGACCATCGGCCTTGTGAATTTAAAACTGACTTGTTCACTTAGAAATCACCGGTATCATCGTCGAGACCATGTACGGTGCCCTCCCCGAGGAGAAGTTTTAGACGAGTGTGATGTACTGGCGCAGGCTGTCAATGCGGGAAAGGAAAGCATTTCAAGACAGTTGCCACGCAAGGGATTTTGGCGTTTTTTTGACGGACATATATGAGCGACTCGTTCCCATTCATCTAAAAATTGAGGCCACGGGGCTTGCCAGCCAACCTCCATCTCAGTGTGCGCGCACTTAGCGTTTGCTGTTCAGACCAACAAGAAGAGCTAGATCCATCTATAGCCAAAGGGCTCATCGCCTTGAGGCGTGGAGATTTGCGAGTAGATGTGACAAATTGATACCAATTTCTGACATCTTGTGGACATGCTATGTGATTGATTTTGTTGTTTGTCCTACAGTAGCTTGGATGTTGGTGACATGCTGCATGCGCTTCGATATCGACTGTCGGCTATTGAATGACCCTGAACCAGACGCCGACAACCCCAGATTCTCCTGTACTCAATGTCTTGCCCCAGACCCAGACCCTTGGGTCGTATTGAATGTGCAGGGAGACGCAGGCAAATTTTCAAAGACTAAAGACGGTTGCAGCCCAGGGATCCCCTTGGTTCAGAAGCTCGGCCATCTTGCAAGAATCCGCCAGCAAATACTCAACGATCTTGTCTCCACCAACGAACTCCTTGTCAACGATGGGCAGATGGTCCGTGACAGTGACACGTACTGTGTGTGTGGTAAGCCAATGGGGTAGATATGCAGAAATGACTCAGCAGGCTGTAAACAATGGGGAATGAGCTAGCTAGGTACAGCATATTGTAGATCTGGGGAAAAAGACGGAAGCTAGGAAGACTCAGTGCAGAGCGAGTGAGACAATGTTTGTGGTAGGATACCAAACGAGGGAAGGATCATATGCATCCTGTAAGCAGACCTTTCCGCACGTGGTAGGTCCAAGGCTGTGTTGTGCTGTGTGGCAGACAAGCTTGACAGGTCGCATGGGATGGATTTGGTCGTAGCCAGCCTGAAGGGTCTGTTGATCCTTGCCATGGCTTTGCAAAACAGGCGATCTTGATCAGGCTGCAAGGTGCATGAGATGATCAGACAGGTCGGGCCAGACCAGGCACCAGGGCTCCTTGATGCTTGTAAGAGACCAGAGCAAAAGAATTCTGACAGATGGATGCTAGGCTTGCGAGGTCGCTAATAATGGGCCGAGCCTGCCTGGCTCGACCATCCGTTGTCGGATGTCCGGGGTCTGTTGGTGGTCGGCCAGGCTCAGTATGTGCATACTGTAGCCAGCGCTGATAAGGTATCTCAACGTCAGTGGTCAGTGGCCAGTGGACAGGCGCATGGCATGGCATGGTCCGCATATGGAGCTCCGCCCCCCGGGCCAAATAGCATCAATCAAATGCCATGGCCCATGGCATGGTCCCTGTGTTCCTGTGAGGCTGAAGGGGCAATCTGTGGATTCCGCTCCTATCACGAACATACTTGTTGGTCTTATCCGGTTGAGGAGTGTCTTGATTAGCTTCCGCCGCCGTAGTTGTACTTGCGCATGCTTTCCGCCAGTGGTCGAGACTCTGGGCCCACAATTGGAGTGTGCCAATATAAAAAAGAAACTTGGATGAATTGAATAGGATGGACCAGACGGCAGTTTTGTTTGAGACAACCGTGACAACTTTGGTCATCTGGTCATCTAGTCAATTTGTCCTGCCGAGGCTGTGGACAATCACAGGTCTCAGCTTGTCCAAGCCTTTGTTTGAACTAGATTGTGCCAGGTCTAGAAACGCGCCACTCAATGTGGTCTGACTGCCACCAACTGACATAAAAAGTGCACCAGATATTTGACCTAACCAACAGGCAGGTACAAGATAGGCGACACAGTACGGAGTATGCCTGGATAGTAAATTAGAGGCTCACTGGAGCTTCTGCAAATTTGCACAATTTGCACTGCTCTGGTCTATACGAATTCTTGCTGATAAGAAAACGAAGCAAGCTGAGCTTTGAAGCAGAGGTGGATGCTCAACAACAGACGACACAAAGTACCATCGGAATTTCTTCTTGATGGTGTGATGAGGTGGTTTTGACAAAGGGTGTACCTTCCATCAAGGGGACGGCGCCAATCGCAGTCTGCATACGCATAGTTACCTAGGTAGTTACCTGCCCACGCTACCTTGGTGAGGCGGGAAACGGTCGGTAATGTTGAAGCGGATACATGATGAAGGCCGACAGGATCAGCCTCCGAGTCCACTGGTCCGGGGAAGCAACCGCCTAAACTTGGTCTCTATGGCCCACGAGCATCGCCCGGAAATAAGGGGTAAACATGAGACGATCCAAAAGCAATCCAGACAATTATCGATGACGGTTTGTGTGTGTGTGTGCACATGTGTAGTCAAAGGCTGTCCAGCTGAAAATCCTACGCGGAGTTGAAGCTGCCTGTCCGGGAACCAATCAGAGGATAAGGATAATTGATCAAATGATTGGATGGGAGTGCTCTGATAAGCGTGCAGCGGGCAGTGGATCCAAGATGGACACTAGTTCATCGACCAGAGGATTTAGCCGACGCTAACGCGGCTTGGCGCCGTCCCCACCATTCTGTTCGGGAAGATGCAGGCACAACACAGCCCCATGGGACCCGAGGCGTCCTCCAAGCCCCAACCGAGGGAAGCCCCAGTGGCCCTAGTGAAAGCCCCCAGGCCCCTTGGTGCCTCCTCGGTGCCCAGTGATGGCCCCTGTGCTCCCTGTTGCCCCCCGTGCCCCCTTCTGGAGGACCCGAGAACTGACGACTTTGACTTTGGGAACTTGGCCGAGAACTGGCCTTTACGAGCGTTTGACGGGTCCGAGTCTTCCACTAGACTGACAATGATTGATCATGGCTGATGATGACTGACCTTCAATCTCCAAGTGCAAGATAAGAGGCTTGATTCTGATTGGTCTGACATATACCTGTGTTACCTTCCATCGTCGACGAATTGTGTAACACGGCTATTTCTCAACTATCAAGGTACTCCGGACACCACGATTGACAGCTTCCAGTCAATGCCTCTACCGAGAGTACAAAAAGCAACTCTCGGGCCTCCCAGCTCTCCTCTCTCGCGCTTGGCATTACGAGAAGCAAATCACCCTGGTGCAACTTGGGTCAGCAATGCAAATGCACCACTTTTGGAGAGTCTGATGAGTGTCCCCAAAAGCACGTGTCTGAACAAAACGAAAAACGCCCACGAGATCAGCACAATTCGGCCATGCCTGGCCACCACAGACCAGGATGGTGAGCAAGCCAGACCCAAGGCAAGCATCTGCCAAACACGACCGCCAAGAGAGCTTGAACTGTTGAAGCTGGCTTTATTCTCGCTTAACCCCTCTCCTCTCAAGTCAAGCGGCGTTTCGTTCGTCTCGATATCAAACGCCAAGCCGGGCCCCAATGCATGATCCTGTTTGTAGTGTCCGCGAGGAGGCCCGAATACGGCATAAAACAAGCACAGGAAAAGAAAATGCTTCGATAACAATCCCATTCCGAGCCAGTCAACGCTCGGCCATCTGGTCTGGGCGTTGATCACACCAACATCTCATCAAAGTCGATCTCTATTCAGGGTTCGCATAGCCCATTCATCCAGTCCTTCAAGTCTTTCTGGTGGGCCGGCATCCTATTAGCCTCATGCATCTCACAGGACCCCACAACCTTTTTTCTTTGACCAGCTCACCCGACACTGCCAGCTGGATGTTCTCAACCATCGACGTGACTGGCGCTCCACTGATCCACGCCACCCTTGTGCAAGTCCATCATGATCCCATTCCAGATTCTAGCCTCCCATGCTTGGAATGGGTGGACAATGATGCACTGTAATTGACCATGACCGCCTTTCCGATTTCGCCCTCGCCCTGCGTCAATTTTTGTTCGACATGCCTCATATGCTTTTGCTGCTCGTCACTTTTCTTTTTTTAATCAGCCAAAGCGTTTCGTTTCTGACTCTGGGCCCAAACGACCTATGTTAAACAAGACCTTCGCCCTGTTGCCATCACTCTCTGTCACTCTCCATCCGTTCTTGCCATTTCTCTTACCTAACATAACCTCAACACCACCGCTTTCTCTCCTACCCTCTCACGACTTTCGCCCTCGTCCACATACCGTGGTGGGGTTGTACTACGTCCCCTCTTACTTCCCCAGAGTGGGATCCCAGACACACCGACGCCTACGTCAGGCGTAACCACAGCATCCCAGCAAGAAATCGTCCTCAAGAAACAACATGTCGTCGGAGCTCGATACCGTACCCTCCCAATACCTTCCCTCCTACGCTTCATACCCATGGGTTGGCGCCCCTGCAGATTACTCTCTGACCACCAACGAGGCCACCGGTGGTGACTCCAGTATGGAATCCATGGATTACGCATGATCCGTCCCAGACTAACACCGTGTTCCAGGAATCGAAAACTTGAACAAATGGTACCAATCCGGTGACACAGCATATATTATCCTTTCATCATGTCTCGTGTTGGTCATGATACCGGGGCTGGGCTTCCTGTACTCTGGCCTGGCCCGAAGAAAGTCTGCACTCTCCATGATGTGGGCGTGTATGGCGGCTGGATCTGTCATTAACTTCCAATGGTATTTCTGGGGTTACTCGCTCACTTTCTCGACCAATACATCCAACGGTTTCATTGGAGATCTGCATCATTTTGGCCTCAAGGAGGTTCTGGGTCAACCGAGCCCTGGCTCTCCTCTTGTGTCATCTCTGTTGTATGCCTTTTATCAGATGCAATTTTGCGCCGTCACAGCCGCTATCATAGCAGGTGCTGTCGCTGAGCGTGGTCGTCTTCTTCCCTTTTTGGTTTGGCTGTTCCTCTGGGCCACCATTGTTTATAACCCATTAGCCTGTTGGGCATGGAACGCCAATGGATGGGCTTTCAATTACGGTGTCATGGATTATGCCGGCGGTGGACCCGTCGAAATCGGCTCTGGACTGTCGGCTCTTGCATATTCCATGGTTTTGGGAAAGCGACAGGAAAAGATGATGCTCAACTTCCGCCCTCACAACGTCTCCTTCATCCTCCTCGGCACCGTCTTCCTGTGGTTTGGCTGGCTCGGCTTCAACGGTGGCTCATCTTTCGGTGCCAACCTGAGAGCTGTTATGGCATGCTGGAACTCCAGCTTGACTGCCACTATGGCCGCCATCACCTGGGTTCTGCTCGATTTCAGACTCGCCCGAAAATGGTCTATGGTTGGTTGGTGTTCAGGAACCATTTCAGGTCTTGTTGCCGCCACTCCTGCTTCAGGTTATCTTGAGACCTGGGGTTCCATCGCTCTGGGTGTCGCTACTGGTATCATTTGCAATTTTGCCACCAAGAGTGAGAATCGCTCCGTCCCCTTGTTTAATTGACAATTCACTAATCAAAATTCACAGTCAAATACTGGATCCACATCGATGACACCATGGACGTGTTCGCTGAGCACGGTGTCGCCGGTATTGTCGGACTTGTTTTCAACGCCCTCCTCGGCGTTGATTATGTGGTGGGCCTCGACGGTGTCAACACCGGATCTGAAGTGGGCGGATGGCCAATTGGTCAATGGAAGCAACTTTACATTCAAATCGCCTACATTGTCGCCTGCTCAGCATATTCTTTCGTTGTCAGCGCCGTGTTGGCCTACCTCGTCAACTTTATTCCCGGACTCCACCTCCGTGCTTCAGAAGAGGCTGAGCTCCTCGGTATGGATGACGATCAGCTCGGCGAATTTGCCTACGACTATGTTGAGGTGCGCAGAGACTATTTGGCGTGGACACCAACAACCAAGGACCAAGGATCTGTTGACCCAGATCCATCCCAAGACCAACGCCACGGAATCGAGGGACACAGTAAGATGTTCAAGAATGCAGATACCACCAGCACTGGATCTGGCAGTGGAGAGCCGACTGTGGAACCTGTACATGAGCCGATTGTGGCCAAGGATGACCGACCTGCCGCGGTCGCTGAGGACGCAGAGAAGGAGAAAGCCGCATGAGCATGAGCACCAACACAGACGAAACCATCGAAATGGATTCCCAAGCAATCAACGTGGTTTCCTATCGCGCAGACTGAGTCTGGTCCACCCATCTTTCCCATGTACACAGTCTCCTCAATCGTTTCTATTACTACTTCACCTTTTTTTCCCACCTGCCTAGATCTAGCGAAGACTTATTCCCTTATTCTAATTTGGGGACGAATGGAGCATATTCTGATTTCCACGAGCCTGCTGAGCCTGATCATTCTGGCACACAGATAAACAAGTACATCAAGCAATGGTTCTGCTTTGGACAGACCTGTTTTGTCTTTCCGTTATGGTGGCGTCGACGTAAGCAGTGGGGCTGAGATGAGATGGCTCTCACTAGTGCTTTGTCGACCAAGAACGAAGTTGATATATACATACCTATCCTTACTTAGATACAGATACCCAAATTACAGATACATGAAAAATACAATGATACGGTCAGTTTATTGCTCCACTCGTGTTTCGAGCGGATTTGATATTTCTTTTCCCTGAGGAGGACGGTAGGTGGATAGCCTATGCATCCCATTTTGAAAAGTGAAGACAGATCGCTGATCACAAGTCCTGGGTGGGCCATCACTCATGGTAGCAAGTCCTTTCTGCTCAGAAAAAACAAATCACCCCAATCGGGCACTCCTTGACTAGCGTGCTGGGCAATTAAATAGGCACAGTGGATTTGCATCTCCTCTTCTTTTCTTTTCCTAGACTCTACTCCGTAACATTATCAAGCGCCTCCTTCATCTGCTAATTCACCGATTTGACCCTGGCTGCTTGAGTTCACGATCCGGTCCAGCCGAAAATCAAAACACCAAGGAGCCAAAGGTAGCAACCGAGGTCAACATGTACGTACTTACTCCGTACATGCATAATCGCGATCCATAATTGTCGGGAAATCGTTATCGCCTAAGAATAAAGAAACTCAACGCATTACTCCGTAGATTGTTAGTCTTATAGTGGTGAGGAATGCTCCATAATCAGGTAACTACCTAGTACTTATTACCTCCATTCCTCTTGCTATATTCACTAGATGTTCCTTACACCACAACGGATGATTCACCCCATAGTCATCAAATCAAGATAAAAAAGAAAGTGGCATCGCAGAGCGATAGATGAGGGGAGTGTCCTTGCTCTCACAGGCACGTGCTCTTTCCATGACTGTCACGTGAGCTACCAGATGCCTGAGCCTTGTTTGCTCTCGAAACCCTCCCACCACCTCATTCTTCGCAGCCTACCAGTCTTTATGGTCTTCAGATATCCCAGTGATTTTTCATGGTTGTTTAATGAGAACCCAAACGCTCTTCGTTGTACGTCTTGACTGTCCAAGTAGTCCGTTCTGTTGAGAGATTTGTGGAGTCTTAAAGGTAAATCAATGTTGTGGAGTGATATTTTATATTCATCTGGCTTTACTGTATTTTCCTCCCTCCATGAATGCATTCCACTCGATATGTCCAGACAACCTATTCGACGCCAAATCATTACCGGTCATCCTAACCTTGAAGGAATAGTTTCCGTCCCAAGAAAAATACAAAGTTGATATGCTGTCGTCGGGAGCCTCGCCATGGCTGATTGGGTTGGCTGCACCTGCAGACCTAATATTCGCTCTCTATTGTCTCCTTTCATACACGAGACGGATGGGCTACTCCATCCGTGTCCATACAACCCTGGCTAGATTTTCGTGCCATCGCTGGTGAGTCTCGATTCTAGGGGATCTCGGCCCCACGGCCGCGGAGCACGGAGGTCGGTGGCAGGTTCGCTCTTCCGGACTTGTATATCTAATAACCAACATAATGCAAACAAGTCAACCACCACTAGGTAGGTATTATTAGGGCCATTGATGAGAGCCAGTCCTCCCACTGCGTATTAACCGGGTGATTTGGGTCTACGCTAGCATCATGGGATCCATTCCAAGGATTAAAACACCCCTGATAGATTTGTTAGGAGTTCAGCATCCAATCATTCTAGCCCTTGACACATTGATCCATGTTATGAAGATAATCAGAGTCTAAATTCAGACACCAGTCAGGAATGGCCAGAGGTTCTTCTGGTATGTTGGCAGCGGCGGTGTCCAACGCCAGCGGATTGGGTGTGATAGGAGGACTCGTCGCTATAATGCTGGTATGCTGATCATGCAAATATGGGGCGTGGAACGAACAAAAGTACAGAATGACGTGGCCAGTGCAAGTGACATTGACCAAAGACGAAAAGGGGCCCGTTGAAACTGCAATGTATTGTTTTGTATTGGAATAGGCATATGATTTCATCTTTATATTTCTGTCACGGGAGATATGTGTGTAGTTTCATACAGGAAATTTGGTAGTGACAACTCAAATGCCCTGTTTTCAAGCAGTAATTGGTCGCGATGCGTTATTTCAGGTCGAAGTCATGTGAATGAACACATAAAGATACCTGGTGATAGAAGTATCGTAACAGCGACTGTGTGCAGGGGTGCTGCCGCTAGGACAGCGACAGCCTTTGTGGTTGGAGGTATTAATGGCCAACCGAGTGATTCCCAGGGTCATAGAACAGGGAACAGAGTTCGAGAGTCAAGGCCCCAAGTCCAGCGCTGACTGGGTAGGCGCTGACTGGGTAGGCGTTAAAGGAGCTGGTTCAAATGATGAACCGTCGCTCGAGTCTTGTCCTTCGTTTGATCTTGGTGACGAACAAGTTCGATAGGCTGCCAGCCAGCAAGATTCATATGTAGTTGATGTGAAGTGAACGCAGAAGACAAGTGGACTACTCGCGGGATCGATTCTGATCGATATCTCGCACCACATTCTTTGGTAATAATATTTCCGCACCTTGCAGTGAACTGTCAGTCTGGTCGGGTGTTTCGAGGCTGATCACGACTGGAATTCGTTGAGCGACGAGCTGGACATCCTAGAGTGTTTGGCCAGTGGAGGTGCTGTCGATAGCTTGACTGATGGTGACATCGAGGTGTAGAGGTTGATCATTTTGGTTTGCTCAGATGAGGCTGGCTTCTTGAAGTGCGTCTCGGCATTCTTTATTTGTTTGACAAGCAACGTCTTTGTCGGATGCTCACTCACAAGTCTCGAGCATCTTCTTGATAAAGCTCTGCAATGTTGGATTCCACAAGGCAGCAGCAACTCTTTCCTTATCTGCCAACTGCTTGTTTACTTCGTCGGCGGTGGAATGGGTTCCCTCTTTGATCCTGACATCGACTCTAAATCGGGGAGGTAAGGATTCCTCTAGGCGAACTCTCACACCTAAACCGATGACGGTGGCCAAGCTGCAGTGTTGGATGGTGGGAGTGATGAGGACGGTGACGGTGCGAAGGTCAGAATTTGGTCGAGAGGAGAGTGTGGGTTTGATGGAGATGTCGGGTAGCGAGACGACAGCGAGGGAACCGAGTGTGATGGGATGCTCTGGATCGGACATGGTGGAGATGAGATCGTAGATCTCCTGTGTATCAATGGGTTCGTCTTCTGCGTCGCTGTCGGAGTCTTGCAACGAGGACGACGATGGGCTTGCGGAGCGTGCGAAAGGATCGTTGCTGAAGGATGGAGGGGGATATGCGAAAGCAGAGATGCCATTTGCATGGTCATCTTTGCCTGATGGTCGCCGTCGTCTCGTGGGGAGATCGAGAGGGTTGAGGATTAGGGGGTTGGCGTTCTTTCCGTCTTCCATGGTGGCGAGGTGTCTTATGAGGTGAATACAGAGGTCAATCGATGGATGGGAGAAGATCGAAAGTCTGAGGATGGGATGAGGATGTTTGTCAAATTTCACGAGTCACGTGACAATAGAGTTGGTCAGCCGTGCGGGGCTGTCTATACCACGTGATGAGACAAGCCGTTGTCTGTAAGTCCGCCTCTCCTGTTGGTGGATGACGCTCACTCGGCATGGGCCGGGAGAGTGGCGAATAGAATCTCATCACAATGCATAACTATGGATGTTGATAGTCTATACTATGCATGCATGTCTATGTACTTGGTAAGACTTACGGAGTAGAGAATGCATAATACCAACGCTCGTGGTGAGTCTGTGAGTCTGGACCTCTCAGGCCAACCGCCTTTGCCAACATACGAGACTACACGGAATAGACCACACCAGTCATCCCCGAGGCCTCCCAAGAACAATACTAGTCAATCTGGTGGGATTGAAGCTGCTGCCTATTTCATGTGTGACATTTTGGAAAAACTTGGTGTCAGCAACTGCCTGTCTGTGGCAGGATCTGATGAATCCGAGGCCAGCCAAGTGCGACAGAGAAGGCAATTGTAACAAGCATGCACACGAGCACCCCAGTGTCGAAATGAATTATAGGTGAGGAAAAGCTTGCCGTTTCGATGACAAGAATGCTCGGGAGGGGTTAATTGGACGACAATTTGCAGAAGTTGAATGAAGTTGAAGTCTGTCACTTGCTTCAGACACTCTCTGTTCGTCATATTGGAGGAGAAAGCGCGTATATCAATGGTGAGCTGGTGCCGGGCGGCTGATCCTGGAGTCTCTTCAAGCGTACGACCAGGTTGCGCTTGCCTGACCTGAGCACCAATGTGATTTTTTATCTACATTCTTAGGGAAGGTGCCACTGTGCCTATAAGAAGTTAGCAAACCCAATGCCAAGGGGCCGAGGGGCTGTAAGGAAGCCCCTCGGCCGCTGCACTTGCCGCCAAGCACCAAATCCAAGCACCTGAGTAGCACGTGCTAGGCAGTGTTAGGCGCCTCGGGCTCTCGTGGTTCCTAGAACCCCAGCTTGTTCCTGCCACTATTGTCTAGGCCTACGGAGTAAGTATGTTGCCTACTCGTCCACAGAACGATAACTGCGCAGGCTGGCCTGACGATTACATCCTACGTACTACTTCCCTACCACCGTTCTGCTACTTTTCTACCTAGACTGCGTGACTAGGGAAAAACCAGTTGTTGTACAAACTCAACAGACTCAACCGACTCCTGATCCCATCACTTACAGGCCATCATTCCTTCGCGCGACCCATCCATGCCATCCAGATCCGCTCTCCTCTCGTAAACGGCTACCACCCTCGTTCACGGGCTCACCATTGACGTTGCATTGTGTGCTGACGGGCCACGCTCGGATCAAACAGCCCACTCCATAGTTGGTTCCAGCCCAGCTAAAAAGCCTCCTCCGTACAGGCTACAGCAGCCTCCACCCCCACCCAACCAACCACTACCAACTCTTCCCTCCATCATCCATGCCAAATCCTCATTCCTCACATTCGCCTCCACTATTCTTCAATTAAAACTTTGAAACCGTTCTCGACAAGCCATAATTTCTCAAACAAGAGCCAGACCTTTTGCAGAAAATACCACATCTCGAGCCAATCCCCCTGATCTCTGTATCTAAGACCCAACGACCTACTTCTCCCACCACACCCCGATTAGCCTACTCCCAGAGATCGCCCACAGTCCGGTCCAAGACAGTTCCGTTCCGTTGCATCTCCCTGGCTGTCATGATCCTCACTGGACACCGCCTTCATCAGTCCATCACCTCAAAGCAAATAAACCCGCCCCACTAGCTAAAAAGCCCAGTGCCCTGGTCACGGGTCACAACAGAGCACCCATCACATCACTACCCCCAGCATTACTCGCAGATCTTCCGGTGCCTTGAACGATCTTCTCGTCCATCTCTGTGTTTCAACCCTAGCCCACCGTGTCTGAGAGGCAAAAGCCACTCAGCTCTGCAAGAAGACCTGCCACGCTGGTTCATCTTCTCTGCTGACGCAGATGCTTGATGCACGTGCCGAGGTTCACATTCAAGCTTGCGCCACCTTGGGCCCATCGTCTCCGTAAAGTTTGCGCTGTCGGCGAGACGTGAACCACTTTTCCAACGTCTTCCCTGGGAACTTCGAGATCTACAACTTCAACTTGGGAGCCTCGTTTCCTTTTTCCCTCATCAGATACGCCCCATTAGTTCATCGCCAGATAGCGCCAGATCACCTCTTCGCCTTCCAGCGTTCCTCTCGGCCCCTCCACTGGTCCGGGGATTCGCCTAGATCCACAACGTCTTCCGTGTGCCGCACTTGACCAAATGTGGTTCACCCCGAACCTCGACGGGTGATGTTATACCACAATGCAGAGCTTTGCACTCTCCTCGGCGCCTCCATCGGCCCAGAAGAACTATGTCTTTGTCGATGAACATAACCGACATAAGCGTCTCAAGGTTATGAGGGCTTGCGAAGGTTGTCGTCGTCGCAAGATCAAATGTGATTCTGCCACCACTAACACATGGCCATGCGCCGCCTGTGTTCGCCTTAAATTGCAATGTGTTCCCCCTATCGGAGGTTTGGACGGCGATGACGGCGACGATGGCCCGCTTGCCGCATCACAGCCTTCCACCATCCAACCTACCCAGACACCCTCGCAAATTCCACCGCTCCAGCAATCCCAATCCTATCAATCACAACTTTCTACTGGACCACCCGTCCAGTCCGATCCATCTCTGAATTATGACGCTTACGCAGGTTACCCAAGGCCCCCCTTCCAAAGCCTGGACAAGCCATATCTTGACTATTACTCAACCACACAGACATTTCCTGGATCTTTAAACGCTCCCTACCAAGCAACTCCCCAGGATTTACAATACTTTGCCGAATCCCAGTTCCCAGTCAAACAGGAGAGGACAGACTCGACAGCGTCGGACAATTTCACCGCCGAGGATTTGATGGAGCACATGGGAACCCTGAAAATTGCCGAAAATGGCGTCGCACCGTATATTCGGGAGGAGAAAGGCGTGGGTCAAGGTTCGATCGCTCCCGTCCATGAAGCCGAGACCGAATCGAGAATCGTCGCCGCTTTCAGCACCGATGCAGGGTCTCATATTCGCATTCCACCCGCATTGATGCCCTTTGACGAAGATGCTATGGACGCTTTTCAGACATTCTTCAGAGATGTCCATCCATACGCACCTGTTCTATGTCGCAATCACTTCTACGATCAATGGCACAATGATCGGTCATCTCTCTCCCCTCTAGTTCTGGAAGCCATTTTCGCCAACGCTGGTAGGCTGTCGGATGACCCTGCCCAAGGTGCCCAATGGTTGGCCCTCGCAAACAGTAAGACGCTTCCCCTTTATAGCCAATGCCACTAACGACAGCAGAACATGAAACCTGTTTCTTGGACAGACCACGCTTGAGTACTTTACAGGCGTTGATCCTTCTGCTCAAAGCAAGAGAAAGTGCCCCAAAACGCGGATACTACTACCGATCATGGATGACCATCAAAACCGCAGTCTCAATGGCCAAGGACCTCGAATTACACGAGCATTACGAAATACACAATTCTGGAGAAGACTGTGACTCTGATCCAGTGGAATGTTTGACCAAGACTCGAGTATGGCAAACTCTGTTGATATGCGAAACCATGGTCGGCGCACCCCAAGGAAGAACCGATCTCGGAGTCGATCCGAGCACAGTCGATATCAGTACGCACCCACCTCACTCTGACATGGACGATTTCGAAAAAGCCATCACCAGGCAGTTTGCTTACTTTGTCCGCAATGTTCGAAACATTCGTCTCATCACCGAGGTTTCGCATAAACTCAAAAGGAAAAAGGACTGGGGATTGGAACCAGAGCTGGTCAAGTACAACTCGACCTTTCGAAAGTGGCCAGCTGAACTTCCCAAAGACCTTCAGATCATCATGCCGCCCAAAAGCGGTATTCCTGACATTTCATCGCACTTCTTGGGCAATATGCATTCATACTACTACTTGGCCATTGTTATGCTTCGACGTCCGCAACTGTCGGCCTCACAGAACTATGGCGCCGATGGCGCCTGGAAACAACACATGAGTGTCTCCTATGATTCTGCCAAGATGCTGTGTCGCTTACAGGAAGGCATTCTCCAAAAGTTTGATTTGATCGGCCTCCTCTGTATGCAGAGGGGCATTAATTTCACCATTTACGCCATTTTGACCTGCATCATGATTCATTTGATCGCAATCTCCTCTCCCGACCCCGAATATAACGCCGATGCTCGAGATTACTTTGTCCGACATATGCGCATCCTTGAACGGTGCATGTCGGCCTGGCCGATGCAAGAGACGGAAGAACAAATCAATGCTCTGAGAGCCGCCTTCTCTGCTGACCTCAATAAACCTTTCCAGCTGCGCGACTCCTTCCCCCTTGGCTCTCCGTCCGATCAGTCTCGACCCTCACCAGCTTCTCAGTCTCAAACATCACCTCCCCATCAATCAACTTCTCAACCGCCCACCCAACTTCATCTTCAAACCCCAACACCAACCCAATTTCCGGAATTGCAGCAGCCTCAGGCCACCTCGAGCACTTACCTTCCACACCATGTCAATGCTGTGCAAAACCAGTCTTCATACCTCGCAACACCGCCATTTTCTGCTCATGACTCCAAACCGCCCACGCCAATCTATTCAGCTTCTTATGATATCCCCGAACAAACGAATCAATATTCCAGTGTGGGGGCAAGTACGGGGAATTACTATACGTCGCAACCATCTGCACAACCTCAGAACGAATTTAACTGGAACCCCACCCCAATCATTCATCAATTCGACACCGCATTTGCCATTCCACCCTCGGCTCTTGCGCCCCCACCGAGTATGTACGGCGGCAGTGGCACGAGCCCACCAATATCTCTTCAAGGATCATTCAGCCGCCAAACGAACTCTCCATCCATTGTACAGGCATCCTCTCACCCACAGCCTCAACAACCATATCAAGTCCACCAAGTTCAGCAGCAGAATTACTTCACTCCACCAATTGGACTTCAGCAACAACCCCCGAATCTGGACAACCAGCAGAACAACAGTCCAGTCGGGCCGGGAGGGATGCAACAAATGGCCAGCGGCATACCTACATCGGGTGGAGAATTTGGAAATATTGAAGCAGCTCCGAACGCCTTTCACCCGAGCATGCAATTCGTCACACCTCGGCAGTGGCAGCAGAGCGTGCAGAGTGTCTTTGCAGCCGGAGGCATGAAAAGGCAATGGGACTATGATCACTGATCTACTCTGATTTCTTGTTGGTCTTGATTGGAGGCAAGGTAGGATGGCGTTGCTGGCGCGTCCTTTGGAGTAATTATTTTGTTGGATGGAATAGTGCATATCTGTTTGCCTGGCCGTCCAGACTCACAGCTTTTGCACCCGATTTGTACATTTGCAACATCCTGACATGGCACAAGTTCTCGCGATACCCGGACAGCGATTGGTGGGGTTGACATGTATGGACCCTGCGTGTGTTACGCAGTGAAAGATGAGACCATGGGAACATGCCATTTACGATGAAATAGTGTGACGAATGATACGAGTATTGCATGTCTTTTGACTGATAATCTAACCTAACCTATCAAACATAAGAGTGGTGAATTCAGATCGAGTGCCTCTGAAGGTTAGAAATGCTTCTGGGGCTCAAGAGACCAAGTCGATCAGCGCGGTTCGCCCCAAACCACACTATGAACCTTGTTGTAGAGCTGAGCGTGGACAGATTGTTGATACGTCAACGTTGGCCATCTGTGTTCACAACTATTTCGGAAACCCATCTGGGATGATAGCAGGTTTGTGCCGGTATCCATGGTTATGGCGATTGCCATATCGATACGAGAGAGCTCATGTTCCCCGTCGCCATCATACCACTCAACTCTGAAAGCCAAAGCTTGACCCTAGGCATGGTGAAAAGTGCGCTCTGGTTGGCTTCGAATCACCGTCTCGTCAACCACTGGGTCAGACTCCTATCCCAGGCCTCAATCCGAATAGGCATCTCCATCTGCCAGAATGGATTCTTACAGACGTAATCTGCATATCGCTCATATATGCCCTTCATCAATACATCTGTGTTGGGCATACTAGGGTCGGTGAAGAGGAGAAATTTGGTTCCACTAAGTGTTTGGAAGACAGTGAGGCGAAAGAAACTCGATTCGAGAGATTCGATTCCAGATGGCGCCACCGTCGGGTCAGGATATGTCCAATTCTTGCCCGTTGAACTCGCGGATGAGGTGACGGGTAGCTTGGGTGTGAGAGATCGTGTGATGGCATGAACACCATGAAATGTCCCTGCGAGGACTAAATAATCGTTGGTGGTTAGGCTGCTGGTGCCGGGGAGACCTAAAGTCCCCTGCGTCTGAGGAGTCGCATTGGCGGTGCCTGGAGTAGTGGCAGGGAAGGTTCGGTGGTATATGAGAGATCCTGCTTTGGAAATGATCAAGAGAGCAAAGACGGGCCTGGATAGAGGTTGTAGAATTAAGTCAGTGTCATGCATTGAGATAGGGTGGTTTCAATGACTATCGTTGGAGCCCAAGGGCGGCGGACTCACATTTTGAAGGGATGAGATCTGGTTAGGGTCTATAACTTCCGATCCAACAACGTCGCATTTTACATTGCGATGAGGTCTGGAGACCTTATGACCCTCTCGTCGTAGATTCAAAGAACATGTTCAGCATTTTGGCTGGTGGGGGGAGTCGTGTCAAGGCAGGATCGCCTCATAGTCGCAGTCGCAGTCACAGTCGCAGTCGCACTTGCTCCGATGACAATGCCAAGCCCGATGTCTATTGACGCGTTTGGCAACTCTGCCTGCGGATGGACTTCCACCATGCAATACAGTTGCTGATCATCAACCTCTCTCCATATCAAATCTATACGCTCTGACACTCCTCTGTCACCATTCTCGTTCTCTTCAGCCCATCAACTCATACATACCTCTCCTTTCATTCTGAATTCATCACCCTACCGCCGATCACCGACCTCCCTGTCCCACTCACACCCACTCCTCAACCTCCATAGCCATAACCTGTTCCCTCCACCGCCATCATGGGGCTCGAAGCGACCATGATCCTCGTTGACAACAGCGAAACAAGCAGGAATGGTGACTATCTGTAAGTCTCTGACAGCTTTACAGTTTGCCCTCGATCTAATTCTGTCTAGACCCAATCGATTCTCAGCACAAGCCGAAGTCGTCTCATTAATATTCAACTCGAAGACCGGATCCAACCCCGAATCTGCCGTCGGTCTCATGTCTATGGCTGGTACCGGTCCCACAGTCTTGAACACCCCAACTACAAACTTCGGTGCAGTTTTGTCTGGTCTCCATGGCACCAAAATCAAGGGACATATCAGATTGGGAACTGCCATTAGTGTAGCAATGCTAGCACTCAAACACAGAGCCAACAAGGCTCAACGGCAACGCATCATTGTTCTCATATGCAGCGAGCTGGATAATAAATTCGGAGACAAGAATGACACTGAAGCGGAACTGATCAAGTTGGCAAAGAAGTGCAAGAAGAACAATGTATCAGTCGACTTTGTCGCATTCGGCGACGCCATCGAGTCCAGCACGAGACCCATTCTAGAGAAATTTGTCGAGACTGTTGGTGGCGATTCGGGTGAAGGTAATTATATTGCCATCATTCCTCCTGGCCCTGGTCTCCTTGGTGATAGCCTCATCACCACTCCGATCGTCGGTATGGAAGCAAATCCAGGAAGAGGCGGTATTGAGGGTGTGGAGACCGGACCTGCCAGTGGAGACGGGTTCGAGTTTGGCATTGACCCTTCGGCCGACCCTGAGCTCGCAATGGCCTTGCGCATGAGTATGGAAGAGGAAACGAATCGATTGGAAAGAGAACGGAGGGCGGCTGAAGAAGAGGCAAGACGGAACGCTGATCGAATGGATACTATTAACGAGGAAGGTCAGGCTGGACATTCGACCAGTGGTACCAATCAAGATGGAGATAACAGCAATGACTCGAAGCAGCCTCGGGTGGAGGATGACAAGGCGGATAAACAGGATTGATTGAACTAAACCTGTTGTATTCACGATTGTACCATTATTCTCGGAGATAAGATGGCAGAGAGCTGGTGACCCCAGGTATTGGTCAGCTCGAGTGGTCCATGGCCACAGTTCGAAGCGAAGCTACGGTTATCCTGGCAACTTTCGATCTATCTCCCAGAAATTCCGCATAGATCAAATGAGCAAGATCGGTGTCGACAACGAGAGATTCCAAGCTGGCATAGATGCGGACCTGCTCACATCGATGCCATTGATAGTGGAATCCCTTGTTTCTGATGACCCCTTCTTGTAGTTGAACATGTTGACCACCACCGGTATGGGGCATATATCCCTCCTGAGTCGAACCCCAAGACTTCTTGGTGACCATCTCTCCCATATTCCCACACATAGCCGACGCAATGCAAATGCTGTGATGGTACAATGGGTGATGAAACCATTTCCCATCAACGGCTCAGTAGACGGAAGAGGGAAGAGGGAAGATAACGGCCAAGTCGCGAGATTTGGTTACCTCCGTGTCCTTCTGAAATCTGTTGTGTCTGTTCAGTCCTGAGATCGAATTCCTCGTGACTAGACATGATTTGACAGTGTCTCAGGTGACGAGTTCTGGTGTCTCCGTGCGGGACTATATCTGATGTGATAATGATCGACTTGCCATTGCCATTGCCATTGCCATTGCAATTGCAATCATCGTAATCATCAACCTCGTCACGTAGATCTCACCTCCCCGCCCCCATCGCCGCTCCTCCAGCCCCCATAATCCTCTCCTCTCTACTTCGAACAATCCTCGCCCTATCCCCGGGTAAAGGCTTAAGCTCATCATTTGGGTCAATGACACCCGAGCCTGGTGCCGACACCGATACTGATCGAACAGTCCCCGTCATACCAGTTCCAGTCGCGGTGCCGGTGCCTTGCTCCGTCCTTGCTGCTGCCCCTTCAGCCTCGCGTGAGAACAATCCGTCCGGGTCCTCGCCAGTTTTCAGATATCGTGCATATGCCAATTTACGGAGATATGTCTCCTCGAATGCGGCGATATCTTCTGATGTGATGGTTAATGCGGTTGGTTTGCGGCGGAGCATGTTTCTGGATTTAGGATTTGACAATTTGGAAGTGGTTGATTATCCAGTCTGTTGTTTGTACTTGGTTGAAGATTGAAGGCTTCAAGTGTTTGAGATGGATTGCGTGTCTGTCGCAATAGGAGTTGTCGCGCCAGGGAACGAACGGGTACTGAGTGAGTATGCACTTGGCGGTTTGGTGGGATTGATTATTGGTACAGCGAGAGTCTTATGGAAAGGGTGGATTAACTAAAACTGGCTGTCTGTGATGTCTTTGGTCCAAAGAAATGAAGATGGATAGACCTTCTCGTTGTTATTGATGTTGATATCACTCGAGTGAAGTCGATGGATCATCATGTGGAGACTGCCAAGAAATTTACAGCCCCAACCGTAGCACGAACAACCACCAACCACGTTCTGTGTCAAGGGTGTCTGCTTCTATCTTCATACATATGAATGACAACAGCATGTCTTCTCAATCCGCTTTCAACAGTCTACCTGTATCTGTCATTATCTACCCACTCGGATCTGTCCACCTTGTCTAGCCAAAGATGGACTAATCTACGAGATTTCTTTATGCAATTCGACTCTTGATTCTCAAAAGGCCAAACATTCCCAGCCGGGTAGAAAGGGTCATTGATGTATCAGTCGTCATCATCATCATTCATATCATCCACACCTCTCAACCATGACCCTCTAGCATCCACTGCCTCTTTCCTCACATCACGCTTCGAGTCGTCTAGCACTCCCTTCAAGCCATGCAAGACCTCTCGCTTTAGGTTCAACAATGGGTTGGCTCGAGTAGAACTTGATGTGATGTATTTTGGCATCAGTGTCAGACATCGGGTAGCCAATCGACGGGTTTTTGGAAGGTTTACCGGTGCCCTTGTGTTGTTTGTCATCGAGTTCTGCTTTGTCGAAAATGGTGAAGGCTTTAGTTTCGGCACAGTCGCAACTGCTAGGAGTCGCTTCACTAGTGCTGGAATGTGGCCACTCTCTTCCAGCGCTTTGGGGTTGCTCGAAATAACTACCGCCAATGTTTCCAATGTGGCAATCTTAACCATTTGATCCGTTATATCCAGTGATTGCAAAAGCAGTGGTAGTAGTGTTGGCAATTCTGGCATGACAATATCAGATGGTACATTGGTAAGAATCCCGCTAAGAGCAACGAGATAGTTCTCTTTTTCTGCTGCGGATGATGATGACCGGAATCTCTCGGCGATTAGCGGCGTGAGGGTTTGGAAAACGCGCTGAGGTGCAAGCAGTCGAATCTGAGCATCATTTGTTTTGGATAGCACATCATCCGGGGCCAGGATGCTCACAAATCCCATGGCCGCCTTTTTGGAAACGTCCACAGGATAAGTGCTCTGGTCTAACAGATCAACGAGACTAAGAAGATAATCGTTTGTCTTTGGAGCCAGACGAAGCGCGAGTGCCCTGGTCAGCGTGAACACGGCTCGAATATTGAAGTCTGGTGTATCCGAACCGTCCATCGAATAGTCCTTGAGTTCCGTTAAGGTGTTGGATAAAAGTCGTTCCACAAACTCAATATCTTTGGTTTGGACATGCTTGTTGACATACAGAGCAACTTGTGTCAGAGAGCTTTGTGTGATAGCTTGATTCGTACTCTTTGAAGCAAAGGCAAGTAGTTCTTGAACTGTCTCGTGAATTTGACCTTGCTGGAACAGATTCGACTGGGTTTTGCGCGGAACCGCTGCCAGCAGCCACGTGGATATGATAATGGAGGATGGAGGATCAAAATGAACCAGTGGCTTTGAAACATCATTAACAGAGGATTGTCGGAAAAGTTGATAGATGTTTTCGGCGGTATGTTGGATGTTGGAAACATTAGAGGACCGCCTGACAATGAGGTTCATTATTCTCCCCAGTAAGTCAAGCACATCTTGGTTAGCTAGGGCACCAGTCGGCTGTTCGGTAGATTTCTTTGACAGCCCAACCACAACTCGTTGGTACCAAAAATCCAAGGCCACCTTTTGATCCGAGGCAGCTTTGTTTAGCACGAATAGAACCGTCCCGAGGATTGCTGAGGTGTATGAAAATCCAACTTGCGAGTCCGAGGCAATGAGAAGATCAACCTTGTTCAACAGCCTCCTCATCAAGGTTTCCAACAACTGCTTCTCAACGCTAATCTCGGCCAAGCCTTCCAGCACAGGACCATAATCACTTGATTTGGCGCCTTGCTCCGTATCTGGGAGACACGACATGAAGGCGGGAAACGTAATATCGGATATCAAGGCAGGTTTGAACTTGGAGATTTCGGCCAAAGAGGTCATGGCTTTCTTTTTGAGTTCATCCCGACCATAAGATTCTTCTTTTAGGACAATGTCGTTGAAATATTGAACAAAGAGTCCAATCTCATCGTCTGACAATAAGGAATTCATTTTCGAGATGAGAAGCAGACCCTCGGCAGCCGTCGACCTGAATGAGACTTCTTCTTTGACAGTCCCCATCAAGGCTTGGCTGTAGAGGGCGACGAACTTGTCCTTGAACTCGAGGAGGAGACTTTCTTTGCCTTGTGGATTTTTCTTGCTTGGAGCGGTCCATGACCCGTAGACCTCGATGGCCGCCTCAAACATATGGTTGGTGACTTCCAAAATAGCTCTTTGATGGACTAACCCATCGGCGGATTGGTAAATAGTGAACAATGCCGGTCCAACGGCCTTGATAACGATTTCAAACGATGGTAAAGATGCTGAAGAGACGGCATGGAGTATTTCGCCGCATGCCTTTGCCTGACGTGATGCAGGCTCTTGTAGGTGCTCGAGGCATTCTTTGTCGACAGGCTTGAGATATAGAAGTAAGGGTGACGTCGGGGAGTTTGTCGAAGTCTTTGACAGACAAGTGGCAATACCTTTGAGAACTCGAAGGGCATCGGCAGCCAATTCAGGCTCTTGAGCTTGCAAGACTTCGAATTTGACAGCGTCCCAAAGTGTGATAGAGTATTGTGTTATGACAGTGGGGTCGTAGTTGTTTGCACATGCGGCCAAAGTCTGAAGGACATCCTTTTTCACGGTATTTGATATTGAGTCCAGACGGTCCAACATATTGGGAAATGTGTGAGGTGCAAATTCGCCCGTGGAAGCAAGGCATTCACAAAGACGGTCCTTCAGGTCCTGTGCTGTAATGCCATAAGGGTCATTGGGGGGAGGACGGAAGGTGATGGGAAAGTAGGCGTAGACCGAGTCAAACATGAGCTCGACATGACTTGAGATGTCCCATTCGATCATGAGGACCCGGAGCATAGAAAAAACGAGCATCAAGTTGCGAGGATCCTTTTCGCCGGAGACAAGGTTGGTGATGCCGACAAGAGATTCGTCTCCCATATCTCTCAGCGCTAGAAGTGTAAGTTGAACGTTTTGAAATGAGATAGGGTGGGATAATACCTTTACGATGACGTTCGAGGATGGCGTTGAGGAGCTGTAGAACACGATATCTGGCAGCTTGATTCAGAGCCTGGAGATCAGTAAAATAGTTGAATAGGCTAGTTCACGGATTAGCAAGTTGTAATACATGAATTGCTGCCAGACAATTTTGATGGGCTATCATTTGAACAGCCGGTCGGGTGGGGGGGGGGGGGGGCGCACTCACGCTCTGACAACCGACTGGGCCATGTCGGTAGTGAAGCGATCCAGAGCCTGTAGGTGAGATAGACCTTCAATAGCCCCTCCATCTTGAATGCGATCACACAGGAACTGGTTCAGGACCTGAATCTGTTGGCGGGAGAGAAACTTTGGGGGCAAGTTGGATAGGACGGCAACGAGGTAGGAGATAGCGCGGGCCCTGATGTTGACATCTTCGTCATTGATGTATTCACCAAGGGACTGGACGAGTTCGATGAGGGTGATTTGACGGGTCTCGAGTTCTTGGAGGATGGTTAGCTAGGGTGTCCAAGACAAGTGTCGCAAGCATGGAAGACGAACTGTTCGCAGCAGACGTTGCAATTTGAGCAGCTTCGTCCTTGTTATTCTCCACCGCGAGGACATAATCTCGCGCGTCGTCGGATGTAGCCATGACACATGATGGGAATGTGAGCGCCAGGGAGTGTGGACGTCACGTAGAAATGTATGGAGGGAGTAGGTGGGAGGTGGGAGGTGGGATGGGTTGACTCGTTGTAGTTAACAAATTATTCTCGTAGGGAATAGTAATATGTAATGCACCGGGGATCGGAACAGTAATTGGGTTGACATCACTGGGCGCCCCTGCCGCAATGCCCTTTGCGCCTGCTATGGAGTCTGCTGCAAGCTTGCAACGGGCTGGTCTAACGGAAGGTGCAAACGGCCGAGGGGCTAACATTTAATGAAAGATTAACTAGCAGGAGCGCTCGCCATAGTTGCCATTTGGGGACAAGCCCACATCCACACGGAGAATTCATCTTTATCGTCTTTTCACAGACAATGGCATAATTAACGGTGGGAGTTAGTCTTTCCGCCCATTCATCTCTAGCAGTATGTCACTCCCTGTTCCTGGGTGTTTAGGAGGAAGACTTGGCATCCTTTTCTCTCAAACAATGTTTCCTCAGAGCCTGGAGTGCAGGTTGAGCAAGCGACTTGGCATTCACCCACCTTTATCTCTGGGTTAGGCAGAATGATGCTATGAGATGTTGCTCAAACTGTGTCATTTGCTGATGATTCATAAGATTCTGCACCTTTTTGCTGTGGATAACAAGCCAGCGAAGAACCACTCACATAAGTAGTGACAAAAGTACCAGATTCGCGCTTATGCTGTCAAAGATCGACTATCACTAGTTGATTAGGTTTCATGCAAGATACCCGAACCTCACCGGCCTTTCCCCTGATCCCACGTTCTTATTTACATGAAAGTGGCGTGACTCGAAGAAGGTCAACATCAGACCCTATCAATTCGATGCTCGATGCTCGATACTCGAATCGAGGAGGAGCCTCATTCGGTGCCAGCACGTCATCACACACTGCCCCCAAAATTGAATTTCTTGCAGATCTCGCTTTAGAAGTCCAACATGTTCAAAACCACGCGGTTGTCTTTCGATATAACAGGCTTGGAGATACCAGCTGACATCTTCGGCGACTTCACACTTCGCGCCGACCTGGGAGCAGCCGTCGTCCTCCCCTTCTCTTTTAAATCCACGAATCATGCGCCATACTAGGACATACCCAAAGGCGCCGGTCAGTGAAAGCAACGAGATCTTATCATGGGTAGAACAAGGTCAGGTTGTCAAAGCCAAGTGAGAGCCCGAAGAATCAGCTTCACGGGTCGCCAGAAACCATAGTTAGCTTGTCTGCATGTGTAACTCGCGTTTTGCCATTATCATCCTGTTCTTCCCGGACGGCTGTGTCTCCTGCTTGGATGAAGCTCATAGAGCGATATACTGCTTTTTCCGATTGAAGATGACCCCGGCAACGTCTTGTTTAAATCACCTATAATTTCAGGAAAACACCTCAAGTCGCCCAGAAGTCGTTGGGTATATTTTTGTCATGCCAGTGTCGACGGAAATCCACTCGGGCCAGGCCTAACCTGACCTCCTTGCTCTGTCGTACGAGAGCCGACCGACGCCTACTGCGCATTCATTTTTCGATCGGCCAAGTGCAATACACGCACTACAGCAGCTTTGAGCGATCTCAGCATTGCCTCCGAGTGGATAAAAAGTGATAACGCTGGGAGCGTAGGGCCGTGCAGGATTCAGTGATAGATGAAAATGCTACTACTTGCCTTACTTAGGCAGGTAGGCCAGCTGGGTAGCCCCACGGGTAGCATTGGTAACGCCAAGCCTTGTGAAATTTTGTCATTATAGTTAAAAACCATAGAACTATCTTCAACAATCAGGAAGCAGCCCGGCTAGCTCAATCGGTAGAGCGTAAGACTCTTACCACACTGGTGATCTTAAGGCTGTGGGTTCGACCCCCACGTCGGGCTATGTATCTTCTCATCTGAGAACTATCATGAGTTGAAGGTTGAAGTCCTTCTGTTCCTGAATTCTTTTTTGGCCACTGCCCTTACCCTTATCGTCACTTTCCCACGTGACACTGACACGTGACCTTATGGCTGGTCTTGAGGCTTGAGAAAAATCAGACATTCAACAAGTTTCCACCAAATTCTTTTTTTTGGGCCGAAACAATTCTATTCTATTGACTACTTGAGATGATGAGATTGGTGTTGCCAGGTAAGGGTCTAGCATTTTGTCGCAGCTGACTGTGGAATGTATCTCTCCTGGACCTTGAAGGACTTTTCACGCCAGGTACCAGACAAAATATATTACGTGATATTTGGCAAACTGAGGTACACTCCTGAAGCAAGCGGATGGAAGGGGACGAAGATCAGGAGGAGTACATGGTGTATGCAGCGTCGATTTTGAGCTGGATGTCAAGCTTTCAGCCACGCGGTAGATGCTTTTGACCATGGTCTGGGCATCTGCAGGCCAGGGGATGTCCACACTGATTTGGAGGTCTGGTGTCGCGTGCTTCATTGCCTCTTTGGAACAAGGGTTGCGTCAGGCCAAAAAAGTGAGCTCGGATACACGAGGTGGAAGTGGATAGACCGAGCCTGCGGCCACTGATGCTGGCTGGCCATCTTCGGCCATTTGGGGGAGAAGTGTCTCTTTTGAAAACGGAAGGCTTCTCGAAGACCAAGCAATCATGCTATCTGCTTGCTGCTATCACAAGGTGTTTTAAGTCTCAGATTACTTTGAAGGGCTGAATGAGTCTTATGTCCCACCCTTATTTTAGGGTATTTGGAAAGGAGCATAGGTCATCAATCATACATTGCTTCTTTATGTCGTCGAGTGATGAGCAAGGCCTTCTAAGCTGGGGTGATAAGCAATGGCCCAAGAGGATCTAAACTTTACACTCTTGAATCGGAAGAGCCGGATCCAAAGGCTTACAAAAGAGATATGATGTTGTCATGGTAGGGACAAGTGTCCGGGCCAGTCTTCATTGATATCTGTAGCAAGATATATCAACCGGGAAAACCATCCAGTTGAATCATCCATCTTCAGAACGTGCTCTTGTTCCAATTCCTGATCGCACATGGACATTCAGGCTAGCTCAGCTTTGGAACTGGGGTTCCTCCCACTCCCACCACAACAGTATGGATCGTGGTCTTCTTCACACAAAGGGAGAGGCTGTTCATGGACTTGACACATGTATTCCACTGGGTTTTTGAGCCTTGTCCAACTCGCGTGACCCGACTTGTGTTGGCTAAGAGACTCTGATCTTGGACAAACTTCACGGCCAGGAGACTAATCCGTATGCCAGCTGGGGGGCACTCTTCATGACGAGTAGCTCATCAGCACTCTGAGACGATGGACATCTTGATAGACCAGTGTTTACCTAGATACGAATCTCAGCATCCTGAGGCTAACAAAAGAAGCTGTGTGAAGCAAGTACAAGCCTATCTTGCACCTGAAGCCATGCAGTGATGGCAGGAGGAGAACGTTGAAAGTGGCGGGGGCGCGGCTTGGCGTTCGTTAGTCTATGGCGGGAGCAAGGCACAAGCGGAAACTCTGCGGGGGCTCGAATCAAACCGTGTCGTTGATTCCCAGCCAATCATACATCCACGTGTGCTGCTCGATTCGTCCACATTCTTTCTTTGTTCTTTTTTTCACTCCCACGACGACTCCTCCACTATCCACAAAAATGCTGTCGGCAACACGCGACTTTTTCTCGCTACGCTGATCGACTCGACACCCCACTGCAAAACCTTACACTAGCCGTGGCTTGCCGAATGGCAATTGCAAGCATTTGCTTAGGTGGCTCTGAGTGCGTTGGTAGCCGAGCTTGGGGAGCTTGACAGGCACCGGCACCATCCGTCTCCACCACACAGCCAGCTGGCACTTTGTAGAGTAGTAACACGAGTAGGTACATGGCCACTCTCGCGTCTCATCTGCTCTAGATTTTTTTTTCCGCAAATCCCACGAGGCGATCAGACTCTGAATCAAGGTAAGTGCCACCCACTCAGTAGTGTCCTGACTTGTTGCCCCTCGGACCATCATTTTCGTTCTTTCCAATACCGTCTTAACTGTTGATGCGGGTACATTATGCAAGAACCCTCTTTTCCCATATTCCCTTTGTTCATCCTTCTTACATCTATCTATCTATCTACCTACCTGTCGCTGGACATCTTTACCGTTGGTACTCCCCAGCTTCTCAGTCATCCCATTCAGCTTCCTCGAGACCTGAAGCTGGCAGAAACATTCTTCGGTGGATATCCTATGTCTGACACTATCACGATTCGACCACGACCTCGTTATCTCATCAGCTCGCAGTGAACCCCGCTCGACTCATTGATTATTTGCCCGACTCCCTGTCACTCTGGGGGTCAAACACACCTCTTCCGACGTTGTCGGTCGTTACTTGCAGACCAATCACCACCTATTCCCTCTACTCGTGGTTCTCTGCAAGCTTTCCTCTGGCGATCCTTGACGAGCGCCACCATATCACTTGACTATCTTAATTGGCCATATCCGTCGACTCCCACGTTCACACCGGCTGTGACGCAAGTCTTGCTAAGCTTTCTTGATACTCGACCTCATTGTCAGAACACAATTCCTCATCCCTGTCATCAAGGCTTTATATAGCTTGATTTCACCCTTCTCGCTTTGATCGTCGTTCAGTTTTCTTCACGCTCAAATCATCCACTATGACGACTCCAGGCCCAATCATCGACTTTGGTCCCAACCCTCCTCATGGCCCTGATGTTGATGGACAACATCCTCCTCTGAAAGACCCTCACTTCGATATGAGCCAGACAGAGAAGGAGATCTTTCAAACCGTTCTCAAACCCGACGACAGCTATAATGACAATGGCGTCTACTGGGCAGACCTTCCCTTCCTTCAACGCTTCAAGTTCGTCAGCAAGGTCGACCGCGAAGAAACACGCAGAGAGGCTAGAGCCACCTGGGAAATGTTCAAGAATGATCCTCTTTCTCCTGTGGCATTTTACTTTAGGAATATGGTCCTCCCAGGTGCTGGGCTCGGCCTTGAGGGCTACGTCTTGTTTTCCATCGGAAATCTGAAGCCTCTTTTTCAAGGAGGCTTTCCAGACTGCTGGAAAACTCATGAAATCTGCAACAAGACCTGGCTCAATGCCATTGAGTACCTCGAAATCTCGGGCATCATTGTTGGACAGATCCTGGTCGGAATCATCGGTGACTGGATCGGCCGTCGATGGGGCCTCATTCAAGATGCTGGCATCATGTTTGTCGGTCTAATCATGCTCACAGCTTCGTGGGGCGTCACACAGAATGGATGGATCATCTGCTACGCCTGGGCTCTTTTCTTCTATGGTATTGGCGTAGGAGGAGAGTACCCTATGACAGGTAACCTCCCCTCCCCTTCGTGATCTTCGCAACGGCTTGAAAGCTAATACACCGTCACAGCAACTGCGGGAATGGAAAATGGCGTCGGATCTGGCAAGGTTACTACTCGAACAGATCGACTGCACCGAGGCCGACAGGTCACCAGCGCTTTCTTGATGCAGGGTTGGGGTCAATTCTTCAACCAAGTCTTCCTCATCCTGTTGCTCTTGGCCTTCCACCACGGCAGCGGGAACGCCCCCTACTCAAAGGTGGCTGTCCAATTTACTTACCGTGTTTCTTTTGCCATCCCTGCACTGGGAACGTTATGGCTAGTCTACTACCGTACTTTCAAAGTCAAAGGATCGGCCAACAAACAGCTCCGGATCGCCAAAAAGAAGTCGTCCGTCACAGGCTATGACACCGAATCTCTATCCATGACCATGCGCTACTTTGGCGGTCGCCTACTCGCCACAGCAGGAACATGGTACATGAACGATGTGTTCTTTTATGGCAACAAATTGTTTCAAAATGAATTCATCAAAGTCATCACTCCTAACAATACGTCCATCATGCCGGGATGGCTTTACAACCTGATCAATGTCGGCGTCTCGCTCTGCGGATACTACTTGGCCAGCTTCCTCATCGACAACAAAATGTATGGTCGCAAGCACATGCAGTCGATAGGATTCATGATGGACTTTATTTTGTTCATTGTTCCAGCATTCAATTTCGAGCACTACACTTCAAAGGAGCACATCAAAGAATTTCAGGCCATGTACTTCCTGTCGTCCTTCTTCAACCAATTCGGACCCAATTCCGTCACCTTCATCGCTGCCGCCGAAGTCTACCCGGTTGCCATCCGTGCCACTGCTCATGGATTCTCGGCTGCAGTGGGTAAGCTTGGTGCCCTTACCGCCGCTATATTATTCAACTATATCGACACTCAGACCAAATTTTATGTTGTTCCATGGTTTGGTTTGGCCGGTTTGGTCTTGAATGTTGTTTTCATGCCTGACACGACGGGTCTCGATCTCAAAGAGCAGGAACGCCGATGGGCCTTCATTCGTGCTGGCCGCGAACATGATTACCACGGTATTGCCATTCACCCGAAACACTTGAGTCTGTGGGAACGCATCCGAGGCGTTGGCAAATATTACGATGCCGATCTTGATTACAAACAACGAATCGTCGAGATGCGTTCTGACTGGGAGTTGAAGATGCAGGAGAAGTTTGACGAAAAGGCCGGTCGGCTTGACGATGACGACTTGGACGATGAAGATTTCCACGCCGACATGACTTCTTACTTCAAGCGATCCACCAGACGTGGGACCTTCAAAGGTGAACACCCGTTGCCTTTTAAAGCGACTGGCCTGGGTGATGAAGGTCTTTCTGAAAAGCCGAAGCCCAATGATGATAGTGCCACCACGCTCCTCAACACTGGGGCCAATGGGGCAACGGGAAATTGATTTCACTTTTCCAGTCTTGATAATGAAGGGGTAGTTGACTTATGTCATGGATGAGTATCCTATCAGCCATGGCCGGGAAATGAAGAGGTCGCGACAAGCACCGAGGACTTTTGAGAATTCTTAAAGACATCACAAGACACGTCATCATGGTTATCGTGGCGTCAAGGCAAGCGTATGGGGATCACATGGCGATGTAGCACACAAGCCGGAGGCAATGCATAATGAAGATAATGAAGACATTCCAAGAGAAGCTATTCACAGAACAAAGGTTGTTCCCATCTAGCCAGACATCGTAATTGGCCTGGCTTGTATGAGAACGAAGAATCCATTCAATACATGACCACCACTATACTCTCGTTCGATTATGGACCACCCAGCCTAAGCTGTCTTACCTCTCATGGCCGAGTCATTCCTCGTCCTCCCATTCATCACTTTCCCGTTCCCGCCTCTTTTCGAGGCTACTGACCAAGCCCGCGGCGGCTCCCAGAGTCTCGCCAAACGCTTTGAGCATGGCTTGAAAGTCCATCTCGATGGTCTCCTCAGTGGCGCCAGCAGTCAACGCAGCTAGACGAGGAGGTTGGACGTCAGGGACTTCGATGATTGGTGGAGTCGAGGTCGCGAGGCCACTCTGAGACGAATGTGAAGGAGTACTGGACAAGACCGTTGATGAATTCCTCGTGTGTGTGGCCACAACCCCGCGTGACGCCGACGACTGTCTCCTCGGCCGATCCTCCGAATCAAGTCGAACCGGCGGTCCTAATGTGTACGGTGCAGGACCGGACGCAGTCACTGGAGTGGTGGCAGATGGTGGAGCATACGGTTCACCACTGCTACCCTTGACTTCTCCGCGCAATGTGCGACCTCGTCCTGAATAGTAGTTGTTCATTTCCAATCCATTGTCCTCCTCCATGGTTGCAGGTCCCGGGTGGTCGTCGTCGGACCGTTCCAATCCAAAGGGGTCGATATCAGTAGACGCCCCGGATATGTCGCTGTATGCTTCACTCATGGCCGTGGACGGTCGTCGGAATGGTGCATCGTCCAGGTTTTGGAAGTCGTCGTACGTCACTGGCATGGTGATTTGTCGATGCAGAGGGGTAGGTCTTGTTGGTGTGGGCCGTGCAGATGTGTCTTGAATGATGTTGGAAGGTGGTGATGAATTCATCATGGTCTGGCCTGCGGATGTGGATGGTCGAGATTGACTCTGAGCCTGTTGTTGTTCCTCTCCTTCGGTGGTATTGGCTTCGGCCATGGCGCTAGAGAACGACCAGTCCATGGTAGCGTGTTTCTTGGCCCTTTGTTCGAAGGGGACATCTCCTGGTTCAGAAGTCTCATTTGTGGTTGTCGTGACAGGTGCAGGTTTGGGCTCGTCAGAAGAAGTGATGCTGGAAACCGTGGCTTCAGACATGGCCGATGCGAATGACCAATCCATTGTAGCATGGCCAGGTCGAGATGAGATGATCTCGGCTGGTTCCTGAAGCTCAGGTGCTTTCTTCTTGACCGTCCACTCATCTTGTGATGCCGCAAAATCTTGTGTTGATGTAGTGCGCGGGATTGCTTCAGATGAAGATGTTCGTCTGGCGGTTAAGGATTGGTTCTGTGGATCTCGAGGACCTTTGGAGTTTGCGCGCTTCTCGCGTAGTGTTGCAGCATCGGCGAGGCGAATCGTCTCACCTCTTGCCGGTGGTGCGGCATAGGTTGTTTGAATTTTGTCGTCGGTTCTTGGTGTAGGAACCACGGCGTAGTCTGCTTCGTCAAAGTCTCCAAGATCAATGACGTTGGATGCGATGGAACTGGGTCGGTCTTCAGCCATTGCTCGGAACGGCAAATCTGATATCCGACGCTGTTCTGGCACAGGTACAAAGTCGGTTTTTGTTTTGTACTCATAGGCTGGTTTTGATTGATCAAACAGGTTGGAGAGATCGGCTCCTCTCTTCACACGAGCTTCGAAATTCGCTTTCTGTGCCTGTGTCATGGGAGGTGAGAATCCAGTGGCTCTGACCGAACCTTTGGGTGTCGCTTCACCTTCATCGGGTGAAGCAACGGTGAAGTCGGGAATCTCAAGGATTGCAGACACTCGCCTTTCAAAGTCTTGGGTGATGCCAAAGTTCCACTCGTCAATTTCTTCGATGTTGGTATCCGGATCTTCAGTGGCTGCGGCGGCAGCTCCTCCGGGCATGAATAAAGATACTCTCTGACCACCACTGAAGAGCCAAGCATAATATGACTGTACCAGTTCTGTCAAGGACCCTGTGGGATGACTTGCTTCAGTTTCTTTCAAGAACTCGTGTTCCAAGATATCCTTCATGGAGGGTCGAGAGGCGACATCTGGACTGAGAGCATAAGACACAAGTGAGCGTATCCCATCACTAAAAGGCTCGTTATCCGGAAGTCGAATTGATTCTTTGAGCCGTCTCATGCGTGTTCGCAACTGTTGCCTTTCTCGAAGATCGCTGTTGGGAGGTCGGCCAACTGCGCATTCGTAGAGTGTGCAACCATATTCCCAGACGTCAACCTGATCGGTTGTCAATACAAAGATTGAAGATTTGTGCACGATCGAAACTCACTTCGTCGGAATACTCAGGATTCTCCGTCCATAATTCTGGAGGCATCCAGTGCAGAGTACCAATGAATGTCCTTCTCTTATCTGTTCGAGTATCAAGCACCGTAGCAACTCCAAAGTCACAGAGTTGAAGCCGTCCTTCTTGATGGATCAGGACATTGGCAGCTAGGAAGACAAATGCATCAGCCGGCGAGCTAGGGAAAGAGTGCACGCATCTTGGGACGAACCTTTGACATCTCGATGCATGATGCCGGCTTCGTGGAGGCCTTTTAATGCTTTGGCCAGTTCTCGTGCCACCACGACGGTGAATTTCTCAGAGAGACGGTCATTTGTGGCTCGCATCTAGTTTTCAGATCAATATTTCTGTCTCGGAAGAAGAAGCTAGTTGAACCACAACCAACACCGCACGGTTCTTACCAGGGTCTTGACACTGCCTCCAGGACAATGCTCACAAATAAGCCACAATTGACTGTGAACAGCCATTGCCTCGATCATCGGATTCAAATTCTCTGCGCCACTATCCTGAGCTTGTCGCAGGATCCTGATTTCACGGTTGAAATCTTTGATTTGCTCATCCTTCTGATCGCCGTAGGAGCGAAAATCGGCATCATCGATATCAAGGACTTTGATAGCCACAACCTTATTGGAGGACAACTGACGACTAGATGTGGGCTTAGTTTCGTTGTCTTTGTTATAATTAAGCCACCGTCGAGCTTACCCTTTGTACACTCTTCCGAAGCTGCCCTTACCAATGAGCTCTTCGAAGGTATAATCTGGTTCAGGCTGTTTCGATCGATTGCACTTTTCACTGACAACCCGCTGCTGAGCTTCAGCTAATCGTATAGCCTCGCGGCGGTGAGCAGTCAGAGCCGCAGCAGAATCTGGATGAAGGCTATTCATCGTGAAGCCAGACCGTCTTTGATGCTTTTCCTTTCGGGATAATCTACAGGAATGGAGCTCTGGATTGTTGGATACTGAAGATGACTCGAGGATTTCAAGTGTCCTTCTTCGGTGAGCAAAAACTTCCAATCCTTCGTCAAGATCGTGCTCAGATGTGTTGAGTTTTCCGGATCTTGGGACGTGAGGGTACTAACCTAATGATTTCAGTCCAACTTCTTGTGTATCATTGGACGAAGTCGAAATTTGCCTATCTCTGCGAATTCGCAGCGGTCGGGGCGAGAATTCTTCCCAGAGAGCTTGCTCTTCCGTAGAGGCAATGCGTGATGTCTTGAAGGAAGTTGGGAGATGACGAGGAAGAAGATCACGCAGTGGAGATCTGTTTGGGATAGCGGGCGGACCCTGTGCGGATGGACGTGTTGGGCTTTGGTGGTCTCTCCACGAATTATCAGATCGGAGGACACGTTTTGGCGGAGGAGTGTGGCGGATATCAGGCCTTTTCTGAGAAGGGAGAAAGGGAGAGACTGCTCTTGAACTCCGGCCGATTTGAGAGATATTAGGAAGCGGCAATCCGGTCACAGATCGATTTCTGGGAACTTGAAGATTGCTCTCGCTTTCTGATAGGGTTGCAAATAGGAGTGACGAGTGATCGTGTCGGTCCGAAGTTAACGCAAGAGACGATAGAGACCGACTAGCCCAATTCGAAAGCTGAGATGGTAAGGCTACAGGTGTATCGTGGGGATTTCGGAGCGGAACGAGGTTAGTGTGCGAAGCATCTGAATGGCTTCGTTGTGAGGTCGGAAGGAAGTTTGTGGACGGAGCGTTTGCTAGAGGCGGTTTTGGAGAATGGTAGATCTGACGAGATCCTCCAAAAAAAGGAGATTGGCCGGGGTTGCGAAGGACAAGACTGAGAGATTCAGTGCCCGTGTTCTGGCTAGATGGAGTACGAAATTGAGTCTGCTTTTGGAGGGAGGCGGCAGATCTGGCATTGATATCCCCGTCGTGGTTTGAGGCGTCTACAGTCCGTGTGTTAGCAGGACCAAAGCGGAATCTCTTATCAAAGAGTAGGTGAATTTGAAGCAGGAGAGTCTCTGTATTCTCACGAACACGATCTCTTGGAGAGACTTACCAGATTGCGAGGAGGCTGATGTGCTAACGAGTGACTGGCCCTGATCATGTGGGAACATGGTCAGTGAAAAGCTTTGAGATAGAACGGCTATCGCAGGAGTAGGAACAACTGTAGTGTATGAAGGGAAAGATTGAAAAGCATAGCGTGTGAGGATGTTGGAAGGGTGTCGGCAAGACCTGAGGGCTGAACGTACCAACTAAGAAGATAGGTCTTTGTGGAGGACGATCCTATAATGGATGAACTCAGAATACTTGGCGCAAAGCCAGTATTAACGTGTAAACCGTTAATTTTTAGACAAATACATCAGATACCGTGAGTAGAACGAGATAGCATATCCCGACACTAGTTCAGCATCATGACATCAATGTTCACACGGGTTAGAGGGCATGGGTTAAGTTTTCTGGCCGATCCTGGAACACGATCCTCAGGGCCGGATCCGGTTGAAGACGTGAGTGTGTAAAAGGGCGACCATAGATCTAGCCCTTAGACACGCGGGTTTGTGAGATAGTGAAGGGAAATGGTTGCTCTGAATGACAGATGGCCAGAGGAGGGTAGAGGATGGTATCGAAGTCAGAAAAGGGAGTTGACTGCGTCGGAGGGCCTTGGCGCGTACATTTCAGCCTTGTGTGCACTAATTGGTCAGTTGATGTTGACAGTATCACACACGTGCACCCCGTGTCACGTGTCACACAATGGGGCTCTGGCCCCTCAGCCTTGTCTTGCTCGCGACCAAATATTCACACCTCAGACAAACGTACTGCTTGGAACTCCAAATGCAATGTTGATGGGTCTATGACTACCTGTACAAGAGATCAAACCGAGTCTTTCTTTTTGGGAAGATCATAGGCAAGATTCGTTTGGAAAAGACCATTGAAAAGATGGTTATAGGAGCATTAGGTGTGTTCCATCCCGGCTGAGGGTCACGAGGCACTAGAAACCCATCCTTCTCCGTTGAATCGTCGGCTTCTTGACAACTCCATTACTGCCGCTCTTCTTGATGGTGACTGAGCTGGACTTGGGTCTTCCTGCCAACAGCCTTTCCTTTACTGCTTCCTCTGCCAGTCTTTTCTCCTCTCGCGCACGATCCTCTGCCATCTGCGTTTCAATCTCCATCTTGCGATTGAACTCGCTTTCAATCATTCGCTTGTCTTTGCTGCTGTACTCCTTGGACTTGAGACTGTAAAAGACCCCACCCAGATCTGCAAGCCAATGAGGATCCACCGCTGTCACTGAGCTCATGTACTCTTTGCTGGTCAGGATAAGCTCGTGATAGATCACATAATCAGGTGGATCGCCCAAGCCATACAGAGCAGATGTGGGATGTAATTGAACAGTGACGCTGGTTCGGAGGTTGATATACTCACCCACCCCTCGGCGGCGAGCGGCTTGGTGATAATAGCCTGAGCAAATGCACTTTCGTATCACATCCCAATCAGTGCCGCAAGAAACCAGTTGCATCTTCTGCTGTCCAAGAATATCGGACAGCTGTTCACGAATCTCCTTGGCACGGCGTAGAGCCTTTGGATGCAAAAAGTGTCGGACACACCATGCATCACTGTGTCCATTTGCTTTCCATTGGCTGTACACGTGCAGCAAGGTCAAATGATCAGACTCATGCACAAAGAACTTTTCTCGAGCTGCGTCAGATTCTTCTTGCCTTTCCTTGGGACGATAGAAGACCGAGGGTACGGACAGCATACTGACGATCGTAAGCATCTCTTCACTGCAATCGTAGTCGGTGGAAGAGGTGATCAACATCTTGGCCAACGATGGATCCATGGGAAAAGCTGTCATTAGTCGACCAATGGACGTCAGCTCACCAACATGGTCAAGGGCGCCCAATGCCCACAAATCAAAAAGTGAGGTAGTAATCGTATCTTGTGGAGGAGGGTCCATGAAATCGAAATCCAAAAGGTCCTTGACGCCAAGGGATTTAAGAAGAAGGACTGTATTTGCCAGATTGGTCCTTTGGATCTCCGGAATGGTCTGAATATAAAGTTCGTTCTTGAACGCGGCTTCGGTATACAAATGAAAAGCTTTGCCCGGCCCTGTTCGGCCAGCTCGACCGGCGCGTTGTGATGCGTTTGCTTGTGACACCGGCGTGATCTGCAGAGTGTCCATACCCATTTTAGGATTGTACACTTTAAGCTTCGAATATCCAGCATCCACCACATACATAATACCGTCAACCGTCAGAGATGTCTCGGCAATATTGGTGGCCACAATGACTTTGCGAACGCCAGGCGGGGCTGGATCGAAGATTTTGGCTTGCAGATCTGCCGGCATCTGCGAGTAAATAGGAAGTACCAGCAACTTTGGTGGATTGACGAGTAAGCGAAGCCGTTCTTCAATCAACTCACAAGTCACCTCAATGTCTTCCTGGCCGGTCATAAAGACCAGAATATCTCCAGCACCATGAGAGACATGGATGGCCAAGACTTGTTTGACTGCACTATCAACATAGTCTTCACATGGTGAACGCGAATACTGTATGTCGACAGGAAAGGTACGCCCAGGGATGATGAACTCCGGCGCCCCTCCGTAGAAACGAGAGAAGCGCTCTGAGTTCATGGTTGCCGAAGTGACAATCAACTTCAGGTCTCTCCGTCGAGCAATGACTTTCTTGATCAGTCCCATCAGAACATCAGTATTGAGAGCACGTTCGTGGGCTTCGTCCATGATGATGCACGAGTACTTGTCCAGGTCTCGTTGGTTTAGCGATTCTCTCAATAGAACCCCGTCTGTCATGTCTGCGTCAAGATACATTAGCAAAAAATCGTCTGAAAACGTCAGACAGAACTTACACTTGATGACAGTCTCGTCGCTGGTGCAGTCTTCGAATCTGATGGCGTACCCGACAAGGCCACCCAGTTCTACATCCATCTCTTCACTAACTCGCTTGGCCACACTCATAGCAGCGACTCTTCGTGGCTGGGTACAGCCAATCAGTCCTTGCCGGCCATAGCCTTCCTCGTAGAGAAACTGAGTGAGTTGAGTGGTTTTGCCAGATCCAGTCTGGCCGACGACAATAATGACCTGGTTGTCGCGGATCACACGCATCAACTCTTCCCTCACGGCAAAAGCGGGCAGATATTCTCGTTGCTCTTTCAAGGTCTTGCTTTTGCTGAAGGATGAGCTCCCGGCATTCTTCTTCATGTGGACTGCAAATTTGCTCTTGCCCGTGTTTTCTTCGCCCGGGACTGCGGCGGCGCTGTCGCCCTCTTCTTCCTTGATACCCATGATATTCCCCAGGGCGGTACCAGCGACGTTGGTGGCCTCCTGTGCTTGCTTCTGTCGCTCTTTCTGTTGTCGTTTCTCTCTAACAACCTTGCTTCCTTTCCGGCTGAAAACTGCCATATCACTTTGAGAGTCGCGAACGGCAGGCACTGGCTCTAGTTGCTTTGTAAAGATGGTTTTGCCGTCGAGGAACGGTGGTTTCAAATCATGGACGAGCAAGTGGACTCGAACACCGTCGTCATCGTCGAAGTCGGGGCCTTGGTCTCTTCTCTGAGCGACACCCGAGGTCAACATACGATTGGCTTCCCATGCATCGACTTCCTTCTGTTTTTGAGCGGCCTTAGCTGTCAATCGCTTTCCAAGCTTCTTGTCTGCAAGTATTTTTTCGCGCTGATTGTCTGCCCAAGAAAGGTCGGCGCCGCCGAAAGGATTGTGGCTCTCGTCGCCAAAGGTGTGGCCAAACTCGTCCCCAGCATACCAGTCCCGGTCCATTGCAGTGGTATCTGCATTTCCATAAGAAGGCTCCGGTCCATCGAATTCCTTCTGATGAGGCTGCGCTCTAGTGGTCCGGCTCTGTTCTCTTCCGCCATGTCTAGGAAATCGGGGTTTGGAGGATGACTGGAGGTTCAGTGAAGGGGCAAGGTCCTCATTGGGCTCGTCGTGTGCGGTTTTGACACCATTGTTAAGCTTCCGTCGCTTCGGACTGTGGTCACGATTCATCGTAGAATGCTGTTGTGAAATGGTGTACGTGGTCAAGAAAGACATGTGGTTTACAAACAAGAATCTGTATGTTAGGCGGAGAGTGGAAAAATTAAGCCGAAGTTTTGGCGGACTTTACTGATCTGGTGTCCCCGCGCCTTTGACATTTTCCCTCATACTTGGATACCAGGCTACTTCCCACAACTTTCACTAGACTTGACATTTGCGATGGCGACTGGGCAGGACACCGCATTGCGCAAGCAGCAAGGTGAGTGATGCAAGAGTCGCGCTGTTGAGTCCTGACTAACGCTGGCCAGAATTGCAGTCTCAATATACCAACTTCAAGACCACCCTCCAATCACTGGCACAAAAGGTGGGAGAGATTGAGCAAGAGATAGAAGAACACAAGTGGGTGGCCAATTGAGCACAATTCACTGCTGGGATTACATTGTTCTAATCGGTATCAGGCTGGTCACTGAAACGTTGCAACCATTGCCGGATGAACGTAAATGTTTTCGGCTGATTAATGGAGTCTTGGTGGAACGCACAGTCAAGGATGTCCTCCCTGCACTCAGAACCAATTCAGATGGATTGAAACAAGTTTTGGAAGAGCTACTGAAGCAATATAAAGGCAAGGAGGACGAGATGAACAAGTGGAAGGTAATCGATGAGGATGGTTTGACACAACATGTGCACCAGCTAACAAACCGCTGCAGAAGAAGCATAATATCCAGGTGGTACAGAATCAATAGCATTGTCATTAACTTGTCGATATCAGTCAATGACCATGAGGAAATGAGCAAAACTGGAGTCTTGATGGGGCATCCAGTGCAGGTTTCTGCTGCCAAAGGCCTTGGGTCTGGACTTGGAATGGGTACCTAATCAACATCATCTTGTAGACGAACAACCAACACAACACAGCATCTCTTGTTGATGGACCGAACGGATATCTGTTCTTCACGGAAGGGAGAACAGAGACTAGAGGATAGGAGAGCAGACAAAGACACAGACACATCAGAGGCAGGGCGCAGAGGCAGTACTAATGGGGCAGGAGCGATATTAATGCCTTCAACGCAGCTTCGCCTGCCCAGGCTTGATCGAACTGCATTCTGCCACACCTGAATTCTCAATGTCTGGTCTGTATGTTTGATCATCAAATCTACCTATGTTTCCACTGCTGATCTTTCTTCAGACCTACGTCTTCAACAAGTCAATCTCGGTGTCTTCACAGAAGACTCAGCTATCGCTATTGACGTCTTCTCTTCTCTCTCCTTCGCCATAATTCTCCTCATACTGAGTGTCTGATGTTCTCAGGCGGTATGCATCCACGGCCGCCTAGTAGCGCGCCTCAGTCCCAGTTCAAACAACCTCCATTCTCTGATCGCCCTCGGCTCTTCTGCTGCCCCGTTGCAGAGAGTAATATCGGCCACCTGCCAAGAAGCTTTATCAATCCTGGCCGCCATCTCATGAACCTTCAACTACGGTCATTTTTTGAATGCGCTGACGATCCTGCCTACACGATACCTCGCTGCGACGTCTCTCACATCATCGAAGTCACGACACGAAGCATTCACAACAGCTTTGGTAGCGAAGCTGAGTCGGCTGTCCGACAAGAGCAGTGGAATGTCTCCCATGATTGCCAAACCAGCCATAGCCACAACTGGTTGACCCCTCCATCGGAGCCGGGAGACAAAATGGACCGAAGCTTTGAAGAAGATATACCGTACAGTACATACCATAGCATGTCCACCCGTTGTTTTGTCACCCAGAATAGCAGCAACAGCTGGCAAGCGCCCCCGCACTCACGCCAGTACCGTGACGCACATACCGAGACAAGCCAGGGACGAATTGGAACGGAGAGATACATCGAGATCCCGCCATTCAGAACAATGCCATACACGTCGGACGGATCATCAGGACAGTCGACAGGAGGATCGTCAGCTCGGCCATGGATGCCTTCCTGCACCATCGTCATGTGGTGTACAGAACATCAGAACTACTATGAAGTACATGTCATGTCTTGACGTAAAGTACTTTGGTTTATTTAGTTGAGAAGATGCAAAAGATCAGTGCTGTACTGCTGGCTGCGGGAGACATCAGTCACGGTTTAGGTGTGTCGTGAACGATATTTCGGCACACACACAAGATCAGACCCGGACATTGTAAAATACATATGAGAACAGCCAGAGCTGCAAATGAAAAATATTGGGTGATTGATTGGAGAGTCTCGAATACAGTGTGCTCGATGAGGTGTGGATTAAATCAAAATAACGTGCTTGGTAGTGCGAGGTAATTCACGCGGCGCTCCAAAAAGCCGTTGAAGTCTGAGCCAGTAGTTGAAAGCTCTGGCTGCTTACAGCTCGTGGTTTCGGCGGCAGCAAATAGTAGATAGGTATGTACCTACTTAGGTAGGTAGTAGTGAGGGACTCCCAGCCCCCTCGGGTCCTTAGCTTTACTAGTGTTGACCAAGATTGGGGGCCGCAGGACTTTGGTCAAGACCTTGCTTTGACGTTAGCCAGACTCAGACCATTTAAGCAGATAACTAGTAGACACGCGAGTGTTGGCAATGGTGGCCCAGCAATTGTACGTAGTTGTCACTGCAGTCCATGTCAAAACAGAATGTTCTTGAGCTCGTGTTACAATCTGAACTGGATGGTTGTGACGTTGGTTGAATGGACTGATCGACATGAGTGTTGCCAAGTTTCACCTAGAGGGACAGGGCCGCAGGGGAAGAATCTCGGTCGTCGGCGTGAGGGATCGGCTGATATGGAGATAAGCATGCAAGACGGAGACGTGGAGACATGTTCTATCCATAGACTTGGAAAACGACGCTATCCTGAGACAAACAGAGACACTACGGAGTACGAGGCTACTGGAATAATGATGAAAATTTGCATGCTAGACGATTAGGGCTACATCACGGTGACGAGGACATTGATTGTCATTTCTCAAGTACATCCCTGGAGAGAGACGTCGTCGAGAGATGACTTGCCATCTAGATCTCGTGTACCTTGCAGATGAGCCCTCTGTACTTTTAGTGACCTCCACTGCCATGAGATGCATTCATCAGGCCAAGGAAGGTTTGCATTTGAGCAACAGTCTAGGCGTTCGAGAGCATCGAGAGCCCTATTAACTCGTCGGCCCAGGCGGTAGGATGCAGCAAAACACGCCATGGCTGACCAGGGTTTGGTCACTTGAATCTGCAGTGGTACGCAAATCGGCAACATCCCTCTGCGTCATGGTGCCCCTCGTTCCCACCCTTTGCTGCCTCTGGACCAGCCCCAGACCCATTCTTATCGTTTTATCTGTCCTTGTGTCACTCGCCTGTCTGATGAAGTTACGCACGAAGTTGTCCGGGGTTCTATCGAACAGCAGTGGCGCGTACTACACCACCTTCTTACTTTGCCGTGTCATAGAAGCGCCGAGGATGAGAACGAAAAAGTGCCCCATTACTTAGGGCATCTTCCTTTAAATGACCTAATCCTCAAATGGCTGGCCATGGCCTGACCTCCCTTGGACTGTCTCTTTGAGTTGAATATTGCTTACGTGTATTGCAAGTTAGTCCACCTACCTGGGGGGGTAGGTACTTTAGTAGTACTATTAGGTAGTCTTGAACAGGCAGTTCTGCTTAAAGTCAATACCAAACTACCTAACTTAGTCAATCTGATGGTCCATGAGCCTTTCTTTTTGACCACCTGTAGTTGGGTTCGACCAACTTTACTCAGACTTGAATTCCCCCGATTTGCCCCTGCCCCGATCCAAGCTTCTCTCTAGCTTCAGCTCCTCCCGCTCCCGGACCCGGGAGGTTGCACACTCCATTAGCCCACTCTGCCGTTCTTGTTCTGATCAACCAAGTAAAAAGGTGAGCCATGCCTTTCCTGTCCTCCTCTCTCGAGTTTGCTGCTTTGCGTTCCATGTGAAGTGGACAATTCTTCGTATAGGCATTTCAGAGCCCAAATGTCAGTGTTACAGTCACTACAGTCGCTGTCAATGTTACTGTCGTGATACTTGCTCAGGGCGTGCCTTTGTCACTCGTTTTCGCTGCTATACTCGACTCAACCTATCCTGGCCTGCACAAAAACTTTGACTAGGTCTCTACGTCACACCAGCCTTCATCCCAACATCACAGGTTCCCTCATTACCCGACTGTTTGGTCCCGGCCTGTCACCAAATTGCCCTCCTCCACAGTCTAGTCACTGCTTCCGATTGTTAATTCAGTACCTAACTTGATGGTGGGGGCGTTACTTCAATTTGGTCACAGCTGCAATCGACGGGTTTGACTCATCCTGTTGTTCGATCAGACGACTGCATCTTCCAATCCCAATCTCGTATAACTTTCACCCACCTTCCACTCAATATCTGCGACAAACCTCAAGCGCCCGTCGAAATCCTTCTCTCACATCATCTCCACATAGAATCATGTTCATAGTAGCCATGCTGTGCACATGGGTCCTGGCCCTTGCGTATGGCGCGGCTGCCATCCCACTCGCCGCCAACAAAATCTCTCTTCTCTCCAACAACAGAGCAAGATCCCCGATTTCCGCAAGTTCATTTGCTGCTGCTGATGACTGGCCCACCAACGTTGTCTTCACCGGAGGCTCTCAGAGCTACGGCTTGTGGGTACCGCCAGATGGCAAGTGGTACGATTTCGAAGATATTCAATGTCTCGGCACCCCAGCTTATGCCATCGGCGACTGCAACGACATTACCATTGACCAGATCGGTGTTGTAGCTGGCAATGGTCCTTGCACTTTTGCTGCTTCTGCTGGCTCCTACATCACTGTGCAAGGAAACCCTGGCGACGGCTTCACCACAGTCGGTCCTCCTCAACGAATGCTCGGCGCTGCTTGTGGATTATGAAACCCAATCTTCACAGGTCGATACGGTTCATTCCTCAACCAACCAACCTTTGTTTGAGAGCATCAATGCATCAACTGAAGACTCGACGACACAGCCCCTGATCTTCAACCATCAGATCCATCAGATCCAATCTAACGGACATCACTTTGTCTCGACGAATGTCTTTTAGCGACACTAGGGTAGCATACTCAAGTTGAAGAGCCATATAAATCTGGCTGTGGATGATTTGGGCGAGGATTGGATGGACACCGCACCTTGTGATGTGTGACCATGCGTGGAATTTTCAGAGTTATCAGTACCAGGGCTGCACTTGATGGAGTTCATAGCGCTGCATGTAGACGGGACATGAATTCAAAATTCCTTCCTCTTAAAATTACCTTTGTTGCGAAGCTGGTTCACTGTAGTCCAGATCTCTTGTCTGATCAACAGATATTTCTCTGTATTGGGTGAAGCGGGATCGTGGTGCTCGACCGGTTAATCTTCGGCCTTACCCGCGAATTTATCGTCTCCGCAAATTTCGGCCATCACGACAGAACATTGCTTTGCGCGCACGCCCACAAAGTTGGGAGATTGACAGGAACCTACAGTAGCCATGGACGACCTCTATGATGAGTAAGTAGCGTCAAACATTGAGTCGCTTGAACTCTCTGGCTCACAATTTTTAGGTTCGGTAACTTTATCGGCGAAGCTGTCTCGGACGATGATGGCACGCAGGAAGGCGACGCCGGTCAAAATTATGTCTACGACGAAGATTCAGACGACGAGCAACAGCCTCAGGATGATCAGCAGATGGATGTAGACGACGATGGCCCTTCAAATGCAGTCATCCTCCATGAAGACAAACAGTACTACCCTACGGCCCAACAAGTCTACGGCGAAGATGTCGAAACCATGGTCCAAGAGGAGGATGCGCAGCCATTGTCACAGCCTATCATTGCCCCCGTTACCCAGAAAAAGTTTCAGGTTCAAGAAGCAGACCTGCCGCAGGTCTACTATTCCAGAGACTTCATGACCGACCTGTTGAGTTTCCCCGAGGGTATTCGAAATATCGCTGTTGCAGGACATTTACATCATGGCAAGACTGCTTTTGTAGACATGCTGGTTATGCAGACACACGACCTGCAAGAAAGACTCGACAAGAGGATCGGAAGACGTCGAGATGAACAGCTTCGATATACAGACACCCACTTTCTCGAGCGCGAGCGAGGCGTCTCAATAAAGGCCGCGCCCATCTCTCTCGTCATGCAGGGCACTCGGGGAAAGTCGCATCTACTCAACGTCATTGACACCCCTGGTCATGTCAATTTTGTGGACGAGGTCGCGTCAAGTATGAGACTTGCAGATGGTGTAGTCCTCGTCGTGGACGTGGTTGAAGGCGTCCAGATCAACACCGAGCAAGTCATCAAACATGCCGTTTTGGAAGATCTACCTCTTGTTTTGGTCATCAACAAGATGGATCGTTTGATCCTCGAGCTCAAAATCCCTCCCACAGACGCATATTTCAAGCTGAAGCACGTGGTTGAAGAGGTCAATACCATTATTGAAAACACCATCCCAGGTCAAGGAGAGAAGCGAAGACTGTCGCCAGAAAAAGGCAACGTCGCCTTTGCGTGTACCTCGATGCAGTGGGTCTTTACCCTTCCATCTTTTGCCCGGATGTATGCAGAGACGTACCCCAAGGTCGATGCTTCAGAATTCTCAAAGAGACTTTGGGGTGACATCTTCTTCAACCCTTCCAGCCGCAAGTTCACCAGGAAAGCCGTGGAAGAGGGGGCGAAACGTGCTTTTGTCAATTTTGTGCTGGAGCCCATCTACAAACTGTACTCGCACACCATCAGCGAGAGCCCGGAAGACCTCCAGGCCACATTGAAAACTCTCGGCATCAATTTGAAGCCTTCACAGCTCAAGTCCGACGCCAAGGTCCTGTTAGAACTTGTGTGTGCACAATTCTTCGGGCCTGCAGCAGGATTTGTTGACATGGCTGTACAACACCTTCCGTCGCCTGTCGAAGGTGCTAAACGTGCATTTGACAACTACTATACAGGACCTTTAGAGTCTGACGTGGGCAAAGCCATCTCCACTTGCGACTCGGAAGGACCGCTGGTCGTACACATCACCAAGCTCTTCAGTTCGGTGGATGCAAAAACGTTTGATGCTTTTGGTCGTGTAATGTCTGGAACTGTGGCGCCAGATCAGAGAGTTCGAGTTCTTGGTGAATCATACAGTGCAGAAGACGAGGAAGACTCAACCATGGCAGTGATCAGTGGAACTTTCCTTGGCTGCTCTCGATACAACATCCCAGTATCTGGGGTCCCTGCCGGAAACCTGGTCCTTCTCTCTGGCATTGATAATTCTATCATCAAGACTGCCACAGTTATAGCGGAGAAATTCCCAAACAACGAAGAAGCATTCATCTTCCGCCCTATCCGACATTTCACTGAGTCGGTTTTCAAGGTGGCCGTCGAGCCCATCAATCCTTCAGAACTCCCCAAGATGCTCGAGGGCCTTCGCAAGATCAACAAATCATATCCTCTGATTACCACCAAAGTTGAAGAGTCAGGGGAGCACGTCGTTCTTGGCACTGGAGAGTTGTATATGGACTGCGTGTTGCACGATCTACGAACACTCTATGCAGAAATGGACATCAAGGTTTCCGACCCTGTCACGCGGTTCTGCGAGACGGTGACCGAGACCAGCGCCATCATGTGCTATGCATTGACTCCCAACAAGAAGAACAAATTGACCATGATCGCGGAGCCACTTGACGATGGTATTGCTGAGGACATTGAAGCTGGTACAATCAAAATTCGCGAACCGATTAGAAAGGTTGCCAAGTTCTTTGAGGAAAAATATGAGTGGGACAAGCTCGCAGCTCGGTCAATTTGGGCATTTGGTCCCGAGGAAATGGGCCCGAATATTCTGTGTGACGACACATTACCTTCGACCACGGACAAGAAACTTTTGAAGTCAGTGCAAGAAAGCATCAAACAAGGCTTCTCTTGGGGCACGAGAGAAGGCCCCTTGTGCGAAGAACCTATTCGGAACACGAAATTCCGAGTAACTGGTGCTGAGCTTGCGACGGAGCCCATTTACCGAGGTGGGGGTCAAATCATTCCTACCTCCCGACGAGCCGTCTACAGTTCGTTCCTCATGGCTGGACCGCGGTTGATGGAGCCTGTGTACAGCGTTCACATGACTGGACCAGCAGACTCAATTTCAGGGCTGTATACGGTGCTCATGAAACGACGAGGGCATGTTGTGTCTGATGGGCCTGTTGCTGGCACGCCTCTTTATGCAGCCAAAGCCCTCCTTCCCGTCATTGATAGCTTCGGCTTTGAGACTGATCTGAGGATACACAGCCAGGGTTCTGCCAGCGTGTCTTTGGTCTTTGACCGTTGGGACGTGGTTCCTGGCGATCCACTGGACAAGAGTATTGTGATCCGGAAACTGGAGATGGCTGGACCACAACAGGCAGCGCGTGATTTCGTCTTGAAGACGAGACGTAGGAAGGGCTTGAGCGAAGATGTCGATGTGAAGAGATTTTTAGAGCCAGAATTGCTTGCGGGTTTGAGAGAAAGTGGTGTTCTCGACTGATGTACCAATACTATGATAGACGTCTAGTCAGAAATGAGTACCAATGATAGTTCGGCTATTCAAGTGCGCTATCCTCGTTGTACTCCGTAGTAGGCAGAACTCTTGGCGGGAATTTTAGAGTTTGCCGTGCAAAAATTGTGTGCACCGCCTAAAAAAGTTTCCAAGTGGGTTGGATTTGCTTTGCTGCATCGAGAGTCGCTCGCCGCATCCTCGTCCATCTCTTCCCTGCGACTTACCGACCTTTTTCTGTCCCCCCATCTTATCGCAACCTCGTCCAAGAAATTCTTTTTGTGACATCTCATCACTATGGCGGACGAAGTTTATGACGGTGCCATCGGCATCGATTTGGGTATGTGTTGTCATGCCTGCCCGCTCCTGCCGAAAGACCGCAGCCTCTAACTCTTGATTTTTTTTTTCAAACAGGAACCACCTACTCTTGCGTCGCCAACTACGATGGTAACAATGTCGAAATCAGTATGTATCATCTTCGAACCCTTGAACAATACACCCTAGACCTGTAACTAATACACCTCCTCACAGTCGCCAACGAGCAGGGTAGCTTTACCACTCCCTCGTTTGTTTCCTTCACCGAAGAGGAGCGTCTCATCGGAGAGGCTGCAAAGAATCAGGCTGCCATGAACCCAGCCAACACCGTCTTCGATGTCAAGTCAGTCTAGTCACTACAGAACCAATATCTTCATTGCTAATTTGTGCCGTAGGCGTCTGATCGGTCGCCGATTCGATGACCCCACCGTCAAGAAGGATATTGAGTCGTGGCCATTCAAGATTGTCGACCAAGGTGGAAACCCCATGGTCCAGGTCGAATACCTCAAGGAGACCAAGGTCTTCTCGCCACAGGAGATCTCCTCCATGGTTCTTACAAAGGTGAGACTAGCTTTTGCTGGGTCTTGAAAATAAATACCTAACCTCGTCGCAGATGAAGGAAGTTGCCGAGACAAAACTCGGCAAGAAGGTCGAGAAGGCTGTCGTCACAGTCCCAGCCTACTTCAACGACAACCAGCGACAAGCCACCAAGGATGCTGGTGCCATCGCTGGTCTCAACGTGCTCCGTATCATCAACGAGCCTACCGCCGCTGCCATCGCTTATGGTCTCGGATCCGGAAAGACCGACAAGGAGCGAAACGTCCTCATCTACGATCTTGGTGGTGGTACTTTCGATGTCTCCCTCTTGAACATTCAGGGTGGTGTTTTCACCGTCAAGGCCACCGCAGGTGATACCCATTTGGGTGGTCAGGACTTCGACACCAACCTTCTGGAACATTTCAAGAAGGAGTTCACCAGAAAGACCAAGAAGGGTAAGTCTAATTGATTTTGTCGGCGTATAACAACATTCTCTGACTTATCATAGATCTTTCTGGCGATGCCCGTGCCCTTCGAAGACTCAGAACTGCCTGCGAGCGTGCCAAGCGAACTCTGTCCAACGGTACTCAAACCACCGTCGAGATTGACTCTCTGTTCGATGGCGAGGACTTCAACGCCCAGATCACCCGTGCTCGTTTCGAGGATCTCAACGCTAAGGCCTTCAGCGGCACCATCGACCCTGTCCAACAGGTCCTCAAGGATGCTGGCATCGACAAGTCAAAGGTCGATGAGATCGTCTTGGTCGGTGGCTCCACTAGAATTCCCCGTATCCAGAAGCTGCTGAGCGATTTCTTCAACGGAAAGAAGCTCGAGAAGGTTTGTTCTACTTTCGCCTGTTTTGGAGTGCTTTTATTGACAATATTCAGAGCATCAACCCTGATGAGGCCGTCGCATACGGTGCTGCTGTCCAGGCCGGTATCCTCTCTGGCAAGGCTACCTCCTCCGACACTGCCGACCTTCTCCTCCTCGATGTTGTTCCTCTTTCCCTCGGTGTCGCCATGGAGGGCAACATTTTTGCTCCTGTCGTTCCCCGTGGCAGCACTGTGCCCACCCTCAAGAAGAGGTATGGTTTTCCTTCGACATGTATAGACTTGACTTCTTTTGCAGAATACTAACCTGCCTCCCAGAACCTTCACTACCGTGCAAGATCAACAGAGCTCAGGTATTCCAACCCTGCCCCAATTCACATAACATATTCATGCTGACTAAATTCTTAGTCGTTTTCCCTGTTTACCAAGGTGAACGCACAAATTGCGAGGACAACACAAGCTTGGGCGAGTTTACTCTGGCCCCTATCCCCCCTCTCAGAGCTGGTGAGGCTGCTCTTGAATGCGTGTTTGAGGTCGACGTCAACGGCATTCTCAAAGTTACCGCCACCGAGAAGTCCACTGGTCGTTCTGCCAACATCACCATTTCCAACGCTGTTGGCAAGCTCTCCACTGCTGAGATTGAGAAGATGGTCGAAGATGCTTCGAAATTCAAGACCTCTGATGAGGCCTTCACCAAGAAGTTCGAAGCCAAGCAGCAACTCGAGTCATACATTGGCCGTGTTGAGGAGCTGATCAACGACCCTGGTTTGTCAATGAAGATGAAGCGTGGCAACAAGACCAAGATCGAGGAGGCTCTCAGCGAGGCCATGCAACAACTCGAACTCGAGGACTCGACACCCGATGACCTCAAGAAGAAGGAGCTGGCTCTCAAGCGTGCCATGACCAAGGCCATGGCCACCCGATAAACATCTCTGACGTCTTCTAAGATTGCCCACGCCTCTTGACTCAACCAACCAACCTCCCACCTTCAAAATTGCCAGACTTGTACTGCTTGTCACCAGTCCACCAGTTCATTTTGGAAGATTGAGACACGCAATCACAACCACACACGTCGTCGTTCACGAATCGGGTTATGCCAATGCAATGCATCAGTTAGCATCATTCCATCTGTGGTCGGCGTCATTTTCGGATACACATCATCTTTCACCCAAGGCGTGGTCCATCAAGTACCCCCGAAAAGTTTTGGGGAGATTGTTTCTGATGTAGATAAGCGGCAACAATTTCCCGCAATGATGTGTAGCCGAATGAATACTCTTTGTTGTTTCTAGTATGGATCTTTTGTCTGTGGTCCGTCTCAATCGTTTATCTTGGTATGATTATCTTGTAAAAGCGTTGGGAGGGTACTTCGAGTGATAGTGCCATTTGTCCAGTAAAGCCTATCTTACACGATGCCACTTGGGTCCTACATCCAACAGGGCCACTGTTCGCCGAAGGAGAAAGAGGTGCTTCTGAGGATAGCATTGACGTGGTCGATGTCCTTTCAAGAGAGAGAATCAAAGTACCCAATGAAGGAAACACGATGCGAGGCAGGTCAACAGACGATCAGGAGCAGGTAGTTACAATGATTTGTCCCTTCTTCCCTTGTCTTCTCTACTCGTCGTTACATGTCCATTCTACTATGCCCAAAGACTGTGCTTGTCGTTCCAGCGTCATGCCATCATCAACAAGCCCATTGCACGACCCAAAACGCCCCTGCATACCATACCACTTCAAATAGTCTAAAACCCAACCCACAACCCTGGCATAGGCGACGCTTGGTCGACAGGTTCAGCTTCATCCTCATCTTGTGAAACCCACGTACCATCATCTGCAATAGCTCTATCCACCTCCATGTCAATATGAAGGGGAACACCGCCATCACTATCGTCATCAACATCAACATCGTTGTCGACATCGATATTGACAACAGAAATACCATCATCACTGTCGCCATCAACATCGTCATCAACAGCACCGTCAACCTCGCCGTCAACCTCGCCATCAACCTCGCCATCAACATCAACAACACCATCAACAGTACCGTCAGCGATACCATTGATAGTCCCATCCCCATTCCCATCCCCATTCCTATTACCACCAACATCGATATAAACCCCCTCAATCTCCTCCAATCGCACAATCTCCCTAACAATATCCAAACTCATTTCCTCCCTCACGTCATCCCAAATAGTACTCCAAAACACCTTCCAATCCACACAAGCGGTATATCCCAAGAGCTGATACATGAGAAAGATGGCTGTCCATGAATCATTAGGACGAAGAGCTCGATGCACGGCATAGGATAGAATGATCGTCTTCGAAAAAGTAGTCATTCTTAGTCGCAATGCGATAACCAGAAACAGCAAGATGGCGATAATTCGGACGACATCAGGTTCTGCGGCGTGTAGGACAGTAAGGCAGAATAATTCGCATGCGATACTATGGTTGGGGTTGATGATCATAGGAGGGGGAGGAAGGATGTCAGGGGAGGTGAATCCTTCTTCAACTTCTTCTTCTGCCTCTTCGACTACGGCGTTATCATCGTTGTGATCGTCGTAATTGTCCGCGGGAATAGCGAAGAGAGCAGCAAGGCCGATGAGATGGGTATTGTCATCCTCTTCGTCTTGGGGGTTGCTGATATCACCTCCTGCCGGTCCAACGACAAGTCCTTTCATGAGATAAGCGTAAGCATCTTCCAACTTGTTCATCATTCGAAGAGAAACCCCATCCATGAAGAGAGATCCTATACTCTTAGACATCAACGATGAGACGACGGACTTCATTTCGGGTAAGGTGAAGGTAGAACTAACGGTGTCCGTGCTGTGGTTCTTCAATGGAATTTCAGCACCAGGCACACACGCTTTGATCTTGGTGATCTTGGCCATGGTGTAATAAGACGAACACTGGCTTGTGTTAGTGGACGGTTGAGACTTTCTTCCTGAGATGTAGATGTAGTTGATGAGTTGATCTGATGGTTCCTGGTCTGGTCTGGTCTGGTTTGTTGTATTCTGGCAATGTATGAAGATGGATATTTGCTTGAGCTTGTTGGAATGGTATTGTAGAAAGTCATGGGAAGAGAGAGAGATATATAGAACCTAGTATGATTAAGCGATCTCTGGCAGACATGGAGGCCAGCCAGCACCCTTTGTTGTCAGTGTCAAATCAATGTCGCCAGGCAGTTCAGTTTGCTAGCATAAATGCAGGAGGTACATGGAGCGGCCATCACCTTACCTGGTAGAATCAAAGACTTATGACACATCCTGGCTGAGGTATGCAACGAAGAATGAGACCGCTAGGCAGTCTTGAAAACTCGACAAAGAAACATGTGCATCTAGGTCAACATGATCATCGATCAACATGCGGATATATGACAAACAGTAAGACATGGTGAGAAAGACAAAGACCAGATTGACACATTTGCGTGAACAGGGGTGGAAGATAAGCATGGAGAAAATGAAATTGTGTTGGTTTATGTACAACTAGACGTTGTTAATTCTTTTCTGGTCCCATTCTCCATTCTAACAAAACAATGTAAGCAGCTCCCTCGATCCGCTTACATATCCTCCGAGGCAGTGGCACCAGTGATGATTTCCACCAATTCTCCGGTAATCACAGCTTGTCGGGTTCTGTTGTATAGAATTGTAAATCGGCTGATCATGTCACCTGCGTTCTTGGATGCGTTCTAGGAGTTTGATTAGTTGCACGTCGACAAAAAATATATATCCAGGCAGGAAACTCACATCCATGGCATTTCTTCGGGCGGAGATTTCACAAGCGTGACCTTCTGCCAACGCCCAGTAGATGGAGTTGGCCAGCGAGTACTCTCGCAGGTTGGCAAGGACCTCGTCATCAATTTCAAAGGCAGCAAAGTTTGGTGATGAAGTGATGGCTTCCTCCGAGTATGCCTCCACAGTCGCGGGTTCGTAGCTCTGAGCGTTGATGAATTTGTTGTACAGGACCTTGATGCTGGCATAATCTTCAGGCAGCATGACCAGTTGATCGGCGATGGCTTGAGCATCGGCGAAAGTGGGAACCTCCTTTCCAACACCGGCAAAGCTCAAGACAATATTCTTTCCGTTCGAACGACCGAGTTGAGATTTGCATTTCTCTCCGATAATGGCGAGATCCAAAGTGGGATCAGCTTCGAGAAGACGTCGGGTGGCACGGGTAAGACCAGAGTGAACACCACCGCAGAGACCCTTGTCGGAGCTGGCAACGACCAACAGTGTTTTCTTGTCCTCCAACGGTTTGGTCTCGGCCTCTTCGTAAACTTGTTTGGCGGCTTCGCCATATGCACGGGAGTCGACCATGGCCTTTTGAGCGCGAGTGAGCTTAGTGGAAGCGACAATCTTCATGGTTTTGGTGATTTTCTCAATATTGCGAATGGACTTCAATCGGCCTGCAAGAGACGGGTTAGTTTTTGGGTTTGAAGGAGGTCGTTCGAGGTTTTCGTACTTTCGATTTCTCGGAGAGTGGCATATCCGGCGGTCTGGGGCACAGCAGATCTAAACAGGCGTTAGCATGGACGTTGGCGGAGCTGGCAGATTGTGCAATGTGCGAAGGAGGAGCTCTCTCTTACCTGGCCAGGACCAGATTGCCGGCGCTCAGGGCGGGTCTCACAGCTCTAGACAGCATCGTGCGTAGTCTGGCTGACGACGAAGCTGTACAAAAGCAGTGTCGACAAAGAGACAAGGGACGAGATTGATGGAGGGGAGATTGATGGCGACGATGAGGTTCTGGTGCGAGCCCTGAATTCTACTTGCAGGTGCAGTGCTTTCCCTCTCGGAACTGAAGCTCGACTGGATCTAGCTGTTCCAGGTTAGCTTCCACGTGACTACCATTGTTTTTCACGTGACTGCACCCTCCTCGACTCGGGGCAACGCCGGCACTGCGTTTTTCTTCCTCAACCATCCCTTCGTGTCCTCTCAGTCGTTGACATTCTGCTGCCAACGGACCAATCACTTGTCAATTCGTCCCCGTCACGCCAAATTCGGTGCGAGTGCGATCCGTCAGGGATCCCGCCAGCCAGCTTTCGAGAACGATAGAGAAACGAAAGGCAACGATGCCCAAAGCGGCCTGAGCCAGAGCCACCCACTCACTCTCCAACGACCATCAGAACCTCCAGAACCTCCAGAACCTCAGTCCTGGTGGGCCTCTCTTCTCGCTGTCTCCCTTCAAAAAGCCACTTCTCTGTCCAACGCCCTGCTCCTCATCACACCTCTAATTCTACCTCGACCTTCTTTCTTCTTACTCTTCTCTTGATCTCGCTGCGCGTCTCCTGGGACCTCCGACATTCCTTCACCCGCCCTTTTCTTTAACCTTACTTCAAACGCCTTTCTTCTCAACTTTCGACCTCCACCACCGCATTTGTGTACCTTCTTGCCCGTCAATATTCCACCCTTCCACATTGCACTACGCTCGCCTCTGAGCATACTCGCTTCTTCAACACGACCCACTTCTCGACTGTCACTTCCTACATATTCATATCATCTTGCTTCTCGAATTGCAGTCCACACACCCACCATGTCGTCTTCGGATGATGATGTACCCCTCGCTGAGAGAAAAACAAATCTTGCAAATCGAGGTACGGCCAAACCTTCACCACATTCTGCATCAGCTTGTTGCACTCGTACTCACTTCTCCTCGTCTAGTCAACTCTCATCTTTCCTCCAACAAGATCCCATCTAGTGTCGATGCTGCATTGGATCGCCAAATCCCCACGAATGGTAAAGTGCTTCCAGGTGTCTCAATGGTCAACGGTGTCATAAAGAAAGAAGATCGCGACACTACCATGGTGGATGCTGGTAGCTCTCTGGCCAACGGTGTTGCAAAGCGCAAGGCCCAACTCGCTCGCCCCGATTACGCTGATGCAGAAAGCAGTGATGACGATCTCCCACTCGTACGTGTTTTTCCCTTCTCCCACAGATTTCACCTCTGACCCAACTTTGCAATAGAGCAAAAAACGAAGAACAGCTGTTCCCAATGTCGCCGTCGAATCAGATTCTGACGATGCTCCTCTCGTCTCAAAAGCAAAACAAAATGGGACTAGTACATCAAAGCCCCCGCGTGCAAGCTATGCACAGATTGGCGAGTCCTCTGACTCGGATGTTCCTCTGCAGAAGAAACTGGTCAAAGAGAAACAAGGCATCGAGAAGGCCGCCGAGAAAGAGGCCAAACAGATACGGAGGGATGAGAAGAAGGATACCGTCAAACCCTCTAAAAAGCCAGCACCGGCACCAAAGAAGATTAAGAAATCCGAATCAAGTGACGACGATGTACCCTTAGCCAAGAAAGCAGCCAATGCATCCGCCAAAAAGGCCAAGGCTGGTTCATCGACACCAGCTAAAAAGTCAAAGCCCGTGAAGAAGGAAGAAACTGTCGATCCTGAGGAGGACGATGAGGAGGGACAAGTCAACTGGTGGGAGGATCCTACCAAAGGCGATGGTACGAATAAATGGGAAACTCTCCAGCACAGTGGTGTGGTTTTCCCACCTCCTTATGAACCACTCCCCAAGAACGTCAAACTCAGGTACAATGGAATCCCTGTTAGCCTCCATCCTGATGCTGAAGAAGTTGCCGGCTTCTTTGGTGGTATGCTCAATTCGACACACAACGTGGAGAACCCGACCTTCCAGAAGAACTTCTTCACAGACTTCAGGGAAATTCTTAAGAAAACTGGCGGGGCGAAAGACGGGGAAGGTAACAAAGTGGATATCAAGGAGTTTGCCAAATGTGATTTCAAGCCAATCTTCGAATACTATGATGCTCAAAGAGAGGCCAAAAAGGCCATCCCAATCGCCGAAAAGAAAGCTATGAAGGCCGAAAAAGACAAAGCTGAGGCACCATACATGTACTGTATCTGGGATGGCAAAAAACAGAAAGTTGGAAATTTCCGCGTTGAACCTCCAGGCCTGTTTCGTGGTCGAGGTGAGCATCCAAAGACCGGCAAAGTCAAAACCAGAGTTCAACCAGAACAAATCACGATCAACATTGGCAAGGAGGCCACTGTCCCTCCACCTCCCGAGGGCCACAAATGGAAAGAAATCAAGCATGACAAGCAGGGAACATGGCTCGCTATGTGGCAAGAGAACATCAACGGCAATTACAAATACGTCATGCTAGCAGCAAATTCCGACATCAAGGGTCAGAGCGACTACAAGAAGTTTGAAAAAGCTCGTGAACTCAAGAAACACATTGATCGCATCAGAAAAGATTACAAGAAAGATCTCAAATCTGAATTGATGGCCGAACGACAGAAAGCTACCGCCATGTACCTGATCGACAAGTTTGCGCTGCGTGCTGGCAATGAGAAAGGCGAGGACGAAGCCGACACTGTCGGTTGTTGCTCTCTCAAATATGAACATATTACCCTCCGCCCGCCATCAACCGTTATTTTTGACTTTTTGGGGAAGGACAGCATTCGCTTCCATGAGGAGTTTGACGAGGTTGACCCACAAGTGTTCAAGAACCTCAAAATCTTCAAGAAGCCGCCGAAGGGTGAAGGAGACGATATCTTTGATCGACTCACAACAACTCAGCTCAACAATCATCTGAAGAACTATATGCCTGGACTCACTGCGAAAGTCTTCCGAACGTACAATGCATCGTACACAATGTCACGGTTGCTTAATGAGATGAAATCGGAAGGCAGTATCCCCGAGAAGATCAAAGACTACAACGATGCCAATCGAAAAGTCGCCATCCTCTGCAATCACAAGCGAACAGTTGGTGCAAGTCATGCAGGCCAAATGGAGAAGTTGGGTGATCGCCTCAAAGGTCTCCGGTATCAACAGTGGCGGCTGAAGCAGATGATGCTTAACCTGGAACCTAAGATGAAAAAGAAGAAGGGCGCCGACTACTTTGAACTTCCCGATGATCTGGACGATGCCTGGATCTTGGAGCATCAGGCTTTTCTGGTAGAGGAGCAGAAGCAAAAGATCACCAAGAAATTCGAAAAGGACAATGAAAAGCTCAAGGCCGAAGGCGAGAAAGAGATGAAGCACAAGGAGCTCGAGGAGCGACTTCAGGTTGCGAAAGACTTGGAGAAGAAATTCAAAAAAGAAGCCAAAACCAAGAAAGTCGAACCCGAGGGCAAGTCGCCCTCGGTGGAGAAACTTGAGGAGAACATCAAGAAGCTTGACGGACGAATTGCGACGATGAAATTTCAAGCCGAAGACAAGGAGAATAATAAAGAGGTGGCTTTGGGAACTTCCAAGATCGTGAGTATCTTGCTAGCTGATCTAGCTCAAACATGTGCTAATGAATTCTGCAGAATTATATCGATCCACGTCTCACAGTGGTCTTCTCCAAGAAGTTTGATGTTCCAATTGAACGTTTCTTCTCCAAGACGCTTCGCGAGAAGTTCGAATGGGCCATCAAGTCGGTGGATGAAGACTGGAGTTTCTGATTTTTCTTTGGACAAAGTCTTGGAATTTTTGTGCTGTTGCTGAAGATCGTCAGATCGTGAAAGCAAATTTAGATGCACATTTATGCCAACTGACATATGTTACATACTTCGGAGGTGATGTCAACGACAACGAAAGTATGAAGGGAGGCTTGGCTTGTTTATTCCTTCAATATGCGGGAGCGGGTTTTGCATGGTCCATTTCTGGGTGGGCTGTGACCTGCCCAGGCCGACTGTTAGCATGGGTGCGAAGCAGCAGCGACATGAATCAACGCAATCCATGAGGGCATGATTTGAAAAGTATCTTAAAGGTGGGGCGGTGACCTGAGCAGCCAAAGTCCTTGGGTCCATGGTATCCCCTGTTCTCAAGGTCAACAACGGGCAGACACAGAGTCTGAGGGCAAGCTGTGTACGTTCGTTCATAGAAGTTGGGGCTCTTCCAAGGGCTCTAGAAGATGATCAAAATAGATATCGAGTCTTACCACTGGTAGCGTCAGCCTCCTCGGCCCATTGAATCACTCTCGCTTCGTACATGGTCCTATAGACCTTCACGCGCTCCAATCACTTTGAAATAAAGTTCACTGTGGATAGATGCATGGAAAGTGCACGTGACAGACCGACTATCGTTCTGTTAGATAAGGGAGTTGGCCACACAAGGCTGAGGGTCTCTCTATAAGTATGAGTTTAGTTTCAAAAAGAAAGAATAGCCCGGGCATGGCGCTCGATTGAAGATAGAAGGAATCTTTTATTTGGGACATATAGATCATGATAGAAAGTGTCGGAGTACGCCTTCATCTCAGTGCATAGGTTGGTCGGTCAATCGAGTTCCATGCCCAGCAGTCCCAAAGTCAACCCATGAGGGCATTTATTTTCTCATGCTCACAAGTAAGAAGGGCGAGTGGTGAAGTGTGTGTCTCGCTTGACGTTCGGGTACTCCTCGTCGGAATAGAAATCGGCGCGCAGCTCGATCTTGCCCTGAGAGTTCTCGAGGAAGAAACGGCTTTGCGAGGCAGGGAGATGGCATCGCTGGACGTGGTTGGCGTAAGATGGGGACTGCAATGGATATTTGTTAGTTGACCAGCACATCTGATAAGCGCTATATGAAAGTCTAGTGCCGTCACAATACGTACCATGTATCCTAGAGCCAACATGATACGGTGCTCGGAGCTGTTGTTGGGCATTCCCGCGTGCCATGTGCGCAAGTCTCGGATCATGATGTCGCCTTTCTTGCAGGTAGGTTGAATAGGTGGGCGTACTTGTCTTCGAGCCTCTAGAACGTCCTCCTTCACAGGTGGGATGGGATCGTTGGGCATAGAGTATGGATACATTTTACGGTCGGCCTCGGTCTCGGACTTGCGTTGATCGTTCTCGTCGGTATGTGCGTGTGTTCCAAGCCAGAACTCGGTCGAGCCGTTCTCGACACTGAAGTCGACCAGGGGAATGTTGGCAATGAAGTAGAAAGGAAACTTGGGGTGGATGTAGCCGTTGTCCTTGTGGACGGGTTGGCGCATTCCACCAGTGTTGGCCAGAGCATTGTTGGAGGTCAACCAGTTGAGAATGGGCTTGGATCCAAGGTAGCTGTCGAACCAATTAGTCATAATCATCCAACCGCATTGTGCCTCATCACATACCTGTTGGCAATCTGATGTAAGAATGGGTTGAAGTACACATCCTCATATAGAAGGTCGGGGTTAGTCACAGGTGGTCGTTGCAAGAAGTTGGCTTTAGTTATGTCAGCCTTGTCATCCACATATCGTGATAACGCTGTCTAGAAGGTCAATTTACATTTCAATCCATGGTTGAAGAACTTTGTTGGATCGGCAAGGATGCCATCCACCTCACTGCACATGGCTTCGTTGATGGCATCGATATGGTCGACATCAATGATGTCCTTGAGGACGACGAGACCATCTTGATGAAGGGCAGAAAGGATCTTGCCAACTGTTTCAAGGCTATAGACACCGTTCTTGCGCTCCTGGTCAGAGGGAAAGATGCCTTTTGGGCCGTCGGCCGTCTTTTCTTCGTCAATTGGGGCGCGGCTGATCATGATGAGATTGTTGTGTTACTGTTTGGTTTGGGATTAGGGTACGGTCTCGGCTGCCAGGGGGACTGGGGAAAGTTTGAAATAGGTGAGATGTACATACAAGATATATAGCGCAATTCACAACTTCGACTCTAGCAATACTGATAAACCCCAAAGCGGCTCGAATCTATGGTTGATCGGCCAATGATATCTTGACTTTGGAAAACAGAGTCCCTGTAGTATGGAATCGTTGATTGTAATCGCGGTACGCTTTGTTATCTTCCCTGAATAGTGGTTCGTGAGTCACAATAATGGACCAGGTTCGTAGCGGGTGGCAGTGGAATGACTTGCTTGAGGGGATCATTAGACCAATACTATGAACCAGGTGGATGGACATCCTACAAACACCATGCCTTTTCTCCCGTTATACCCGGGGATCCCTCTCCCATGCGACCCTGAATCCCTCCTGGCCCCTGCCCGGCACCCGAGTCGAGTATTAGATTGTGGGGAAGACGAGTGATAACAAGATGATTGTTATCGGACATGATAACAGCAGGAGATACGGTTTTCGACGAACCAGATATGGCACTTTGCGTCAGATAGATAGGTGATAGTCCTTATTAGATACCTGATAAGGCGGTCGTGGGCACCCAAGGAGGGGAGGGGGATCAAGGGACGGCGGACATCTCCCCGGATTGTACACATTTACCCCAAGAAATCACCACGTACTCCGTATATTGACCAGACAATAGTGGACAAAAGGCACGGTCGGAAGTTCTAGCGGTGGGAGTTATACAGACGCGAGCTGACCGTGCCTCGTCTCCTCTATCCATTTGACCATTACCAATGGCGTGGTTGCGAAGACCGTGAGACATAGAGTGAGAGGTGTGCGCTGGCAAGAGCGTGCTTCTGCGGTAGAGCCAATGTCTGCATGGTAGTCGGCTACTATCCATAGATGGCGATCAGCCACGCGCTCCAATGATAGGAGAGACATGTAGTCGGCCCTTGGTAAGAAATGGAGTTGAGCGAACCATGTCAGATGCAAAGTATTGGATAGATGTAATTGGTCAAATGCGATCTTGGCATCCTTACTTGCCTCTTCCGGGCATTCGACGCTCACTAGCGTCTTGGCACATTCCCGCCATCTCGACTACAATCATCTTCCCTGATGTTTGTCTCGCCTCACAATAGACAGTCTAAACAGACAGAATACGGGTTCTGAACGTTGTTAAAGCGATACCCTCAGATAGCCTCACAATCTTGCTGGAAAGCTGCCCGTTCCCCCTACCCTCTTGCACAGCGTTCCTTTATCATTCCCTGATATCAACGGATACCCGCTTCCCGTCCCCAGACGGCGTCCCGCGCTAGAGGCCAAGCACGAGTCTCCGCAGAAATCTGACCTCTGATTGTCCAGCCATGTGTCCACACGATACCGCTTGATTTGACAATGATCTTCCAGGCGAGTGCGGATAAGTCCCTTATGCGGTTGTTATCAGAAGTCAAGACCAACATGTGTCCACCATGGCCAGTCCGCCCGTTTGTCATCTCCATAGGTTCAATACACGACCTCTACCTCTTTGCGGCACTCCAGGTGTATTCTAACCTTATCAGAGGATACTGGTGGGACATCTATTGTCACGATAATGTTCTAGGGCGATATCCACTCAACTGGGCCGCCGCGTCAACTCAATTCTTACCACCCGTGGCTCAGTGCCATTTCAGCGATGCTGTGGATGACTGTCAGGTAAGTCCAACTAGATAAGCAGATGTATATCAAGGTGAGATCGTCCCTGCCACGTTCTCTTTCGTGGTTCATATGCCAATCTAATCAACCTAATCATTACCCTCACCATGGCCATCTCAATGGCAGGTTTCAAAGAGAAGGTGGCGAGCAAGAAGCAGGCCATCAAGGAGGCATTTAGTAGCAAAGAGGCTTTTCTTCGAGCAATCGAAGTAAGAAACACCATCGAAGATGGTACGACCACCGGCCACTACAAACGAGCCGATCCTCGATGGATGAACGAGGATCTGGAGCCCACTCCCCCAGAGAAGCGCACATGGGGTTTCAAAACCTACTGCATGTTCTACTTTGGTCTCTCCTTCGGCAACTGGAGTCTGGGTGCCGTCATGGTTGGCATCGGCTTGAGTTGGTGGCAAGCAATTGTCGTCATTTTCATCGCCCAGGCCATTGCATCCCTTGCAAAGGCTTTCAACTCCAGGGTCGGCACCATGTACCACATTGGTTATCCCGCTGTGTGTCGTGGCATCTTTGGCTTCTATGCTAGCTACTACTTTGTCGGGGCCAGAGCTGCTCTAGCAGTCATCTGGTACGGAGTTCAGCTTTACACCGGCGCGAGTTACTTTGCAAACATGCTTCGCGCAATCTTCGGCAGCTCCTTTCACGACATTCCGAATGCGATCCCCGAATCCGTTGGAATCACCACCAACCGCATGATCGCTTTCTTTCTGTTCTGGCTCATCCACTTCTATTTCTGCTTCTACCGACCTTATCAACTCGTCAGATTCTTCTGGTTCAAGGGACTAATAATGCTACCCGCTGTGTTCGGAGTGTTTATCTATTGTATGGTTGCGACAAAGGCACAATTCGGTGGCGCCTTGCCCGCGGTGACCGGAAGTCGACCCTTGGGATGGTTGTTCATGCATGCCATCAACAGCGGCATGGGTAACCAGGCTACGCTCATCACCAATCAGCCTGACATTGCCAGATGGTCCAAAACCCCAGGCGCCGCAGTATGGTCTCAAGTGCTGGTTCAGCCTCTTGCATCAACCTTGTCGGCGACGTTTGGTATTCTCGCCACTGCAGCAATCAACAACGTCTGGGGCCTGCAATTGTGGAACCCCTGGGATCTTCTGGACGCCATCATGGATCGCCACTTCAACGGAGGAGCTCGGTTTGCTATCTTCTTGGCCGCATTCACCTGGACGATTGGTATTCTCGGCACCAACATCGCAGCCAATATGATCCCCTTTGGCTCCGATGTCACTCTGTTGGCTCCACGATACATTGACATGAGACGAGGCTTCTTCCTCGCCGAATTCCTCGGGTATGCCGTGGTCCCATGGAAGATTTTGGCCTCTGCAAGGGCTTTTACATCCTTCCTGTCCGGTTATGGTCTCTTCATGGCCTCGGTGGTTGCCATTATGATTTCAGAATGTAAGACTAGCCCAACATTTGACAATCCAACGGACTCGTAACTAACAAATGGCTCGCAGATTTCATGATGATAAAAGGAAACTTTTTTGTTTCTCATCTATTCGACCCCACCAAGGACAACGAGTACTATCGATACCATAAAGGGTGGAATATACAAGCTCTGATTGCCTATCTGATCGGAATTGCCCTTCCCTTCCCTGGCTTCGTTGCCACACTAGGCGCACCGGGTGTCAATGACGGAGGAAGAAATCTCTTCTCCATGGGTTGGATTCTGTCCTTCTGTACCTCGTTTGTCATGTACTGGGTCATCTGTTCCTTCTGGCCAACTGAGGCTCAAAAGGCCATTCGTGCACGAGGCCTGAAACGCGAGCAGGTCGTGTCAGAGCAGCTCCTCACTCACGAAGGACTGTCGGTCGACGATGAGGAGAAGAATGTCGTAGATGTCGAGACGACACCGGTCAAGAAGGATGACGTGAGCTGAAGAGCCAGTTGAACGGTCATGATGAGGGTAATGACTAATAGAGATATACGTATAGTTTGCATGATTTGACATTTTGCAATAGTATTGGCGACAAGTCACAAGTACCATAACTGCTTCTATTACCCGTGTTATATCCAGGATATCTAATCGATCCAATGTCTAATTCCGGTGCTCGTGATAAAGCCCCTGAAACGCTACACGAGGAAGATCCAAATCCCAATCCCGATGGGTGCCCAGATCCTAGTTGAGTTTTCATTTCATATCCCACTCCAAGTCAACCATTGTCGCCCTCCTGCTTGGTCAGTCAATTATGTCCATTCAAAGCCACGCAAGATGATCTACTCACCGACAATAAGATTTCGGGTGTTAAGAAGTTGAGATCAACGTCGCCAAAGTTCACAGCGGTATGTATCGCCGACTGCAAGGCTTGCAGGTTGTTATCTAGTAGCCGTGAGAGTCGAGCAAATTCTATTGCAGGCAAGTTGCCGGCCGAGGCTTGCTGGTTGAGGAGTTGAACCACCGTCTCCAGCGCAGCGTGATCGTTCTGTTCAAAGGGAAACAGACTCATGAGGTAGGGGTCGTGGAAGACGGCGAAATGAAGTGCTCGAGCGACATACAGCGCAATGGTAGCGGTGAATGAGAAGCTGGCTACAAAGTAGGAATATGTTGCTGGGAAGGCAGTCAGAAAGGCAATCATCCTTGGGGATGAGTCGGGAGGTCGCCGAGTGGTACTTACGAAGACACCCTTGATCCCGCAGCCATTGCAGAATAGAAGCAGTCTCCCTCGCTGAAGACATGGAAGACATGAAAAACACTTGGAGAACGTGTGCTGGAATGCTCGGTTGGGCTTTCGTTCGGTTTGCTTCGTGCGATATGACGGGAATTGATTGGGAGTTACACAGCAGATTGTATGCATTGAAGAGTGCTGGTCGAACAATGACGAGGATGGACTACAAGTCTGATCAGTAATGGTCAAAAGGCGGATAAGCAGGGGAAGAAGTAAGTACTTGGTGATATATCAGATACATATTGGCGTTGATACGGTTGATGTTCATCATTGAACCGTCCCAGCTCCGTGCAATCCTCATTGCTGTCGGTAGATCGGCTTCCCATGTATTGAGTGCCCGATTGAATTCATGGATCTTATCCAGGTGTTGCTGTGTGAGACAGTCGCCGAGATTGAAGTCGAACAGGGAAATGTTGGAGTAAGGATTGATGGCGGTGCCAGCATAACCATAAAGCGACGAGTAGGCCTGGCTTCTTAGGCGCATGAGTTCAAGGTGGATATTCGACTCTTGGTCATCAAAGAACTCCAGCATCTCCTCTGCCGAGAGGCGGCTGGAGTCTGCATAGTCAACTGTAATCTCGTCATCGAGAACACCCCACGGGCGTCCTGTGGTACTCGTGGCCAACCTAAGTAGACATTTTTAGTCAAAATGTGTCAGACTTGAGGGTCAGATAAGTTGCACGCACAAATCTTGGTAATAAACGGTCCAGAAAAGTCTTTTTTGGTGTTCCAGCTCCACAGCCGGCAGAGTAGACCGCTCGGAAGGGAAATCCTGAGGGTGCCGGTGAAGATCAAGGGACAAAGCGGCACGCATGCATACACCGACATACATGTAGGCGGTGTTGATACGGTTGATAGAGAAGGCATAGAGGGCCAGCAGACACAGAGTCTCGATATACTGGATGTCGGGGTTTTCGGCGACTTGTTGAAGGAGGCTCACAGACTGTTGATAATACTCCATCCCAGGGCTCTCGTGTACGCCGGCACCGACAGCCTTCTCGGAGGCCAGAGAATTGTGTGGGTCTAGCTGTGATTGCATGTTGACGCTGTACAGCTCACCAAGTGCAACTATTGAAAGCCAGTGGCAGAGCCAGCCCTGGTCTTTGCTCTGAGCGGAATCGGGAGATTGGTGCATGCGGGCCAACTTTGCACGAATATCTCTGCGCCGAAAGTAATGCTGCTGGTCTCCAATGGCTGTCTCGAGGACCTGGATGAGGTAGGTGCTGTGGTTGTAGGGTGGTAGGCGGATTTTGACCGGCTTGGAGGTTCTAGATGGGAGGGTTGGGCGGGAGAGAACGGTGTCGATGGAGATCTCCAGTCCCGAGTCCACCAGATCAAATGAGGATGGACCAAGAGATGCCCAGGATGGGTTGAATGAGACATCGTCTCGCTTCAGCAATTCTGATCGTTGTTCAGCCATCCAAGCGACACTTTGCTCAACAAAGGTCTCATCAGTAGGATTTCCACGGTAATTGGGGCGTTTTCTTCGGCCATATTGACTCTGGCTTGATCGACTAGAACTAAAGTCCTTCTCAGGGCGTCGATAACTTTCGATCCAGAATGAGGCCGTAGCCGATTGCAGATTGCTGGGACCAGCGCCCAATAATCTTTCGTCTGGGGCAACACCAGTGAATTGGACTGTTGCATGTTGGATGCTTGTGCTCCGGTGTTTGCGCGACAGAGGAAATATGCAGGGTAGAGAAGAAAGAGCACAATTTCTACAGGGTGGTCCTATGTCGAGTCAATCAGTGCAACGATCAGATAACCGCATGGGCGGGATCAGGCATACCTCCCAGACACTTGATCCTTTTCGTATGACACCTAGAGCATCTGCAGCAAGAGTCAGTCGATATTGGCAACGATACAAGACATCAAGCGAGATGCAAGTATCTCCTCAAGCCTCGTGGACCTACGCCTGTTTTTTCCGGGCCGCATAGACAGGCTCGCGTTCTTGATTCATGGCAGAGGGGCCAGCCAAGTTCTTGTCTGAGGGGATTTGTGCCATGGTGAGGACCGAGGTCAGCCCGAACTCAATGCACCTAGGCTGATCCTGGCGGGCGGTGGGTGAGATCGAGAGGCATTGCGGGATGAAGTGTGTCGTCTTGCTATTGAATCCTGTTGAATGTTGGATTGGTTTGATGAGGCATAATGAGGCGCACTGAGCGCAATGATGGTGGTTGTCGTTTCCAAGAAAGTGCAACGTGGTTGGTCACGTGGTCTTGAGGGGCATCACATCCGCTTCCCATCAGGCAGGAGCGGCAGACACCCAACAGAGGTCCCATCGGCAGGTACGACTGACAATTGTCAGTGAGAAATTATCTACGTCTACGTTTGCGTCTGCGTCTGCGTCTTCACCTGCGCAGTCTCTTCTACACTCTACTCCTACACCAAAACACTCTTCAACACAGGAAACATCTGACCAAATGTTGATTCTACAAGAAGTACACCTGAAAATGGATATAGGTGGCGTCCCAAAACCCCTCCCATGCAACTTCCTAACCAGACCAGATCCTCTTCTCATGCTGAATCACTCAGTCACTGTGGTGCAGTAGTAGCAGCTGTACCAGCATACTCTGCAATCACACTCTTGGGCTCGACATATGTCCCAACCGGTCGGTACTCAATATCGTATCCAAATGCCTTAGGTCCACCATATTCCAGGCCTCTTGGTGTGTCTGTCCAGCGTGGCGAGCATGCAATGGCCAATACAGTCACCATCAATCCGTATCGATACTCTGGCACACCCAGAGCCAGACCTGACTGCGTATCCAGAACAGATATAAGGTCAGGCACAGTGGCAATGTATGATTCGGATCCGTCCTCGGCCACATGTTTGGCATAGATGTTCTCGTTCTTGAACGGGATTTTCAACACTCCACCTTCAGCAACTGCCGCTACCTCATGTCGATTCTCTTCTTCATCGGCTTGCACCTGTTTGATGGTGATCTCACCATATGAATGTCCCTTGAACAGTCTTCGTTCGACTGCTACAATCTTTCCTCGGAACAGAATCTTCGCCGTTGTGGGGCCACCTACGGCATCAATAATCTGTTCCGCCACCGTGTGGATGGTACTCTCTTGTTGTGCCCGTGCCACTGACCGGCCTATTCTCCAGGCCAAGGACACCGTATTCAGCACGCCATATTCTCTCACCCGTTTTGTCGTCGTTGGTTTCGCAGCCATGCCGACCCGGGAACCCATTTCTGAGCAGGATGCACGCAAGGCCCGGTCCACAATCTCATCGTTGGGTGATTTGATCATGACGATCGACTTGCCGTCTCCAGATGCGATGGCACATGGTGTAAGCTGTCCAGGCTCATACACCGCCAACGTGGTCTGCCAGTAAGTTGGATATGCTCGTCCTATCAGCTGTCAGCATGTTCTCTCCTCAAGCGACTGTGCCGAGATTTGGACGATTACGTACCCATCCAATCCCCATCAATGACAGGTCGATCAAATCCCTGGGAGGATCCGATAAGCAGAGGCTCTAGTCCATTCGCGCCACCAATTTCAAGACCCATGATCGCATCGAAGGACTCGTGGCCGAGGTATTCCATCAAATCTGCCACAGCATGGAGACATTCGGAAGAATTGAGTCTCTCTATCGAGACTGCAGGTGATCCCATCATCCCAGCCCCTGAAATGTTGTTAGCATGACCCAATGCACAAGAGCATATTTAGACTCACAGTATATGAGGGCTGTTTCGGGAAGAGAAGAACTGTCAATAACCCTGACGGTGCGCCCATTCCGGATCTGGTCGCGAAGCTTCAGGTATTCAGCTTTCGGTGAACCCCCTCCAGCGCAACCTAGAATATAGCAACCGTCTCGTATCCATTGGATGTCGGTTTCGGAGACAACCCATTCATTTCTGCCCAAGGCTGCGTTGTTTACAATCTGTGGCCGATATGTGTCGAAATTGAACCGTTCGAGGCTCTTTGGCGCCGAAACTGATTCTGGTTTGGCTGAGTTGTCCCTGTCGTCCCACATACTTTCTTCCTCTGCATCGGCAAGATTTTTGCTGCTTGAGATATAGTCGATTGAGAGATCGCCGACGGCCTTAACGATTACTCGAATTTGTCCGGCTACATAGGGAATTGGTAATGTCTCAACATCGACGACCGTGACCGTATCAGCATCCGCGCCAGCATCGACGGCTTTGGCGATTGCCTGTTCTTTAGCATGTTCTAGGGCCTCGGACAAAGTCATATCTTGTGTGACATAAATGGTGTCGACAGTTCCACAGACTCTCGCAATTGCTGCGCCGACGGCATTGGCCACAGCGTGGAACTTTGGGACAATGACTTCTGACACACCCTCCAACTCGAGAGGACAGACAATGGAACCTCCTCCAACCAATAGAACAGGCAACGGCGCTGGCGTCAATTTTAGACGGTCAATGACGTTCTCTAGCATCCGCTTGATCTTCAGTTGAGTTCGTCGAATGAGATCAGTGTCGAGATCCTTGACTCGCGAAGAGTCACCGATGTCTTGACCTGCAGCGACCGCAATATCCGTGGTTGTGAGTTCGTCGCCACCAAACACCCTCGCTCGCGAGGTGAGCTGGTATCCAACGGAATCTGGACCAACTGACACATCAGAGCCGTGCCGTCGAACGATGGAACCACCTCCCAAACCAATTGAAGCGAGATGAGGCATAGGGAAGTTCATTGTCACCCCTGCAACATCCACATACGCACTGGCTGCTCTCGGAAAGCCGGATGGGAGCAGAACACCACAGTCAGTGGTGGTGCCGCCCACGTCAATGACAATCGTTGACACGCGTTCCTCGTTTTTGCGCCCATAGCCAAGTCCAAGATATGCAGCACCGCGCATGGAATTGGTCGGTCCGGATGAGAAAGTCTTGATGGGCAAAGACGCTGCGGAGACTGAGTCGATCACTGTACCGTCATTTTGAGAAATAAAGAGTGGGCATGAGAGTCCCAGTCTCTTCATAGCCGCGCGAAAGCCGTGGATTGTACGTCTGGCGAAGGAGAGAATGGATGCATTGAGAATTGATGCATTTTCTCTTTCCAAGAGACCAATGTTGGACACTTCAGAAGAGCAGACAATATCCACGTGTGGCAATCGCTCTTGCATGATCTTACGAACAAGAATCTCCTGCTCGAAATGTTTGTCGATAGGAGAGAACACTCCAGAAATCACAACAGCTTTGAGACCCAGTTTTTCGATTGCATCACATTCTTTAAGCACCTGGTCCTTCTGAATGGGCGCTTCTTCCGAGCCATCGATATGCAGACCTCCATCAATATAACCGCAGTAGCCGTTCAGCAACTGAGTTAGATCCTCTGGTACATCTGAAAAAGGTGGAATGTCCCTGGTGAAGCTCTTGGACAGCCGAATCACCCCAACTTTGGAAAGACGTCGAGAGTCCCGCTCGATGACTGCGTTGAGGAAATGGGTCGTCCCAATGATGAGGCACGAGACGTTGGACACGCCGTTGCCAATTTGACTCAGTACTTTGCCCACCGCAGTCTCGATCCCGTCGGTCACATTGGGACTCGTCGTTGGGGTCTTGTGAAAGGCGAGCACCCCTCGGTTAGGCTGATCCACAGCATCGAGATCAAGAATCACCGCATCAGTGTTGGTGCCTCCGACATCGACCCCTATTCTGAGAGAGTGTTGTGATCGTATTGAGCCCATCTTGATGAGGAATCGTCGAGCAACTTGGACAACCTTGGATCCCGACCAATACTGGCTACATCGTACATATACCAGATCTAAAATTGCCTCTCAGAGAATATTCGGTACCCACCACTGACATGCGTTCGAGGTACGACCGGCTTAGCAATAACGTGTGGTCATGTCGTATCCGCTGGGCAGGCGATCTGAGCCTCTGGTATATTCAGTCAGCTCGTTCATCGTTTCCAGGGTTGGCCACGTTTACGTACCAGTCACACGTGTCTTCGCCGAAACTATAAGCCTATTCTAAAGTCAGTTTTAGACGATTACTATTCTCATTGGTCATGCTGGTTATCTACCGGTGCATTACAGACGCCCCAGCATTCTCCACAGATAGGTTCTTTGAAAAAGCTACGGGAGCCAAGCGTGGCGGTAATTGGAGAATCCGGCGAGAAAGATAGGCCTCCGGGGTTCATGGCAACACTACGATCTCGTGCTCGGGCATTTATTTGCGGGACCCTGGAATATCCACACTCTCTGGTCCGAAAGTCGATACCCAGGTGCCTCGCTTCCGTGGCCTGGAGATCTTGTTATACGTATGCTCGACTTGATCGAGACGCCTGGGGCCCAATTCTTCCAGACTTCTAGATGTTTTCACACCTGCCATACCGTTCGCACTGTTATCTATACTTTATCCGGCTCCTTGGATTGATAGGCTATTTTGAGCCTATTCAAGCGCGATCCATTTCTATCCCTATCAAACGGTGAGACTTACGGGAACGGATGATAGCCCTTTCACTCTTCGACGTTGCCCTCCAGTTGTCTGACACGGCCCGAATTTCTGGTTACTCAAGGGACTGGTACTGGATATGCCGTCAGGACTATAAGACTCATTCTCCAACCATAGCAAAGGACCCTCATCACTCTGGGACTTTCCCATACTTGCAACCATTCGTGGCCGACTGAAAATCATAACAAACCATGTCTCTGCGGACGAGGTTCGCAGGCCTCAAACCGGGACGGGTACATCTTCGACTCCAGGGCGAATCTTCAGTCTGGATCAACGATGACATCCGTCCTCTTCCTCCTTCTCGTCGCCTATGGGATGTGTGGGCGTACCTTTCGTTTTGGGCCATCAACCAGATCGCCCTCAGCAACTGGCAACTCGGCGCTTCATTGATTGCAGTGGGTTTGTCAGTTTGGCAGACTATGATCGCTGTGATCCTTGGAAAAATCATCATCGCCATTGTCGCTGTCTGTAACGGAGCCGTAGGCGCCAATTGGCACATTGGATTTCCTGTTCTGTCCCGTGGAATCTGGGGCGTCTATGGAGCGTACATCATCATCATTCAGCGCATCATTCTCAGCTTGACTTGGTTCGCCGTCCAGTCCTGGACAGGTGGACTATGCGTCACGGCAGTGCTGAGCTCCATCTTCTCGTCCTACCATAACATGCACAACACCCTGCCGGAATCGGCCAGCACCACGACCAAAAACTTCGTCGGTTGGGTAGTCTATAACATCATCACCATTCCTATGCTTTGGATTCCACCAGAAAAGACGCGCAAGCTTCTCTTTTACATGAATACCATCTCAGTCACCACACTGATCTCGATGATGATCTATGTTCTCAGCACCGCCAAGGGGGCCGGTCCGCTTCTGTCGGCGCCAGCCACGGCGCAATCTGGTAGCCAACTCGGCTGGGCCATTGTTCAAGGTATCACGACAGTTATCGGGGGGATTGCCGTGGGTTTGACCAATCAAGCAGATTATTCGCGTTTCGCACGGAAACCGGGTGATCAGATATTTGGACAATGGTTCTCGATTATTACACTAGGAACAATTCTTCCACTCTTCGGATGCCTGACTGGCTCAGCATCGATGCAACTTTATGGTGAAGCGATCTGGAATCCGCCAGATCTGCTGCTACGATGGCTGGACGATGATTACAATGCGAGATCGCGTGCGGGCGCATTCTTTGCCGGTATTGGATTGGTGGTCTGTCAGCTGGCCATCAACACGATCGACAACGCATTCTCTGCTGGCATGGACATGGCCGGTCTGATCCCCAAATACTTCAACATTCGACGAGGAGCATACTTTGCACTGGTACTCTCGATTGCCATGTGTCCATGGGAACTGCTCGCGTCGGCAGGAACGTTCATCAGCGTCATGGGCGCCTACTCTGTCTTCCTAGGACCCATGTGCGGGATCCAGATTTGCGACTACTTCTTCATCCGACGCCGACGCATGAAGTTGTCGGACCTTTACACACCCGCTCCTACAGGAATCTACTACTACGTACGAGGAGTCAACCCACGCGCCTTCGTCGCCTGGGTCTGCGGTTGGGCGCCACAACTACCCGGCTTCATTGCCAACGTCAACTCCTCGGTCCAGGTACCATCAGCCTGCATGGAGATGTTCTACCTCGCTTTCCCACTGGGTCTGGCCATAAGCTTCACCTTGTATTTCGCGCTCAACAAGGTGTTCCCGCCTCAAGGTCTGGGTCAATATGACGATGTCGATTACTATGCCACTTTCAGCGCGCCCGAGGCCGCTAGATTGGGCGTTGCTTTGATGGAGGACACTACCGCCGAAGAGTTGGATATGGTGAAGGAGAAACATGGAATTCCCGTCGATACTGTAACTCCCAAGTCACAGGAGTCTTCGGATTAGGTCTTGATCGTTAGATTTGCTGGGCGCGACCGTACGTAATGGCGCAACGGTTTGATAGACATATATAAGTATTGAAATACGTTCGCATGTCGACACTTACTCACAGAGCTGTTTCCGTGTTTAGAGCGACCCAGTACAACTGATAGCGAGCAAAGCACGCACAGAGACACAGTCGAGGAGCCAATGAACCAATGAACCAATGAAGAGAGAATTTCGAGTGGATTAAATCAGGTATAATTCATTTCATGTGCAACAAGTTGAAACAAAGAAAAGCCAAAAAGGCAGAGCAGTGTCGGCTAGCGCATTTTGACCAGTCGAGGCAAAACTCCTCTGCCCCATGGCATCGCACCCATCGACAATCTGTGCAAATAAACCTAGCGTTCGTGCCTCCTTCGTATTCCTCCCCTTGTGTCGCAAGGCGACTAACTCTCCGCCGCTTCGAGATTCCTTTTGGTCGTGCGCCACATCGCATTCCTCAAATCAGCTCTCTTCCTCCGCTCACAGGCCATCAACATCTCCACCATGTACTTCAGCGTCGCCGCGTCAGTGGCCGAGACGTCACTCCACAGGTCGAAGCTTAGTACAAGGCTAAAGCACAACTCTTGGGCCCCAGTGCATTGGTCCACTGCTCCACAGCGAAGCCAGCACATCCTCAACCCAATATCCACCCATAGCTTCCTGAGCTTATCCATGCCTGTCCTGTCCTGGGCTTGGCCAGATGCATTGATCCCTGGTCGTAAGTCATAACGAAAAGCTGGTAAAAGTTGATATTGAGGAATTTTGAAAAGACCTGTGTTCTCAGGAAAGCCCATCAACGAGAGAAGAACACAAAGAAACTTTCGCCCCTCAGAGCATCACGTCCACTGTACTGCGCAGAAATCTTATGTTCCTCGGTAGGTGTGTTGACACCGCAAACAATATCTGAAAAACACTTTGTAAGAAGAGTAGAGCAGCAACGCACAAGGAAAATCGTCGTTAGGCGTTAAAAGATCGTGGTAGTTGTAGAGAATGTCGAACTCCCCAGTCCATGCGAAGGCGCCCGGGCTCATGCCAGAAGCTGGTGGTGCATCTCGCACCGTAAGCCTCCAGGGCCTTGGTCCGCCCAGGCGTCTGGGGGGAATTTCCAGTAAAGGTTTGCGCAGCCATGATTCCAGACTCCAGAAGATGTAACCCGCTCGAGTCATTGCATGGCTTGCATTGCAAAGAAATGAACGGCGATGAGAGCTTTCTGGTTTATCTCAAAGGTGCGGTGAAAACGATCGAGACAAACGCAGGAGGGACATCTGCTTCAGAGCAAACTGATAACATCTTGGCTGGTGTCCGGGGCGTGCATCTTTAGCTAAATGTTGGGAGTATGCTTGGCAACAAATTTGACAGTTTGTAAGGACAATCTGGGCCTTGGGCCAAAGAACATGTAAAGGGAGGCAAAAGCTCCAAGATAGGGGCAGTATTGTGTGCCCGGTTAAGAGCGCCTTGAGAAAGAGCTCAGGCGCTGTGCAACGAATCTTATTTCGTCAGGGGTGTTAAGCATTTCGTGGCGTGGGCCCATAGCACTCTGTGTTGGATGTGTTGATAGACAAAGGAAAGTAGAGATTATTCCTAGCCAGTCCAGCAAGCATCAAGATTAGGAAAGACCTTCAACAAAAGTAGAGCAGAATATCCGCCATTGGACAACGTCAACGCTTGCTAAAGTGGCAAACCCAAAGATGCTCGAAAGGGAAAGGAGACGATGATAAGGAGAATCGTTGTGGCTGGGAGTTGAGAGGATTGCTCAACTCAAATCTTCTTCAGCATCGTCGTCGTCTTCTTCCTCGGCACTCTCGCTTGCAACTTTGGACTTTTTGCTGGGCGTTTCAGTGTCGCCGCTATCGGCCTTCCTTTTGGTGCCAGATGTGGCACTCTTGGAGTCTTTTGTGGCAGGTGTGCCATTCTCCATGCCGGGAATGGTTTCACCCTTTTCCAAGGCGGCAACCTCGTCGGCGGTCAAGAAACGGCCGCCGGGTCCTCGAGGACGGCGCATAGCATGATTGTGTCGAGACTCGTGAAGATATGGTTTTCGACCTTTGGAAGTAAGTCTCAATTGTTCTTCAAGCTTCTGCCTTGCAACGCGTCGTTTGAGGATGCGGTGAAATTGCTTTGCATTCACGTAAAGGGGCGACTCTTCTGCGCCCCCAGCAACGATCTCTTCTTGAGGTGCCTGTACCGATTGTTGTGGAGGTGGCATGGTAGGAGGAACGGATTGGCGCGGCATGTTGTGATTCAGGACAGGTTGTGAGACTTGACCGTGAGGGCTGGTTATATGTTGGCTCATCCGTCTCTGCTGACTCATTTGATTTGGCTGTGACATGCCCACTCCGGAAGGCATAGTACCCATTTGACCTGATGATATCGTTAGTTAATTACGCGGGACAATGGATGGACGCGTTTGTACTGACCTGATGCCGCGGCAGTAGCCATGGCGGCAGCCTGTGTGGGTGAAATGCCGTAACCTTGGCCCATGGCACCGGCGACACCATATTGCGGGTAGCCCATGGGAACTCCGCCAGCTGACTGAGACTGATAATGATTTTGGGTCTGCGACGGGAGGATAGGTGAAGCCTGGTTGGGGTTGTTATGTTGCAGATGAGACTGGCCGGAGGGAGACTGCAAAGAACCTGGACCCGCACTTTGGGGTGAGGTCTGATAGCCGCCTTGCAGGTGTGCGTGCTGTGAATGCTGTGAATACTGTGGAGGATACTCCATAGTGAATGTAAAAGGGTAGAAGGGTTGTGGTGCACTGAATCTGATGATAATGCAAAGCTAGGTGAATGGCGATGCAGTCACCCGTGAGCTCGATATCTGGTCGCCTGAGAATTCGCAGGTACCAAGGATGCAGAAGGGCCGGGAGCTAAGGCACAGCGGTAGACGGGACTCAGGTCTGCGCTGATCAGGGTACAGTTGGGGGGGCTGTTATGACTTGAAAAGCTGGGAAATGGCAGCTGAGCAAGATGATAGGGGGAGAGGAGAGAGGGCGGGATGAGGACTGGTCCTGGTGCGAGAAGCTAGCGCAGGGAAACCAAGTCACTGGATCACAGAGCCAGGCTAGGAGTGAGGGTCTCCGAGAGCAGAGCGCAAGCCTGGAGAGCAGGAACGTCGACGCTGGATCTGTTGGACTTGTTTCACTTAACAGTGGGCGATATTTGATGATGTGAGGTCACCAAATGAGGCAACGGGTTGGCGAGTCAACCTCACAAGCGTTTGGCGCAGGTCGAGTGCGCCTCACGTATTGGGCCTTCGTGCAGGAAAGCCAGTCCTTGCACAAGCTGGTGAGTTGTCCTTGTACCGTCGGCGGAGGTACGGAGGCAAGCAAGTCAGGCGCCGGTCAGCTGTCTGAAGGTGGCTGGTGCTTGGGCCGGGAAGTATGGGAATCAAGCTGGAAAGGAGAGAACCTGTTTGAGGCTCTTGTTGTTTGTTGACGAGTTTCGCTTTCCAGAAGCTTGATGTGTGGGAGCAGTGGGATTGGGTTTGAGGGAGGAGCGGCGAGGGAGCGGGATGATTCGAGGGCGTGTACTGGCGTCAGCGACGCGGCGAGCTGTATTATTACGTAGGGTTAGTATTGGCTGTAAAGGTACAGAGCGGGATAATTGGAGAGGTAAGTGGTGAGCAGGAATCTAGTCGCGCAATCATTGGAGGCGCATGCAGTGCAGTGATGTGCTGGCAGGTCATGCAACTCACCTTAGCTTCGTAACACGGCCACAAGAGTCCAGACTAGGATCTGTTCCTGGTCGGGCGGTGACGGATGGATCGGGGCTTGTATTGGTGCCCAAAATGAAGCAGTTGACTGCAGAAAGAGGGAAGTGAAGGTGTTGTGCAAGTGTCGCCAGATTGCGACAAGATGGTGAGGATTGTCGATGGCGATGGAGGCGGTTACACTCGATGAAACAGGTCGCCAAATTTGCCGAAGGTCCAAAGGGAGGTAATGATGGATCTGGGACTACCAGGTGGAATGAATGCGACGGTAATGTAAGTGTGATGCGAGTGGTGGAAGGTAAGAAAGTGGTCGTATGGAAATGGTGAGGATAGGTGCGGGAGGTGGAAGATGGAGTTGTGGTGGAAAGGCCCGACAGCAGTGACGGCGGTGAGGAGACCAGGGTCGGAATAGGAAGGATTCCAAGGGTTACCGCGGATGATGTGTGAGTGAGGTGGGAGGGGAGGGGAAAGGAAATCGAGGATCGGTCGGGGTTGAGTTGGCACCTGCAGCAGAGTGCAAAAGGTAGGGCAGGGCAGGCAGCGGTGCGCAGTGTTGGTGCTGATGCTGGTGCGCTCTGGGCTTGATGGCTGGTGCCGGGACGAGCTGGAATTAGGGCGGATGCTTAGGGATGAAATAGCAGCCGAAAATCTGAGCCAGAAGAGCTCTAAGCTTGCCCTTTTGCAAGCTTGTGCGCGTCGTTGATGAATGCGACGATGGCTTGACGCGACGAGGCTCAAGTTCAATCGTCGACGGGATGAAGTTGATAGGTTGCGATTGTTTACCAGATCAAGGGCAACCACTCAAGAGCAACGACCAGCTGATGGGGACTGCCCAATTGTGAAGGCGTTTTGAGCCCAAGGCTGGGGAGCGGATGGCAAGCGATGATTGCTCACCGTTTGTCTCTAGACTCTACTGTCTGACCCACGTGAGCAGCGACGAGACGGTGAGGTGAATGGCTGTGAATCGCTAAGGCGATGGTCACAGGAGGCAAGATGAGTGGATAGAAGCAATGATGGACTGTGAATGGCAGCGGTGATGGAATGGATTTGAGAGGGCGAGGTTGATTGGGTCCAATGGCTGGGAGAGAAGGGAGTTGAAACAGGGCGATTGGGTGGTTGATAGAAGTAGGAAAAAGAATTGGTCGAGGGAAGAATGGGCGGGCTGGGCAAAAGAGACGAAACAGATGAGAGAGAGCGAGACAGTGCGGAGGGAGAGGGGAACTGGTGAACAAGTGACAGTCACAACAGGAACGGAGGGAGCAGGGGAAGACACGGACGCCAAAAGTCAAAGCCATGACGGAACCTGGGAGCCTGGCACTGGGAATCTGGCACCGCTGTTACTGCAATGCTGCGCTGGAGGTAACGTGGTGGGTGGTGGGTAGTGGGTCACTCAGGTGCATTGGCACGATTGGGCCCTGAGGAGTAACTTTCTGACGGTCTGACCAAAATTATGGGACAGGGTTCAGCCTCCCCTCAAGCAACGTGACAACACATACTGTGAGGGAGCAGCTCTACTGTAGCCCTAACCTGTCTATACTTTGTTACCTAAGAGTGCCTACCTAAGGTACTTATACACAACCTTAGAATAACTCAAGCTTATGTACAACAGGCTCCTCCACGTCCTCACCCTCGGGAAGTCCGTTTGCAGCTCCTACTACTGTCTACATAGCAAGACACGCGAAACACGCGCTCAACAATACTCCGTACTAATAAAATAATAATAGAGTATGGGTACACATACCCACTACGTTCTCGTAGACGCTGACTGTTGCAGGGTGTGCAAACCTGATCGGGCGGTGGCTAGTCAGCCAGCACCAGCATTAGCCTCCAAACCAATTAGCCCAAGTACGCTAATCACTTGCTTTTGTTGTGGCAGAAGGTCTCATGACTGGCTGGATCCCTCAAGGGGTGGGTCTCCAAGATCCAACTTTGTCGCTTAAGGCCCGAGTGACGCCAACTGTCCATCGCCTCGCTTGCTTTGGCCCCAAAAGCCCTAGCCACTCAGAACTTTTCCTCGTGATCTCTGATCTTTGCCATTTCCCGGCTGGTGTCAATCCCATGATTCCGAGGTGAGCACGACCTAATTTATCCTAGCCCGACACGCCCAAATCCCAGAGATTTCCCGTGCTTCGTTATCCTGGTCTGGCATTTTGGATGCCTTGTTGATCTGATGAAATAGAGTTTAAATTTCTTTGTGTTGTTGTTGTTCTTCAAATTGGTTCGATTCCACCACGGTCAGGCTAGAAAATACAGACCAAGATCATGAGAGGGAAGTGGAGTATTCAGTCTTCTTGGAGCATTTCTCAACTTGGATCACGTGCTGACTGGCGGTTGTGCTACCAAGTCTGACCAGCTTGCCAACTATCGTAAGCCATGCGGGCATGTACGATGAGGACCGGGGTGCCACCGCTACTCCTAAGTCTATATCCTACAATGTCAGCCGTGTGTCGGCTCACCTGTCTGAAAACGATCCATGTCTCCGAATCCTCGGACAACACATGAGCAACCTTGGAGAAAGGCTAGAGTTTAGTTTTTGGCTGAGAAAAAGGCCGGAAAACGGGTGCGGTCAGTTAGTCATACCAGTCCCGAGGAGCGTCCAAGGATGCACCTTCCGAGCTGGCACGGCTGGAAAGATTTTGAGGAAGTTATGACTCCTCCAGTATTGCACTTGCCGTAGAAGTCAAACCTGTCCAGCTCGGAAGGGGCATCCTTTGACACCGATTCTGTCTGGGCCAAGCCTTCCTGTCCTGCCCGTCCACAATTTCACGAGGCAGGACCGGAGGTCTCTCGTGTTTCTGACACCTTTTCCCAGCATCAGGTAAAATGTAGGTATGTAATTGGTAATAGGTACTCGAAAGAATAGGAGAGGTTGGTCAAAGATCCACGAGTCTACGCAGAGTACCTCTACGTAGCCGTTGAACCCCATACAAACTATGCGATGCGATGTGTGTGGGTGCCTAGGTACGCGCCGACCAAACCCTAGCTGCCACAAACTGGCGTCGCTTGATTCCAAAAATCCCACCATCATGCTCCAATCACATTCCCAACCTCGTTGCTTTTGCGCATCTCTCCGTCTGATTCGTTCGCAAATCTCTGTGAAGGCGCCAAATGAGATGTCTTCACCGACACATTTTCCCCCTCGAGGTTATCTACCCTCTTCCTTCAACCTCTGTTGGCTTATTCGGTGCCAGGAGATGAACAATCCTGAGGGAGTCGCCACTTGGCCACTTGGTCACGGGATCGAGACCCGGAGTCTATGTCCTGTAGTTGTACATTCATTCAAGGCTGATCAATGCTTTGATCGGCGAGGCCGACCCGGAGAAACATGCCCTCGTTTCATTCTGGCCCAAGGCTTTCCGTAGACGAGAAAAGACCGCCACAAGTTTAAATCTTGAAAATGGTCCTCAACATGGGAACGGCTCTGGCCCGTCCCCGCTTAGTTCTGGACATCGACCACCTGGAGAACTCGCTGCAATGCCTCTTCAAGATATGGTCTGGGATGACTGAAGACAATCCGGAAAAGACCAGGAGTCTCGGCCCCAAAGTGCGAACCAGAGCCCAAAAACACTTTGTTCTTCAACAATGAATCAAATATCTCCTTGGTCACTCCTTCGTTGACCGTCTTTCCGCCTCGGAGCTCCACATATCGTTTTCCCAAGTCCGCCCAGAGGAAGAATGCTGCATTGGAACCAGGTGAATACGAGATTTGATGCTGATTGAGGAATCGAACCACGAAACTGTGATTGTCCGATAATCGTTTCTGATTTGTACGAATATAGTCATCCACCCACTGATCATCCTCAAGAATGTTGGAAGCTATCACTTCGGCTACCGAGGACGAATATGACCAAATCGTCACATCAACCAGAGCCCGGAGAAAGGCTGGATTATGCTGCGAAATTATGTAGCCAATTCGTAGGCCATTAGCGCAAAAGTCTTTGCTCATACCGTAAAGCACGTGCACCAGTTCCGGATCGATCAGGCCTTGGAGAGGGATCGAAAGTACAGACGTAAAACTGACGGGAGCAGGGCTGCTGTCATGTTGGTTTTCCCATACCGACAAAGCGTAGATTTCGTCGCTAACCAGGTGGAGGGAATATTTCTGACATAGCTGCAGGTACTTGATAAGGACATCCCGTGAATAGCATCTCCCGAGGGGGTTATGAGGGGAACACAACATCAACGCCTTCACGGCAGTCCCCCGTTCTCTAGCGGCAATGATGGCTTTCTCATAATTGTCGACAGCCTCCAAGCTCATAGGATCGACATTACCAAATGTCACCTTGACAACTTGTACTCCAGGTCTCATTGTGATATCGGCGACAAATGCAGTATAATACGGCTGTCCCAGGAGGAAGCCATCCCCGGGGTTGCAAAATGCCCAAGAAACATGCTCGATCGCTGCTGAGACGCCATTTGTGATGACAACATGTTCAGCCTTGACAGAAACAACAGGACTCAGTTTGCGATTCAGAAATCTCGCCACAGCCTGCTTCAGTCTCTTGGTGCCTGTTGGTCCATCCCCATAGGTAAAGGCGAACTCGGTGACTTGTGTGGTCCTGTTGACATAATCTCGAAGCTCACCATGCATCAGAGTATTCTCAGCAACGCCTAAGCTGAGATAACCGTTTGGATTGTCCTGAGGGTGCCATTGATTGTTGTAGATGTCCCAAATAGGGTTCTTGCCATCGTCGATCTTTGCACACTCTTGTGCTCGTTGTGAAAGACTGTTAGAGCCTGTGCTAAAATCGATGGACATGTTGGAAGTCTAATTATGATGTCTTGCCTGTGATTGTTGATGTCAAGGGTCAGTCTTCAACAGGCGTTCAGCTCACAATATTAGTGGTCATACAACATAAGAGAAGCCCTATAATCAGCTGGTGACTTTCAAGAAGCTATCTCAGAGTTGTCAAGTCAAGTACAGAGGACGTCATGTCGCCCCCTGTAATATTATATTCTCCAGCCAATGTGGAGAATAGACTGTTGGGGACCGTGGATGAGTTTATCGTATGAGTTTCATCACTCTCAACAGCAGCCAGAAGCCTAGACAACTGTACCTACCTCCTCGTGACATTACAGTCAATATGTAATGCTATTCTGGCCCAGGGATACAAGTTGTCAGCATTACCATGTGGTAAACAAGTTTGGGCCATAAGGGTGACACTTGTGAGAAATATACTTCGCAGTAGAAATTAATACTTCGGAGCATTCATAGCTGAACTGCACTATATCACGCCAAGACTTCAGATGCGTTTCCATTTGTTTACTGCATCCAAACCTGGAACATCATGGACCGACATCTCTTCTTGGTCACCACTTCGCACATCTTGATCACCGCAACATCCACGCTGTGCCGACGCGATATCATTGATATCATTCATAAACAGACTGCGATATTATCCTTCTGCGCGTACATCCGTCATCATGGCTCCTGCAAACCCTCGCAAGCGCAAATCCGACCAGATGGAGGAGCCAGCTTCTCCAGCTGCAGCCGCAACACCGACAGGTAGCCCCAGGAAAAAGATGAGAATCACACAATCTCAGAAGCAGGCACTCATGGACAACCTGCAACTTGAAAGTAAGCCGCTCCACGCCTTTAACTCTCGACACAAGTCTCTTGCTAACTCCAAATAGTCACCGAGAGAGCTCGACAATTGCGGGCAGAGTATGCTCTTCAATGTGCAGATCTCCGAACACGCCTCGAAAGACGCGTCCATAGGATTCCTCTGTCTTTTCGAAATATGAAAATGGGTGAACTTGCCGCGCAACACGAATCAGCAAAGGCTCAAGCTTCCAAGCATACATCATCACCCCCTAAGCCACAGAGAAACAACAACACCAAACCCGGCAAAGACCGACCTCTACCTGCACTCCCAGAGGAACAACAAAAGATTCCATCTCCAGCTCGGCAAGCGCCACAGCTTTCGCCTTTGAGAGGACGAAAACGAATGAGCTCGGAAATCCAGATCGCGTCTGACAAGGAAAACCAGGTTGAACAAGACAACATACCAGTCATCAAGAACACCAAGCGTGGGAAAGCCGCTCCTGTCAACGCCACCAACGGTGCCGCTCGCCAGGCGTCCCGTTCCGCCAAAACAGCATCTGTCCTCTCACCTCGATCCCATAATTCACGCACTCTTCCACGCTCGCCTATCAAGGAATTCAACACCACCATGGCACCTGGATCGCTCGCTAAGAGCTTCATTGCACGGCCCGTCTCACCCCTCAAACCAGCCTCGCCTTTCAAGTCAGCCGCGACAGCAGCCACATCTGCAATTTCAGCAAGTGTGCACGGCATGATCGAGCAAGCAAAACGCGGCACCGCTGGAAGAATGGGCCGAACAGCCTCCAAGGACAAAGCCACTACCAAAGCTTCAACCACCACTACAGCCACCGCCTCGTCACCACGTAAAATGCTCCCTCCACCGCGTCCAGCCGCTAATACGCAGCAACCACCATCTCCACAGCGTGCCATCAGTCAATCAAGTGTCCACTCCTCTGCCACAGACATGTCCACAACATCCACCAACACCACAGTCGTCAAGCCCAAGCGCGGAGCAGCGCGGACAGCGACCAAGTCAAGCGCCGCCAAAATAGCAGAGCAAAAGAGTCCTGCTACAGGTGTTGCGAAACGCGGAGTCGCCAAAGCCGCCAGCGCTGCAAAGTCGGCTCTGAAAAAGAACGCAACTACCACGACTAAAAAGGCGATGGCGCCAGAGCCAGCAGCGGGTAGGAGAATCTTGAGGAAGAGGACTTGATTCTCTCTATGGTCCGGTGTGGTGCGGTGTGGTTTGGATCGGGAAGATACGAAGCATTATGTGTTTGATGTAGTGTAGATGCGTTGGGCTGGCGTGTGAATTGTTTGGGTTACAGGTTTGGTGTTTTGGGACGTGATATGCGGGAGTGGATAGGCTATTGAACGCTCCTTTCCTTGCGGATTGTCAAAACCGCGTACCTAGGCTGGCCAGGTACATAGATTGACGTCGGACGTTGATTGCGATTCTCTCAGACAATCAGTATCAATCGTAAGAACCAGTTTTGGGATTGATTGCTATCTGAGGTTTTAACTACATACATACAGTCCTCGAGAGGAGATTTCAACGTTCTGTCCCACCCTTGGTGTATCTCCGCCCCAGACTCATTGAGTCTGAAGCAATTAAAATAAAGGGAATTTTGGGTCAACCGGACGTTCCCCCATTCGAAGATTTCTTTCAGTCCATGATAACAACAAGCCGTCCATTCTGTATTGTATTCAATTCCACGCCCGGTTGTTGGCGATGGAGCTGCTGTACTCCACGGCCAATTCAAGGCTGTATCATCCTGGATCTCCGACCATGATACCTCTGTCCTCTCCTTGGCCAGATCAGTAGTCCAGTTCAGCACTTGCACCGGCCGCGGCCGCGGCTTGAGCTCCAGCCGCACCGCCTCCGCCGTTGCTGGGTTGTGCATCGAGGTCTTCATATGATTTGATGCTTCGTCCCTGAACAGCCTCTCTTGGGCCCATGGCGTTCATCCCGCCACCAGCTCCATCTCCCCACTTCCCACCTCCACCTCCGCCTCCTTGTGCAATCAGGGCCGCATTCATCCCGGGGACAAATCCACCCCGAATGATGCCTCCCATGTTGTTGTAGCCTCGGGCATTTCCACGCTGTTGCCGGTCATACGGACCAGAGCGGTTGCTGTAACGGCCACCTGCGCGTCGAATTGGCCCTCCGCCATGACTGCCTCCATTAAGGCCATCGCCGAAATTGCCCGCTCCTTGGACGAATGGAGCAGTGACACCGGGCATCCCCAGCATCGAATTCTGCCCAAAGTTCATCATGCCCATGCCCATGTTCTGTAAACTGAAGCCCCGCGGAGTACCGTTGTTGAGGTGATGGTTGTTTGGCAAGGGGAAATGGCCATTAGAGTTGGCGTCGGATCGTGAAGGAGCAATATGTGAAGGATCGAGAACATATCGATTCACAAGTTGGAGCTGTTCACATTAGTTTTGCCATCATCCCTTTCATTGCGGGGACCTTACATCTTTTTTCAAAGCCTCAAACCACTCCTCATGTCTCTTTTCCACGTGCTTCTTCCAAAAATGCTCCGCCTTGAACAACTTGGTGCATTCTGGGACCTTGCATCTGTATTTTGCCTCATCTTCCTGTTTGACGTATTTGGACATTTCTTCATCGAGTGCTTCTTCCACCGGTTTGCCCCCAATCTTTTTGAGATCGGCATACTCAGGTTCGAGGATTTGTAAGATCTTCTCCTCAAAGGTCTTGACCCAATTGAATGCACGGAGAAGCTGTTGGTCGTTCTTGTTGAATTTCGACCCCCTCTTCTCTTGGACTGGGCTGAGAACTGCATCGTCGTAACCATTTTCTTTTCCGTCTTTCTTCTTACCAGGAAAGTCTTCCCCAAGGGCACTTGCTCTTGCTGCTGTCTTGGCTGCAGAGCTCAAGCCCGCTCGTGGCCTCCTCAAATGACCGCCAGGGCACTTGCGGACCAGTTCGTGAACAGAGTCGGATTCAAAGACACAGAATAGGCAGAAATTGAATACTCGGCGAAGGTACTCGACCATCAAATCGAGCTTTTTCTTCACAACCAATAGTTCTTCGTCGTCGGTCTCGTCTTCATTTTCCTCGCCTTCTTCGCCTTCGTCATCAAACTTGATTTCGTCGTCGTTGTCTTCGAAATTGGCTTTCTTTGGTTTGGGCGGCGGTTGGAGGAGGCCACGGCTTCTCATCTGCTCTACCCGAGCATCGATTTTGGCAACACCTCCGGAATTCTCGTCATTGCCCAACTCGGCATCGAGTTTGTTCACAAGCCGTCTTGCGAGCTCGTAGTCCCGTTCGATACGTTCAGGAGCAGAGAAGAGATCCCAAAGAGCTTTCTTTCGAGGCGCACTTGGGGCGTTGTGCACGCCAACGTGACAAGTAAAGTCACCCTTGGTGTCATCGGTGATTGTTTTACCGTTCACCAGCTCAAGGGCTTTCTGCACAGCAGTCTTCTTTTCGACTTCTGGTTTTTCTTCACCTTCCTCGTCATCGTCTCGGCCATCGCCTCGTTCGACCTCTTGCATGGCGTCGGGATCTTCATCGGGGCCGGGATTCAGGATGATCCAGCCGATGCGATGAAACTTCTTTGCAGGGTTAGGATCACTGAGAGAGAGTGCTTTGAAGCCACCCTCATCCTCGCCGAGGTGTTCTTTGCAGAATTCCTCGATCCGGTCGCGAGCGACATTGGGGGCAAGAGTTTTGATAAGCAAGGCTGGTTCTTGAGCAGAGTCATCACGAAGATCACCACCCTTGGCTGGTACAAGATCAAGGACTCCGAGGACTTCATTGCCCCCAACCGCTTCCCCTTCCTCTTTTTCAATCATGCCGCCTGCACCATCACTGTCGCTCTTGTAGATACCTTCGAGGGTGAAGTCGTCAAACTGACCCGATTCGAAGTCTTTGACCCACTGGTCGTAGGCTGCATGACGGGAAGCCATAATGCGAGATCGGATAGGATCCCGGATTTCGGGAACATAGCGTTCTTTGAACCATTCTTCGCCTTTGTGAAGTTGGACAAATTGTCGGGCCATCTTAACCTGGAAATCTTGCTTATACTGATCATAAGCCTGCTGGATCTGTGACCTTTCCTTTTCACGGTCTTCTTTGGCCTCACGTTCGCCCTTGACTCGATCCGAAGGGCGTCTCCCACCATGTTTGGCTCTTTCTCTCTCTTCCTTTATTGAATTCTCAACCCGCCACCAATCAGCGAAGAAGCTGAAACCTGCTTGGGTATCCAAGGCGAGGGGATTTTGCAGTGGATTGGTTTGGACGAGTGGTTTGTTAACACCCTGACCTGGAACATATCGATCGATGTTGGCTGCAACTGGAGAGGGAGCTCTTCTGCGATCGTCGCGATCTCTGGTATTGGTTCGTTGGGGCTCATAGAAGTCGTCTCGACCTTCACGAACCGGTCGATCTCTTTCTGGTTGGTATCGATCTATACCTGCAGGAGAGCGGGATCTTTGTCGTGGGGGAGGTCGACGTCTGTCATTTCTCTCGTTCACTGCTTGAGTTAGCGCAACCTGGAGAGACGAGGCAGAAGAGCTACCTGGTGACCGTCTTCGGTAGGAATCGGTACGAGCATAATTGTCTTCGTCTCTTGCCCGATATCTCGGAGAGCGCTCGTTTGGAGGAGAGCCATAGGCCTCGAAAGGGTTCATCTTGACCAAGTCAACCGGCGATTACTGAGTGAGGGCTTGACTCAATGGGCCATATGATGGCCAAGGATCTTGGTCGGTAAGGAAAAGACCATGTAGTGGCGTGGTGGGAGATCTCAACTGAGAGATGAGGGAGCTAAAAACAACCATGATGAGAGTTAGACTTGGGTTAAAGATGATCAAACGCGAGCGGATGACGAAGATGATGAGAGTAGAAAGGGCGCGAGGACAAAGAGTAAGTAAGAAGAATCGCGCAATAAGGGACCGCGATGAGGCCCAAGAAAAGCAGGTGAAGAAAGATATATAAAGTGATAGGATGGTGGAAGAGGATCGCAGGCAGGCGGATGGATGAGGACTGTTTTGTAGTAGCTAACAGGGAGTTGCAGGAGATGTCCAGCACTCGAGAGAACGAGATGGCAAAAAGAGGAGGGTAGATGACTGTAAACGTCGAGGTGAAGAACCTACAAGATGATGGATGGAAGAGGAAATTGCTACTCTGATGGCTCAGAAGTAGCAGAAATCGAGTGTACTGTGATGAGCGAAGGAGGAATCGCAGACTGCGGAGGGCTGAAGTGAGGCTCAAGATGGCTTGTCGCCTTGTCGCCAATGACTTTCGACGCGGCTAGATGGCTAACTGCAATGAGTGGACTGGTTGTGACTGCCGTGATTGGCCACCACGCAACCCCAGAGAATTGCGGTCGGAGTACGGGAATACTTTGAGCCGAGTTGAGGCAGTGGCACAATACTACGGTGGAGTAAACATGCCAGTTATGACATTCACGTGATATGTAGTTCTACAGCTGTTGACATTCTGGTTCTTGTGATGAATATCTGTATATACATGTGGTTCTTGACCTGTGTCTCAATTAATGACTGTCACGAAACTAATCTCCTAATGTAAACATGGCAGTGAGGACTGCTGAGTAGAAATCCAGGTCGAAAGGGAGACCCAGCCCATGACGGTGTGTTCTGTCTCAATCATGGCGACTCCCCTATACAACACGGCATGCAGAGAGGCGTGAATGCTTTTGCCAGGGTTGAACCTTAGAATCATGTATTGCAATGATCCATGATGCCTAGACATGCGCTGACACCCCTAACACCAATTAACACCCTGCTCAAAGATCCTTCTTCTCAACCTCTTCCTGTGTATCTTCATTGCCTTTAATAGTCCAGCCATTCAAATGTCCAGTCCCCGCTGTCAGATAAGTGGCAAATCCTAGCCATGCAAGGTAGGGCACGAGAATGGCAGAGGAGACCTTGTCAACTTTGGCCCAGATGTATGAGAGATACCCCACTGTTCCAGTCAGGGCAACAATGTCCAACATGGCCTCGATGGGTCGACCCATGCCGAAGAATAGAGGCATCCAAATGACATTCAACCCTAGTTGGAGTGTATACAACGTAGCCCCTCTTCTGGTGTTTTCCACTACCTGCGGACTGAGACTGCTCATTCCTGTAGTCCACGCTCTATGGGCAGCATACCCCATCAGCAGATAGAGAGTCGTCCAGGCAGGGGCAAACACCCATGGAGGAGGTCTGAAAGGAGGCTGTTTCAAAGCCATGTACTGTTCTTGTGTCGACCGAAACGTTCCTCGCTCCTTAGCGGCCGCGTCAGAGAATCGTTTGGGTCTGATCGTCCTTCCTGGCTGCGATACCAAGCCAGATCCCAACCCTAGGCCGAGAGGAAGGAGGATGGAGATGGGTGCATTGGAGAAGATGGAGGCTGGGAGGGTCAGCCCTGGCACATAGGCCATGGTGTTCCTTTCGAAAGGGATGTGGTAGTGCAGGGAGAAATGTTGAGCGTAGCTGATTGAAATTGACTGAGTGCGGGGAGACGGGGCTGTGAAGTGGCTCTAGAGGGGTCTGCAGCTATGAGCTCACAGCGAAAGATAGCTTGGTAAACAGCATGAGAGAAAGGCAAGGAGTGACGTGGATTGTGAAAGCGGGATACAATGCTGAAGATAGGAAGTATGAAGCATGAAGTTCCCGATAGGAATGTCGATCAACCACGTCAAGGCATCAACCCGCGTAGATGGTCGTGTGGAGTTGCGGACCCCGCAGATCTTACAGATCTTACCCATGAGATCAGACGGCCACCCGTCTCATCCCACGAACAAATATTCAGTAGGTAGCCGTATCAAGGATTAGAGCACTTTATGAAACTCCAGACATGTTGGTGTGGTCATGGTGGCTTTGACGTTTACGCGACCATTTTCACAATTGCCCTGTGCCATTCCTTGGACAAATGTCAAATATCTTATCTTGAACCCGATGCACATTTGCTGAGATTTATCCGCTAAGGAATATTGAGGGTAGGGTTGTACTAATCATTACACTATCACTATTTACTTGGGTGGCAGGGAGATATTTCATTAATGGGTGTGATGGAGTCCTCATATATGTAAAATATGCACTTTCGTTAAAAGAACTTTGCCGTATATTAAAAACGGCCAAGTGCAAAGATCTTTCCGCACTATCGCCATTTAATGATCGGTCATCGTCGACGACTTCACACCTTGTATCACCAAAAGTCTGCGCCGAACAATCTCTTGCTAATGCCTAAAGGTGCTTCAAATCAACGGTTCGCTCCTTTTGAATGTTCTCGACGACTTAAACGACAGCAGAGGCGGTCAAGTTAGTAAAGCCTCAATTATGCTTGTTTGCAATGAATCCATCACGACAAGAGGTCTTCCAGAGAGTATGTTACAACCCCACAACCCATTAAAGAGTATAATGTACTGACATATATGTCAGCTTCGCACACCTTGCGTCGAACTCAGTTCGGTCGCTCTCAGGTTCAAAGCCGGTCAAGTCTCGCAGAAAGCACTACTTCTTTCCCTTGAACCTGCCCACGACGTGCTGAAAGACACTGGCCAACAAAACCTGCTCGATGAGAAATTGGCGGAATACGCATTTTTCCCTCTCACTCACATCTTCAACCAATCCCGTCAGTTGTCATCTCAGGTACTACAAGTCGCTGTACAATGTGTGCAAATCTTGGTATCCCAAGGCTGGAAAGACAGGCTGAGTCCAGAATTGGGCAGGCAATTGCTCTTACTCATGTGTCTCATGGTTGGCTCGCCTTCATCTCAACATTCAATTACAGATGAACTGAAGTCATCCGTGTTCAATTGCATTGCCACAATATTGCATCAACTTTCCCAATCAAAATCGAACTTCCTTGACGATGTCGCGCCTAAAAGCATTGTGGATCAATTGGTCTATCAGATTCTGGAGGACATGACAACCTCTGAATCGGAGCCAGTGCAGCTTGCCACAGCACATGCTCTCTCAGAGCTTCAAATCGCCGTTCACAATCCGATCTTATTAGCGAGCCTGCTTCCGCGCACCATATCTTCGCTGGTCAAGGTTCTACGGCCCAGCACGCAAGCCCGCCGCTCTCAGAAAGTTTTTGGATCATATCTAAACCTCATGGCTCTAGTCATCAAACAGGTTCTAGATGACTCGGTTGTTTTACCCAAGCATGAGGGTCAGGATCTTCATTCAACTCCTGCTACAGCACCTGAACAGAAGGTCCTTGATCAGGCATGGCTGAAAGCAACTGCTCCACAGGTCGACATGGCATTGACACAAGTCACCAAATTGAGACATCACAATGGGCCAGGCGTCACAGAAGGCCTTGTGGAGCTCTGTTTGGTGGTTATCGAGAATTGCCCAAACTCCTTGTCCATATCGTTGCCTTTGATGGTCGAGACTTTGATCGTCCTCTGTCGCTCTCCGGCCGGTGACAAGGCCCAGGCTGCTCTCGATCATCTGTTGATAGCCCAGCCGGACCTTATTGATATCATGAAGGCGAAGTTTCTGACTTGGTCACAGGCACTCCCACGGGTCATGCTGGGCAATGATGACAGACCCAAACAGCAGATGCTTGGAATGGTCGCGACCTCATACGTGGCATTGGCCGCAAGCCTCACCACCACAGCTGATGTTACCAAACAAATTGCATCAGTACTCGTCGACAGTGTGTCAGCTGCGGTTGAGTCTGGCACTTCTCAAAGAAAATTAATCAACGAGGCCCCCTCAAACTCGTTCAGTGAATTGATGAAGCGATCCGCGTCTACGAAATTGGAATTTGATCAAATTCTACTGGACCATCAAAGTCAACGAGATTCAGCGCTTGAGCTGAGGTCGTTGATCTCATTGATTCGATCATCAGCAAGCAGTCACAAAATCATTCAAAGCCTTGTCGAACACGCAAGAGACTCAAATACCACCCGACAGCTCGCAGCCACTTGGCTCGCACTAGAATTTTTGGAACCCTCTAATGAGGAATACTTTGACGTTGGTGATTTCCTCGACGTCAGCGAGGCGGATGTTGGTCCCTCAGATTCCCGGCCCTTCTTGATTTCAGATCTGTACGCCTTCAATATATCGTACTTGTTGCAACATGCGGAAATGCCAGAGCTGCCTAGTCCTGACTGGCGTCAGGTTGCATTCTCGATGGAGTGTCTCATCCTTCAGGCGGCCCAACTTGGGCGTTCCTATCGCCCAGAACTGATGGAGACGCTTTATCCATTACTCACACTTTTCAGCAGCGGGAATGCAAAACTCCAAAGCCATGCGGTCACTGCACTTGACCTGCTCTCCCGTGCATGTGAGTATGACAATGCCACCGAGATGCTTATTGACAATGTGGACTACTTGATCAACGCCATTGCTTTACGCCTCAACACCTTCGATGTCTCTGAAGACGGCATTCAGGTCCTCTGCATGATGGTCCAATTATGCGGAGCACGACTTCTTCCATATCTCGATGATCTCATTGGTAGTATCTTTGGTGCGCTCGACAACTACCACGGATACCCTCAGCTGGTGGAGCGTCTATTCTCCACGCTGTCAACAGTTGTGGACGAGAGCGCAAAAGCACCCGCATTGTTGGCAATAGAAGCGAAGCAAAACGACTCCAGCTCCAACTTCCACTCGCCAGGAGCCTCGGCTGTGAAAGACATCGTTGCAGATCTCCAGACTCGTAGTAGCCGTAATGCAAGAACAGACGCCGAACATGAGGAAATTAGCGCAACACCTCAGCGTCCATGGAAGCCAACTGAAGAGGCGCACCGATCCGCAGACGACAAGGCCTCTGAAGACGAGCCGATGATCAATAATGAGGACGGGGATGCCAAAGCAGGAGATTTGTCAACCGCACATCGACTGCTTATCCGGATTGCAGAATCTACAGTGTCGCACATGTCATCACCTTCACCTAAGGTGAGACTGACGATACTGGATCTCCTCCGCACGATATGTCCAATCCTTTCTGTTCATGAAAATTCTTTTCTGCCTCTGGTCAACAAGATCTGGCCTGCCATCGAAGACCGTCTCCTGGAGCAGAAGCGAGAGGGTTCACGAGAGCTACCCTACAACACTCAGGCTGCCATTGACACGATTGGCATCGTCTGCGAAAATGCGGGCCACTTCATGTCCTCTCGAATAGAAGAGATATTCTCGGATTTGGAAAGCCTATTTACCAGCTTATGGACAACAGTGAAATTGCGCAAAAGTAGTCACAAACTGACCAACTCAAGGCCTCATGGCGGGGCTGTTGGCGGCGCAGAAGGAGGGCTTGCATTGGTGTCCATGCCAACATTGTCAGATGACAAAGTTACTCCAACCACATTGCCACCAACCAGAACATCAGAAGGGCAGATACTGGAGGCAGTTGTGAAACTGCTGGTCACAATTTTGTCGCATGTGCGACTTTCCGAGGACAATGCCGACAGAATCCTAGACATGTTGGCGCCAGTGATGGCTACCGATCGCTCAGGAATGGTGCGGAATGCATTGGTCATGTACAACGATGACTTTGTCTGGCTGTTTGACCAAAGCACAAGTAAAAGTTGAGCAGCGCAAAAGGCAAGCAACATACCCTGGAGTTCATCTGCTGTTGGAGAATTGCCAGTAAAGTCAAGCGACATCCACTACTCGACTATAGTGTAATTGTATTATACCTACGCCTGGTTGATATTGGCCCTATATGTGTAGCGGCCAGACATGATATCGACTTTGGATTGTGGATTACGCCTTATATTATGGGGAAAAAGCCTTGTGGCCTATGGGACACCCTGGACGTCCAGACAACAACCGCTTGGACCCTTGAGCCCTGTGGCCCCTCGGCCCCTCAGCCCCTCGGCCCTCCAGGCGCTAAGCTGCATAATGGCTTTGCGCCCAGGGACTTGAGGGCCTAGGGGCCATACGGCTGCGGACTTAAGTCAGGCTGTAGCCGCGGTGGTTGATATAGACTGGCTGGACTATCACTGCGTGATGACGTTTTCGACCTCTCCTTGGGAATCTCGTCCAACTCGTCCAATTTCATCCAAAGACTCTGCGTCTCGTTTCCCAACAGATCACATTTGCGACTTATCAACCAGAGGGAATGTCGGACTTTGCATCATTGACACATAAGTTCCGGGCCAACCTAGACAGCGCTGCGACCACCCACAAGGTCAATAAACGAAACCGACAGCCACTTTCATGCGTGCCTTGCAGGGCAAAGAAACTCAAGTGTGACCGAGGACATCCCTGTGAAACATGTGTCAAAAAAGGCGATGCTGCCCATTGCACCTACGGGCGAGCCGCTGCTCCTGGGCCTCGACATGATCTCATGGATGCCAGTTCAAACAATAAAATTCAGGAGCGCCTTCGCCATCTGGAGGAATTGGTTTTGCAGATGGTCGAGAAAACCCCCGAGGAATCCATCGATGGCCCGAGCACAGCTTCAGAGACTTCTCGAGAGAGCACAGTCGGGTCCGACGACACAGGCTCTGGCCAGAACGGTCACTTGGAGTATGGATCTTCCGAGGCTAGGTACATGGGCTCAACGCACTGGTCTGCCATCCTCGAAAACATCCAAGAAATGAAGACCTCTCTGGGGACGGAGCCGAATTCGAACAATGGCCTCGAGGAGTTGCAAGATCGTGATGCCGAAGGATCCGAGTCACTGTTCGGCAGAGTCGGCTCACTGTCTCTGGACCAAATCATATCGCAGTCGCTGCCACCTCGAGATCAAGTGGATGGACTGCTACTCTTCTACTTTGAGAGTCGATATCTCGTCCAATTCTACATCCACTATCCTGAATTCCAGCGTGCGTACGAAGAATTCTGGCGAGATCCATCCAGTGCAGATCCCCTATGGGTATCCCAACTATTCTCGATATGCTGCATGGCGGCCACATTGCGCGAAGTGGTGAACTCGGAGCCTCCGCCCGTGGATGGTCAACTCCGACCTCGAGTCCTATACGAGAACGCAGCATGCCAGTGCTTAAGGCTGGGTGGCTTCGTCAAACCTAAGAAATATGCGGTCGAGGCTATGATGCTCTTCTGCTGGTGCCGGTATCTATCGACGATGGATCCATTGCAGGAGGTAGGGACCCTTTTCGCCATTATCATCCGTTTAGCTTACCGCAGTGGCTATCACCGGGACTCGTCGCATTTTCCCCACATCAGCGTCTTTGAAGGGGAGATGCGTCGACGAACTTGGGCCGCGTGCCGCCAATTTGACTTGATGTTGTCCTTTCAAATGGGACTTCCAACGTATATAGCGGTGGATAGTTGCGACACACAAAGCCCCCGAAATCTCCTCGAGTCGGATCTGAATCGAGATACGAAAGAGCTACCTCCCTCACGACCAGAGACCGAAAGGACAGCAGGTTTGTATTTTGTCGTCAAGACTAGACTCGTCTTGGCTTTTGCCAAATCCTGCGCCCATGCACTCTCCTTTGCCAATCGTTCTCGAGACGAAGTCATGGACCTGGACGCCAACATTCGACGAACTTACGACACAGTCCCGGAGATGTTGCAGGTCAGATCCATCAAGGACTCACGATGCGACCCTAGTTACCTCATCATGTCTCGTCTTAACTGCCAGTTCTTATTCCAAAAGTCCCTTCTTGTGCTTCATCGAAAATACATGACACAAGGCAATTACCCGGAATCTACCAAGGCTTGTGTCGAGGCAGCAACCACGATTGTCAACTATATGATTGAACTTCGTCAAGAATTCCAACCTGGCGGTAACCTCGAAGGAGATGGATGGATGGTGACGAGTTTTGTCCTCAACGATTTCCACCTCGCCACCATGGTCTTGTTTCTTTCCATATCCATGTGGAAGAAAGCCAATCCCCACAGACACGTATCGCAAGATCCCGAAACCAGTGCTCGAATTCAACTCGTCATTTCAGCCTTTGAAGTCTGTCAGGAGTTTGCGCCCATCTGTATTGAGGCGAAGCGTGTCACTGAAGCACTGGCCGTGGCACTGGGTCGACCCATCGACCGAGAATATCTAGCCAGTGGATGGCGTCCAAGCAGATTGGGTTATCCTGCCGCGAAATCGCGGCGAATTCCAGCTTCGAAAGATCCTGATGTCTCTCCTAATGGAAATCCAATATTCCGTCCTCCTGGTTCTGAGTTGAACCTCGAACCCTTGTCACTCACATCACAACCACAACCACAGCCCAGTCTCCATCAGACCAATAACAACACTGGCCCCGGACCAGTACCAGCACCAGCACCAGCAACTTCTTCCATGTCCATGATTCCAAACCACGAAGCCAACTACGGTCGTACACATCAAGGCAATTCAATAGCAGGGCCCTTGTCGAGTAACATGCTCGCCATGCAGACAGGTAATCAATACGCTCCTCCTCCTCCTCCTTCAGCTCCACCACCGCCACCACCACCACCACCACAACAACAATACGAAATGATACAGAATCTTTCTCTGCCTACATTCGAAACATTCGCCGGCTTCAACCTTGACTGGCCTGCCGATGGCGGCAACAATAACAACAACAATATCAACCCAGGATTCATAGCCCCACCCGATCTCAACCCAACAACCCACCAACAAAGTGACAACAATCATATAGTCGACCCCAATAACAATAACTGGACATCACTCGGCGCTGACATGACATGGGAATATCTCGATCAGTGGTTAACATTCGCTGAACTGGATAGAGGGCCTGCACATATGTCGGGGAATGATGATGGGTATCACCAGCAGCAGCATCATCAGCACCAGCAGCAGCAGTCTACGGATTATCATGACCCGAATTCAATGCTTGTCAATGCAAATACGAGTCAGAAACAAAATCATGGAAATGGAGGAGGTTTTGCTGCTGCAGCTGCTGCTCCCGCAGCTGGAAATGATTGGACGACTAATCCTTTCGCATATCCGGCGTTTGATAGGGCGGATCCCCGGGTACGACAGATGGGAATGCAAGGGAGGCAATAGGATCCTATGACAGATGAAATGATCGGGAGATAGCTTAGGGCAGAAGATCTGATATCGAATTTCAATCCTTCTACACCGGATATATAGCCATTTGCTTATGATACCTTTCGCTCCACGCCATGCCATGCCCATGTCCTTGCCCGACTTCTCCTCTCGACGCCATGATACCTTGCGTAGCTACCTTAAGTATCCAAACCGTGTTCAATGAAATACCAGTCTCACACTATGCCGCGCCCGCCGGAGATGACACGATCTCCATCACCCCTCCCATAACTTAATACCTCTCTATTCCCCAGTATAGCACACAGTACCATCCTTTCCTCCTTTTCCATTCCCTACCATAAAAAACTCCTTTGATCGTTTCATACAAGCCGCAAAAAACACATGGTCAAGGCTTTTGTCCTGGTACTAAGCTTTTCTTGGCCGGATCTTTCTTTCGTGAATCTGCATCTCGTTGCTTCCAAGCTCGTCGAATGTCCTCGGCGTCGGCTAGTAGGTCTTCTTCAGTGACGTGGTCGTAGATGGACTGAATGACGCTGTCGTAGGTGGTGAAATGATTAGCTTCGGTCTTGTCGTCGCGGAAGCGATGAAAGCGCCATCGACGATCGCCAACAGGAGGTCCACCCGCGCCGTTCGTGGGGTTAGCAGTGCCGTTGTGGTGCATGGTGTCTGCCTGTGTGATAGACTCTTGGAAACACTCGACTATGGAGTCTTGGATTCGTCGACCCGAGGATTTCCATTCTTCCCATTCGGACGGTTCTACATGTAGATCATCCACGTAGGCGTACTTGTCGCCACCGTGGTTAATATACAAGCCGAATCGCGCAGGGAATGCATGGTAATCCGGTGGTCGCGATTGGTCTGGGTCGTCCGGGTTCGGTTCGTACAGTGACCAGTCGATGTGGAGGAGGAAATCAACCGTGTTGTCGGAAGGGGGTTTCCACTTAAGTATGTGCTCGTCGGTGCCAGACTTGTAAGGAGAATTCTTGCAGGTGAAAATTAGACCGTCATTGCCGTGCAGAAGTTTGACGCGGGGAATGATATCTTTGAACATTTTTTCTAGGCCATAGCTGAATTCGGTGGACTTGTCTTCGACTACAAAGGCGCGATCAACCTGAGGATTGGCTTTGAAGAAAGTCTTGTATGGCTCGAGGACGTGAGATTTGAAGTAGGCGAGGCGTTTGTCTAAGGGTCGGTTCATGAGCGACTTGTTGTCAAGAACCAGACAGTCGAAGACGAGGTATTTTATGACAGACGGCCGATCTGGGTAGCGATCTTCGACCAGTTCGCCGTCGAGAATGGTACCAGTGTGGAAGTGCTGCATGGTTTTGTCCTCATGGTGGGGGAAGTGTAAACCAGGAACGTAATAGTAGTCGTTCTTGCGATCGATGAGGTAATGTATACCCCTTCCTGCATCTTCACTCAGGTACATGAGGTAGCGGAGGCCATCAGTCTTTTCACAGACATAATAGTCCTGGTTCTTGAGTTCGGCGAGATGTTTGGCCGCAAAGGAAACGGGTTGGGCGCCTGGAAAAGAACGGTTGTTACGTCCCAGGAGAGCGGCGACTTCATTCTGGAACTCGGCTTGGAGTTGTGGACCGGCCCAGACTCCGCCAACTCGAGCGATGAGGGAGGAGGGATCGATTTGAGGCTCGCGGGTATGGTGCGCCATGACGCGAATGTGGAAGATGGAGGGTTTAGCAGTGAGGCTGCAGATGTGAGCAAGGAGGCATCATGATAAAGAAGTGCAGATGGACTCTGAGGGGTTGACGCTTTGGTGAATGAAATGGTTATGAGAAACAAATGATGAACGGGACACACGCTGATATCAAGAAGTGTTGTTGAAGTGTGTTTGAATGTGGTTTAGGTCGCAGATGTGTTGAAGAGTAGCAAGATAGATGATATACAGAGTACAGTGGGTGTTCAGTTGCAGGAGTCAAAGACTCAAGGCTGAGGACGAGGCTCTGGTGGCAGACTTGGCAGATGACTAAGCCATAGCCTCGTCGTGGACTCGTGGTTGGTAGTTGAAGATGAGATGGCTCGATCCCACTGTGGTTGTCTATCCTAACAACTTGGAGACAGTGGTGTAGATATATACATGGACAGATGAGCTGGGAAGATTGAGTTATATATCATTCTACAGCAAAGGCGAGCTAATGAGTCAGTTAATTCGTGGGGACATATGTCTATAGTATAGGTGGATGTTGTCCAACCGGTCCCTACAACCCCGCGTCTGGCTTGCATCATTAGTTAAGATCAAGTGCCTAAGGGAATCTAAATTAGGGCCGAGGGGGCCACCAAGCCAACCACCCATGCCTAAAATGACATACTTTTGGGGTTACGACATCCCCCCAAGCCTCGGTTCCCCGCGTCTCTCTGGCTGCGCCTTCGCCATCGGTGGATGTGATGGGATGACTGATCTGGACCTCGTGACCAAATCCAACGTGTGATGGATTTTTTGCTGACTTCTTCGACATGTAAAACCCTCACAACAACTCTCCTACAACCATCATAACGTGGTACAGCATGGCTTCATCATCGCAAGTCAAACCTGCCGTCGGTATTCTATCGATTGGTGACATGGGCCTTGGTGTGGCTCGACTCCTCAAACATCATGACTATATCGTCTACACCGTCGCCCAGGGCAGAAGGTAACCTCACGAATCCACTGCGATAACGAAAACTGACACGACTGTACCAAGCAAACATACCTTGAATCGAATCAAAGATGCCCAGATTACTGCCTTGGCCAATGATGACGACCTAGTTGCTCACTCCGACATCATCATTGCCATCGTCCCACCACGAGACGCCATTGCAACCGCAAGAAGAATCCGTGAAGCTTGTCGGTCACATGATGCCATTCAGCAACGAAGTGAACGCAAAGGAACCGCCACTCTTGGTCAGGCTCCCAGTTTAACCTATATCGACTTGAACGCCATCTCGCCTCAAAGCGCCAAATCCATTGCCAGGCTCTTCAGTCGAGATGCGTCCCCTCCGCCAGCCCGGAGGCTGTCTCTCTCCAGGACCTTTTCTTTCCGCAAAAACTCGGAACCCGAACTGGAACCCGTCAATGTCAACTTTCTCGATGGTGGCATCATAGGAGGGCCACCGTCGATGAAGCATGACAAATCGTGGAAGAAGCCATCTGTGGTGCTTGCAGGTCCCAAGATCGACACTCTTCTCACCGAATCATTCCTCTCCCTTTTGAATGTCAAGATTGTCGGTGATACCATTGGTCCAGCTTCAGCTCTCAAAGCTTGCTTTGCTTCTCTCACCAAAGGCTTGACCGCTCTGTCAGTTCTGTCATACACCACCGCCCGCACTGCTGGAGTTCTCCCCCACCTCCAGGAACATCTGGCTGAGTATAGTCCGCACACCTTAGCCCTGGTCAACTTTGGTCTACCAGGGATGCCTCCCAAAGCCTATCGATGGGTGGATGAGATGCGACAAATCGGGGAAACTTTTAGTGAGGAAGGAGGCTTCAGTCATGGGGTGGGAGGTGGGCAGATTTACGATGGGATTGCTGATGTGTACAAGTTCATCGCAGACAACACGGCACTCGGGGAAGAGAGAGTGGAAAAGCGCAAACGAGGAACAACTGCAGAAGATGTGGCAGAGTGTATGATGGAAGGGATTGCGAAGAAGAAGGGAAAGATTACAGATGACAAGAGTATGGATGAAGCGTGGAGGGGGAGGTGGTCATGATTTGGGGGAGATGTGTATTCGTTCTTGGATAACACTCTTTGCATTGAAGCATTTAGTCCGGATAAATTGACCTGCGTTAAGGTACTTAGTGAGAGTGAACAGCCATTGCAGCCGTTAGCCCTGAGAGAATGACTAGACAGATCTTTTGTCTCTGAGATTTCCTCCAAATCGAGGCAGGGTCTGGTCAACATCGAGCATGACGACAGGAAAGCCTGGTAACTTTATGCTCGGTCCTTTAGATGAATGATAATACTCAATCTCCAAGCTTGCTCTGTCGCTGCTCGGTTGATCGGTCTCCTCCAACGCGACAAGACCTTCGAACGCTCCATTTGAGCTAATACCGTCTCTTGTAACATCATTCTGACCCCATTGTTTATCAAACGGTAGATGCAGGGCCGAATAGGTCTTCCAATTAATCGGTGTTTCTGGAGGCGCAAGCCCGGTGATGGCGTTGAACTCTCTGGAGTTCAAAATCTGAATATTGAGTATCTTGGAGCTTCCCACATCCCATAGCTGTGGGTCACACTTATCGGCGTAGATATTCTGGACGATGTTGCCCCCTGCCCCTATTCCCAAAGCAACCCTGTTTGGTTGTTGTACAATAAGTTCAAGTGTATGCTTAATTCGCCCTCGGGGATCGTAATCTGTTGAAATCCAATATTAGTCCTGACTCAGTGCTGCAAGATGAATATTAAATGCAAGAAAGGATGTGTTGTCGAGAAATCCTACCATCACTTAGCCGATTGCCATTCCACGTCAGAATCTGGATGTGGGGAAATATTCCAATATTCTTGAAAATTTCCTGCTTCAGATCACCGATATTGTTCACGTATCCGTCGTACACTATTGTCGAACCTAGCATGACTGTCACAGTCGGTGCTCCACCACCCGCGAGACCGAGAATAAGATGGAGGGTCGACTCCTGCATGAGCAGCGCGAATTAAACTTAGGTCTCATGAATGGGAATTGGTCTCTTACCTTTTGGATATTGTAATGATCTATCGTGCGCTCTAGTATAACATTAGTCTCCGGATAATATAGAAGTTGGGCGCAATACCGTCTTCCAACATTTTCCCAGCAAAAACCAACCGTTGTTGGTCTGGCGGTATACCTTCTCTACCCTGGATTTTTGCTTTGACCGCGCTGATAGTGTCGCTCCATATGACTGAGAGCGTTATAGTTTTTCCAGTCAAGTCTGGATAAAAATTTCAATGCCATCGACGAGTGCGAAGACGGGCAGAGAGTAGACTTGACCAGAATGGGTCTCCCCGAAGATTTTGTGATCAACACCCAAGGACTTATAACTTGAGGACACAAGTCGAAATCCCTTAGTTGATAACCCAGTCTGGGTCTCAATCATTCTTCGCAAATCAGCAATGGTGCTATGTTCCGACATTTCAAGAAGAAGAGGCTTCTTTGTGCTGTGAAAAAGTCGATCCGCTCCGTTTAGGAAGTCAACATGGCAGACATATTGTCGGTCTTGACTTGGCGACATCTGAATATGTTAGTAGTCAAGAGCAACAACAAAAATCCGATTCCATTGACTGATCATTGTCTCCTAAAGAGAGGATTCTGGTAGAAGCACTTACAAGAACCATATCGAGGCTCGGAATGTTGCCATTCTTCGTGCCTTCTTTCTTCGCCCGCCCTCGCTCTCGCAGGAATTTAAATTCGTCCTCGGTAGCGGCGGGTTCTGTGAGGAAAGTTATATGCTCCCAGCTGGTTACCAGAAGCTGGATGGCCGGATTGTTGGCGACCAAGTTCGATATGTGGAGAAGGCTGTTTGTCGCTTGAAATGTTTCTCGGGCAACAGCCAAGACCTCAGAATACTCGATATCAAGAAGGACCTGAAGCAGACATCATTAGGAGCTTTGCGAGATGCAGATGGCCAATACAAACCTTGAAAGATACGCTAGGCGTGGCTAAATCCATGTCTTGAATGTGCAAAATCTTCTCATCTGACAAGCTCCAGAAGGTATCTAGCTCGACGATGTCCGATAGCTCAAGACCACCAGGGGCTTCTGTTAAAAGATCACGAACGACCTTCGTGCGGGAGTGTTTTCGCGTCTCTGCTAGATTTTTGATATTGATGACGTCGCCCTCGGACAAGCTGAGCTGCTCTGGTGTCTTCAACACATCATAAGACAGTGCACTATTCGTGGTAGGTTGATATGACTCCACGGGTTCGCCGTGTCGGATTGGACAAGCGTCTCTTATACTCCCAGCAAACATCTGTTCGATTTGGAACTGAGGTATGATTTGCAGCTGAATCCCCCCGACCTCATCCTTGCCAGTCAGCTGCCATTCAATTGTCTGCCCTTCTCTTTTCGGAGTCTCAGTGTCATCTGATCTTGTCTTGGGGTTCCCAAATGACGAAGTTCTATGCTGCTGTTTCGGCAGCGGTGTCATCTTTGTGGCAACGAACTGTTTAACTATACCTGGGCTCACTGCTATCCCGTCAAGGCGCCTTTGTTCAGGAAGTATGATGTAGTCTTGCTTATCCGATGTTATGGACTCGCTAGAGTGGAGTCTAGAGACAAAGCTCTGACCAGAAATCCCGTTCACTCCGCCTAAAAAGGGGCGGATAGCAAATTTCTCATTGACTTTACACTCGAAGGACATCCACATAGCTTCCATTTCTGTAGAAACTGCATGTTAGCCTAGATAACGAGACGTGGAAGACATGTCAGTAATCTAATTGTTACACACCATACATAGGGAGGAAAAGCCCTCCTTTGGCGGCCACCCCTGGAGGAAGTTGATCTCTGTATGGCTGCGTGTTCAACAACGGGAAAGTTCCTAATCCTATGGGAGGCTTATGATTTTTTTCGTTTGCTTCAACCCGGACTGTTCGCATGAAGTATATCTGGAGGCTTGGTATATTCTCTCTTCCAACAGAGACCGAGTGTGAAAACCCGGTGTGAGACTGCATCCAATCAGGGTACCGTTGTATTTTAGCTTTAATGGGATCTGGGAAAGACCTGCTGAAGAACGAGGCAATTGACTGTTTCACATTAATTTTTAAGCCATCTGACGGCTTATAGCAGGAGCGGCCGGCTGTGACTTGTACAGGTAAGGTGAAAACGTCTTTCCAAATGTGTAGAATGGGTGAAGAGCGTTCAGGGAACTTGAAGGCTTTGGATAAGTGCAGCTCTGACAAAAGTTGGACGCATATCAGTATGAGATCAATCACTCTGTATGGAGTCTGAGTGATTAGCCTACCCGGTACATCTTTCTGTATGAGGCTCCCCAGGTCATCCAATGTAGTGGTTCCAGGAACACGGATGGTCTTCGAATGTTCGCTCCAACCTCTCTCGACTGGCGATAGCTTTGGTCGGAGCCCATTGACGCGGATCGTGATCAGATCGTCCCCACCTATGACATCTGTTAATACGATGGGTGTATTATCATCCTGGCTCTCATGATGGTCCTCTGGGGAAGCCTGGGCTCCAGGTAGGATCGGAGCGCTTCCGCTAGAGGGCAAACCAGGTTTTGGGATCGTGATATCGGGCGTTGCTGGCACTGCTGGCGCAGATACGGTCTGGAGTGAATGTGTTAGTAGCTCCGCCACAAGTTGTCGCAGTTCAGGCTTTACAGAAGATGGACTTCTTTTCATGGCGGCGGGCGAACCCTTGATACCACCGGGGGCACCTTGCATCTTTTCTGTTAGCCTATCTATCTGAACGGATTTGCCTAGTATATGACACTCAGCAACGTAAATAGCTGGAGGAGGGGGTAGTTCCTTGATTACATACCTAATGGCGACAACATGCTCTGACCAGACGCGATAGCTTTGATCGAGCCTTCCACGAGAACATATGTCTGGTCTGTTGAAAAGGCGTATCGGCAGATGCTCCGATGGCTAGCGTTGACAGGGAAGACCATCTCATTTGGCAATCCTAATCGAGCAGATTCTTCTGGTACAACCTAGCACAGCATCAGATAGCTCTCGTGATGTGAACTTTTTGGAATGTCTGACTGAGAAAGGACTTCACCAACCAGAATATTTAACGGACGTTCAACTTGTAGCTCAATGAATGACATAATGCTCAGTCCAGTAGAGCGGGGCAAAAATTGCTTTGAGATATTGATGAGAGCTTGTGAGCGAGTATCCAAGACTTTGACAAGATCAGTTCTGACTAGCTGTGTTCCAGACATGATTTCGACCATAGTCCTGAGCATGGATGTCCAGCCAACAATATCCGAGCCCCGATGAGGTGTTCCTAGAAATATTATCCCCGCCGTTGAGGCGACAATGTCGCCATAGTAATGACTGTTCTCATGTGAAAGAATGAGCGCCTTTTAATGTTAGTATTGCAAACAATCAACATGACGGGATCGGAAAGACCTTTTTGACGACTACTCCTCCAAGACTGTGGGCTACAAAGATGAGAGGTCTGGCTTTGGTCTTCGCACTGTGTCAGTTCTCACACAAGCCCAAGCATTGTCTGTTAAACACCTCGTACCTTCTGAGTTTGCCTGAGCATCCATATTCGGTTCAGCAAATCGAGGGCGAAGTCCTCAATCCCAGCCTTAGACCGACTGAGGAGCAGGCTTGAGTCGTATCCGAAAGTCATGATTCGTGCATTCGGCATGGCTTCGGGCAGGAAGTCTTCAAGCCAGAGCCTTCCAGTCTCGACATCTTTCCAGGTCCCTCTGGCCTTCCCATTTAGTCCGTGAACGGCGATGATGCTGCAAGGTTAGAGGAAACAGAGCTTCGATAGACCAGAACAGGGTCTTACTCCACTGAAGATTCCTGCGTATTGCTTGGAAGCTCCGGAGGTGGGTGTAAGATAAATAATCCATGTGAATAGGACGCTGGAGAGGGTCTGTCAGGTGCGTGCCCGACTCCAGTGATTGATGCCGTGTCCGCATGAGGTGTCGCATTAACAGGCAGAGTATCCGGACTTTGCTCGTTTTTGGCTGATCTGCGTTTTGACAACAATCCTCGAAAGAGCTTCATTTTCAACGTAGATCTTGCACTACTATGGCCTTATTGATGGCTATCGGCAAGAGCAATCGAATTTCGACGTCGAAAATGGAAGAAGTCCATCTGGGGGGGGGGGGGGGGTAGTACTCGATCGACAGCGAGCTGAACACGAGCTGAACAGCACACAAGTGGGGGCGACTTCACGTGGCGCGGTTCAATCAGGAAAATCGAACGCAGGCGTAGCGGGATAGCTTACACATATCCCAGCTCAAGGCCCTTTTCTTGCTCCAGCCATCGCGCTAATGCAGGGAGTCCTGGATGGCAGACAAGAATACGGGCCATCGGTAAGGCTGAATTCATCCAACAAAGATGTTCATGTTCTGATAAGTGATTTCAGTGAATCAAACCACAACTGAACTTTGCCCAACGTATAACATATGATGACCTAAGGCGGCATGGTTGACCTTGCTTTCTGGAAGATCGTCAAAGACGAGGTTTGAAGGTTAAGCGTTCAAACTTTGGAAGCGCGTGAGCTACACCACGCCCACGAATACAGGCTGCAGGCTGAATACGAGATCTCGTAAACGGTGCCATGATTTCTCAACGTCCCGTTGAGTGGTCCACTCATCTACCTACTTTCTGGGAGAGAGTGCCCTGGGAGAGAAGTGCTATATGGAGGGTGCCCGGGAGAGAGTGCCCTGGGAGAGAAGTGCTATATGGAGGGTGCCCTAGAAAGAGTATATAGGAGTGATTTCTAGACCTCTGTAGGCGATCCAGCATTAGTCGCTCTGCTACTCGCTACGTATATTTTATCAAGATATCAAAATTGACAAGGCTGCGCAAGGCTGAGACTCAAGACCAATGATGTCATGATGCAGAGAGGAAATGAGATGAGATCCTCACGCATCCACCAAGATTCCTTCAAGATGCTTGTCACCCTGTCACCCTGTCACCCTGTGATCCTCCAGTACCTCCGCTGCATCCATAAACAATCCCTTCTCCTGCGGGTCAATGCACCCCCAACTTCAGGGCCCTGCCCAAATGCGATTCGCTTCCTCCTGATCCTTTCATCCCTTTGTTCTTTATCCCTCGCAACCATGCCTATGACCTAATTCAACGTTCCTCATCATGTGCTAATCATCAAAAGCCTTGTTGACAACGATGCTTGCCAGTGCTCCTGTCAATCCTCCTCCATCATGCCCATCACGACTGTTGGCGTAGGAGCTGCCGTCACTCCAACTGTTGTCAAGACTTATATTGCTCATGTATGTCACTTGTCCAACCCTGTACCACCTTGTCTAACTCCAGCGCAGTATGCTAACCGCAAGCCCCGCCATGAAAAACCCACTGCACACATTTCTTATGATGAAGGCCTCCACCTGATCCGCTCCTTTCTCCAATATGCCTCGCATCATACAGTCGAAGACCTGCAATCATTTACCGCTCAATGGGTCCCCAATCCGTCTTGGGTCCGCACCGAGAACGTCGCAATTCCCACGGAATATATAACAAAGGCAGCCGACATCCTTGTACAGCAACTCGGCAAAACAGGTGTTCATGAGGTCGGTGGCACCAAGTGGTGGCAATGGAGGCTCAAAGATGCCCCCCTCAAGGCTGAATGGGTCGAGATGAAAGCCCATTATAATGAACAGAAGAAAAAAGGCGGCAAAAGCAGACGGGTCATAATGTACATCCATGGTGGCGCCTACTTCTTTGGCAGCGTCGATGAACATCGATATCAACTTCAACGCCACGCACGGAAACTCAAAGCACGTGTCTTTGCCCCGAGATATCGCCTGGCCCCCCAGTTTCCCTTTCCCTGCGGACTTCACGACTGTCTTGCCGCTTATCTCTATCTGCTCAGCATCCATGATCCTACCGAAATCATTTTCACCGGGGATTCGGCTGGTGGTGGTATGGTGGTATCAATTCTATGTATGCTTCGAGATAGGGGCCTGCCGCTCCCCGCTGGTGCCATTTTGATCTCCCCTTGGGTTGACTTGACACATTCATTCCCAAGTCTCGTCGAAGCCAATGATTTCGACTACATTCCCCCTCACGGTTTCATGCAGAAACCTTCCCTGTCATGGCCTCCCCCAACAAATGATGAGCGTCAGGCCATTCTCAACGCAGCCAAGGGAACGCAAGCCAAAACCAGGACCAAGTCTGCTGGCTCAGGCGAACCACCACCCGAGTCTTCAGGAGATCAAAGCGGTATACCATTTCCTGATTCGGCCTCTCCTGAGATAGACGGAGACAAAAGAGATGGCACAGGCCCTCAATTCCCATTGACCGTCGAGATCGATGGCCAGCATGTAACAATAAACGATCAGATCCAGATGTACACCACTAATCAGCTACTTGCACATCCTTTGGTATCGCCAGTGCTGCAACCATCTCTTGGTGGTCTACCACCTTTATTGATCTTGACCGGCGGAGGAGAAGTCCTCCGCGACGAACAAATATATCTTGCGCACAAAGCAGCAAATCCTACCAGATACCCATTAGGTCCGGCTTATCGGCAGACATACGATCCTGACGATCACGTCCTCCACAAGTACCGTCCTACTCCTGTGCAGTTACAAGTGTGGGAAGACCTATGTCATGTTGCTCCGACCCTTTCGTTCACCCGTCCTGCCAAATACATGTACAGATCTGTCGCGCAGTTTGGAGCTTGGGCGTTGGCCAGAGCTCAGAGACGCGCCATCGAGATTGTCGACGACGACAATATCTCCATCATCTCGTCGCGTTCGGTGAGCGAGGATGACGAAGCAGGCGCACGTGACTCATCAAACGATAGCCTAGCCAGACAAAAGCTTGATCCGGCTAAATCAACAGGAAACGTTGGACGAGCTGGTGATGCAATCCCGAATTTTGAGAACAACATGATCAGGCAGCGTATCGACAGATATGGCAGAGTCTATCCTCTTGCGGAGCCTTCAGACTTGCCAGCATTGCGAATGAACCCAGACGATGTCGGTACTGTTAAACCAGGACCAGTTCGAAACTGGTTGGCTGCAAAAATGACCTGGGATTCAAAATACGCCAGCGCAAGAACGAAGGTCCAAAGGGAAAGGATCCGAGCTTTTGTCAACGGAGAGATCCGGCCTTTCGACAAGAACGAGCATCCTCCACCAAGTGCTCTCGCTGGAAGACGAACAGACCAAGATCTTTATGTTCGCAAGAAACGAAAGAGCTACGGACTTGCTATGTGGAGTATGTGGGGAAGCAAACATGACGAAGCGACTCTGAAAAGAGAAGAAGAAGCTGTGGAGCAGGAAAAAGACCAGCCGTCGACTATTGCGACGCTTGACGCTCCGTCTGAGAATACTACCGGTCTTCTCGACGGCCAGCACGACATTGCTTTGCCTTCGACCCCCTACAGTCCTGATCGAAGTCGCCAAAGTAGATCTCGTGGTCGTGGCCGCAGCACAAGCAATAGAAACAGAGCTGCTAGCAGCTCCAAGTCTATGCCTGGAGGTCGCCGACGGACTATTTCAGTCACTGATACTGGCCAGACATTAGGGCTTGCCCCTTCGTCCCCGTGTCACGAAGCTCCGATTGAAGAAAATAGAGAGTCGCAAGCTGAGCTGGCCACCTCCAGCGCGAAACCTGGCGCAGTTGTCCCACCTATGATTGTCACAGATGCACCAGCAGAGCCATCCCCAGTCTCACCAGATCCGTCCCTCCTCTCCGCTGGATTTATTCCTAGATTCAAAACAGCATCGCACCTCCGCGATGACTCGGCAGGCACACATGTTCTGTCGGACACGGCCAGCGTGATGACGGGTCGTAGTGCGGTTGTGCCAGATGATGCGTCAACTCGAGCCGTCTTTTCTGTGCCTGGTGTCATTTCTGCGGACAATCAAGTGGAGACAGGGACGTCTAGCGAGGTTACAGCAGATTCAGTCAGACCCGGCAGTCCATTGGCCATGGAAACTAAAAGTGTGTTATCAGAGGACTTTGATGAAAGCAGCCACGGCCGTCCTGGGAAGCATACCGGCAATGACACTCCACGAAGTCAAATGAGTCTAGAAAGATTGCGTGGGCATCAGCAGGACGAAGGAATGGGGAGACTATCACCCCTCCGCAGCCCCAGCACGACTGCGGTAATGAAGATGGAAGGAGTTGTTGGTATTGTTGATGATGAGGGTCAAGACGTCGAAAATGATGATGTCGAGACGCCAAAAGCGGTTTCCGACTCTAATATCGGTATCTTGAATCAGATACCAGGTGGAAGTAGTGGAACAGACACACAAGAGAGGCCGACTTTGTACGAGCGCAGTGACAGCGAGTTCCAAACGGCCATGGAGAAGCTATAATTTGACAAAGCGTGGTTTCGAACAAATTGGACTGGTGGAACAGGTGGACTTGGGTATACATTATATTGGATGTACATTATTGGGCTACGGCAGGTGTGGGAAGGGGGAAGGAAATGTACAATAGGGGATGATGGTTGTATTTTGTTGAGACATTACCATACGTATCAACAAAGGATATCACTTTTATCAAGGACGTTGTTAAGTGGATGCTTCAATGATCTCAGATACCTATTCAGTTTTGACGTGCACATCTGTACAGATATAGTATTTACCACAACGCGCGAGACCATGTTCTGGAACTAAAGACTAAATTCCAGCCTATTCCCAGCATAATCTCTCGCAAAGAATCGCTGGGGATACTCGATGCCTTTGGCGCCTAGGAGGAGACAGATAAGTGGGTGGGTCAGACAAGATGTTGTGAACAAGGAAGACAAAGAAGAGTCAAACGCTTGACTTGAAACATACCGGAATCTTCTTGTCCTGGTGCATCAGCTGCAGAAGGAGCACCGGGTCCGCCGGCGACATAGTGATCGTGGATTCGTTTTCGAAGCTATGAGGGAGAGGAGTTAGTTGAAAAGAGACGAGACGTTGAAACACCTTCTCCTCTGTATATATAGATCTCTCTCCCCAGTCCATCCCATCCAAAGGATACCCTTTCATAATCACATTGGACTTACCTTCAATAATTCCTCTCCACTCCCGACTTTAAAACATGGATGTCTTCTCGTTCCAGTCCAAGCCTTATCCTCACCGGTTTCACCCTTTGGCAAATTATCCTCTAATTCCTTGACATCGCCAAACGCAATGTGGACTTGTTGACCGCTATCACCGATGTCGAACCAAGCCAGTGAATCACGTTGGAGATGTGGAACTGGTCGTGGTGTCAATCCTAATGTCGTGCCGTAGAATTCATTGGCTTGGGCCAAGGTTCCAGCGGGGACGGTGAGGTTTACATGTGCGATGGAGAGGACGGACATTGTGATAGAGTGTGATATAATATAATTGATATAACGGTATATGGGGTGGACAAATGAATATAATGGAGCGAGTGGATGGATGGATGGATGGATAGGTGGATGGATAGGTGGATGGATAGGTGGATGGATAGGTGGATGGATAGGTGGGTTGATGACTCAAAAAGTTGTCGACACCCACTCAACACCAAATCGTCTGAATATATTCAAATTTCTTTGACCATTTACCCCGTCCCTCATCGGTGGTCGCCACTTCGGCGTGGTGCCGGTCATCCCCTCTCGCTTTTCAAGAGTCCATTAATCGTAAGCTAATATATCAAACTTCCCCGCTTTGCCGCTGGAGTTTTAACCGGAGCGCATATTTATACACCGGATCTCTGACCAAGGGTTTCTCACCACACGTTGTAAAATACAACTTCAACAACAGAAGCCTTTGTCTGATTAATCATTGATTATTATACTCAGCCTCTATGTTCAAGGCCTCAATATTGACCTGATACTAGTCAGCCACAACGAATGCTGTACAACTCTATGTGCATAGCCACCATCCTCAGCTGTACATGATGCTTCCCACAGCGTCATCCTCAGTATCCATGTCGTGATCATCTCATCTCCATCGTATCCATGTCGGTCCTTGACCCATCACCCATCACATAAAATCTACTTCTTCGTCAAACTCGCCCACACCATCATTCACCGTCAATTGCTCCATTCTCTCTCGGGCAATCTTTTCCCTTTGTCTTTCTCGGTTCATTGCCTCATTTCTTCGGGCCGAACCTGACGCACTTCGAGTGCTCGATCGGCCGCTGACTTTGACCTTGCCCTCCTCACTCAAACTAACATCCACTCCCATCCGTTCAAGTTCCTCTCGACCACTGGGCCCATTGGGCACAACTTCTCGAGCTTCGAGACTGCTCACGAGCTTCTGGTTTTCCGGATTGGCTTCAAGGAGGAATTTCAAGCACATGATGGCATGTTCTTTAATGTATGGGTTACATGCTGCGCGAGATTACAGTCAGTCATGTCCCATGGTTGGTCCTCGTAGTCAAAGACAAGAAAGTCAACGGCGATCCTCACCATCATATTGTGTGCAACTCAAAATCGTCTCGACTCCTCCGTATTCCCGGATTTGATTCTGAACGGTAGGGGATTTCCACACCAGACTGGAGAGGACCAGGACAATCAACTTCTTGAGGTTGCGCCATTCAAAATCTGCCGGTTCTTCCGTAATAGCTGGCGGTGGAGATTGACGGGACTGACCCGCACCTGACGTCGCGCTAGACGGTTCCACTTGGTTGGTCGTTGCTGGTGTGCTTGGATCGTACGGTCTTTCAACGTTGGATGACTGAGACGATGGCTCTGCAGTAGCTGCTGATGATTGCGCGGCTGTTGGTGCGGGCATCGTCTGAGTGAGCGCCACCTTTGCAATACTGGCGTCAAGCTCTTTGATCAAAGTCACCAAATCATAGACAATCTCCCATTGCACCAATAGCCGTTTCCAGTCATTGTTCTCTGTGAGGACGGCGAAGAACTCCAGGAACTGATAGACCCCTTCGTAGACTCGCTCCATATCCCACAGGTTAAGAGGGAAATCCTCGGCCAAGGCAAGTCCTGCACGGATTTGGCCCTGAAGATAGATGAGTGCACACGTTTCAGGGATAATGTTGCCGCGAAAGACGATGAAAATATATCTAACAGTCAAGACGTCCACTCGGCTCAGGGCTGATGGAATTCGGGTCTTTTGTACGGACTGGTTGTTGTCCTGCACCACAGCTGCCGGGCTGTATTTCGACCGGAAAATGTGCGTCAGAATCTTGATGACCACGGCTTGTGCGGGAGAAATGATATCTTTGGGCTGCCCAAAGTCGGCGTAAGCATGCGACATGAGTCCATTCTTGAGGATGGCCTCCATGATCTGGACCATCATCTTGAAATAGAACTCGTCGTCGGGTAAATCCCAGGCTGCAATAAAAATGAGTAGCTCCCGGAGAACATTTCGACCGGCCTCTTGAGCAAGAAGAATGTGACATCTCACGGCCTGCATATTTCGTCCGCCGTTTCGAGCTGCTTCTTTGGATCCAAAATTGTCCACAATCCCAGCCTGTATGATCATTGGTAATGCTTCAATCTCAGTGGGTCCTAGAACGAGAGGCACATCGGTCAAGAGACCTCTCTCCTGGTCTGAGGACCGCCCATAGTCGTCCTCATCGTCCTCTTCATCTTCGTCCACACTCTCTTCATCGCCACTATCATCCAGGTCATCCTCATCATATGTAGGGACTGGGTTGCCATCTTCATCTAGAGAAAATGGGATGCTATCCTGATAACCTTGGGATTCGTGCAAACGTGCCATGAGCTCATCTTTGGCTTCCTGCAATGTTGCGGCGGCAGATTGAGCCGTTCGTGGCATGGTCAAATCTTCTTCAGTCAATGTCTGGTTGGGGTTGATGTCGCCGTATGAAGAGAAATCGGGCAAACCATTCCACGGTGATGCTTTCCGCCGACTGATCGTATCTGCGGCCACTGCGACAGCAGTCTCCCCCGCTGCCTGATTTATCGCACCGGGAGCTGCACGGTTGCCCGTTCCTGCAAGCTTGTCTCGTAACTCGGCCCCATATTTCAACAAGATGTCAGGATTGTTATCGAGTTGATCCGAGGTCAAGCCAGAAGTAGCCTCTAGATCCTTTTTAATCTTGTCCATCAGGATCTTGGCTGCTTCCCTGGTTCCAGGGTCGGGATTTTTGTTGGTGCTCATCAAATCAAACAAGGCATGAACATCATCAAGGCTGTATTCAAGTTCGCCATTCTTGATTCGATCAGCATCAGCTTGTCCCAGATTTTCCACAGCGGCCCTGATTCTTTCCTCTTGGGCAGCCTGCGTCTGTTGACTAGCAAGCGCATCTGCCTGAGCGTTGGAGTCATCCAGGGTATGTTCCTCATCCTCGACTGAGCGAGATTGACCAAAGAGATCAAGCCAGAGAACCAGCTTTCTTTGTTCATTATGCATGATGAAGTTATGCAGAAATTGGAGACATGTGATCAAAAGCCGCTTGTACAGATTAACCACCTTTTGCCATCGTTCCTCGCTGCGGGGATTTACCTCGGGGCCGTCAAAGCCTCTAGCTGTGACTTTGACGCAGACATCGATGAGCTTGAGGATCTGTTGGTCAAAAGCTTTTTCCGAGGCCAGATTTTGTGCCTTTTTTGTGGTCGCGAGCAGGTTTCGTGCGATGGTGCAGAGGTCATTGAGTCGTTCAATGTCCTTGACGAGGGAGGGGTAGTGGGAAGCAATGAGCTCGGAGGAACTACTATTTGGACCGCGGTTGTTATCGATGTTCGAGGGGTCTGGGCCTTTCCAAGCAAAGGACTGTTGCTCCAACACAGGAATCGCGAATGTCAGGACTTTGGCCAGGCCCTCCCAAACCTTGGGGTTGGAGCCCAAGGCGGATCGAACATCGCTTTCTTGGTGTGATTTGAAGAGGATTTGCTTGCCGCACACGAGGAGGTGATCGAGTCTCTTTTCATCGATAATACGACCTTGAAATTCATAATGCGCTTGAGTGCCCATGAGCACCATTCGCAGAAGGAGTGTGGCAGCGGCCATGTTGTATCAAGGAGAAGGATGACGGTCGGGGACCAAATTGTATAACTGGAAGCATAGTCAATTGAAATATTCCCACCAGCCACCTCAGAAGCTCTCGATATGGTATGATGCGTTGAGTTGAAGAACCGGCTTCTGATATGTCGGACCAAAGAATTTCTGCCCGTGGCTGCGGTTGCGATGTTTTGGCTGACGAAAAGGCAGAATGCCCGGCTGACTTGCCCTTGAAGGAATGTCGGTGTCATTGGCTCATAGGTGGAAGTCATGAGTCACGAGATTTCAGCACGTGACTGCGTCGGAGCATGTAGCATGTATCGCATCTCCCACCCTCCTGGTGGTAGACAACGAAGCCCTCCCCGTTGACAACGAGGCGGGACAATCAACCTTTCAACCTCTCATTCTGACAGTGTGGCGCCGCGTTGATGAGCATCTTGGAGTGGAATGTCGCCAATTTCCAAGACGCTTGACCCCCCGGGGGGCATTTCCGCTCCGCTCAAGTCGTACCGGTCGTCTACTGATCGTTGGCACCTAGCCAGCGTCCGCCAAAAGCACTGGGGTGACAATGTCCACCGGATAGAAGCCATCTCGAATATGTTTCTTGGACACGGAACCATCCAAAGTAGCGTTCTATCTAGTATAGTCTGGCTTTTCGTCCGTTCTTTGGTGGGAGACATTGCAGGGACTGGATGGATAGTTCTGGGTGCCCATGTTTGGAGCAATTCTCCCAACTCCACGATTGAGTACTTCCTTCCTTTCTTGGACGATTTGACCCACTTTTGCCCACAAGGAGTCCCGCCTATTGAATCTGAGTACGAGGATATATATGACCATTCTCCGATGCCCGGGCTTTTAATAGGCTTGATCGAGAGAACATTACGGACTAATTCCGGATAGGACCTTGAAGATCAAGCAACCTTGTTGGACATGATCCTCTATCATGTGTAAGCTCATAATAGAGACAAATACAAAAAGGTTTGGCTCTGGTTATGGATCCTGAGGCTTAGCTACATTCGTAGCCTCGATCCATTCGTCTCAACTTTCTCCATTGCTTCAAACCACTGATTGGCCGTTCCATCGTTCACGAAAGACATCGTCAGGCAGTTTTGCGGCTCTGTATAAGGTCCTTTAGAGGTGAGTCACCACCAACCTCGTAGCCTACGTTTACGTTCCGGACTTGCGTGAGAGTTCAATCTCTCAGTCAGACGTCCCACTCAGATGCCCTTAGTGCTCGATACTCTAGTTGAAATATTTAAGCCGTCTACTTCCTCATCTCATTTTCAACTTTCAGTCCGACACAACTCATCATAAAAGCGCAATTGACACACAACCAACTCACACAAGGGCAACAGACACACCCGGAAGCGAAAACTGGGGCGGCCTTCACGACCGACAAGACCAACAAAATGGACTTCCTCGGGGAGCTTGAGAACATGGCTGCCAACATCACAGAGGCAGACCGTATCTCCAACGCCGACATCAATATGTGGCAGAAGCTTTTCAACCTTACCTACTCAGAAGCCTTCTCAGCCTTGGAAGAATACCGGAACAACTTTTCCCGGACAAGAATCCCCGACGAACTATGGGACGCCATAAAAGCAGAGAAAGTAGCGGAGGGCTATAGCCGGGAGGCGTATGAATACTCACTCACACAATGTCGAGAAAGTGGTGCGCCTGCCGGCTACGACGATACCGGCTTATACATTGTTCAGCTCACCGGCCCCATCTCAAGGCCTGGTATCATTCGATCCGCCGCTTCGTTGAGCCAAATTCCCGTTCTTGTGGAAGGGTTGGGAGAAGATGGACAAGCACAATTTTGCGAGATCGACGGTACATCAAAAGCTCGACTTCTTGCCTGGATCGCAAAGAACCATCCAGGTTTCAAACCCACCATCGTGCGCATTTCCAAGGCTAAAAAGGAATTGTGTACCGAAAATCAGGCACCAATGCTGGGGAAAGACTGTACACTGCCTCAACATCGGCCAGACAATGCTAGATTTGAGCCTGTCCCTGCTCCAAACCAGTACCCAGTCTGGTACTTCTTCTACGGCACGCTGGCTGACCCAATTGTTCTCTCTCGGCACTTGGAGTTGGACAAGGCCCCGGACTATATTACGGCTCATGTCACTGATGGCAAGGTTCAGATCTGGGGAGGAAGGTACAAGGCACTGGTCGATGCGCCCGGTGAATCAGTACAAGGCTGCGCGTTCCTCGTCAAGACTCAAATTGAAGAAGATGCCTTGAGATTCTACGAGACAGACAAATATGAGATTGTCAGATGCCAGATCTTGACTCAAAGCGGAGCCATGCTTGGCCTCACCTTCCGCTTTAGAGGAAATTTGGACGAATTAGACTAGGCCATCGTTTCCAAACGCGATAAGCTAGAAGTGGTCACCACCATCTAGCCACAGGCAGAATACTATTATGGGGTGGCCGGGTGGCTAGGTACAGAACTCTAGGGGCTTCTGTGGGGGGTGGGAACTACTACGTATTCGCACAAGCACCACGTGACCAGGTACAAATTTTCAGAATCACAAGCACAAGTACCAAACCTCATTCACACATGCGTGGTGATGATCGCTAGCAACAAAAGCACAATCGACTCTAGGTTTTCTATCTTGCTAAATTTCCTTCACTCTCGGCTGACCTTACCTCTGCTCGTGGACAATTTTTTTTAATCGACATTCACTCTCCTGCGGAGAACCTATTCGGCACTCAGACACCTTTTTATGGATCCTGCAATATCAGAATGACAGAATAACGACTGTCAAGCTCCGTGTCGCCAGTGGGATTATCGAACGCTTGCTCTATTCCAATTCATCGGTCCTAGAAGACGTTCTTCGCTCCCACGCCAAATCGGCAGGGCCGAGTGACGGTCTAGTTCCCCAGATAGATGGCAACCCATATGTTCGATCCTTCTCTTGTGACTCGTTCTCTGCACAGGACGTGCAGACTGTTGCTAGAGTCGGTCCTGACACCTTCTCTTGCTTCTAGGTATGTATATGTTTGAGCGGGTCCAGCTCAAGGTCCATGCAAGAGTGTGCATAGGTCAAAGGAAACATTACTTTTCAACTTGATCGTTGTTCAGCAGAGTGGCTCATTCATGATGTGATCAGCTTCAGGTAATCGGCAACGATGAGAGTGATCATTCTGCTCCATGTTAGCATTCGTCACCCGGCAGATCAGAGGAAACTTACGCATGAGGAGCAATTCTAACGTAATATGTGCCAAATCCACGGTAGAATCTCAACCAGCCCTCATCTCGGACCACCTTCTTGGCGCAATCGAAAAATCCGTTGTATGGGAGTTTGCCATCAGGACCTTTTTGCTGCTTCTGCAATCTGGTCTTGACAAAGTCAAACGGTAAGCTGAAAAAGGAAGCGAAGAAACCGGCAATGGCAGACGCTCCGAATCGGTTTGCGTTCTCCGAGAGCTGAGGGGCATGGGTTTTCAATTGGGCCTTGGATTCGGCGAAGAAGGTGAGTTGGCCGAAATTGAGAGCCATGGCACGAATGACGGTAGGATATGCGCCCGCCCAGAGAGCGCCGACGCCTTCAGCTTGAGCGATACGCTTCAAGGCATCAAAGACTGATCGGTAGTTGGCTCGTTGTTCCTTGGGCTTCAAACCATCGGACTGCATTCGGATCAAGGCCAGATCTGCTGGGTTACCCACCATGGCAGCGAGACCACCTGCGGTGAGACCAGCGGCACCTCTTTCGAGAAAGCCAATGCTGGTGCCATTCTTTTCTGCACGTGCCTGCAGAAGATTTTGAAAGGTGTCAAAGAAACCCAGCCTTGCCGTGGTATAGACGGCCTGTCTCAACAGACCAGCTGAGAGACCAGTATAAAGATCAAGAACCTTGCCCTGTGCAATGATATCTCTTGTGATGCCCAACGCAGAAGGTTTAGGGCCGGATTTTATGCCTTCGCCCGCCAACTGGAGGCGAACCTTGACCATGTCTACAGGCTGGATGCAGCCTGTAGCGAACATACCCGCTAGGCCTCCATTGACGAAGGGTAGAGCAGCCCGCACGATGGGATAGTGGAGGAAATCATTCTTGGCTTGAATGGGATTGTTGACCGCCTCGGTCGTGGCAGTTTCGACCTTTGTCGCAGCGCTGCGGGCGCCTTCCTTGATCCGATTGGCAGTGCTCCCAGACATTGCGTGAGAGGGGAAAATGTGATTGTCCTAAGAGCGGAGTCAGGCGCCGATGTGCCGCGTGACGACAGGTCCTACAGAAAGTCCCGTTAGTGCGACGTTGCTGGGACTTGGGGAATTTGCGGGGTAAGACCCAGTTCGGCAGTCGAGGACCAGCGAACGCTGCGTAAGACGAGAAACTGGAACTGGCGGTGGGACTCACCTCGCGACAACAAACTATTCTGCACTTTGGAAGATCAGGATGAGTTGGTAGGATGGGTGATGGGGGGGAGGTTGTCTTCCACGGAAGCGGAGAACAGTCACGAGGGAGTATGTGGAGGAGGGACGGAGGACCGGCGCCAACAACGGTGGGATCCGGAGGTGTCACTGAGGATAGGACTCGATGACAAGGGTAATGAGGTGAGGTTGTTGTGGTTGTTAGGGACGCTAAGGATAGGTGAGTAGGGTTTAGAGGAGACTGGAATCTGAGGTTCTGGTCTTTTCCAAGTAGGTATATTGAGGAAAGAGAAGAGATGTAAGAAAAGAAAGAAAGGAAATAGTCGGTGGATGTAAGGTTGCTAATACGAAGTCAACTCCGCAGCTTGGACAAAGCTCGCTAGTACTTGGAAGGAGGGAGGAGGGTGTCAAGGTGTGCAGCAAATGAGGGACTCGTGGAACTCCAAACGGAGGTGATCCTGTACGCAACGCAAAGGTCACCCTGGTCGAAGATGCCGTGAACTCGGAGCAAAGCGTAGAGATGGACACACCCACAGGGCAAACACGGGAAACTCCAAAACACGGTTTCTTAGCACCAGCAGGGTCTGGAGCAAGCATTGTGCGTATACTCCGTAGGCAAACGCCTTCGGAACGAGCCAACGAGTCCAGGTATTCGAGACCGCGGGCACGGCGGATTCTACTCGCAAGCAACCAAGGCCACAAGGCATGATTTCACCTGTGATTTGCGACCTTTGGAATTGGCTGGACAAGGATTGGGCGAACAAACATCAGACAGTATTGAGTTCGGCCCGCCTAGTTTATTACACTCATCGCTATAGCGCCATAGGGTTAGGTACCAAGTCACAAGCAGCTAAGGTTGGGAGCCCACAGGTAGCCATTTCGTGCAACAACTGTGGTTAGCCCGGGCTTGGAACACGCGGGGAAAGGTAGGGACAGGACGTGGCTAGGCCTGCAGCTGCTTATGGCCCACGCCCAAAACAGGTGCACGGAGGGGGTCCTTGGGGGGGTAGTGATGGATAGAAGGGGGGCACGGGGGGGTGGCATAGTCTGTTGACTGACGTAGTTGCTATCAACACGGTTTAGTTGGACCACTTCAACCTTCTGCCCCTGCCTGTGGCTCGCCTATTACAGCAGCGGCTTTCCATTCAACCACCCCACTGCCGCGCGCCGTGCCCGCCCCCCATCCACTAGCAAACTGGTCGTTCTTCGTACATGCCATGCATGCTACTGTTCTTCAATAATAATATGACCGACCAATATCACATGCTTTTACCTTGAACCCAACGACTGCTTTGGTCCTGTTGAGTACATGGCTTTGTCTGCTGTTGAGTTAAACGACATTTCACTAAGTGTGGAGTTCCCACTGTTTCAACATGGAGAGCAAGAAGGAAGGAGCCTCAGTTCCTAGGGCAGTTACGATCCATGGCATAACCATCGATCAAATGGGTCAACTCGTCAATCTGACAATCAATAATAATCAATCACATCGTACATCATCGTCCCACCAAAGCCAGTATTGTCAACCGTGGCTTGTCGTAGACCCAGTATTGCCACCACCACCGTTGCTCATACCGAGCAACCTCGGAAGCCGCACCCCCCAGCAAGGCCGGTGCGGGTAGACTCGGATCGTGTTGAGCTTACCTTTGATCGGCTCCGCGCCGGAGAATTTGACGAGGCTCCAAGGCTGGCCGAGGCTGTGTTTGACGTTGAATGAGTGGATTGCTGAGTAGTACCTGGTTAGCCCACATCGAGCATACGGAGTACATGACTCCACCAGACAGATTAGACCAATGCCTACGGATTACGGGTCACGGAAACCAAGGTGAGGTTTTGCCTACGGCACATGGAAATCTCGCACCACCAGACTAGTAAGTGGTAGTACATATTCGTGATACTGTAGTAGTACTCCGTAGTTGTTGGGTTTAATAAATCGCGCACTGGCCCAAATTGACGACTTTGAGGACCACCTTCGTACAGAAGAGTCTGGCCGTCATGCCCTTGGCGGTCGCGATGTCGCTCTGAGGCGTACTACTGCTACTGCGGATTTCTGCCCGTGCAACATCACTTGTGCTGAGGGAGGTTGTCCTCGTGGACCTCTTTCGATTTGGATTGGCTGTTGGCGGAATTTCTCTGCTTGGGTTCTAGGACGGAGCATAAAGAGCCTCGCCCACCGAAACAACCGCAACCACAACCTCCTACTTCCATTGGTATTCTCGGATGGAAAAACTTCTCACAGGTCCGAGCTACCTATACTAGGTTTGTTATGGATTTACTTCCATCCTTGCATCAAAGGCTTGTATCATCTTTCGCGCTAGCATCTTTGTCCGGCCTCCCTTTCCGGACAGAGATGAACAGATTCCATTCTCAAATTTGCCAAGGCCTGTCGCAGAAGCCCATGCGCCGTGATCTCGCCGCGCCGTTGAGGCCATTGTGCGTCTTTCTCCGGAGTCCCTCCGAGGCCCCAACATCATCAACATCTTCCGGCTCCAGTGCCGTGCTGTCTTTGGGGGCCCGCAAATCTTCACCGAAGATTCTCCCCAGCGTGCTACCATACCGGGGAGTATCCCATCCATTTAGAGAGGGACATCCGTCTGGCGGCTTCGGCGTCGGCGTTAGAAAATATTATGTTGCCCGTGAGAAACAAGAACGGGTCCCCATATACCGCAACTGAGCGTCAACACCTAGTTGATATCCGCTCGTTTAGCCGCGTGGGACGGCTGCTTGCTTGTCCCTCTTGCGATTGAGCAAAGCCTTCACGTTGAATGGTTTCTTAATCTCCTTGATCCTTCTGAATAAATCCCTCGTCTTCTTCTCTCGTTGCTCCGAGGTCAAGCTTTCGCCGACTGTGGTGACGTCCTCTTCCTCTGCTACCATCGGAACGGGGGAGTCCTTGGCTTGTTTTTTGTTTGATCCCTTGACAATCGCAGAGTATACAAGGATCCAACCAGGTACCCGCTCTTTCTTGGCACCAGACTCGTCGTTTGTGTCTCTTTTGCTGGGCAATATTACTTCTGTGTCCTGCGCGTCCGCTGATTTCCATGGACAGTAGTCCAGGTGGCTGTCGATCGCGTCGAGGGTTTCCATGGCTGGCTTGTCACCACGGTACAGCCATAGCCCAAGCGACCGGAAACAATGATGGCATTCAATAATATCTTCTGCTTTCCTGTCCCAACCTGTGATCGCTAGTCGAAATGCGTTGAGATTGACCTTCCGCTCCTCCTCTTCAGATAGATTTTTGGTCAACGACTCCTCATCCTCGGACAATGGAAGCGGGAGAGGTGCAACTGCTGGCAGTTCATCCTCTCGAGTCATAATGCTGTCATAGCGTTCCTTCAGTGATGCAAGCGCGATACTTGTATTCAAAAGTCCCTCGATTCGTTGTACTGATGAGTCTGAACCTCGTTTACGCCAAAGACAACCTTCAGAGTGGGCCGTTGTAATCATATCTTGGTACTTCTTGACAATACTGTTGTAGACTTCGGTGACCATGGCTAAATCGTCGTCTTGGTCGTCTTGCACATCCCCTTCCGTGACATCTGCAATTTTTGTTGCCCGTAGCCGCGAAGGATCGATCGTGAGATCGACGTGGACACGCTCCTTGCAAGAGCCGCAGAACACAGTGTCCGTGTCCACGCAGATCCATCCTCTCTTTGCCCACACGGTGGCATTAATTGGGTCTGTCGATGGAACATGCCACTGAGTGACTTGTCGGAAGGTTTGAAGTCGTTCGAGAAAGGCGGCGCGGCTGGAGGGGAGGTAATGGGTGGAAAGAGACGTGGTCGATGTACGAGGTAAAAGTGCAACTCTGGATGTTGGAGTTACACGGCGTCTTTTAGATCCATCCGAAGTATCGTCGAGGCTAAGGCTGAGGCTGGAGCTTGTTGTAGTTGCATTGTTCCGAGAATTAAGTGACGATCTTGGGGGAGAGGCTGCCGCTGCATCGCTGAGGGCTTCCAAGATGCGATCGAATTTGCGTTTTTTGGTCTCAATTGCATAGGACATAATTGCAGATGCTCCAAGAGCGATATCTATGAATTGTCAATGTCTTCCTATGCGGCAGTGGACGGGCAGTTCTTCAACAAAGCGAAGTCAGTTGCCTCGAGGCTGGAGGAAGTGCCTGAAGCTGCGGGAGAGTTTCCTGTTTCGGCAGAGGACTAAGCAATTGTCACATACGTAGTGGGGATGTACCGCTCTCTGGTTCACCGTAGATATGTTCTAACTGCTTTTGGTTTAATATATACGGCGGCCCACATGAACCGTGTCAGTTCTCTTATATCAACCTCACCTCAGGCCACGACCTTGCAGTATGCGTCGCATTCCGATGGTATACAGTGAATGGACAGCTTGGTAGGTAAAGCTGATAAAGGCTCACTCTACTTCTAGATCGATAGGCGCTGTGCCTCAGTATGTACCCTTCCTACTCCAAAACCCAGATACAAACATCCATTTCATCACGCTGTCAACCTTGACGGCTTTCCAGAATTCCAAACATACTAGATGGACAAAATGGTTCTGCCAACAGATAGGCCATCTGACATTGGTAATAACCACGATATGCCTTTAATCAAGCTATGCTTGGCATGTCGAAGCCTTGATTCACGCTTTTGCTATTGCGCGCCAGTGGGTTAGTGAGTTCGTGTGCACCATTTCACGTCGAGTGATATCTGCCTAACACTGATTCACAACTGCGGCCTTCACGCTATCTGTGACCGTGTGTTAGTACTGTAAGTGACGCGTGTGGTCAGGCTAACCAACAAACGGTGCTTTCCTATTTCCCACTGCCTTTGCGGTTTCCCTTTATTCTTTTTCCCTTTCTCCCTCCCGGGCTCCTTACTTTCCTGCTACTCCCAAGCTCGTCAGTCGCACTATATCATTCTCCGACCTGTCATGATGAATGTGCTTGATGATCCCCCGCGCACAGCAGTTAGGTATGCTCATCGTCCCAGCTCTGGTTGTGCACTACTGACATCCTGTAGGCGAAATGGCTGGACTTATGTCAATCAACATGTGCAGCGGTTTGACACACTTCCACCTTTGGCACAGACGGACGGCAACACCGATGATGAAGCCGCTACTAACAATAACAATCCTGAGGGAGCTACAGGCCTACGGACCTCTATTCTTGAAGCCTCTGAGCGATTGAAGCTCCCACCAGGGTCCAGGAGGAAGAAGCGAAAGTCTCCTTCAGAGCCATCAGTTCGTCGTCCCAAGAGACCGCGTGTTGGCGAAACACAAGGTCAAGCTACACAAGATTTGAGCAGTGAACAAGATGTTTCTGTGGTCCAGGAAGTGCTAGTTGCTCCTCCTTTTCCTTCAGTGCGACCTCACAGACTTTTTGCGGAAACACCAAGCCGACTTGATGTCAGCAATGCTGTTGGAACGCACCCACTGTTCCACCCAGTCTCACATCAACCTGTCCATCAACCTGTCCATCAATCTATCCACCAACCTGTCCACCAGAAACCTATTTACCAACGACCCATCCACCAACACCCGGTCCACCAACAATCCATCCACCAGCAACCTGTCCACCAGCAACCTGTCCACCAGCAACCTGTCCACCAGCAACCTGTCCACCAGCAACCTGTCCACCAGCAACCTGTCCAC